GAAATACTGCAGCAGCACATTACTGACCAGTTTGGACAACAGTGTAAAGTCCTGTGTCCTTTCAGAGCTCAGGAGGCGATTCTGAGGGGAGCTGTAGAGTTTGGTAGAAACCCAGACATTGTAGCTTCTCGGAAAAGTTCCTATACTTATGGATTTGCTGTTTGTGAAAAGTTTGATGAGAGCAAACATAAGGAAGGAAAGAAATTTACAGCCAAAGGTATGGAACTGAGTCGAGATATTTTCAGGAAACTGGTGGAAGAAGGTGAAGATCTTGGTTGGGAGGAAACTAGAGAGTTCCTTTGTTCTCCAGCAAGAGAGGACCAGGTAGAGATGAAACTGAAATTCTTCCGCTCATTAATAAAAGATCCAGTGTATGTAGATGACTGGGGAGTGGAAGAGGTTGGTTCATTCATTGTAGACATGACTGGAGGTGGTAAAGTCAATCTGGAAATTGACTTTGGCTCCACAGAGATAACAGCTACTGGGACAAACCAGATTAGTGGGAACAAACAAACAGTGAAAATTGACTTCATGACCACAGACAGAGAATGTGTCATTGATGACGATGCAGAAGAAGATGCTGTCAGTGTTGGAACAGAGCAATCAGATCCTTTAGAGGGCAGAGATTAAAACATGCTAAAGCATAATAGATGCTCTGATACTTTCTTTGTCCACACAATAATTCAGTATGTGACAGAGGCATCTTCAAGACATGGATGTTGAATTTGGGGTTTTCAGAAATTAAGAAGAAAAATCAACTTGTGCAAGAATTGACTCTTAAAGCTCAACAACTCTATCATCACTAAGACAGTGCTGTGATGATTGTCACATTTTTATGCACTTACTGGCTAAATTAAACACACAATTAATGAGTAATCTTTTTAAAAAAAACAGTTTCATCACCAATACTATGAGACCACCTAGCATAGTGGGCTGAAGCTTCACATCAAAATGTGCATGATCTACATTGATGGTTTATGAATTCAATACATGAATGATTTTGATTAGCTGTGAGTCTTTAAAAATGTCTCTTTTTAAAATATATTATAGCTGCTGTACTCTGCTATAAATTAGTCAACATTAGAAATCATGGGATAGATATAATTTTTATTGGGTGCTTTCTTTCCTCTTGGTGGGGATTTCAAGTGTATTTCAACTATTTTGGGTCAATGTAATCATTTAAAGTTTTAAAATGAACTATTGAGAACAAATAAAAAAAATTTAAGGTGATTTTTGCTTACTTTATTCTTACACTGTAATACTCACATAAATGTCACATAAATATTTGGAAAAGGTTGTTAAGGTGATGTTGAATTTCAATTAAAATGTTTTTTATTAAATCCTACTCTTTCATTCTTGCCTTTTTTTTCTTGGACGCACAAAACCTCAGTTGCCACTGGACTTAAAACCTGGTTGAGTGCAACTGAAGATACCAACACTTAATAAAAGTAACATAAAGTTCAAATATTGAAGAAAAATGTGGAGTCTCACTGAAACTACATGAGCCTAACCAGAGGGGTGCAGAAAATCTTGAGATAAATACTGAGATGGTCTGGCCATTGCCTTTCTTCTCAGTTCCCCCGATTCTCATTTCCCCTCACAACTATGTCTGGACTTTCTCCCATTGAAGGGGATTTCCTCAGCAGAATTTCAACTGGGCAAATGAGCAAACGGAAAGAGAAGTTATGAATGATGACCAAAGCAGTCTGTGAAGGTTTGAGTTAGAGTTAGCTCACTATAGCTCCAGGTGCTCTTGTGAGGTGTGTGTGTGTGTGCATGTGTGTGTGACAGGTACAAACGTAACTCATACACAATGATTCAGGACTCTCACATTTTTGTCTCTCTCCCTGGGAGGCCAAATGGATAATGTTTTTGGTTTCAACTTTTTTTGTTGCTGGGTCACTCATCAACTCAGGCAGAACGTTGTTTTTCTATCAGGGATATAATGATCTTTTTTTTTCACAAATTTATTTGTGCAAGCTAGGTTTTGTCTGTGAAGTCTCTTTTTTGTCGCCAACTATGAGCCAAATTGCTAACCATAAACTACCTGACTGTAAGCCGCTACTTTCATCCTGCGCTTTGAACCATGCGGCTTTTAGCCCAGTGCGACTTTTGTGTGGATTTTTCTTCAACCACCAGGGGGCTCTTTAGCAGGAAGTGAATCATTGGAAGTCAAAATTGGAAATCAAAGAAGAAAGTGCTGATTTTCATTTAGAACAACCACATGCTAGCAGCACAACGGAGAAATGTTTTCAAACTCATACCCCTTCATCATGGAAACCACACGAAGAAGTTCATACAGCTTTTAAGTGGAGGGTTGTTGATGTGGGAGATAAATAGAGTTCACGTAAGCTGGGCATGAACGAATCCATGGTTCAGCCTTGGAGCCATGGTTTAGTCCTTAATAGCAGTTATATATATATACTTTTCCAGTTTTTTTTTTTTTTTACTTTGTGGGTACGGCTTATAGTGAAATTCACTATATAGTCTGGAAAATAAGGTAAATAAAGTAAGATTATTTAATCAAAAGAGAAAAATGAAAATAACATACTAATTATTTTATTACTTTATCTTCTCAGTCTAGTCTGTACAGATGTTTTAGGATTCATGTAATTTCTATATGAATGAAAAGTTGAAGCATGTATCAACATGAACAGCACAACAAAGTATCTGAACAAACTGAAAACAAGCTGATGACTCAGTTTTCCCCTGAAGAGAAAAGCTACATACCTAAGAGTTGACAACCAGGAGAAATCAAAAAAGAGAAACAGAAAGGCGTTAAATTCCTACCGCTGGAAAACCTGTTTCTCTGTTGCAGTTCATTTAAATTTCAGTTTAAATATAATTTTAGCTTGTAAACCACATGGTCGGTCATTGCAATATTAATGTTCTGGGAATCTTTTCAGAATTTGCAAGGATATTTCTTTAATATTAAAAAATACTTTTTTGGAGTTTTACATGGATTTACAGCCACATTACAGAAAAGATTTTGCAAGTTCTTGGTGTCCATGCTTTACATAAAAAAATAAATAAAAAAACTTACAATATTTACATTTTAGGCCTTAAATTTAAAACATTTCATTCAACATGTGTAAGTGGTGAGGACACGCTTGGTAGTGAGACCAGGAGGAAGTGGAGCAGACAGCAAACTGTGAGCAGATGGCACCTGGGCTTTGAGGTGTGTCGCTGTAACAGAGTACAGTTTCTTTATTTCAGGCTGCCTGACCAAGAGTGTGGGACCGACTCTTCTCCTTGCATGCGTAGTAAATCTACAGTAACTGATGTATATTTGCATAGAAAATTAGTCAATAGGGTTTAATTTATAATTTGTATGTCTTCATGCCATGAGGTAGATCTCAGCCGGCTGGTGAGAGAAAAAGTAGATCTTGGTCTCAAAAAGTTTGAGCACCCCTGGGCTCCAGCCTTGGTGGGTCTGCTCTGTTGTTATTACCCTGCCATTGAGAGTAAGCACCAAAATAGCTGTCAACCTCAAACTCGCATAAAACAAGCACCAGAAGAATGTTTTTGGGAAGGAGCTGTGGTCCCTGAAGACTTCATATCCTAATAGTTGTCTCTAAATCAAGCTTCTTTAGTTCTCTGCATGGCCGAAATTCCCATTCGCCGTCCTCTTTTTCTAGTTGAAGGCAAACAAGAAAAAACCCTCAACTGAATCTCCATCCTAGATCCACTATGTGATTATGCTGCTGAAAAAAGTATCTGTAAAGTAACAGGTTTCTCTTCCAGGCTTCTCGACGGTGACTCCTTTTCTGAAGAAACCAGTGTCATCATCAGAAACCCACTAAATGTAACACTGGTGGACATGTAAATGCAAATATAGAAGGAAAAGCTTTGATTTAGTAGTCTTTTTTTTCACGTCTCATTTGTTATTCAGATTGTTGCCATTGCATAAAAATAAAAAAAGGTTGAAAGGTTGAATAAAATAAAAAAAGTTTTTTATTATGTAAAACAAAAACAAAAACAAAATAAAATAAAATAAAAACAACTTTTAGCAATTACTTTATTACTCTATCTTTGCAATGTGTTTTGTACACATAATATCAAATGACATCTCTGGAAATAATGTTCTGTATATTTGCATGAAAAGATGAGGAAGTTAACTATTAAAGGCACATGAGAAAGTCCCTGAACCAACTGAAACCAAACCAATCACTCAGTTTTCCCTTGAATTTATATGCAACATACCAAAGAGTTGACAACCAGGAAAATGAACGAAAGAGAAATGAAAAGCTGTCTTAGACTGACATCTGAAAAACCAGTTACAGTTTTTTAATTTTCAGTTTAAAACATTCTTCTAATCAGGAAACTTAATTAAAAGTTAATTGCTCTGGGAATCCTCTTACCATTTGATGGAGCAATCTTTCTTTAAAACTAGAATAGATTTTTTAGCAATATGTACAAAAAATGTTGATATAACTTATTGGCCCCCTACAGTTTTTTATTTAATATTTTGCAAGCAAAATGTAAAAAATAATTCCATAATTAAATCTAAAAAAAGAACATACCTCTTGTTTTGGTGAGTCTTTTATGTGCAATGCGGTTCAAATGTGGCTCATTTTGAGTTCTTCCATTAACACCTAGAACAGTGTTTCTCAACTCTGGTCCTCAATGGATACGTCTGCATATTTTAGATGTTTCTCTAATTCAAGCACACATTGTTTCAATTTACATGCTTTTGCTGAATTTCTATAATCTTAATCAGGTGTCTTAAATCAGAGAAACATCCTAGACAAGAAATCTTATAGACAAGTAGTCTATAAGATTTTAACATCAGTTATTTCTTAATCATATTTTCTTCTATGTTCTTTCCATTCTATTGATTGAACATGTCCTTTAAAAATACAGGTGCCTTGAAACCATTGAATTATAAGTAAGAACAAAATAATGTGGTTTATCTCAAACTTAATTTTCATTATTTCATTATCAGAACATTAAGTAAATAAATATTTCTGTGAAATGTTTATTTATGTAGCGTACAAGCAGGAGGTGTGGTTTACAGAGAGATAAATAAATGCAGTCTGACTGCTGCTTACTGGTACAGTGACATTTTCCCCTTATCTTGACTGGTTGTCGTTTCTTTCTGCAATGGGTGACTCGTTTGTCATAGCAATCGACTTTGGCACTGCATTTAGTGGGTATGCCTTTAATATCACAAAAGGACAGGAAAAAAGTGATCCACATCTGCAAAGGTGGGGAAGAGAGTATGGATTTGACACCCCAAAGACTCCAACCTGCATTTTGTTTAATGAAGATGAAAAATGTCTCAGTTTTGGCTATGAAGCCAAAATGGCTTACAAAGAAATGAGCGGAGAAGAAGCAAAGAAGCATTATTTCTTTGAAGACTTCAAGATGGCCCTCTACAGCAAAGTAAGTATAAACAATAATTTTACACCAATACTGAGATAACCTTCCGTATTCTAGATTGTGTGATAAAAGGTTCAAATGTCACAAAAGAATAAAAAAGAAAGAATGAAGACTTATTATTTGTTTAAACTGTTTGATGAGAAAGCATTCAAGGAAAATGCACAAAGCCGTAACAAGGATACGAGATGACTATTTATCACTAAACATCCTTCTAGAAATGTAAAATGGAAATGAAGAATACACTCCCTGCTCATACAGCTATATTTTTATCTAAATAATACTTTAATCTCCAGAAACTCAGCAATAATCTGAATATTAAAGCCACCAATGGAAAGTCTATGAAGGCATTGAAAGTTTTCTCAGAATCCCTGAGATTTCTTAAAGATGATGCACTCAGGACAATCAGCAGAAACACAGGTGGGGATAATTTGTTCATTGCCTCTGACTTCACCTGGGTCCTGACGGTTCCTGCCATCTGGGATCCTTCAGCTAAACAGTTCATGAGAGAAGCTGCAACGCAGGTAACATCAGGTTTTACAGAAACCAATGAAGTTCTGAAATGTTCAGATGGATGAATGTTTGTCTTTTTGTAGGCAGGTATTGTAACAGAAGGAGATGAGGAAAAACTGGTGATGGCACTGGAACCAGAAGCTGCTTCAATCTGGTGTAAGAAGCTTCCATCAGATGGTTTCATCTCTGAGAAGCACAATGAAAAGTCACTGGATCAGTCTGCAGGGACTCAGTACATCGTTATTGACTGTGGAGGTAATGTGTCTGTCATTATATTATTGATTAATTCAGAAACATCTTTCCACAGAAGAACATGATCTGATATTAGTTTTTTTTTTTTTTTTTTTTGCTGTACACTCATCATCTTATTATGTGCCCTTTGCTACTACTGGGTTGGATCCCCTTTTGCCTTCAGAAATGCCTTAATACTTCACAGCTTAGATACTGGAAACATTCTTCGAGAGTCTCGTCCATATTGACCTGATGGCATCACACAGTTGCTACACATTTGTCATCTATGATGCGAATCTCCCGAAAAACTCTCTGTTGGATTGAGATCTGGTGACTGGAAGACATTCGAGTTCAGGGAACTCATTGTCATGTTCAAGAAAGCATTCTTAGATTATACACGCTTTACAACATTGCAAGTTATCCTGCTGGAAGTACCCATTGGAAGATGGGTACACTGTGGTAAAAAAGGGATAGACATTGTTAGAAGCAATACGCCGGTGGGCTGTGGCTTTGATGTGATGCTCAATTGGTTCTAATGGTCCCAAAGTGCACCAGGAAAATAACCTCACATCATTGCACCACCACCAACAGCAGCCTGAGCTGTCGATATAAGGCAAGGTGGATCCATGTTTTCATGTTGATGATGACAATTTTTTTTCTTTTTTGGACAATTCTGTGTAAACCCTGGATGGTTGTGCATGAATACACCAGCAGTTTCTAAAATACTCAGTCCGGACCATTGGGCACCAAAAACCATGTCACGTTCAAAGTCACATAAATCGCCTTTCTTTCTCAATCTGACGCTCGCTTTGAACTGCAGCAGATCATCTTGGCCACATCTGTGTGCCTAAATGTATGTAGTGATTTGCTGATTTGACATTCGCGTTAGCAGCTGGAAAAGTGTACAGTTATCAGTCAATGTATTTATGAACTAAAATGGCTGAAACTTGAATACTGTAAATGTGATTCTTTGGATTATTGAACCATTCTGTTCTATTATTCTCTCTGTTTATTTAAGGAGGAACTATTGACATCACTGTTCATGAAGTCCTGCATGGAGGATTCCTGAAGGAGCTGCACAAAGTCTCTGGAAATGATCTGGGAGGACAAACTGTAGACAGAAAGTTTAAGCAGTTTCTCAGAGAAATATTTCCTGAAGGAGTCTGGGATCAATTTGAACAAAACTCTCCCAGTGCAGCTCAGAAAGTTATGTATGAGTTTACCTACCTCAAACAGGTAGATAAAGATGTTCAGATTAGCTGCCCATTTGCACTGGGATCATTAGCTAAAGAAAAATCAGACACAGAAAACTTTGTTCAGTCAGAACTTGGTGTTTCCTGGGATGGTGATTTCATCAAAATCTCAAGAGACAAAATGAGATCTTTCTATGATCAAAGTCTGCAGGGCATCACTAAGAATCTCATGGAAATCTTCAACTGTGTTCTCAACATTAAGTACATCCTGTTAGTGGGTGGGTACGCTCAGAGTAAAATACTGCAGCAGCACATTACTGACCAGTTTGGACAACAGTGTAAAGTCCTGTGTCCTTTCAGAGCTCAGGAGGCGATTCTGAGGGGAGCTGTAGAGTTTGGTAGAAACCCAAACATTGTAGCTTCTCGGAAAAGTTCCTATACTTATGGATTTGCTGTTTGTGAAAAGTTTGATGAGAGCAAACATAAGGAAGGAAAGAAATTTACAGCCAAAGGTGTGGAATTGAGTCGAGATATTTTCAGGAAACTGGTGGAAGAAGGTGAAGATCTTGGCTGGGAGGAAACCAGAGAGTTCCTTTGTTCTCCAGCAAGAGAGGACCAGAAAGAGATGAAACTGAAATTCTTCCGCTCATTAAGAAAAGATCCAGTGTATGTAGATGACTGGGGAGTGGAAAAGCTTGGCTCATTTATTGTAGACATGACTGGAGGTGGTAAAGTCAAACTGGAAATTGACTTTGGCTCCACAGAGATAACAGCTACTGGGACAAACCAGATTAGTGGGGACAAACAAACAGTAAAAATTGACTTTATGACCAAAGACAGAGAATGTGTCATTGATGATGAGGAAGAAGATGCTGTCAGTGTTGGATCAAATACACCAAAACATTTAGAGGGCACTGATTAAAACATGCTAAGCCATAATGGTTGCCTTGATATTTTCTTTCTTCACACAGTCATTCAGTATGTGAATGACTTCAAGACATGGTAGTGAAATTTGGGATTTGAAAGAAATGTGCTGTCACTGTGTACATGAATGATCTCTTCACTTATTAATATTAAACATAAAAATTGGCAGCTGTTCCTCCCCTTTGTTTTAGCACTCAGTGGCAAAACACTAAACAATCAAGATGAAATCTTGTGAAAAACATGTTTTGCAGTCTCCTGGGCTAAATTTTCACCGAAAAATTTACAAGACCTCAAATGATAGTCAATACATGAATGATGGAGATAAGTTATTGTCTTTTTGAGAAACGCTTTTTTCTGACAAACCTTGCTCATATTTTACTCATATCGTAAATCCTACCCTAAATCAGTAGAAGTTAGAATGTCTTGGTAATAGTATCGTTTTAGTTTATATAATCAATGTGGTGGAGGTTTCTTTAAGTGTATAGTAACAATGGTGTAATTCAGGGGTCACCAACCTTTTTGAGACTGGGAGCTACTTCACGGGTACAGAGCAACACGAAGGGCTACTTGTTTGATACAGTCTATGTCAGGACTACTCACAATAGTTATCAGTAATAATTTACCATGGCAGCTATGGTTAATTGCTATTATGTGATCAGAAGTTCTTAGCTCACAGAGTTTTAAGTTTGATTCCCTTTTGGAGCTTTTTTCTGTGATTCTAAACTGGCCACAAGTGACTTAAATAAACAAAAGAAAACTGATGGATTGTTGCAGTAACACCTGCAGCTGTACAGCACTGAGTACCTTGAAATTTTCCTTTAAATAAAAAAAGAAAAGTTATTGTTTTATTATCTAACCATCTGTTCTATTAGCAATATTGTGTAAAATAAAATATATTTTGTGTCAAAACATATTATACACACACAGCTGTCAGTCTGAGGGTTGAGGGGGAACAACAAAGCCTCAGTCTAATTGATCAGTTTGCTTTTATTTATTTCACGGCTTTGCGTTTTTCTATAAGCTAAAAATGAACGAGTTGGGTTTGAACCTCCCATTGCTCTACGTTCAGCCTGAGCTTCTGACAGTCTGCGCGGTTCTGGCGGGTCGCCGGTTTATTAGCTTTTTTCGTGGTTTCGCGAACCGAACAGCTGACGGGTCACCCGCTGGCTGACACTAGCAGATGTCGAAAAGATAAAGGTCTGACACAAAACTATCACTGCACCTGACCAGCAAGAGCACAAACACTTCTCCAATGCGCAAAAATCAGCACAAACCTAAACCAAGAGCAGCGGACTTTTTTCCAGACGATGCTAAATAATAAAGACATGGAAGCGAAGCCTCCCCATGTGGTTCACGGAAAGAGGACGGTGTTGATTCCCAGATGTGCGCTACGAATAAAATGTTTTGGCACAATTTATTTAATTTTTCTTCACAATTTTGTTAATAGTAAATAGGGTTAAATAATGAAAACTTCAGAAGTTATTCTTTTCTTTCTTTACTTAAAGGAAAATGTGAAGGTATGCAGAGTGCAGCTGCAGGCGCTGCTGCGCTCCGATAGTTTCTGAACTTTAACAGCAGGAAAGAGTGTTATACGTAAAGCAATTTATTTGAAACATTTTTATCATTTCCCTCTTTTGAACTCTAAATATAAACAAACGTCATTACTTCAATGTAAAACCATTTAATTAAATTATATTTTTGGTAGTGCTCCCTAATGATAATGGCTATTTTTAGAAGTGGCTCCTCGGGCGACTGACAAGGTCCCTGCGGGCACCGGGTTGGTGACCCCTGTGTAATTAATATAATCATTTAAGCCAACAACTGAGAACAAATATAAAAATTAATATAGTTAATGTCTACATACTTGTAATTTTAGGGTCCACATAAATGCCACTCATTTTGGGAAAGCTTTGAATTTCAATAAAAAACAAATTGAATACTATCCTTCTGTCTGCCTTTTCTTTGTTATAGTATTAACATAAATTCAACAGTGGGATGTACAAAAGCCAAGATCAATCATTCCTGTAAAAAATGATTGTTTTGGAGAAAGCCCAGAAAAAAATGTTTCTTTTTTCCCTCTTCCATCATGCTCTTATAAATCTGTCTATAGATCTGCAGATGAATAAACCATAAGCAGAGCATAATGCTATCTGGCCATTAGAAGATATATGACATATTAGAAGATATATGAGTTATGGTTGATGTACCTGTAAAGGTCATGTGTACAAATTTACACTTATGATGTCAATGTTTGTATTTGGAGATACAAATACATGTTGGGCCTCCAGCCAACATATCTCTTACTGTAAGAGATAAATCGTTAAACCAGGGTTCTGGTATAAGGACCATTAATCCCACAATGCACCACATTAATGTACGTGCAGTTCCAACATCTGAACAGATCTACATATCTGTTCCTTAATAGATGTCCCTTAATTTTCTCCAGCTGATCTAGATCTAGAGTCAGCACACAGCTTCAGCTATTACAGCTAGAAACTAGAGATCAGAACCGGACTCTGTGATGGACTCTAACCTGAACCTTCAGAGCCACAGAAAGACGGTTGGCCTTCTACCTCCTGGATGGGAAGACCATCCATCGCTATGTTAGTAAACAGTAAGTTGTCTGATTACATTTATTACTGAACAAAAGGTGGAAGGAAAAACTTGAACTTTATAATAATCATGCTGGCCTTAATGAGAAAAACAGCAGGACAATTTTAAGATGACTGATCCTTAAGTATGGACTTACATTAGAAAAAGTCACAATTTTATTTATTATTAGGATGAGTTTAAACAGAAAGGTAGCAAAATCAAGAAACTGAAGACATTTCATTTGACCAGACAAAACTTGATCAGTCACCATCAGACAGAGATTAATTGTAATTCTATAGTGAATAATTTCACTCACACAACCTATACTACTATTTTACTACCAACACCTACAACTATTTTATTTGATAGAACAATACTGAGAAATAACATGAAAGCACAAAAAACCCAAAAGAATAATAAGAATTTACATTACATGCATTTTATTTCAAATGAATAACATTTGATCAGTATTTATTTATTGAAGCCTAATTTGTGCGTTCAGGAAACTAAAACTGTATGAAAGACAAGCATGCATAAATGCATGATGTCCCTTTTCTATTTATCCGAATCTTTTAGCGTTAGAGGGAAAATGTCCCAGGAGTTTTTCTTATAATCCTGAGTCTCCCAGTCTGGCTGAAGAGGCGGATTGTTTAAAGCGATCAAACAACCCAGCCAGTAGCACTCCGAGGTCAGACGTCTCAGATTCACCATCACATCCTCAGCTTTTTCACCTTCATATTTAGGAAAGGGACTCTGTTAAGGAGAAATTTGTCAAATGGACATTTTAAGACTTTTCAATTAAACTCCTTCATGTTTTTGTCCTGATTTACCTTCAGATGATCTTTGTTGCTGTGGAACAGAGCTAACTGCAGATTATGAACTGCTAGCTTTCTGTATCCTTCAACCTGGAACATATGAACCAGGAAGGTAAGACATATTGCTTCACTTCCTGTCTGCTTTTTGCACTCAGAAGAATAATTTTATTTTCTAAATGTTTTTTATTTGATCTGATCTCTGATCAGTGTGACACTAATACACTTATTTTATTATTCTGATTGTTTCCAGTTTCTTGAATTTTAACCTATTATATTTTTGTTATTAATTTCAAGCATGGCCTTCTTGTAAGATGGATCCTTCTTTTCAAAGTAGTTTTTATTTTATGCTGAATCTGATAATAGAAATTAATTATTTAGTAAACAACTGGATTAATTTAAATTGTACTTGTATAGCATTGGATTAAATTTTAGACCTCTTGATATGAACTGAACCTGTTAGTCCCTGAAGGCCCCTGTACAGGAGGCAGCAGCACGTTGGCTAAAAGTCTCTTTAAGGCTTTGCTAATTGCTAATCGCTAATTGCTAATTCACATTTGATGTACATTAGGATGATATGAATAAAATGTACCAATCAGAGCTGATGCAGTTGAGAAAACGGTCCTAAGGTTGAATACCTTTTGATTTTTCTGGCCACCGCTGGACTCAGTTGATCTAAAAGTTTCCTCTATTTGCTGCTTTTTTCTTGTCATTTCTTCTGCTGCTTCTTTAAAGGTTTTCTGCAACAGTGTGTTGGAATGTTATACAAAGAAAAAACAAATTTAAATCAAAAGGCATCCAAGCAAAAACAACAATCTCAGTTTACCTGAACCAAAGCCCTTATAAACTCTGGACTGGTTGTAATGGATTTCAGATGATCTTTGATTCCAGTCCACTTCTCCAGCTTTAGATTCTTATACAATTCAGTCAGTCTGGTTTTACTGACCGGGTCATTCATGCTCTCAGTGTCTCCTGTCTTTATTGAAACAGCCATGTCTTGTGCCAGTCTGTCAAAATAAAATATGCAGTTTACTAAAAAATATTTCCTCCCTGGATTTAATGAGACATCAACGATTCTTTGTGAATGGATACAGTACCTGCCTTTCAGTGATTCCAATTCCTTCTTTAACTTTCTAATAGCTGACCTGCAGAAAATACAAATTAAAGAATTAAAAATTAATGCTTTTCAAACTTTGTGTATAGTTTTCATTGTCAATATTTCTTATAGAAAGAAGTTGAAAAGAAGCCTAGGCGTAAATTCAAACTGGAAGACTCTTTAGCTCCACCTGCATCTAATCTGCGCATCCCACTAATCACCGACGACCTATCATCGCTGGACCTAGCCATGTCGCAGCCAATCACCGACCATGCCCCAGTTGATAAGGAAGTCCATCCAAGGCGTCTTCCGCTTCGCTGCTGCGTTCAACCCACCTCCACCCCTTTTCCACCTCCACTGTCCAGGCTCCCAGGCATACTTCATTCACCGACCTCCACCACCAGTATCGGGTCCCGGGGGACGACATTCCTATCAGCATCGGGAATGCTCATCCGAGCTCATCGCAATCACAGCTCGATGTCCTTAGCCGGGGCCCGAGCGCCAAAGACTTAATTTATGCGTGTCAATAAACTTTTCTAATTGCTTTCTTTCTGTGTCTGAGTCTCTCCAGATTGAACTGGTTTTGTGTAGATAACCAAGCAGCCGATTGTTGAAAAATGTTCAACCTCATGTAACCCAACCCGATCATAAAAAACAAATGTCAAATAATATTAACTACATATCTTATATTCTATTTAATGTTAGATTTCTTTTTCAAATGAATAAATAGTTTTGTGCATGTACAATGTCTGTCAGATATATACATTCTGTTTTATTACTTATCTGTGTGGGTTTATATATTTGTTTTGCAATCAGATAAATAAACCCATACATTTTGGAGCTTTCAATGTGCATAAATCTGTGAAAACAGTTTTGATTTTGCTCTTTCATTTTCTGACATAATTGCATATCTTCATGAAGACATGCATAAATGGGTTAGATCTCGAAGGACTTAACCAGTTGGCTCAGATCTCATGTGATGAATTACAGAAGAAATTCTGGATGGACGTCTCATGCAGCGTTGATTTCTGACTCCTCAAATTTGCCACTTGAACAATGTTTAAATATTCCCATAATTTCACTCCTGAAAGCACTGAAAAAGCATTAAGAGTTGTGGCTGATACTTTGCATCACTTTGCTAAAAGGATGAAAGTTATTAATTTAAGGCATCTAATACTTTGTTTCTTAAACTTTTCCAAGGTGAAATGTAAAGCAACTTAATGGATTTAAAGGTAACAACCACAGAAAACCCACATCGGGCTGAAAGTCGCATCGTTCAAAGCGTAGGAAAAAAGTAGCAGCTTATACTCCGAAAAATACTGTACAATGTCTTTGGTAGATTTTGTTGATACATTACATGATGCACAATACTCACTCTTTCTTTTTAAGTTCTCCTTTGTAATATTCCTCCATCTGTTTCAGACTGGGTTAAAGACAAAAACTTTGTTTACAGAAGAGTCGAGAAATACATTTAGAAAATAAACATTGTAATTGAATTTATAAAAACACAATACATAATCACACAAAGATCAGATCTACTGTTTTTGTTATTTCTTTTATTGCTCATAAAATGTCAAAATAAACCATTTAGGGCTCTTATTTTTGTGCAATTCTTTTGGTTCAGCATTAATTCCTCTTAAACTAAGTTCTGCTGTCAGAAGGTTAGTTATGCTGCAAAATCTGGTATTTTGAAATCGCTAAAGAAAATAAATAACATCTTTGAACAGAAGTTTTTGAAACCAATAAACATAAAATGAATATTAGTTAGAAATAACACAGTAAAGAAAAGCATGGTGCAGAAAAGCTATGAAGAAATGTGATTTTTGCTCAGATAATACAGAAGAAAATGTACAAAGAAACTAGTCACCTCAGCTTAAAACCAATATTTAAAAAAATCTTTATCAACTAAGCTTTCTTGGTGTTTACACTTATATTTTTATTTTAAGATTTTGTTTTAGAAATTATTTATTCAATCTAAATTGTTTCTTAAAATTGGTCAAATATTTATCTGCTTCCAGGTGTATTTTCTTTATTTTTGGTTGAAAGACTTCTACAACGTAAACATGATATTATTTCAGATTGTTTATTGTTGTTATAAACAATAATAAATCAACAGAAAAAACATTGAGACATGTTAAATCAAAATATGAATATTTCTTACTGATCGCTTTGCTCTTTGTTGGTTTCTTCCTTGTTGTCTTCAGACCTGTTTAAGATGTTTATTAATGAGCTTTTTCTCTAAAATTTGTCAAACATCCTCAAACTTTTGATCTTACCAAGGGATTATAATCATTTTACACATTTCATACCTGCTTTGAACTGGTTTATTGTCACTTTTTGCCTTGGCGATCACTGTGGATTAAAGAAATTATACTGAGAAAATAGCAAATCATCAAGAGAGCAAAACTTTAATTAGGCCGTTAGACATTTTAAAGTTTGTCTTGTCTTATAAAATCATGTTATAAAAATACATACTTCTCTTCCTGATGTTTATTTTCTGCTTCCTCTGTCTCAGCAGACCTGTTCACAACATGTTTCATTAATTTCAAGGAAATGTTTCTTAAATTCTCCAATCTGTTTTTGGGATAATATTCATTCAACCAATATTTTACAAAATCAGTCAAACAATTACCTGCTTCCAGGTGTGTTTTCTTTATTTTTGGTTGAAAGATTTCTACAGAGTAAACATGATATTAGTTAAAATTGTTTGTTGTTGTTTTATAGCAGGTAATGAATAAACAGAGGAAACAATTTTAAAATATGAATATTTCTTACTGATCGCTTTGCTCTTTGTTGGTTTCTTCCTTGTTGTCTTCAGACCTGTTTAAGATGCTTATTAATTAGCTTTTTCTCTAAAATTTGTCAACATCCTCAAAGTTTTGATCTTACCAAGGGATTATAATCATTTTACACATTTCATACCTGCTTTGAACTGGATTATTGTCACTTTTTTTGCCTTGGCGATCACTATGGATTAAAGAAATTATACTGAGAAAATACCAAATCATCAAGAGAGCAAAACTTTAATTAGGCCATTAGACATTTTAAAGTTTGTCTTGTCTTATAAAATCATGTTTATAAAAATACATACTTCTCTTCCTGATGTTTATTTTCTGCTTCCTCTGTCTCAGCAGGCCTGTTCACAACATGTTTCATTAATTTCAAGGAAATGTTTCTTAAATTCTCCAAACTGTTTTTGGGATAATATTCATTCAACCAATATTTTACAAAATCAGTCAAAAAATTACCTGCTTCCAGGTGTTTTTCTTTATTTCATTTGAAAGACTTCTACAGAGTAAACATGATATTAGTTAAAATAGTTTATTGTTTGTTTTATAGCAGGTAATGAATCAACAGAGGAAACAATTTTAAAATATGAATATTTCTTACTGATCGCTTTGCTCTTTGTTGGTTTCTTCCTTATTGTCTTCAGACCTGTTTAAGATGTTTATTATTTAGATTTTTCTCTAAAATTTGTCAACATCCTCAAACTTTTGATCTTACCAAGGGATTATAATCATTTTACACATTTCATACCTGCTTTGAACTGGTTTATTGTCACTTTTTTTGCCTTGGCGATCACTATGGATTAAATAAATTATACTGAGAAAATAGCAAATCATCAAGAGAGCAAACTTTAATTAGGCCGTTAGAAATCTTTAAGTTTGTCTTGTCTTATAAAATCATGTTTATAAAAATACATACTTCTCTTCCTGGTGTTTATTTTCTGCTTTCTCTGTCTCAGCAGGCCTGTTCACAACATGTTTCATTAATTTCAAGGAAATGTTTCTTAAATTCTCCAAACTGTTTTTGGATAATATTCATTCAACCAATATTTTACAAAATCAGTCAAAAAATTACCTGCTTCCAGGTGTGTTTTCTTTATTTTCATTTGAAAGACTTCTACAGAGTAAACATGATATTAGTTAAAATAGTTTATTGTTGTTTTATAGCAGGTAATGAATCAACAGAGGAAACAATTTTAAAATATGAATATTTCTTACTGATCGCTTTGCTCTTTGTTGGTTTCTTCCTTGTTGTCTTCAGACCTGTTTAAGATGCTTATTAATTAGCTTTTTCTCTAAAATTTGTCAACATCCTCAAACTTTTGATCTTACCAAGGGATTAATCATTTTACACATTTCATACCTGCTTTGAACTGGTTTATTGTCACTTTTTTTGCCTTGTCGATCACTGTGGATTAAAGAAATTATACTGAGAAAGTCCCAAATCATCAAGAGAGCAAAACTTTAATTAGGCCGTTAGACATTTTAAAGTTTGTCTTGTCTTATAAAATTATATTTATAAAAATACATACTTCTCTTCCTGGTGTTTATTTTCTGCTTCCTCTGTCTCAGCAGGCCTGTTCACAACATGTTTCATTAATTTCAAGGAAATGTTTCTAAATTCTCCAATCTGTTTTTGGGATAATATTCATTCAACCAATATTTTACAAAATCAGTCAAACAATTACCTGCTTCCAGGTGTATTTTCTTTATTTTCATTTGAAAGACTTCTACAGAGTAAACATGATATTAGTTGAAATTGTTTGTTGTTGTTTTATAGCATGTAATGAATCAACAGAGGAAACAATTTTAAAATATGAATATTTCTTACTGATCGCTTTGCTCTTTGTTGGTTTCTTCCTTGTTGTCTTCAGACCTGTTTTAAGATGCTTATTAATTAGCTTTTTCTCTAAAATTTGTCAACATCCTCAAAGTTTTGATCTTACCAAGGGATTATAATCATTTTACACATTTCATACCTGCTTTGAACTGGTTTATTGTCACTTTTCTTGCCTTGTCGATCACTGTGGATTAAAGAAATTATACTGAGAAAATACCAAATCATCAAGAGAGCAAAACTTTAATTAGGCCGTTAGACATTTTAAAGTTTGTCTTGTCTTATAAAATCATGTTTATAAAAATACATACTTCTCTTCCTGATGTTTATTTTCTGCTTCCTCTGTCTCAGCAGGCCTGTTCACAACATGTTTCATTAATTTCAAGGAAATGTTTCTTAAATTCTCCAAACTGTTTTTGGGATAATATTCATTCAACCAATATTTTACAAAATCAGTCAAAAATTACCTGCTTCCAGGTGTATTTTCTTTATTTTCATTTGAAAGACTTCTACAGAGTAAACATGATATTAGTTAAAATAGTTTATTGTTGTTTTATAGCAGGTAATGAATCAACAGAGGAAACAATTTTAAAATATGAATATTTCTTACTGATCGCTTTGCTCTTTGTTGGTTTCTTCCTTATTGTCTTCAGACCTGTTTAAGATGTTTATTATTTAGATTTTTCTCTAAAATTTGTCAACATCCTCAAAGTTTTGATCTTACCAAGGATTATAATCATTTTACACATTTCATACCTGCTTTGAACTGGTTTATTGTCACTTTTTTTGCCTTGGCGATCACTATGGATTAAATAAATTATACTGAGAAAATAGCAAATCATCAAGAGAGAGCAAAACTTTAATTAGGCCGTTAGAAATCTTTAAGTTTGTCTTGTCTTATAAAATCATGTTTATAAAAATACATACTTCTCTTCCTGGTGTTTATTTTCTGCTTTCTCTGTCTCAGCAGGCCTGTTCACAACATGTTTCATTAATTTCAAGGAAATGTTTCTTAATTCTCCAAACTGTTTTTTGGGATAATATTCATTCAACCAATATTTTACAAAATCATCAAAAAATTACCTGCTTCCAGGTGTATTTTCTTTATTTTTCATTTGAAGACTTCTACAGAGTAAACATGATATTAGTTAAAATAGTTTATTGTTTGTTTTATAGCAGGTAATGAATCAACAGAGGAAACAATTTTAAAATATGAATATTTCTTACTGATCGCTTTGCTCTTTGTTGGTTTCTTCCTTATTGTCTTCAGACCTGTTTAAGATGTTTATTATTTAGATTTTTCTCTAAAATTTGTCAACATCCTCAAAAGTTTTGATCTTACCAAGGGATTATAATCATTTTACACATTTCATACCTGCTTTGAACTGGTTTATTGTCACTTTTTTTGCCTTGGCGATCACTATGGATTAAATAAATTATACTGAGAAAATACCAAATCATCAAGAGAGCAAAACTTTAATTAGGCCGTTAGAAATCTTTAAGTTTGTCTTGTCTTATAAAATCATGTTTATAAAAATACATACTTCTCTTCCTGGTGTTTATTTTCTGCTTTCTCTGTCTCAGCAGGCCTGTTCACAACATGTTTCATTAATTTCAAGGAAATGTTTCTTAAATTCTCCAAACTGTTTTTGGGATAATATTCATTCAACCAATATTTTACAAAATCAGTCAAACAATTACCTGCTTCCAGGTGTATTTTCTTTATTTTCATTTGAAAGACTTCTACAGAGTAAACATGATATTAGTTAAAATAGTTTATTGTTGTTTTATAGCAGTTAATGAATAAACAGAGGAAACAATTTTAAAATATGAATATTTCTTACTGATCGCTTTGCTCTTTGTTGGTTTCTTCCTTGTTGTCTTCAGACCTGTTTAAGATGCTTATTAATTAGCTTTTTCTCTAAAATTTGTCAACATCCTCAAACTTTTGATCTTACCAAGGGATTATAATCATTTTACACATTTCATACCTGCTTTGAACTGGATTATTGTCACTTTTTTTGCCTTGTCGATCACTGTGGATTAAAGAAATTATACTGAGAAAGTCCCAAATCATCAAGAGAGCAAACTTTAATTAGGCCGTTAGACATTTTAAAGTTTGTCTTGTCTTATAAAATTATATTTATAAAAATACATACTTCTCTTCCTGATGTTTATTTTCTGCTTCCTCTGTCTCAGCAGGCCTGTTCACAACATGTTTCATTAATTTCAAGGAAATGTTTCTAAATTCTCCAAACTGTTTTGGGATAATATTCATTCAACCAATATTTTACAAAATCAGTCAAACAATTACCTGCTTCCAGGTGTATTTTCTTTATTTTCATTTGAAACTTCTACAGAGTAAAATTATATTAGTTAAAATAGTTTGTTGTTGTTTTATAGCAGGTAATGAATAAACAGAGGAAACAATTTTAAAATATGAATATTTCTTACTGATCGCTTTGCTCTTTGTTGGTTTCTTCCTTGTTGTCTTCAGACCTGTTTAAGATGTTTATTAATGAGCTTTTTCTCTAAAATTTGTCAACACCCTCAAAGTTTTGATCTTACCAAGGGATTATAATCATTTTACAAATTTCATACCTGCTTTGATCTGGATTATTGTCACTTTTTTTGCCTTGTCGATCACTGTGGATTAAAGAAAGTATACTGAGACAATACCAAATCATCAAGAGAGCAAAACTTTAATTAGGCCGTTAGAAATCTTTAAGTTTGTCTTGTCTTATAAAATCATGTTTATAAAAATACATACTTCTCTTCCTGATGTTTATTTTCTGCTTCCTCTGTCTCAGCAGGCCTGTTCACAACATGTTTCATTAATTTCAAGGAAATGTTTCTAAAATTCTCCAATCTGTTTTTGGGATAATATTCATTCAATCAATATTTTACAAAATCAGTCAAAAAATTACCTGCTTCCAGGTGTGTTTCTTTATTTTCATTTGAAAGACTTCTACAGAGTAAAATTATATTAGTTGAAATTGTTTGTTGTTGTTTTATAGCAGGTAATGAATCAACAGAGGAAACAATTTTAAAATATGAATATTTCTTACTGATCGCTTTGCTCTTTGTTGTTTTCTTCCTTGTTGTCTTCAGACCTGTTTAAGATGTTTATTATTTAGATTTTTCTCTAAAATTTGTCAACATCCTCAAAAGTTTTGATCTTACCAAGGGATTATAATCATTTTACACATTTCATACCTGCTTTGAACTGTTTATTGTCACTTTTTTTGCCTTGTCGATCACTGTGGATTAAAGAAAGTATACTGAGAAAATAGCAAATCATCAAGAGAGCAAAACTTTAATTAGGCCGTTAGAAATCTTTAAGTTTGTCTTGTCTTATAAAATCATGTTTATAAAAATACATACTTCTCTTCCTGATGTTTATTTTCTGCTTCCTCTGTCTCAGCAGGCCTGTTCACAACATGTTTCATTAATTTCAAGGAAATGTTTCTTAAATTCTCCAAACAGTTTTTGGGATAATATTCATTCAATCAATATTTTACAAAATCAGTCAAACAATTACCTGCTTCCAGGTGTATTTTCTTTATTTTCATTTGAAAGACTTCTACAGAGTAAAATTATATTAGTTAAAATAGTTTGTTGTTGTTTTATAGCATGTAATGAATCAACAGAGGAAACAATTTTAAAATATGAATATTTCTTACTGATCGCTTTGCTCTTTGTTGGTTTCTTCCTTGTTGTCTTCAGAACTGTTTAAGATGCTTATTAATTAGCTTTTTCTCTAAAATTTGTCAACATCCTCAAACTTTTGATCTTACCAAGGGATTATAATCATTTTACACATTTCATACCTGCTTTGAACTGTTTTATTGTCACTTTTTTTGCCTTGTCGATCACTATGGATTAAAGAAATTATACTGAGAAAATACCAAATCATCAAGAGAGCAAAACTTTAATTAGGCCGTTAGAAATCTTTAAGTTTGTCTTGTCTTATAAAATCATGTTTATAAAAATACATACTTCTCTTCCTGATGTTTATTTTCTGCTTCCTCTGTCTCAGCAGGCCTGTTCACAACATGTTTCATTAATTTCAAGGAATGTTTCTTAAATTCTCCAATCTGTTTTTGGGATAATATTCAATCAATCAATAATATTTCTTGAATTTGGTCAAAAAATTACCTGCTTCCAGGTGTGTTTTCTTTATTTTCATTTGAAAGACTTCTACAGAGTAAAATTATATTAGTTAAAATAGTTTATTGTTGTTTTATAGCAGGTAATGAATAAACAGAGGAAACAATTTTAAAATATGAATATTTCTTACTGATCGCTTTGCTCTTTGTTGGTTTCTTCCTTGTTGTCTTCAGACCTGTTTAAGATGCTTATTAATTAGCTTTTTCTCTAAAATTTGTCAACATCCTCAAAGTTTTGATCTTACCAAGGGATTATAATCATTTTACACATTTCATACCTGCTTTGAACTGGATTATTGTCACTTTTTTTGCCTTGTCGATCACTGTGGATTAAAGAAATTATACTGAGAAAATACCAAATCATCAAGAGAGCAAAACTTTAATTAGGCCGTTAGACATTTTAAAGTTTTTCTTGTCTCATAAAATCATGTTTATAAAAATACATACTTCTCTTCCTGGTGTTTATTTTCTGCTTTCTCTGTCTCAACATGTTTCATTAATTTCAAGGAAATGTTTCTTAAATTCTCCAATCTGTTTTTGGGATAATATTCATTCAACCAATATTTTACAAAATCAGTCAAACAATTACCTGCTTCCAGGTGTATTTTCTTTATTTTCATTTGAAAGATTTCTACAGAGTAAACATGATATTAGTTAAAATAGTTTATTGTTGTTTTATAGCATGTAATGAATAAACAGAGGAGACATTGAGACATGTTAAATCAAATATCAATATTTCTTACTCATCGCTTTGCTCTTTGTTGGTTTCTTCTTTCATGTCTTCAACTGTTGAAAATATTTATTATTTAGATTTTTGTCTAAAATTGACCAACATTCTTAAACCTTTTAATTTTGGTAATGAAATATGATAATTTTCTACAATTTTTAAAAAGAATTTATACCTTTGTTTAGCACTGTTTTGGTCAGGATCATTACTGTGGATCAGAAAAAATGACATTAAGAAAGTTCCAAATCATCAAGAGAGCAAAACTTTAATTAGGCCGTTAGACATTTTAAAGTTTGTCTTGTCTTATAAAATCATGTTTATAAAAATACAAACTTCTCTTCCTGGTGTTTATTTTCTGCTTCCTCTGTCTCAGCAGGCCTGTTCACAACATGTTTCATTAATTTCAAGGAAATGTTTCTAAAATTCTCCAATCTGTTTTTGGGATAATATTCATTCAATCAATATTTTACAAATCAGTCAAACAATTACCTGCTTCCAGGTGTGTTTTCTTTATTTTCATTTGAAAGACTTCTACAGAGTAAAATTATATTAGTTAAAATTGTTTGTTGTTGTTTTATAGCAGGTAATGAATCAACAGAGGAAACAATTTTAAAATATGAATATTTCTTACTGATCGCTTTGCTCTTTGTTGTTTTCTTCCTTGTGTCTTCAGACCTGTTTAAGATGTTTATTAATGAGATTTTTCTCTAAAATTTGTCAACATCCTCAAAGTTTTGATCTTACCAAGGGATTATAATCATTTTACACATTTCATACCTGCTTTGAACTGGATTATTGTCACTTTTTTTGCCTTGTCGATCACTGTGGATTAAAGAAATTATACTGAGAAAATACCAAATCATCAAGAGAGCAAAACTTTAATTAGGCCGTTAGACATTTTAAAGTTTGTCTTGTCTTATAAAATCATGTTTATAAAAAATACATACTTCTCTTCCTGGTGTTTATTTTCTGCTTCCTCTGTCTCAGCAGGCTGTTCACAACATGTTTCATTAATTTCAAGGAAATGTCTCTAAAATTCTCCAATCTGTTTTTGAGATAAGATTCATTCAATCAATAATATTTCTTGAATTTGGTCAAAAAATTACCTGCTTCCAGTGTATTTTCTTTATTTTCATTTGAAAGACTTCTACAGAGTAAAATTATATTATTTAAAATGGTTTGTTGCTGTTTTATAGCAGGTAATGAATAAACAGAGGAAACAATTTTAAAATATGAATATTTCTTACTGATCGCTTTGCTCTTTGTTGGTTTCTTCCTTGTTGTCTTCAGACCTGTTTAAGATGTTTATTAATGAGCTTTTTCTCTAAAATTTGTCAACATCCTCAAAGTTTTGATCTTACCAAGGGAATATAATCATTTTACACATTTCATACCTGCTTTGAACTGGATTATTGTCACTTTTTTTGCCTTGTCGATCACTGTGGATTAAAGAAATTATACTGAGAAAATAGCAAATCATCAAGAGAGCAAAACTTTAATTAGGCCGTTAGACATTTTAAAGTTTTCTTGTCTCATAAAATCATGTTTATAAAAATACATACTTCTTTCCTGGTGTTTATTTTCTGCTTTCTCTGTCTCAACATGTTTCATTAATTTCAAGGAAATGTTTCTAAAATTCTCCAATCTGTTTTTGGGATAATATCATTCAACCAATATTTTACAAAATCAGTCAAAAAAATTACCTGCTTCCAGGTGTATTTTCTTTATTTTCATATGAAAGATTTCTACAGAGTAAACATGATATTAGTTAAATAGTTTGTTGTTTTATAGCAGGTAATGAATCAACAGAGGAGACATTGAGACATGTTAAATCAAAATATCAATATTTCTTACTCATCGCTTTGCTCTTTGTTGGTTTCTTTCATGTCTTCAACACTGTTGAAAATATTTATTATTTAGATTTTGTCTAAAATTGACCAACATTCTTAAACCTTTTAATTTTGGTAATGAAATATGATAATTTTCTACAATTTTTTAAAAAGATTTTATACCTGCTTTGTTTATCACTGTTTTGGTCAGGATCATTACTGTGGATCAGAAAAATGACATTAAGAATGTTCCAAATCATCAAGAGAGCAAAACTTTAATTAGGCCGTTAGACATTTAAAGTTTGTCTTGTCTTATAAAATCATGTTTATAAAAATACAAACTTCTCTTCCTGGTGTTTATTTTCTGCTTTCTCTGTCTCAGCAGCCTGTTCACAACATGTTTCATTAATTTCAAAGGAAATGTTTCTTAAATTCTCCAAACAGTTTTTGGGATAATATTCATTCAACCAATATTTTACAAAATCACAAACAATTACCTGCTTCCAGGTGTATTTTTCTTTATTTTCATTTGAAAGACTACAGAGTAAAATTATATTAGTTAAAATAGTTTGTTGTTGTTTTATAGCATGTAATGAATCAACAGAGGAAACAATTTTAAAATATGAATATTTCTTACTGATCGCTTTGCTCTTTGTTGGTTTCTTCCTTGTTGTCTTCAGACCTGTTTAAGATGCTTATTAATTAGCTTTTTCTCTAAAATTTGTCAACATCCTCAAAGTTTTGATCTTACCAAGGGATTATAATCATTTTACACATTTCATACCTGCTTTGAACTGTTTTATTGTCACTTTTTTTGCCTTGTCGATCACTATGGATTAAAGAAATGATACTGAGAAAATACCAAATCATCAAGAGAGCAAAACTTTAATTAGGCCGTTAGAAATCTTTAAGTTTGTCTTGTCTTATAAAATCATGTTTATAAAAATACATACTTCTCTTCCTGATGTTTATTTTCTGCTTCCTCTGTCTCAGCAGGCCTGTTCACAACATGTTTCATTAATTTCAAGGAAATGTTTCTTAAATTCTCCAATCTGTTTTTGGGATAATATTCAATCAATCAATAATATTTCTTGAATTTGGTCAAAAAATTACCTGCTTCCAGGTGTGTTTTCTTTATTTTCATTTGAAAGACTTCTACAGAGTAAAATTATATTAGTTAAAATAGTTTATTGTTGTTTTATAGCAGTTAATGAATAAACAGAGGAAACAATTTTAAAATATGAATATTTCTTACTGATCGCTTTGCTCTTTGTTGGTTTCTTCCTTGTTGTCTTCAGACCTGTTTAAGATGTTTATTAATTAGCTTTTTCTCTAAAATTTGTCAACATCCTCAAACTTTTGATCTTACCAAGGGATTATAATCATTTTACACATTTCATACCTGCTTTGAACTGGTTTATTGTCACTTTTTTTGCCTTGTCGATCACTGTGGATTAAAGAAATTATACTGAGAAAATAGCAAATCATCAAGAGAGCAAAACTTTAATTAGGCCGTTAGACATTTTAAAGTTTTTCTTGTCTTATAAAATCATGTTTATAAAAATACATACTTCTCTTCCTGGTGTTTATTTTCTGCTTCCTCTGTCTCAGCAGGCCTGTTCACAACATGTTTCATTAATTTCAAGGAAATGTTTCTTAAATTCTCCAATCTGTTTTTGGGATAATATTCATTCAACCAATATTTTACAAAATCAGTCAAACAATTACCTGCTTCCAGGTGTATTTTCTTTATTTTCATTTGAAAGATTTCTACAGAGTAAACATGATATTAGTTAAAATAGTTTATTGTTGTTTTATAGCATGTAATGAATAAACAGAGGAGACATTGAGACATGTTAAATCAAAATATCAATATTTCTTACTCATCGCTTTGCTCTTTGTTGGTTTCTTCTTTCATGTCTTCAACACTGTTGAAAATATTTATTATTTAGATTTTTGTCTAAAATTGACCAACATTCTTAAACCTTTTAATTTTGGTAATGAAATATGATAATTTTCTACAATTTTTAAAAAGAATTTATACCTGCTTTGTTTAGCACTGTTTTGGTCAGGATCATTACTGTGGATCAGAAAAATGACATTAAGAAAGTTCCAAATCATCAAGAGAGCAAAACTTTAATTAGGCCGTTAGACATTTTAAAGTTTGTCTTGTTTTATAAAATCATGTTTATAAAAATACAAACTTCTCTTCCTGGTGTTTATTTTCTGCTTCCTCTGTCTCAGCAGGCCTGTTCACAACATGTTTCATTAATTTCAAGGAAATGTTTCTAAAATTCTCCAAACTGTTTTTGGGATAATATTCATTCAATCAATATTTTACAAAATCAGTCAAACAATTACCTGCTTCCAGGTGTATTTTCTTTATTTTCATTTGAAAGACTTCTACAGAGTAAAATTATATTAGTTAAAATGGTTTGTTGCTGTTTTATAGCAGGTAATGAATAAACAGAGGAAACAATTTTAAAATATGAATATTTCTTACTGATCGCTTTGCTCTTTGTTGGTTTCTTCCTTGTTGTCTTCAGACCTGTTTAAGATGTTTATTAATGAGCTTTTTCTCTAAAATTTGTCAACATCCTCAAAGTTTTGATCTTACCAAGGGAATATAATCATTTTACACATTTCATACCTGCTTTGAACTGGATTATTGTCACTTTTTTTGCCTTGTCGATCACTGTGGATTAAAGAAATTATACTGAGAAAATAGCAAATCATCAAGAGAGCAAAACTTTAATTAGGCCGTTAGACATTTTAAAGTTTTTCTTGTCTCATAAAATCATGTTTATAAAAATACATACTTCTCTTCCTGGTGTTTATTTTCTGCTTTCTCTGTCTCAACATGTTTCATTAATTTCAAGGAAATGTTTCTTAAATTCTCCAATCTGTTTTTGGGATAATATTCATTCAACCAATATTTTACAAAATCAGTCAAACAATTACCTGCTTCCAGGTGTATTTTCTTTATTTTCATATGAAAGATTTCTACAGAGTAAACATGATATTAGTTAAAATAGTTTGTTGTTTTATAGCAGGTAATGAATCAACAGAGGAGACATTGAGACATGTTAAATCAAAATATCAATATTTCTTACTCATCGCTTTGCTCTTTGTTGGTTTCTTCTTTTATGTCTTCAACACTGTTGAAAATATTTATTATTTAGATTTTTGTCTAAAATTGACCAACATTCTTAAACCTTTTAATTTTGGTAATGAAATATGATAATTTTCTACAATTTTTAAAAAGATTTTATACCTGCTTTGTTTATCACTGTTTTGGTCAGGATTATTACTGTGGATCAGAAAAATGACATTAAGAAAGTTCCAAATCATCAAGAGAGCAAAACTTTAATTAGGCCGTTAGACATTTTAAAGTTTGTCTTGTCTTATAAAATCATGTTTATAAAAATACATACTTCTCTTCCTGGTGTTTATTTTCTGCTTTCTCTGTCTCAGCAGACCTGTTCACAACATGTTTCATTAATTTCAAGGAAATGTTTCTTAAATTCTCCAAACTGTTTTTGGGATAATATTCATTCAGCCAATATTTTACAAAATCAGTCAAACAATTACCTGCTTCCAGGTGTATTTTCTTTATTTTCATTTGAAAGACTTCTACAGAGTAAAATTATATTAGTTAAAATTGTTTGTTGTTGTTTTATAGCAGGTAATGAATCAACAGAGGAAACAATTTTAAAATATGAATTTCTTACTGATCGCTTTGCTCTTTGTTGGTTTCTTCCTTGTTGTCTTCAGACCTGTTTAAGATGTTTATTAATGAGCTTTTTCTCTAAAATTTGTCAACATCCTCAAAAGTTTTGATCTTACCAAGGGATTATAATCATTTTACACATTTCATACCTGCTTTGAACTGGTTTATTGTCACTTTTTTTGCCTTGGCGATCACTATGGATTAAAGAAATTATACTGAGAAAATACCAAATCATCAAGAGAGCAAAACTTTAATTAGGCCGTTAGAAATCTTTAAGTTTGTCTTGTCTTATAAAATCATGTTTATAAAAATACATACTTCTCTTCCTGATGTTTATTTTCTGCTTCCTCTGTCTCAGCAGGCCTGTTCACAACATGTTTCATTAATTTCAAGGAAATGTTTCTAAAATTCTCCAAACTGTTTTTGGGATAATATTCATTCAGTCAATAATATTTCTTGAATTTGGTCAAATATTTACCTGCTCTCAGGTGTATTTTCTTTATTTTCATTTGAAAGACTTCTACAGAGTAAAATTATATTAGTTAAAATGGTTTGTTGTTGTTTTATAGCATGTAATGAATCAACAGAGGAAACAATTTTAAAATATGAATATTTCTTACTGATCGCTTTGCTCTTTGTTGTTTTCTTCCTTGTTGTCTTCAGACCTGTTTAAGATGTTTATTAATGAGCTTTTTCTCTAAAATTTGTCAACATCCTCAAACTTTTGATCTTACCAAGGGAATATAATCATTTTACACATTTCATACCTGCTTTGAACTGGATTATTGTCACTTTTTTTGCCTTGTCGATCACTGTGGATTAAAGAAATTATACTGAGAAAATACCAAATCATCAAGAGAGCAAAACTTTAATTAGGCCGTTAGACATTTTAAAGTTTTTCTACTCTCATAAAATCATGTTTATAAAAATACATACTTCTCTTCCTGGTGTTTATTTTCTGCTTTCTCTGTCTCAGCAGGCCTGTTCACAACATGTTTCATTAATTTCAAGGAAATGTTTCTTAAATTCTCCAATCTGTTTTTGGGATAATATTCATTCAATCAATATTTTACAAAATCAGTCAAACAATTACCTGCTTCCAGGTGTATTTTCTTTATTTTCATATGAAAGATTTCTACAGAGTAAACATGATATTAGTTAAAATAGTTTATTGTTGTTTTATAGCAGGTAATGAATCAACAGAGGAGACATTGAGACATGTTAAATCAAAATATCAATATTTCTTACTCATCGCTTTGCTCTTTGTTGGTTTCTTCTTTTATGTCTTCAACACTGTTGAAAATATTTATTATTAAGATTTTTTTCTAAAATTAACCAACATTCTTAAACCTTTTAATTTTGGTAATGAAATATGATAATTTTCTACAATTTTTAAAAAGATTTTATACCTGCTTTGTTTATCACTGTTTTGGTCAGGATCATTACTGTGGATCAGAAAAATGACATTAAGAAAGTTCCAAATCATCAAGAGAGCAAAACTTTAATTAGGCCGTTAGACATTTTAAAGTTTTTCTTGTTTTATAAAATCATGTTTATAAAAATACATACTTCTCTTCCTGGTGTTTATTTTCTGCTTTCTCTGTCTCAGCAGGCCTGTTCACAACATGTTTCATTAATTTCAAGGAAATGTTTCTAAAATTCTCCAATCTGTTTTTGGGATAATATTCATTCAATCAATATTTTACAAAATCAGTCAAACAATTACCTGCTTCCAGGTGTATTTTCTTTATTTTCATTTGAAAGACTTCTACAGAGTAAAATTATATTAGTTAAAATTGTTTGTTGTTGTTTTATAGCAGGTAATGAATCAACAGAGGAAACAATTTTAAAATATGAATATTTCTTACTGATCGCTTTGCTCTTTGTTGGTTTCTTCCTTGTTGTCTTCAGACCTGTTTAAGATGTTTATTATTTAGATTTTTCTCTAAAATTTGTCAACATCCTCAAAGTTTTGATCTTACCAAGGGATTATAATTATTTTACACATTTCATACCTGCTTTGAACTGGATTATTGTCACTTTTTTTGCCTTGTCGATCACTGTGGATTAAAGAAATTATACTGAGAAAATAGCAAATCATCAAGAGAGCAAAACTTTAATTAGGCCGTTAGAAATCTTTAAGTTTGTCTTGTCTTATAAAATTATATTTATAAAAATACATACTTCTCTTCCTGGTGTTTATTTTCTGCTTTCTCTGTCTCAGCAGGCCTGTTCACAACATGTTTCATTAATTTCAAGGAAATGTTTCTAAAATTCTCCAAACTGTTTTTGGGATAATATTCATCCAACCAATATTTTACAAAATCAGTCAAAAAATTACCTGCTTCCAGGTGTGTTTTTTATTTTCATTTGAAAGACTTCTACAGAGTAAAATTATATTAGTTAAAATTGTTTGTTGTTGTTTTATAGCAGGTAATGAATAAACAGAGGAAACAATTTTAAAATATGAATATTTCTTACTGATCGCTTTGCTCTTTGTTGGTTTCTTCCTTGTTGTCTTCAGACCTGTTTAAGATGTTTATTATTTAGATTTTTCTCTAAAATTTGTCAACATCCTCAAACTTTTGATCTTACCAAGGGATTATAATCATTTTACACATTTCATACCTGCTTTGAACTGGTTTATTGTCACTTTTCTTGCCTTGTCGATCACTGTGGATTAAATAAATTATACTGAGAAAATACCAAATCATCAAGAGAGCAAAACTTTAATTAGGCCGTTAGAAATCTTTAAGTTTGTCTTGTCTTATAAAATCATGTTTATAAAAATACATACTTCTCTTCCTGATGTTTATTTTCTGCTTCCTCTGTCTCAGCAGGCCTGTTCACAACATGTTTCATTAATTTCAAGGAAATGTTTCTTAAATTCTCCAAACTGTTTTTGGGATAATATTCATTCAACCAATATTTTACAAAATCAGTCAAACAATTACCTGCTTCCAGGTGTATTTTCTTTATTTTCATTTGAAAGACTTCTACAGAGTAAACATGATATTAGTTAAAATAGTTTATTGTTGTTTTATAGCAGGTAATGAATCAACAGAGGAAACAATTTTAAAATATGAATATTTCTTACTGATCGCTTTGCTCTTTGTTGGTTTCTTCCTTATTGTCTTCAGACCTGTTTAAGATGTTTATTATTTAGATTTTTCTCTAAAATTTGTCAAAATCCTCAAAGTTTTGATCTTACCAAGGGAATATAATCATTTTACACATTTCATACCTGCTTTGAACTGGATTATTGTCACTTTTTTTGCCTTGGCGATCACTATGGATTAAATAAATTATACTGAGAAAATACCAAATCATCAAGAGAGCAAAACTTTAATTAGGCCGTTAGAAATCTTTAAGTTTGTCTTGTCTTATAAAATCATGTTTATAAAAATACATACTTCTCTTCCTGGTGTTTATTTTCTGCTTTCTCTGTCTCAGCAGGCCTGTTCACAACATGTTTCATTAATTTCAAGGAAATGTTTCTTAAATTCTCCAAACTGTTTTTGGGATAATATTCATTCAACCAATATTTTACAAAATCAGTCAAACAATTACCTGCTTCCAGGTGTATTTTCTTTATTTTCATTTGAAAGACTTCTACAGAGTAAACATGATATTAGTTAAAATAGTTTATTGTTGTTTTATAGCAGTTAATGAATAAACAGAGGAAACAATTTTAAAATATGAATATTTCTTACTGATCGCTTTGCTCTTTGTTGGTTTCTTCCTTGTTGTCTTCAGACCTGTTTAAGATGCTTATTAATTAGCTTTTTCTCTAAAATTTGTCAACATCCTCAAACTTTTGATCTTACCAAGGGATTATAATCATTTTACACATTTCATACCTGCTTTGAACTGGATTATTGTCACTTTTTTTGCCTTGTCGATCACTGTGGATTAAAGAAATTATACTGAGAAAGTCCCAAATCATCAAGAGAGCAAAACTTTAATTAGGCCGTTAGACATTTTAAAGTTTGTCTTGTCTTATAAAATTATATTTATAAAAATACATACTTCTCTTCCTGATGTTTATTTTCTGCTTCCTCTGTCTCAGCAGGCCTGTTCACAACATGTTTCATTAATTTCAAGGAAATGTTTCTAAAATTCTCCAAACTGTTTTTGGGATAATATTCATTCAATCAATATTTTACAAAATCAGTCAAACAATTACCTGCTTCCAGGTGTATTTTCTTTATTTTCATTTGAAAGACTTCTACAGAGTAAAATTATATTAGTTAAAATAGTTTGTTGTTGTTTTATAGCAGGTAATGAATAAACAGAGGAAACAATTTTAAAATATGAATATTCTTACTGATCGCTTTGCTCTTTGTTGGTTTCTTCCTTGTTGTCTTCAGACCTGTTTAAGATGTTTATTAATGAGATTTTTCTCTAAAATTTGTCAACATCCTCAAAGTTTTGATCTTACCAAGGGATTATAATCATTTTACACATTTCATACCTGCTTTGAACTGGATTATTGTCACTTTTTTTGCCTTGTCGATCACTGTGGATTAAAGAAATTATACTGAGAAAATAGCAAATCATCAAGAGAGCAAAACTTTAATTAGGCCGTTAGACATTTTAAAGTTTTTCTTGTCTCATAAAATCATGTTATAAAAATACATACTTCTCTTCCTGATGTTTATTTTCTGCTTCCTCTGTCTCAGCAGGCCTGTTCACAACATGTTTCATTAATTTCAAGGAAATGTCTCTAAAATTCTCCAATCTGTTTTTGGGATAATATTCATTCAATCAATAATATTTCTTGAATTTGGTCAAAAAATTACCTGCTTCCAGGTGTATTTTCTTTATTTTCATTTGAAAGACTTCTACAGAGTAAAATTATATTAGTTAAAATTGTTTGTTGTTGTTTTATAGCAGGTAATGAATCAACAGAGGAAACAATTTTAAAATATGAATATTTCTTACTGATCGCTTTGCTCTTTGTTGGTTTCTTCCTTGTTGTCTTCAGACCTGTTTAAGATGCTTATTAATTAGCTTTTTCTCTAAAATTTGTCAACATCGTCAAACTTTTGATCTTACCAAGGGAATATAATCATTTTACACATTTCATACCTGCTTTGAACTGGTTTATTGTCACTTTTTTTGCCTTGGCGATCACTATGGATTAAATAAATTATACTGAGAAAATACCAAATCATCAAGAGAGCAAAACTTTAATTAGGCCGTTAGACATTTTAAAGTTTGTCTTGTCTTATAAAATCATGTTTATAAAAATACATACTTCTCTTCCTGGTGTTTATTTTCTGCTTCCTCTGTCTCAGCAGGCCTGTTCACAACATGTTTCATTAATTTCAAGGAAATGTTTCTAAATTCTCCAATCTGTTTTTGGGATAATATTCATTCAGTCAATAATATTTCTTGAATTTGGTCAAATATTTACCTGCTCTCAGGTGTATTTTCTTTATTTTCATTTGAAAGACTTCTACAGAGTAAACATGATATTAGTTAAAATAGTTTATTGTTGTTTTATAGCAGGTAATGAATCAACAGAGGAGACATTGAGACATGTTAAATCAAAATATCAATATTTCTTACTGATCGCTTTGCTCTTTGTTGGTTTCTTCTTTCATGTCTTCAACACTGTTGAAAATATTTATTATTTAGATTTTTGTCTAAAATTGACCAACATTCTTAAACCTTTTAATTTTGGTAATGAAATATGATAATTTTCTACAATTTTTAAAAAGATTTTATACCTGCTTTGTTTATCACTGTTTTGGTCAGGATTATTACTGTGGATCAGAAAAATGACATTAAGAAAGTTCCAAATCATCCACAGCAATGTTGATAAAAATACAAACTTCTCTTCCTGATGTTGATTTTCTGCTTCCTGTTTCTCAGCAGGCCTGTTCACAACATGATTCATTTATTTCAACTGGAAATACTTCTCAGATTCTCTATCCTCCTTTTTGTTTTTAGTTTTGAAAATTAATAGTTCAATTGAGAAATATTTCTTAAGATTGGTCAAATGCTTACTTGCTTTCTGGTGTATTTTCTTCACTTTTATTTGAACAACTTCTGCAGAATAAAATTGATATTGGTTCAAATTGTTTATTTTTATTATAAACAAAAACTAATCCACAGATGAAACATTGAGATATTTTGCATCAAAATATAAATATCACTTACTGATCACTTTGCTTTTTTTCCATATCAGTTTTGCTGTTAAGAAAATCTAAAATTATTCTCAAGCATGGATTATTCCCTATTGTAAAACAATGGTTAGACCTTTACCCCCCACCCATTTTCTGATCACCCTTCTCCCTAACGGGATCGGGAGGTGCTGGTGCCTATCCCCAGCTGCGTTCCAGGCGACAGGCGGGGTTCACCCTGGACAGGTCGCCAGTCTGTCGCAGGGTTTGAACTTTAATATATTATTTTTCTGTAGAAAGTAAAACTATTTGCAGACAGTTTCTATGATTTACCCGCTTCCAGAAGATGCACTGCTGCTGCTTCCCATATTAGAAACCACCACTTATTTTGAATTTTCTGAAATGTTTGAAAACTTTCGGCAAAACACAAAACAGTTTTGTAATACACCTGTGTTCACTTTGCTTTGCTTCATCGTTCTTTACTACTTTCTGTAGATCAAAAGTTATTCCAGCTACGAACTGCTTCCGACCACAGAATTCGTCCCAACATTTTGTTTGAGGGAAAAAGTGAAATAGTAAATAAAGAGGCTAAGACACATTATCAAAAAGTATCAGCAGTATTGCTTCATAAAATGTATCTCTCTTGTATTATTTATATAATATCATATGAAAATAATTTCTTTAAAGAAGATGCAGAATAAAATGCACAATTTGGGCTCCTTATAAAATCAAGTGGAAGCCCAATACTAACTGAGTTGTTTCATCACAAATAGTTTTACAATTAATTAATTTATCTCAGGTAATCCTCAGATTCAGCATCGATGAGTTTTACGCTCATACAGACATTCATTCAGCAGCCAATTTATGATGCACAGTTGAGTCTATGCCAAGAAGAGCTACAGCAGTTCTGGAAGATATAGATCTATCTAGAAATGCAGAGACATCAGTAGGTTTGTTATCTCAAGGTAACATGATGTTATGTTTAATTTCAGGGACACTTTTTATCTCTGCTACATCCTGTCTGATTACCAAATGTTTGCAAACCCATTATGTGCAATAAGGTCCCATCACATCAAGATCTATGTTTTAATCATTTCTATCTGTTTCACAAAAGAGACTTGCATTGTAATCTAACATATTTTTGCCAGAAAAAAACTCTGTTGATAATTTAAAAAAAATACTTTTTAAGAATAATGCAAGAAATCTATAAGATATGTTTCATTGCTGTTTTTTCTTTTCAATTTTCATTCTGCTTTAGGAATGATTTAATGATTCCTACCTTATGATTTTATCTTCTAAGTATCCACACGCTGTCTCTTTGGTTTCTCTGGCCTCTTCTCAGTCGCTGTCGGTTCAACTTTGCTCAAGAAGTAACTTAAATGTAAAAGCTGCTGTTGGTTCTCAGTCACCTTGCAGAACTGGTTTCAAAGCTTCAGGAGAAACACTTTTGGCTCCAGTCCCAGTTACATTATTCACTGCATAAAATAGCTTTCTGGTTAGATGATCATTGATTAAAGAGAAAGAGAGAATGAAACTCATTATTAAGATCTGTAGCCAGATTTGTTTTATCTTTTTGCTTTTGAAGAGTAAGTTGGTTGAATCTTCGATAAATAAAATGATCTTTTTTTAAAGGAAGGCTTTTTCTCACTATTATTCTGATCACTGAAATTTACATATATTTATATATAAATTGACATATATTTCCACTAGATGTTTGTGATGTTTTATGCATAAGGAAATAGATAGGCACATAAACAGAAGATATGTTGTTGGGCTGGTTTTTTTCCATCTACAAGATAAAACTATAGTTCCTTCCTCAGAAAATGGTCACTCCCATACTTCCTTAAGCTTTAATTTAAAAACGACACACATATTTTTCATATTTTCCAGGAGGCAAGAAACAAAACTTAGAGTTGCTGCTTGGTGTGTCATACTCGGTGTCAATCTTTTTTGCAGAACTTAATAAAATTATATTTGTATTTGTGATCAAAAGAACGCTCCTCTTTTCTTGCTATAGTAAAATGAAAATGAGCTAAATGATTTTGACGAATATAATGTCTAATGTTTCTGCAAAAGACATCTGAATGAGAATCCCAAATCCAGCTAGACTCCTGCAGCATGGAGCTTTGGATCAGTTTCATTGGTGGAACAAACTGCACTTTGTCCTGCAAACCACTGGGAAAAAAACTGTAACAACATTGCTTTTTGAAAACATACATGTAAATATGTTGTCCGCCAATAAATTGGATTTTCTCTTTCATAGCAAAACTACTTTTAAAATATTGAATTCTGCTTTTTACTTAACTGATTAAGGCACTTTATTATTTTTTAAATAACTTTTCTCAATTTAATTTAAACAATACAGAGTTACATACTAAAAATAAGCAGATGCTGCAAATATTCCAAACATTTCTTCTAAAATATGTCTGAAGGAAACAATAAAGACTGAAACAATAAATATCATAGCTGTTTACATAAAATGAAAGATTTTCATGTAAATCATGGCCAGAAGGATCAAGTCTTCATTGGTTCCTCTTTGAATAAAGTTTCTTTTTTGCTTTCTAATCTGTTTTTACTGTTGGAACTAAAGGGCATGTCAGAAAAATATGATTTGAATTTATGTTTTTATAGTCCTCCCATAAGGCTGGTCTACCCGTTAACACTGTAAATATTCAGTTGGTCTTAAAAATACAGAGAAGGATAAAAGGAAGCAAGATTTTTATGAGTTTTTCATAAAATAAAAATGTTCATCAACGAATGTTTTCACTTTCCAGAGAAGGCAGGATGACCTTTTTCAGCTTTTTAAAATGAGGATAGTGTGACATCTTGTGTTTCTTTTAACAGTGGGAATGATCGAATGCACAAATATTCTCCATTTTCAGATAAAACCAAAACAAATTCTGCATGAGTAAAAAGATTAGATATTTGTAGAATAAAGGTTTTATTGCTGTTTTGTGTAAATGGTTATATGTTTCAGAACCTGTTCTAAAACTGAGATCATTGTTGTTTTCTTCCAGTATTTTAATACTTTAACTGTTGAATTTTTTTGTATAACTCAGTAAGCACATCTTGTTGGTGCAGTGCTAAAGCCTCCCACGATGATGGATGAGTCACACATTCCTGAAACCAGTAAGTCCTGATGACAAGTAAAAAGTAAAAGAGATAGTAAACCTTCATCAGAATGCATTTGTGTTTTCTACGTGTCGACGGCACCGACAGACTGATGTAGACGGACAGTTCAGAACAGAGAAGTCAAAATGTGGAACTGGTAAGGAAAATATCTAAATACATATTTTTAGTGATTTTAAACCTGTTGATTTAAAATTTGTTACTGAAAAACTAATATGTAATCAGACAAAAAAAAGTGTGAATGCAGGATCATAACACCCAAAAGATAAATCATATTTAAAAATGTTAATTGTAAGTGAGACAGAGGATGATTTGATTCATATTTCTGCAGAGAAATATAATTCTTATTCAAAATTATTAGTTTCATGCATATTTATGAAGATGTGAGATAAATCCAATTTGTATATAATGAGAGAAAATTGTTCAGTGGTACATGACAGATTTGCACAACAGCGACCTCTGTTGTTCAGGTGGATGAAAGGTTGCAGATGAATAATAATATTCAGATTATGTTTCTGACTTTAGTGTTTCCTGCACTACCAGGAAGTGGGACATTATTAGTTGTCATACCTCATTTCAGCTACAACTTTATTGTAGAGAAACCAACAAACTCCTACTGGGATAAACTTCCTCACAATTTAAGTAATAGATGAAAAGTTACATGACAGTACTCCCTTCAATAAGTGTCACCAAAAAACAATGCTGTGAGAGAAAAAATAAAATAAAACAAACAAAAAGGTCACTTCCTCAATTATTGCTTTTAGCTCAAACTTAATTATTTTCCAAAGGAAAAAAAAAAAGAAAAGGAAAAAAGGATTGAGACACAGAAAGCCTGAGTAATAACAAAAATACATAAGATAAAATTAATTAATTTTTAAAAGAAAAATGTTTGCAAACCAACACTATACAAAAAGAAAAGATATTTCCCCCATGTGATTTTCTGGTATTTAGAAATTTGAGTTCAGTGTTTAGATTTTACTAGAACCACAATATGAGTCTTTATCCATAAATGAATAAACTGTGCAACAAGAGTTACTGGTGAGCTAAAATTATACCAAGAACAAATCGATAATGAATAGAGGAGGTTACAAAAAGCACATAGAAACAACTGAAGTGCTGCACCTATACAAAGGTCAAAGTTCACAACTCTAATATGCAAATGAAGATGAGACAAAATTACATAAATGGGAGGATTAATATGGCAAAACCAAAGCTGACTAAAAGCATTCAACAAAATTCAACAAAATAATATGTCAAAAATTAAATACGTAATATTTTTGAAATATGATTCTCATTGCATCCGGGAGGAAAGAAGCAAAGCATTTGAATAAAAACATCATTCCAACAATAAAACATAAAGATGTTTTATGAGCACCTGGGACTGCAGTGTTTCTTTACAACCAGGGTTTTAGCTATTTTCTGCTGCTTCCCAGGAAACAGAAAAACATAAGGAGAGAATCGTGATTATTTTGAAGTGATGTATGAAAAATTGTCAGGTTTAACACCTATTAAACACAGATTAAACAAACACAGGGAAGGCAAGAGAGTTAGATTCTTTCTTACTCGCGAGAACAGACAGAGATGTGCTTTCAGTTATAATCTCCTACCATCTGAAACCACATTTGCCTGCTCCTCTTTTTTTATTGTTTTCAGGATCCCTAATCACAAAGAATACTGTAACTCTAAAGGGAGGGGGAAAACAATTCATCACACATACAGCGCAATGACAACACTAACTAAAACACAAGGTATCTTGCACTTGATAGTCGTTCCAGGACACAGGGTTAAACAGAGCAAGTTGTACATCTTCACGGTCGTAGTTTTATAGCAATCCAGCTGGTCATAGAGGCCTTGCTTCCCGCCGAGAGATAACCCTGCAGAAACCTGTTGTCACTGCTTTCCTAATTCAACAACACAGACACATTCTTAATTCTAAGATGAAATTAAACAATAAAAGGATATAAGAAAAGATACATTATAAAGATCAATGAGAATAACAAATATTTAATATCACAATTTATCCAACATTTCCCCCGTTTATCAAATATTTGTTCTAATTCTCATATCCCTCCTAAACAGCCACTTCAAACGATTTTCAGCTGGGAGTTCATTTTTAAGAAAGCAAACATGTTTACATTCAAGGTTTATACTCAGTCCAAGACTTAGAATCAGAATACACATCAAGAGAATCCTCATCAGAGCTTTCTCTGTCAGACTCAGGATCTTTCACTAGTAAAGGATACATCGGTGTCATCTGGTTTCCCATGAAAGAAATTGCTGTAGTGATGAGACGATTAAACAAAGAACGCAGGCAAAGAATACAACAGCATCCACACAAGGTTAGAATGGCAGCAAAGACAGCCATCAACACTAAAGCAGAGGACACAAAGGTTTCCAAAAACTTTCCAAAAACGTTCATCCAGTTGACCCACGTGGAAATATTCACTCCAGAAAACTCCTTACCATTAAGGGTAGGGAGCCCCTCAATGGCCTTCGTCAGGCTGCCATCAGCCGCTGTGTTGTTGGGTAGAAAAGTGCAGCATCCTTCACCAAAGATTGCACACACTCCCCCTCGTTCAGCCAACACCATGTCAAGAGCAATACAGTTCTGGAAAGCCATCAGTGATGTAGCGGCAAGCTGCTCGTGTACCGCCACAAAGCCAGCCTCTGTCCAGTTGCCCAGTTTTTGTATGTTGAAATGAATGTAGTTGATTCTGTCAACGTTTCTGTTTAATGTACACCACCAACAAATTGTGGACTCAAATCCTGCTGCAATTTGGTCGGCCAATTTATACTCATCAGGTACACCACGAGGAACACCAATGGCATCGATGTATGTAGGATCATTATTCTTCCGGGTCAGGTTTTGTTTCTGTAAATGCTGAGGCATAACACTAGTCGAAGTGTGAATTAGATGTTCTGCAGTCATAGAATAAACAGAAACTGCTAATAATAAAGAAATTAAAGCACAAAACCCTGTTACCTTCCGAGGTAATCTATCAAAAATTTTGTCACCACTGCACCATCACCAGACAGCTGCACGACAGACAGGGTTAAAATCATTGTGTACAGAGAGAACAGTCCGGTGTTAAAAACATCATTTGTCATATATCAAGTTTAATCTCTGTAGTTTACTGTTGGAATAATTGTATGTAAGCTATCCCATGTCTGGTTTTTCTTACTATGTATGTTGGAATGCTGTAAAACTGTTACTGTGAAGATTGACTACTTATTCTGTTTGATGTGTCAGGAATGAGATTATCACGTACAAGATAATTGTGTTGCATAGAAGGAGTGACAAACACAATACACATTGTCAAGGTACTGTCTTTGCATCTCCTGAGGTTACAGTTTGTTTGTTGTCTCTCTGGGGTCGTAAAGTTCAGCTCCTGACACTTTGGGTTGTATGCAAACGACCCATTCTTCCTATCAGGCTGGATGTTGCCCTGGCCATCCGAGGTGACAGAATCATCGCTTCAAAGATAAAAGAAACACAGATCGATCCCAGGGGCATTGTAGACTCCTGGTCTTTGTATTTGTATCTAACACTTAGTTAGGAAATGAGAACTAGCACTGTAGCTGTGTGATGAATTGTTTACCCATCCCTTTTAGATCTACAGTGTCCTTGTGTAACCAGGGGTGACCTAAGGCATTGAGAGCCAAGACGTACTTAGAGTGTGTTGGAGATTGTAACTGATGTACGTCTCTGGGGCACTCTCCTCGCGAGTAAAACTTAACAGATGTGTTCTGTCTTTCTTTCCAGGTAGTGTTTTACTAATGTTAGGGGTTTAAACCTGACATTTGCTGACGTCATACTTGCCCAGGAGACTAAACCAATGATAACAGAACTAGGTGGAAAACATACCTGAATACCCATCCTCATTCTATAAGTAGTGCTACAAGAATACATTTTCATTTATGACCTGAGTCATAAATGAAAATGTATAAATGTTGTCCCCAGATGAAAACACAAAATGAAAACAAAACTATATTTATTCACCATTTCATTTAATGTGCAAGTTTGTTCTGCTCCTAAAGACACTGCAGGGTTCTGGACAATCTTCACCAGTTTTGAGATGGTAAAACTATTTGGTTTAACCTCGTTTGTATCCTGGACTTTGAGCGTCCCGAGCTTTCCAGCTATGTTGAAATGAAATGACCTTTTAAATGTACCCAAGTTGACCTTTCTGCTGCATCTGGGTTTTTAGTGGGAAAAAGTTCAATCCATTTGAAGAAAGCATCAATTATTACTAAACAGTACTTTTTGCTTCACTTTTATTCAATTCTATAAAGTCCATGTGTATTATTTGAAATTGATATTGTGGGTTAGGAAATTTTCATCTACGTGGTCTTAGATTGCTCTGAGAGTTATGTGTAGCACATATCAGGCAGGCCCTACAAAAAATTTTTTGAATAAGAAATAAATCCATAAGTAGTATAATGTTGATGAATCTGTCCTACCATCCCCCCTGTTGAGACATGCAAATAGAAAGTTTTTTTGATGTACTAGATTGATAAAATTAACAGCTTGAAAAGAACACAGATTAATACATTTGTATGTCTGTTTTAGCATTTTATGCTAAATCTATTCATATTTTCCTCTATAGTTTGTGTAAGAAAAAGTCAAAAAAGTCAAAAAAGTCGACAGATGAGGAAGAGAGAAGGTAAGATGAACACTCCAGATATTGTGTGGTAACCTTAATTTTTTAAGTTGTGTAAAAAAAAAACTTTTGAAAATGACATAATATGCAATGCAATAAAAAAGTGTTTGACAATGTAGATGTTTTATCTTTTTTTTGTTTTATGTCACACTGAAATGTTTCAGATCATGAAACTAATGTTATTATTATTGAATAATGACCTGAGTAAATATAAAACCCAAATGACAAATGATTATTTCATTCATTAAGCGAAAAAGATATTAATTCCAACCGACATACGGTCTTATGTTGGAAAATTTCCTCCAATAAAACCATCCACTAAGTAGTGCTACAAGATTAAACTATTTTTTTTGGAAAGCTTAGCTCAGTTTCACATGTCATACTGAGAACGTGTCTAATGACCAAATTATCAGAAAAAGTTACAAATCATCTAAAAAATATAATCAGTAGAAAACAGCATTTTTTATGGCATTGAATTTACTAATGTTTAAACTCCAGGATGCATTATAAAGTTATAGTTCTGGTCTAAAGCCATTTAAAATAGTGAAGAATGCAACAAAAAATTTTGTAAAATGCAGTGAAACAAACAAGTGGAGAAGTGGAGAAATAAAAATCTCCATTAAAAATGCTTAAAATATTAAAGGGAAAGAAGGAATGGAGGGTTTGGAGCCACAGGGAAACATATTTGCTTTACTATTTTATAGGTAGGAACATAATTTAGAGTTTTGGAAGTGAAGAGAATATCAGGAATAAAGTTCGTGTAGGACTGGATGAGGACACAACATTTGGCATTATTCATTCATTCTTTATCATCTTGGAGAAATTAAGACTTTACTACTTTTTCATGCATGTTTCATATTTTCATAACTTTAAATTGGTCGGATTAAAATCTCTTGCCACTGTAATAATACTTTTATAATGGTATAAATTTTCATGTAACTTTTTGTTATCTTTTTGACAGACTTAGGTCTTGTGAAGATGAACTTCAGCAGACAAAGTCAGTTGTTCAATCAATCTATAATCTCATAATAATGTTATTGGACAGTAATTGACTGGAATATATTTATAAATTTAAGTTTTGAGTGCAATACAATGTTAGAAATGTTCACACATTTTATTCTTCACTCTTCAGAGACGCCCTTGAACAAAAACAAAAGGAGCTTGAATCAGCCAATCAGAGGTATTGTTCAGACATCAAGCTAACAGAACATGTTTCAGTCCCAGATATTAGAATGCCAAGTGCAGAAGAACTTGTGCAGCATCTGTGTTTAGAGTTTATATCTGTCATGTTTTAAAACAGGTTGACTGAGACAGAAACATCTTATAAAAATGAGCTCCAGAAGATGAGGTATTTTTGTACATTCATTTTTTCATGGGACCATGGGTAGAATATATTTACTGATTATAGAGTTTATATAATTGTAAAACTCTTGTGAGACTATATAAACCTTACATAACTTAGTGACATTTCCTTTTGAAGTATGACTTCTTTCACTTAAGGTTGCATTGCAATAAACATGGAGTGTACTAAAGCACTTTGTAATTTTGTCAGTTGCCATAATGGCACTTGTGATTTATAACTTGTCTCAAAATATTGATAAAAGATTTTCACACATTTTATTCTTCATCATTCAGATCTGAACTTAAACAAATAAAAGATGAACTGAAGTCAGCCAATCAAAGGTATTGTTCCCACAATCTAAGTAAAAATTTCTGACAGTCTCAGTTCCTCCATCAGTTCCATGATTTCACTCCCTAAATGGTTCTGATGATTCTGGTGTCTTTACTGCAGACTGACTGAAATGAAGACATCACATGAGAAGGAGCCTCTTGAGATTAGGTATGTATCTATATTGCTAATGTGATGTCATCACAGAATCTACACCTTAACATGAAATTATCCAGTGATGCATCTCCTTTACACATGATGTCCTCATTTATAGATCTGATGTTGGAAAAAACAAAGAGGAACTGAAATCAGTCAAAGAAAGATATGATACAAATATAGCATATTAACAGCATAACCATAAGTACAAAAATGCATAAATATAATATAGTTCAGGGTTTAGACTGACTAAATTCAGAAATATAACAGTTCTGGAATTTTACTTCTTTTTAAATTGATATTTAAATTCAGAATCTTTAAGTACAAGTGATAGTTTATTTCTGAAATGGAATTTAAAAACACAAATTTGAAGAAAAGTTTTTATCTATTGTGTTTTGCACAGGTTGATTGAAGCAAAGATTTCTGATGAAAATGATCTTCAAAGTACAAGGTAAGCTTTTTTAAAAAAGTGTAACTTTAGAATAAAGGATAGATCTTGTCTTTTAGAATGTGAGTATAAATTAGAAATGTGCTATTTCTCTCTGTTTACTGCATTTTAACTTGCAGGCTTGTCAGAAAAGAAGAGGAAGTACAGCTAATGTCAGCCATTCAAAGGTACTTTGATGTTGTAGTTTCTAACACATTAGGGCTCAACAATACAATCTTCCAGTTTGACATGTGGAAAGTTTAATAATTTTGTTAACCTGGACATTGTTCAAAATAATACAACATAGCAGTTTTTTTCCATTGAAATGAAAGCCAATCTGTTATAAATTTCTCTTTTTTAGAAGCCTGTCTCATATGCATATAGTCCATATGTAACTGAGCTGCAGCAGATTAGGTAGAATTTTTTTGTGTGTCTATTTTAGCTTTGGATGATGACTGAAGAACACATTTATTCAATGCACATTGATCAAAAGCACACATTTTTATTATTTCCTTTAAAAACATGTTTGAATGCATAAGAAGAACCTAAACCAGTAACTAAAAGGCTTTGACATTAACATTATTAATCTGCATGTCCATTTTAGTACTTTTTGAGTCACTTGTGTTTATTAAAATTAAAACATTCATGGTAAGAAGAAACATTACTTTCCCTTTTTTGGAAGTTTGCAATTTGGAAAAACTTTACTGCTAAATACATATATTAAATATACTAAAAAGTACAATGTAATATCTGCTTTTATTTACAACCCAGTCCCACTACTGAAAATATCTCTCTGGAAGCAGATCTTTATGATGTGAGGTAAAAATCTACCTCATTCATCATTTTTTAACAGAATTTTTTTTTTTTATTTGATGAAGAGAGTAAGAACATTTCTGGTTGATTTACTGTCATGTTTCTAATGCAAATAATTTCACCCTTTACAGATCTGATCTAAAACAGAATGAAGAAAAGCTGATATCAGTCAATGAAAGGTATGTGTTTCATTGCATTACAGTAATCTAAATTATTAACTAAAACTAATAATGTTTCAGTGAAAATAATTAATCTCAATGTCCATGTCAGTAGTTTCTGAGTTACTTGTTTATTAAAATGAAAACATTGAAAGTAAGTAGAAGCTAAAGAGCAATTTGCTGATGATGTTAAAGATGAACCTCTTATTTCCACAAAGCCCCATTGCTAAAAAAAAATCTCTGGAAGCAGATCTTTTTGATATGAGGTAAAAATCTTCCTCATTCATCATTTTTTAACACAATTTTTTTTTTGATTTGATGAAGAGAGTAATAACATTTCTGGTTGATTTACTGTCATGTTTCTAATGCAAAGAATTTCACACTTTGCAGATCTGATCTAAAACAGAATGAAGAAGAACTGATATCAGTCAATGAAAGGTATTTTCCCCTCAGAAAACCCTGAAGTAACACATTGCAATATAAGATACAAACCTGGGTGTTTCAGTTCATTTTACTGCAGAATTGATGTTGGTAAAAATATTTATCTATTGCCTCTTTATGACAGGCTGAACAATGAGCTCCAGACAGTGAGGTATTTTTCTATATTAGTTTTTACATAGACAATAACTAGAATATGTGGTTTTGGGTTGCAGTAACAAACACATTAAGTATTTTCAGAAATGTTATTCTTTATTCTCAGATCTGCACTCAAAAATAAAGAAGAAGAACTAGAATCAGTTAAAAGGTTTGTTCACACAACAACATAATGTTCTTGTTTAATCTGCATTATGAAGAAAATGATCATTTCTATCTTTAACTCAGACTGACTGAGACAAATATTTCTCACCAAAATGAGATCCAGGAGATCAGGTCAGTTTTCAGTCTGTATTTAAATGAGTTAAAGTTATTTATCACTTTAAACATCAATTAAAATTCATGAAGATTAATGAAACCTATTGTTAAAATGATTTGATCTCATAGTTTCTCCAACAATGTTTTAATGGTTAATATTCTCCTCTTCAGGTCAACTTTAGAAGAAAAAGAAAAAGAATTGGAAGCAGTCACCAAAAAGTAAAGATAAGCTAAAAGAACATACCATAATATATTTTATATCTTACTTTATTCATGTAACAGTGCAATTATTAGAAATGTATGAAACAAACTGCAGTATTTGTGTCTTGAGTTTTAATCTGTCATGTTTTAATACAGTTTGATTGAGGCAATTTTCACTCATGAGATTCCTCTTCAGGTCTGACTTTACTCGGAAAGAAGAAGAACTTAAATTAGAGATTAAAAGGTATTGTTCACACATTAAGCTAACAGAACATGTTTCAGCTCCTGATTTTAGGATAAGTGTAAAAGTTTAGCTAACAGTTTGTTTGGAAATCATGGAAGAAATTCAACACATTTCAAGTTCTCTGATATTCCTATTGAATCTGTCATGAAGAACATGATCTGTTATATCTTTAACTCAGACTGACTGAAGCAAAAACAAGTCATGAAAAGGAACTTCAGAAAATTTGGATTTTTTATTTTCACATGAGATTTTGATTAGAATATATTTATCTGTCATCGACCATCTAAATATGAGTGACGTACAACAAAATATTCTCTACTTCACAAACTATAGGTGCAACAACTGGTCATTATGCAAAAGAAAAAAAGAATTGGGAGGGAAATGCAGCTTATTTGGCATCTGAAGAGGGAGAGCTTTTTGTTAACTTGGTGTTTAATGGGAGAAGCGAAACAGACCTCCGTGAAGCTGATACCCACCTACCCAAATAATCCAGCAAATAGTCTGATTGTTTAGAGCTCCGTTTGTGCCATTAAAATTTTCGTTTGTGCAGCTTTGGTTTCTGAGATATTAAAAATTATTTTTTAGGTCATCCATAATATACTTTTTAAGATTACAATTACTGAAAATATTGAGTATGACTACTTCATACTCAATATTTTGTGTCATGAATTTTGTGTCAGTTGGTCACAAGGCAAGAAATTTATTTCCATTAGATTCTCAGGACAGTTTGGATGTAAAATTTGTTGACTCTCCCTGAGTGAAACTCTGACACCTTGAGGAAGAGGGAGACCTAGAGACCGGCTGGCCGAAATTAGCGTTCACGAATCGGATCAACCTTGAGCCAGGCGTCGCTCACACCGGATATTGGAATAGCCAAAATCCAAATTGAAAACAACTTTGCTACGTTTGTTTTAACGGCACAAACCTGCACAAACGGAGCATTAACGAACCAGCCCACTTTGGTTTATTGTGGAGCAAAATGCAGGGATGGTGAACTCTGGATGGCCTAAAAATCATTTTAATATCTCGAAAACCAAAGCTGCTCAATCGAACATTTTAACGGCACAAACCTACACAAACGGAGCACTAACCAATCAGACTGTTTGCTGGACTTTTTGACGTAGGTGGGGAGGTGCGAAACCTGTGCATCCTATTGGTGGTGATGAACAAGCCCAGGCAATCAGGCTTTGTTGCAGTCGATCAGTAGGTTGGATCAAAACATTTGCGTTTCTCTCTCGCTTTTTTGTAACGAGTAACTAAACCACACATTGAAAATGTATCGGAGTAAAAGTATGAAATTAAGTTCGGAAATGTAGTGAAGTAAAAGTGAAAGTTATCAAAAAATTTTCATACTCGAGGAAAGTATGAAGTACTCCAAAATATACTTAAGTAAAGTAGTGAAGTATTTTTACTTCGTTACTATACAACACTGATCCTGAGGTCCAAGGACTTCTGTCATGGAAAAGCTTTATTTTATTTTTTTAATTTGTGGTAATATATTGGTTACTCTGCTTTGTTGCAATGTGTTTGAGGTTGTGGTATTAAAACATTTTGTGATTTTGTTAAATGTCATTCTAAATAAATCATTTTGTTTACTATCTTTCTCAACATGACAAACAGGAATTTTCACACATTTAATCCTTTATGCTTTAGATCAGATCTTGAACAAAAAGAAGAACAGCTACAGTTAGTTAATAAAAGGTATTGTTCATACAACATGTTAACAGGACATGTTTCAGCTCCAGATATTAAGATAAGTGGAAAGGTTTGTCCAACAGTCTGTTTGTTTAGAGCTCATGAATGAAGTTCAATACATTGTAAGTTCTCTGATGATCCTGTTAATCTGTTTGATGAGGGACATGATCTGTTATATCTTTATCTCAGACTGACTGAGGAAAGATCTACTCATGAAAAGGAGATCCAGGAGATCAGGTCAGTGTTGTTCAGGGCCTGAATTCCCTTGACAATGTGAATGAGTTATTAATTAAAACTTAAATTACTGTTCCTAAACACTCATATGAACTTTAGTTAAGATTACATATCATACTATGCTTTAAATTTTTCTCAACAGATCTGCTTTAGAAGAAAAAGTAAAAGAAGTGCAATTTGTCAACGAAAGGTAATGCTAATTTCGGTTCTGCCTATAAACATACAATAGTTTTACTTTTACTACAAAATTATGAAACATGCTGCAATGCTATGATCTTCCTGAAACATTTGTGTTACAAGAAATTTTTATCTGTTGTAATTTAAAACAGACTGATTGAAGCAAAAATATCCCATGAAACTGATCTCCAAAATATGAGGTATTTTCCTCTATTTGATTTTACATGTGACAATAAAATCTGGGGTACAGAACTTTTATAGATGTTTTTTTTTATTTTTTTACAAGTTTTTAAAATGTTCACCATGTCCTGACAGTATAATGCAAGTCAGATAATCTGTGAAAAAAACTCAAGCTTCTCCCAGAGTTTCTGTCGCCGTCTGAACAAACAAGACGACTACTGTCTTGTTTCGGAGGCTCTACTCAAAGCCAGGAGGAATGCCTTAATGCAGTAAATCAAGCTTGTATATGCATTGCTCAATGTGCCTGAGGCAGAGAAACAACTTACTGTTTCAGGAAAACTGTTTATTCACCACCATCGGTTGCCATGCTATCTAGACTGAGTACTGATGGCAGCAATGCAGGAAGGCAGAGGAGCTCAGTTTTTTTCACCTATTTTCTGTCTCAAACTGAACTGTCATTATACTGTAGTCTTTATAAAAGTTACATATCCCACTTTAACTTAAAAAGGATTACTTATCATAGGCTGTAGAATCATGAGAAATGTCTGCATCACTACATCAGAGCTCTTGTTAGGAGATATGTACCTTAAATATCTTTCTTATATTTGCTTTGGAAAAAGGAAAAAGGAAGTCAATCAAAGGTATCGTTCCCACAATCAGAAATCAGTATAAATGTTTTAATCAGAGAGTCTCACTTCATTCATTTTATCATGGATGGGATTTTACTCCAAAAAAATTTTTCATTGAAGGTTTTATGCTGATATCTTTACAGCTGAAACAAAAACATCACTTGAAAATGAGTTCCACAATGTGAGATAAAAATTCTTCTGTTTTCATATTACTCAATCATGGATAATTTACATGATCCTGAGGTTTAAGGATTAAATCTTAGTGTCACAGAGCCATCAGGGAGTTGGACTTTTGTCAGAAAGAAGTTCTTGTCTGTATTTTGTGGTTATATGTCAGTTACTTTGCTTTGTGTCAGTTAAATTTTCAGTGAACAAAAACATAATTGTTTCATTTGCTATAATGAGTAAAATATCTAATTTACCACTTGTCACAAATGACAGAAAAGCTTTTCAGACATTTAAAAATTTAATTCTTTAGATCTGACCTGAAGCAAAATGAAGATGAACTACAATCTGTTAACAAAAATAATTATTCGCACAGGTGGAAACGTTCTAAAAGTTTGTATTTTAGAAATCATCAATGCATTGCACAACCTATGATGTTCCTGCTGTTCTGTATTTTGAAGAACATGATCTTTTAAAAATTTCTGTTTTTATAACAACCTGTCTAAAATACAGAGTCCTTATGGAGCTGAGCTACAGCAGACTATTGATTTTTTTTTAATCTGTATCTCCTTTAAGTTTGGATGATGACATTTTTAGTATTTAACATGTTATATGTTTCATTGCATTACAGTAATCTAAATTAGTAATAAAACTAATAATGGTTCAGTGAAAATTATTAATCTGCATGTCGATGTCAGTATTTTCTGACTTACATGTTTATTAAAATGAAAACATTGACAGTAAGTAGAAACTAGAGAGCAATTTGCTGATGATGTTAAAGATGAACTCTATTTTCCACACAGCCTCAGTGCTAAAAATATATCTTTGGAAGCAGATCTTTATGATATGAGGTAAAAATCTTCCTCATTCATCATTTTTTAACACAATTTTTTTTTTGATTTGATGAAGAGAGTAATAACATTTCTGGTTGATTTACTGTCATGTTTCTAATGCAAAGAATTTCATCCTTTACAGATGTGATCTAAAACAGAAAGAAGAAGAACTGATATCAGCCAATGAAAGGTAATTTCTCCTCAAAAAAGCCCGAAATAACACATTGCAATTTAATATCAAAAACTGGGTGTTTCAGTTCATTTTACTGCAGAATTGATGTTGGTAATAATATTTATCTATTGCCTCGTTTTCACAGGCTGAACAATGAGCTCCAGACAGTGAGGTATTTTTCTATATTACTTTTTTCATGGACAATAACTAGAATATATGGTTTTGTGTTGCAGTAAAATAACACATTAAGTATTTTCAGAAATTGTATTCTTTATTCTCAGATCTTCACTCAAAAATAAAGAAGAACTAGAATCAGTTAATAAAAGGTTTGTTCACACAACAACATAATGTTCTTGTTTAATCTGCATTATGAAGAAAATGATCCTTTCTATCTTTAACTCAGACTGACTGAGGAAAAGATTTCTCATGACAATGAGATCCAGGAGATCAGGTCAGTTTTCAGTCTGTATTTAAACGAGTTAAAGTTAATTATCACTTTAAACATCAATTAAACTTTATGAAGATTAAAAAAACCTTTTGTTAAAATCATTTGATCTCATAGTTTCTCCAACAATGTTTTAATGGTTAATATTCTCCTCTACAGGTCAACTCTAGAAGAAAAAGAAAAGGAATTGAAATCAGTCAACAAAAAGTAAAGATAAACAGCTAAAGAATAACATGAGACTGAAAAATATTTTTCTTTTTCTCTTCATGCAATAATTGCACTATTGCATGTTCATTACTTATGTATTTCATACATTTCTCTCATTAGAAATGTATGAAATACACATTAATGTTGTGCTGGTCCTGCAGTATTTGTATCTTGAGTTTTAATCTGTCATGTTTTAAAACAGACTGACTGAAGCAAAAACATCCAATGATGATCAGCTTCAGAAGATGAGGTAATTTTATTTATATGTTTTTACATGAGATATTAACAATACAGATATTTGTCTCAAAACATGAAGGTTTTTGTTTTTATATTTTCTTTTTCTTTCTTCAGCTCTGAACTCAAACAAAAAGAAGAAGAACTAGAATCAGTTCATAAAAGGTTTGTTAACACAAGTTAACATAATATATTTCATCTTTAGATATCAGAATATTAAGTGGAAAAATTAATCTAACAGTTTGTTTGTTTGGTGATCATGACAGAAGTTTATGTTCCTGTTGAATCTGTTTTATGAAGATTATAATCTGTTATATCTGTAATCTGTCATGTTTTAAAACAGAATAACTGAATCAAATACATCTCATGATGATCAACTCCAGAAGATGAGGTATATTTCTCTATATGTTTTTACATGAAATATTAACAACACAGATATTTGTCTCAAAACATGAAGGTTTTTTTTTAACATTTCATTCTTCATTCTCAGATCTTCACTCAAAAAAAAAAGAAGAACTAGAATCAGTTAATAAAAGGTTTGTTCACACAACAACATAATGTTCTTGTTTAATCTGCATTATGAAGAAAATGATCATTTCTATCTTTAACTCAGACTGACTGAGGAAAAGATTTCTCATGACAATGAGATCCAGGAGATCAGGTCAGTTTTCAGTCTGTATTTAAACGAGTTAAAGTTATTTATCACTTTAAACATCAATTAAACATTATGAAGATTAAAAAAAACCTTTTGTTAAAATCATTTGATCTCATAGTTTCTCCAACAATGTTTTAATGGTTAATATTCTCCTCTTCAGGTCAACTTTAGAAGAAAAAGAAAAGGAATTGAAATCAGTCACCAAAAGGTAAAGATAAGCTAATAGAAGATATAGTACCATAGATATTCTATTTGTTATTCATGCAGTAGTGCAACTATTGCATTTATGTATTTCATATATGCTTTCATCATTAATGTATGAAATACACATTAATGTTGTGCTGGTCCTGCTGTTTTTGTATCTTGAGTTTTAATCTGTCATGTTTTAAAACAGATTAACTGAAGCAAAAACATCCAATGATGATCAGCTTCAGAAGATGAGGTAATTTTATTTATATGTTTTTACATGAGATAATAACAATACAGATATTTGTCTCAAAATATGATTTTTATTTTATTTTTTTTTACTTTTTATTCTTCATTCTTCAGATCTGATCTTAAACAAAACATAGACAAACTAGAATCAGTTAATAAAAGGTTTGTTCACACAACAATATGATGTTCTTGTTTAATTTGTTTTATGAAGAAAATTATCATTTCTATCTTTAACTCAGACTGACTGAGGAAAAGATTTCTCATGACATTGAGCTCCAGGCGATCAGGTCAGTGTTGTTCAGGGTTTGTATTTAAAACAGTCAAAAACATAACTTGATAATGAATTGTACAGCATGAGGTATTTTTTTTTATTTGTCTTCACATGGGATATTCACTAAAGTATGATAACTGATCACAGACTGTGAACATATCAGTGACATGTACAGTATAGCATCTAACATTGTGTGAGGTCATAGAAATCTGAAATATCTTTTGCACATTTAATTTTAAAACAGGAAAAGAGAAGAAGAACTGAAGTCAGTCAATAAAGGTATCATTCTTCCAATCTGAAATAAAATATAAAAGTTTCAATTTTATTTTTGAGAGAATCTCAGTTCATTCATCAGTTCTACATAATCTTTGTAATTAAGAGTTTCATTCTCGTATCTTTACCACAGTCTGACTGACACAAATGCAAATCTTGAAAATGAACTTCAAAAGTGAAGTAAGTACAGAGTTGATTTTCAAATAACTCAATCACATTTATTATTATTGATTTGTGGAGAAGAGCTTGGATTAGCTTCATGATCCTGAGGTTCACAGATTCATTAGTTTCACAGAATCACCTTTGACTTGGTCTTTTGTCAGAAAGAAATGATCTTTGTTGTGGTTATATATACAGTAAGTTACTTTCCCTGGTCTCAGTTGAGTTTGGGTTGTGGTAAAGATGCAGTGCACTAGAGCACTTTGTAATTTTGTTAAGAGCTCAATATGAATAAATGATCCTATTCACCCTTTGTCTCAAAATAACAATAGAGATTTTTATTCATGAGATTCTTCTTCAGGTCTGACCTTATACAGAAAGAAGAAGAACTTAAATCGGAGATTAAAAAGTATTGTTCACAGCAGACGAGGTATAATTTTTGTCTATATCTGTTTTAGCTTTGGATGAAGAACATGTTTTACGATTTAACAGGTTTTAACGCATTAGAATAATCTGAATTAGTAACTAAAAGGCATTGCAGTGAATATTACTAATCTGCAGGTCCATGTTAATAAGAAATAATGGTTGAATAGAAGATGAACTCTATTTTCCACACAGCCTCAGTGCTAAAAATATCTCTCTGGAAGCAGATCTTTATGATATGAGGTAAAAATTTACCTTATTCATCACTTTGATGAAGCACAAATTTTTCTTTTATTTGATCAAGACAGTAATAACATTTCTGGTTGATTTACTGTCATGTTTCTAATGCAAAGAATTTCATCCTTTACAGATCTGATCTAAAACAGAAAGAAGAAGAACTGATATCAGCCAATGAAAGGTAATTTCTCCTCAAAAAACTCTAAAATAACACATTGCAATATAAGATACAAACCTGGGTGTTTCAGTTCATTTTACTGCAGAATTGATGTTGGTAAGAATATTTATCTATTGCCTCGTTTTCACAGGCTGAACAATGAGCTCCAGACAGTGAGGTATTTTTCTATATTAGTTTTTACATAGACAATAACTAGAATATGTGGTTTTGGGTTGCAGTAAACAAACACATTAAGTATTTTCAGAAATTTTATTCTTTATTCTCAGATCTGCACTCAAAAATAAAGAAGATGAACTAGACTCAGTTAATAAAAGGTTTGTTCACACAACAACATAATGTTCTTGTTTAATCTGCATTATGAAGAAAATGATCATTTCTATCTTTAACTCAGACTGACTGAGGAAAAGATTTCTCACCAAAATGAGATCCAGGAGATCAGGTCAGTTTTCAATCTGTATTTAAACGAGTTAAAGTTAATTATCACTTTAAACATCAATTAAACTTTATGAAGATTAAAAAAACCTTTTGTTAAAATCATTTGATCTCATAGTTTCTCCAACAATGTTTTAATGGTTAATATTCTGCTCTACAGGTCAACTTTAGAAGAAAAAGAAAAAGAATTGAAATCAGTCACCAAAAAGTAATGTTAAGCTGAAAGAACACATAGTATTATGAAATATTTTATTTCTTACTTTATTCATGCATCAGTTGCACTATTGCATGTACAGTATTTATGTATTTCATATATGTCTCTCATCATTAATGTATGAAATACACATTAATGTTGTGCTGGTCCTGCTGTTTTTGTATCTTGAGTTTTTATCTGTCATGTTTTAAAACAGATTGACTGAAGCAAAAACATCCAATGATGATCAGCTTCAGAAGATGAGGTAATTTTATTTATATGTTTTTACATGAGATAATAACAATACAGATATTTGTCTCAAAATATGATTTTATTTTTTTTTTTTTACTTTTTATTCTTCATTCTTCAGATCTGATCTTAAACAAAACATAGACAAACTAGAATCAGTTAATAAAAGGTTTGTTCACACAACAATATGATGTTTGTTTAATTTGTTTTATGAAGAAAATGATCCTTTCTATCTTTAACTCAGACTGACTGAGGAAAAGATTTCTCATGACATTGAGCTCCAGGCGATCAGGTCAGTGTTGTTCAGGGTTTGTATTTAAAACAGTCAAAAACATAACTTGATAATGAATTGTACAGCATGAGGTTTTTTATTTTCATTTGTCTTCACATGGGATATTAACTAAAGTATTATAAATGATCACAGACTGTGAACATATCAGTGACATGTACAGTATAGCATCTAACATTGTGTGAGGTCATAGAAATCTGAAATATCTTTTGCACATTTAATTTTAAAACAGGAAAAGAGAAGAAGAACTGAAGTCAGTCAATAAAAGGTATCATTCTTCCAATCTGAAATAAAATATAAAAGTTTCAATTTTATTTTTGAGAGAATCTCAGTTCATTCATCAGTTCTACATAATCTTTGTAATTAAGAGTTTCATTCTCGTATCTTTACCACAGTCTGACTGACACAAATGCAAATCTTGAAAATGAACTTCAAAAAGTGAAGTAAGTACAGAGCTGATTTTCAAATAACTCAATCACATTTATTGTTATTGATTTGTGGAGAAGAGCTTGGATTAGCTTCATGATCCTGAGGTTCACAGATTCATTAGTTTCACAGAATCACCTTTGACTTGGTCTTTTGTCAGAAAGAAATGATCTTTGTTGTGGTTATATATACAGTAAGTTACTTTCCCTGGTCTCAGTTGAGTTTGGGTTGTGGTAAAGATGCAGTGCACTAGAGCACTTTGTAATTTTGTTAAGAGCTCAATATGAATAAATGATCCTATTCACCCTTTGTCTCAAAATAACAATAGAGATTTTTATTCATGAGATTCTTCTTCAGGTCTGACCTTATACAGAAAGAAGAAGAACTTAAATCAAAGATTAAAAAGTATTGTTCACAGCAGACGAGGTATAATTTTTGTCTATATCTGTTTTAGCTTTGGATGAAGAACATGTTTTACGATTTAACAGGTTTTAACGCATTAGAATAATCTGAATTAGTAACTAAAAGGCATTGCAGTGAATATTACTAATCTGCAGGTCCATGTTAATAAGAAATAATGGTTGAATAGAAGATGAACTCTATTTTCCACACAGCCTCAGTGCTAAAAATATATCTTTGGAAGCAGATCTTTATGATATGAGGTAAAAATTTACCTTATTCATCACTTTGATGAAGCACAATTTTTTCTTTTAATTGATCAAGACAGTAATAACGTTTCTGGTTGATTTACTGTCATGTTTCTAATGCAAAGAATTTCATCCTTTACAGATGTGATCTAAAACAGAAAGAAGAAGAACTGATATCAGTCAATGAAAGGTATTTTCCCCTCAGAAAACCCTGAAGTAACACATTGCAATATAAGATACAAACCTGGGTGTTTCAGTTCATTTTACTGCAGAATTGATGTTGGTAAGAATATTTATCTATTGCCTCGTTTTCACAGGCTGAACATTGAGCTCCAGACAGTGAGGTATTTTTCTATATTAGTTTTTACATAGACAATAACTAGAATATGTGGTTTTGGGTTGCAGTAAACAAACACATTAAGTATTTTCAGAAATTGTATTCTTTATTCTCAGATCTGCACTCAAAAATAAAGAAGATGAACTAGACTCAGTTAATAAAAGGTTTGTTCACACAACAACATAATGTTCTTGTTTAATCTGCATTATGAAGAAAATGATCATTTCTATCTTTAACTCAGACTGACTGAGGAAAAGATTTCTCATGACAATGAGATCCAGGAGATCAGGTCAGTTTTCAATCTGTATTTAAACGAGTTAAAGTTAATTATCACTTCAAACATCAATTAAACTTTATGAAGATTAAAAAAAACCTTTTGTTAAAATCATTTGATCTCATAGTTTCTCCAACAATGTTTTAATGGTTAATATTCTCCTCTACAGGTCAACTCTAGAAGAAAAAGAAAAGGAATTGAAATCAGTCAACAAAAAGTAATGTTAAGCTGAAAGAACACATAGTATTATGAAATATTATTTCTTACTTTATTCATGCATCATTTGCAATATTACATGTACATTATTTATGTATTTCATATATGTCTCTCATCATTAATGTATGAAATACACATTAATGTTGTGCTGGTCCTGCTGTTTTTGTATCTTGAGTTTTTATCTGTCATGTTTTAAAACAGATTGACTGAAGTAAAAACATCCCATGATGTTCAACTCCAGAAGATGAGGTAATTTTATTTATATGTTTTACATGAGATATTAACAATACAGATATTTGTCTCAAAACATGAAGGTTTATGTTTTTATATTTTATTTTTCTTTCTTCAGCTCTGAACTCAAACAAAAAGAAGAAGAACTAGAATCAGTTCATAAAAGGTTTGTTAACACAAGTTAACATAATATATTTCATCTTTAGATATCAGAATATTAAGTGGAAAAATTAATCTAACAGTTTGTTTGTTTGGTGATCATGACAGAAGTTTATGTTCCTGTTGAATCTGTTTTATGAAGATTATAATCTGTTATATCTGTAATCTGTCATGTTTTAAAACAGAATAACTGAATCAAATACATCTCATGATGATCAACTCCAGAAGATGAGGTATATTTCTCTATATGTTTTTACATGAAATATTAACAACACAGATATTTGTCTCAAAACATGAAGGTTTTTTTTAACATTTCATTCTTCATTCTCAGATCTTCACTCAAAAATAAAGAAGATGAACTAGAATCAGTTAATAAAAGGTTTGTTCACACAACAACATAATGTTCTTGTTTAATCTGCATTATGAAGAAAATGATCATTTCTATCTTTAACTCAGACTGACTGAGGAAAAGATTTCTCATGACAATGAGATCCAGGAGATCAGGTCAGTTTTCAGTCTGTATTTAAACGAGTTAAAGTTATTTATCACTTTAAACATCAATTAAACTTTATGAAGATTAAAAAAAACTTTTGTTAAAATCATTTGATCTCATAGTTTCTCCAACAATGTTTTAATGGTTAATATTCTCCTCTTCAGGTCAACTTTAGAAGAAAAAGAAAAAGAATTGGAAGCAGTCACCAAAAGGTAAAGATAAGCTAAAAGAAGATATAGTACCATAGATATTCTATTTGTTATTCATGCAGTAGTGCAACTATTGCATTTATGTATTTCATATATGCTTTCATCATTAATGTATGAAATACACATTAATGTTGTGCTGGTCCTGCTGTTTTTGTATCTTGAGTTTTAATCTGTCATGTTTTAAAACAGATTAACTGAAGCAAAAACATCCAATGATGATCAGCTTCAGAAGATGAGGTAAGTTTATTTATATGTTTTTACATGAGATAATAACAATACAGATATTTGTCTCAAAATATGATTTTTATTTTATTTTTTTTTACTTTTTATTCTTCATTCTTCAGATCTGATCTTAAACAAAACATAGACAAACTAGAATCAGTTAATAAAAGGTTTGTTCACACAACAATATGATGTTCTTGTTTAATTTGTTTTATGAAGAAAATTATCATTTCTATCTTTAACTCAGACTGACTGAGACAAAGATTTCTCATGACATTGAGCTCCAGGAGATCAGGTCAGTGTTGTTCAGGGTTTGTATTTAAAACAGTCAAAAACATAACTTGATAATGAATTGTACAGCATGAGGTTTTTTATTTTCATTTGTCTTCACATGGGATATTCACTAAAGTATTATAACTGATCACAGACTGTGAACATATCAGTGACATGTACAGTATAGCATCTAACATTGTGTGAGGTCATAGAAATCTGAAATATCTTTTGCACATTTAATTTTAAAACAGGAAAAGAGAAGAAGAACTGAAGTCAGTCAATAAAAGGTATCATTCTTCCAATCTGAAATAAAATATAAAAGTTTCAATTTTATTTTTGAGAGAATCTCAGTTCATTCATCAGTTCTACATAATCTTTGTAATTAAGAGTTTCATTCTCGTATCTTTACCACAGTCTGACTGACACAAATGCAAATCTTGAAAATGAACTTCAAAAAGTGAAGTAAGTACAGAGTTGATTTTCAAATAACTCAATCACATTTATTATTATTGATTTGTGGAGAAGAGCTTGGATTAGCTTCATGATCCTGAGGTTCACAGATTCATTAGTTTCACAGAATCACCTTTGACTTGGTCTTTTGTCAGAAAGAAATGATCTTTGTTGTGGTTATATATACAGTAAGTTACTTTCCCTGGTCTCAGTTGAGTTTGGGTTGTGGTAAAGATGCAGTGCACTAGAGCACTTTGTAATTTTGTTAAGAGCTCAATATGAATAAATGATCCTATTCACCCTTTGTCTCAAAATAACAATAGAGATTTTTATTCATGAGATTCTTCTTCAGGTCTGACCTTATACAGAAAGAAGAAGAACTTAAATCGGAGATTAAAAAGTATTGTTCACAGCAGACGAGGTATAATTTTTGTCTATATCTGTTTTAGCTTTGGATGAAGAACATGTTTTACGATTTAACAGGTTTTAACGCATTAGAATAATCTGAATTAGTAACTAAAAGGCATTGCAGTGAATATTACTAATCTGCAGGTCCATGTTAATAAGAAATAATGGTTGAATAGAAGATGAACTCTATTTTCCACACAGCCTCAGTGCTAAAAATATCTCTCTGGAAGCAGATCTTTATGATATGAGGTAAAAATTTACCTTATTCATCACTTTGATGAAGCACAAATTTTTCTTTTAATTGATCAAGACAGTAATAACATTTCTGGTTGATTTACTGTCATGTTTCTAATGCAAAGAATTTCATTCTTTACAGATGTGATCTAAAACAGAATGAAGAAGAACTGATATCAGCCAATGAAAGGTAATTTCTCCTCAAAAAACTCTAAAATAACACATTGCAATATAAGATACAAACCTGGGTGTTTCAGTTCATTTTACTGCAGAATTGATGTTGGTAAGAATATTTATCTATTGCCTCTTTATGACAGGCTGAACATAGAGCTCCAGACAGTGAGGTATTTTTCTATATTACTTTTTTCATGGACAATAACTAGAATATGTGGTTTTGGGTTGCAGTAAACAAACACATTAAGTATTTTCAGAAATTTTATTCTTTATTCTCAGATCTGCACTCAAAAATAAAGAAGATGAACTAGACTCAGTTAATAAAAGGTTTGTTCACACAACAACATAATGTTCTTGTTTAATCTGCATTATGAAGAAAATGATCATTTCTATCTTTAACTCAGACTGACTGAGACAAAGATTTCTCACCAAAATGAGATCCAGGAGATCAGGTCAGTTTTCAGTCTGTATTTAAACGAGTTAAAGTTATTTATCACTTTAAACATCAATTAAACATTATGAAGATTAAAAAAAAACTTTTGTTAAAATCATTTGATCTCATAGTTTCTCCAACAATGTTTTAATGGTTAATATTCTCCTCTACAGGTCAACTCTAGAAGAAAAAGAAAAGGAATTGAAATCAGTCACCAAAAAGTAATGTTAAGCTGAAAGAACACATAGTATTATGAAATATTTTATTTCTTACTTTATTCATGCATCAGTTCCACTATTGCATGTACAGTATTTATGTATTTCATATATGTCTCTCATCATTAATGTATGAAATACACATTAATGTTGTGCTGGTCCTGCTGTTTTTGTATCTTGAGTTTTTATCTGTCATGTTTTAAAACAGATTGACTGAAGTAAAAACATCCCATGATGATCAGCTTCAGAAAATGAGGTAATTATTTTCTAAATATTTCTACATGAAACGTTAACAAGACAGATATTTGTCTGAAAACATAGTTTTTTTTGTTTGTTTGTTTGTTTTCACATTTTATTCTTTATTCTTCAGATTTGACCTTAATCAAAAAACAGAAGAACTACAATCAGTTAATAAAAGGTTTGTTCATGTAACAATATAATGTTCTTGTTTAATCTGCATTATGAAGAAAATGATCTGTTATATCTTTAATTCAGACTGACTGAGGAAAAGATTTCTCATGAGAATGAGATCCAGGAGATCAGGTCAGTTTTCAGAGTCTGTATTTACATGAAACACTTATTTGAATGAGTTACTATTTATAACTCAAATTCCTGAAGATTCATATGAACATTTGCTAAAATGACATGTAATCGTATTATTGCAAATTTGTTTCTGTACAGATTTGCTTTAGTCGAAAAAGAAAAAGAATTTAAATCAACCAATGAAAGGTAATCCAAACCATGAAAAAATCACAGTTTAAATTATTTTAATCCTATAAAAATCATGCTATCCTTTTACTTTTATTGGAAAATTATAAAACCCTCTGCAATGCTGGGAGATTCCTGCAACATTCGTGTGTTTTATCTGCCATATTTACAAACAGACTTGAGACAAAACATCCCATTATAATGATATTCATAATTTTTCTAAATTTTTAAATGACAAATTCAAGAATATATGTACTAATCATGGGTGGTTGTAGAAACATTAGTGATGCTTACATCACAGTATCAAAGCTCTAGTGAGAACATATACATTCTTAAATATCTTTCTCATATTTCCTTTTGAAACACTAAAAGAGGAACAGTAATGTTCACACACTGAACATTACTTTTACATAACAGTTTAAATATTTATTTCTATCACAGACTGATTGTTAATACTCATTATTGTTCAATATAATTTATTTTTGATTTTATTAAGTTAAAAATATTGCATCTTCATTGTTTTCAGAATCTGTGTTACAAATGAAACATATCTACTTTATTTTAACACAGACTTGCTGAAAAAGAAACTGCTTATGAAAATGACCTCCATGAGATGAAGTTTGTATTTTTCTAAGTATTCTCTTGAAACAGTGTTCAGATAATATGTTTACTTATCACAGAAACACAATTACTCATTATTAAATACTTTTAGAAATGATAAAAAAAAATTGAGACTATGGAACGTTTATTGAAATGTTTAAACCATATCAGCAGATTTTCTCACTTTTCTATTCCATTTACAGATCTGCTTTAATAGAAAATGAAGAACTAAAATCAGAGATTAAAAGGTATTGTTCACACAACAAGCTAACAAAACATGTTTCAGCTCCAGATTGTTTAGATGTTAGGATGCTAAACGATAATCTGTTTGCTTGTTTAGAGATCATAAATACATTGTAAGTTCTCTGATGTTCCTCATTAATCTGCATTATGGAGAAAATGATCTGTTATATCTTTAACTCAGACTGACTGACACAAAGATTTCTTATGAGAAGGAGATCCAGGCGATCAGGTCAGTGTTGTTCAGGGTTTGTATTTACAGGAGGCACAGATCCACATAAGTTATTAATTTAAACATAAATTCCATTTTCTAAAGGCTCATATGAACTTTAGATAAAATGACACATAATCCTATTTTTTTCTTGGAAAATATTGTTAATATTGGCTCCTCTACAGGTCTGATTTAGCAGAAAAAGAACATCAAGTGAAATCAGCAAATGAAAGGTAATGCTCAAAACCTGAAATAAAATGTACCAAAAGCAAAAATATTTTAGTTCTGACTTTCTTATTCCCAGTGTTGTATAGTAACGAAGTAAAAATACTTCACTACTTTACTTAAGTATATTTTGGAGTACTTCATACTTTCCTCGAGTAAGAAAATTTTTGATAACTTTCACTTTTACTTCACTACATTTCCGAACTTAATTTCATACTTTTACTCCGATACATTTTCAATGTGTGGTTTAGTTACTCGTTACAAAAAAGCGAGAGAGAAACGCAACTGTTTTGACCAACCTACTGATCGACTGCAACAAAGTCTGCTTGCCTGGGCTTGTTCATCACCACCAATAGGATGCACAGGTTTCGCTCCTCCCCACCTACGTCAAAAAGTCCAGCAAACAGTCTGATTGGTTAGTGCTCCATTTGTGTAGGTTTGTGCCGTTAAAATGTTTGATTGAGCAGCTTTGGTTTCTGAGATATTAAAATGATTTTTTAGGCCATCCAGAGTTACCATCTCCGCATTTTGCTCCAAAACAAACCAAAGTGGGCTGGTTCGTTAATGCTCCGTTTGTGCAGGTTTGTGCCGTTAAAACAAACGTAGCAAAGTTGTTTTCAATTTGGATTTTGGCTATTCCAATATCTGGTGTGAGCGGAGCCTAGCTCAAGGTTGATCCGATTCATGAACGCTAATTTCGGCCAGCCGGTCTCTAGGTCTCCCCCTTCCTCAAGGTGTCGGAGTTTCACTCAGGGAGAGTCAACAAATTTTACATCCAAACTCTCCTGAGAAACTAATGGAAATAGATTTCTTGCCTTGTGACCAACTGACACAAAATTCATGACAATATTTTCAGTAATAGTAATCTTGAAAAGTATATATTTTGGATGGCCTAAAAAATAATTTTTAATATCTCGGAAACCAAAGCTGCACAAACGAAAATTTTAATGGCACAAACGGAGCTCTAAACAATCAGACTATTTGCTGGATTATTTGGGTAGGTGGGGTTCAGCTTCACGGAGGTCTGTTTCGCTTCTCCCATTAAACACCAAGTTAACAAAAAGCTCTCCCTCTTCAGATGCCAAATAAGCTGAATTTCCCTCCCAATTCTTTTTTCTTTTGCTTAATGACCAGTTGTTGCACCTTTTAGGCACCTATAGTTTGTGAAATAATGGGGTTTTTTTCTTCATGTTGGCCGCATTTTCTGTACTGACTTTATTTTTCTCATTTTCAGCACTGACCTTATTGAAAGAGAAAACTTGAGGTTTATAGAAACTTTGTATTTTCTGTCCTGGAGGGTTTACTAAGAAGCTGGTTCAGTTGTAAAGCAGGTTAAGTTAACCTAAAGCAGGTTAAGTTAACCTAAAGCAGGTCAAGTTAACCTTGTGGTTTAGGTAAAGCACCTACTTTTCTTAACTAAATGATGCCTGCAGGTTTATCCATTAGCAGGTTTCATTTTGCCTGCACTTGGTTGTGTACATTATTTTAAGTGTATTTAACAAATTTACCAAAATATAAAAATGTCATTCAAACTGCATTTGCCTTGTTTTACTTTTTACTTGTAATTTTCATTACATTACTTGAGTACATCCATTGTTACAGTAATTTCCATACTTAAGCACAAGATGTTTCAGATACTTTAAGACTTTAACTCAAGTAACATTTCAATCAGTGACTTTTACTTTTACCAAAGTCATATTTTGGAGCGGTACCTATACTTTTACTTGACTCTGAGATTTCAGTACTTTATACAACACTGGTTATTCCATGACAGACATGGAGAAGAACCTCATCTAGTTTTACTTGCAAATTATAAAACACATTAGAATAATCTGATGTTCCTGCAACATTTGTGTTATGAGAAGTTTTTGTCATACACAGACTGACTAAAGCAAAAATATCCCATGGAACTGAAGTCCAAAAGATGAAAGTGTTTTACTTTATTTGGTTTCCCATGGGATCTTAACTAAATTATGATTACTGATGATAAACTGTAGAAATATTGTTGATATCAATGTCAAAATATCAAAGCTTCATGAGGTCATTTAAACTTTAAATGTCTTTTTAATAGTTACTTTGAAAGCAGAACAAAGGAAGAAGAACTGAAGTCAGTCAATCAAAGGTAATGTTCCCACAATGTGAAAGAAGACATTAAAATATTGCAATCTGAGAGTCTCAATTCACTCATTAGTTCTGGGAATTTACTCCAAAATCTGTGTAATTAAGGGTTTAAATGACATGTTTACCACAGACTGACAGAAACAAAGACATCCCTTCAGAAAGAGCTTCAACAAATTCAGTAAGTTCAGAGTTAGTTTTCTTATGACCCACATATTGGGATTTAAGGATTTAGTGCCTTTGTGGTAATATATAAAGTAGGTTACTTGCTTTTTTCAGGTGGATTTCAGTTTCTGTAAACATGAAGCTTCCTAAAGCACTTTGTCATTCTGTTAAATGCCATAACGAATTGTTTTATTTGTCTGACAATAAGAGTTTCTTTTACACATTTCATTTTTCATTCAGATCTGACCTCAAACAAAAAGAAGATGAACTAGAATCAGTTAATAAGAGGTATTGTTCACACAAACTACAAAACATATTTCAGCTTCAGATATCAGGAGAAGTGGAAAAGTACATCTAACTTTGTGTAGTTAGTTAGTAACAAGCAAAGTTTAGTGATGATGAATGAAGCTCAATACATTGAAAGTTCTCTGATGTTCCTGCTGAATCTGTGTTATGAAGAACATGATCAATTATGTCTTTAACTCAGATGGATTGAGGAAAGAACTTCTCATCAAAAGCAGATCCAGCAGATCAGGTCAGTGTTGTTCAGAGTCTGTGTTTACATGAGACAATGATGTGAATGAGTTATTAATCAAAACATAAATTACAGTGCCTTTACCTGAACTTTAGTTAAGATTATATAATTTATGTTCTGCCAAACATGCTTTAATGGTTCATTTTCTCATCACAGATCAACGTTAGAAGTAAAAGAAAAAGAATTGAAATCAGCCGTTGAAAGGTAATACCAAACAAGACACTGTAAAACATTTTATTTTACACTTTCTAAATTCATGTTGTAGTTCTAGTTTAACTCGGAAATTATAATACATCCTACAATGCTGTGAAGTTGTTGCTGAGTTTGTGTTAGGAGTTTTTCTATGTTATCATTATAAATTAAAAATCTGTGTTGTGAATAACATGATCCGTTATTTCTTTAACTCAGACTGACTGAGGAAAAGATTTCTCATGACAAAGAGATCCAGGAGATCAGGTCAGTTTTCAGAGTCTGTATTTACATAAAACACTTATTTGAATGAGCTACTATTTATAACACAAATTCCAGTTCCTGAAGGTTCATAGGAACATTTGCTAAAATGACATGTAATCATATTATCTTTCCAAACATGCTTTAATATTCATTTTTTTCTCTACAGATCTGCTTTAGAAGAAAAAGAAAAAGAAATTAAATCAACCAATGAAAGGTAATCCAAATCATGAAAACATCATTGCTTAAGTTATTTTAATCCTATAAAAATCATGCTACTGTTTTACTTTTATTATAAAACTATACAACCCACTGCAATGCTGGGAGTTTCCTGCAACATTCGTATGATGAGGAGTTTTTATCTGCCATATTTACAAACAGACTTTAGACAAAACATCCCATTTTAATGACATTCAGACTTTGACACATTACAATAACCTGAAGCATTTTTCTTCAATAGAGCCTCTCTGAAACGAAAGCAGCAAGAACTCACTTCTTTCTATCTATCTATCTATCTATCTATCTATCTATCTATCTATCTATCTATCTATCTATCTATCTATCTATCTATCTATCTATCTATCTATCTATCTATCTATCTATCTATCTATCTATCTATCTATCTATCTATCTATCTATCTATCTATCTATCTATCTATCTATCTATCTATCTATCTATCTATCTATCTATCTATCTATCTATCTATCTATCTATCTATCTATCTATCTATCTATCTATCTATCTATCTATCTATCTATCTATCTATCTATCTATCTATCTATCTATCTATCTATCTATCTTCTTTGTTAGTTTATTTAAAAATGTGTATATATGTTATATACACATATAACACTCTTGTTTTCTGTTACAGAATGGCAGGACAGCTCTTTGTTCCCAAACCTGCTGCAGATTCTGATGACCTTCACAAGCAGAAATTAGAGAAAACAATGTAAGATTTATTTAGAAATTAAACGGAATGAAAGATTCTGTGTAGTTTTTCTTATTTTGTATTTAGTTATATTTTTCAAACATATGTATTACTTATGAATCAAAATGTTCAGTTCCTGTATCAAACAAAAGGATGGAAATAATTTTTCATTCTTTGATGGAAAAAAAAAATTACCTTAGCTGATTCTATAGGTTTATTGTTAAATATTTTTTATTAGTGTATAATGTTTTGGTGCTTGAATAAATTTAGCCAAGTCATAGCTTTGCAGTTGTACAGTTGAGCCCAAAGGTTTTCATACACCAAACAGATTTAGGTTTAAAATAATCTTTTGATTTCGCCAACATGTTTTTTCCTCTAACTGGAACTAATGTGCTGGAGTAGCCATGCTAGTTACTGGGGAATGTGTGCAAATGTGAGACAGGACATAACAATAAGAGTGATGGGAAAGAAATTTTCCCAGCTCACTAAATATTTAGCTTGAAAAAGATATTTATGAGTGAATGTAACATTTTTAACTTTATAAAACTGAGGTTTAGTGTTTTATCTAGTGAAAGACTAAGTAACTCATTTTTTATGTTTGACTGCAACATTACAAACAAGACCCCATAGAACATTTACAATCCAAGTTTTAGAACTGATGAAATATCTTGCATGAGAGATGTAATGTCTTGAAAATAAATAGTCAATTCCAGTTACCTATAAAGCTCAACATTATCATGTTCTGGTTCGTGTAGATATTCTACACAAGCAGAATGTGTAGAATATCTATGTGTACAACACTGTACATCCAGAATATGTGCATGAAAAATAAAATTGTGCAAGGTGATTGGAAGGATAGAGAGCTCTGGAATTAATTTAGGAAATGTGATTCGGGTCTGAACAGAATCTGAGGAATTGTCATGAATTTCTTAACAGATCTGATTTAAGAGAAAAAACATAAATCAGTACAAGTTTAACCAGTTCCTCATATGTCTGAAATAACTGAATGTGTAGTTTATTAGTTTATTTTAAAAATTGGTTTACTTTTTCTCCTCACAGATCTGAATTGAAACAAAAAGAAGAAGAAGTGAAATCCCTCCAACAGAGGTATATAAGTCATGTAACAAGCTCAGCTATAATAGTTACATCCAGTTCTTTCAATTTTGCATATGTTTGCATATGTAATTTAAATATTGCAGAATAAAGAGTGAGGACTGAATGATTGTTTAAATTGCATTTTTAAAACGTTCAGCATGTCAACATTCTGGATGTGATTTTTGAAGCTGCTCTTGTGATCTAGAGAACAAACAACTGACTGAAAGAGGAAGCTTTTAGCTGAGAATTAGTTTATTTATTCAAAAATAAAAACCATTCTCTACGCAGCAATTTGCAACCCAAATTAGTTTGATTTTGAATACTTGAGCTAAACTCACCTGCAAAGGAGTAAGATACCTTAAGACATTATTTGTGAATAAGCACAGTACAAATTAACTTAGTGAATGACAAATTTTATTTACTTAAGACTGCAGGAATCAGCAGATGTGAGATCCAGCCCCCAGCGTTGTAACCCACAACAATGTGAACACAAAGAGAGGTCTGCTTTTTTAAATTTACCATGAATAACCAATAATCAGAGAACTGATGATTTTAATAACTTGTATCTTTTAACACAGCATGACTCAGATGGAGACGTTTTACAAAGAGAAGCTCATAAAGGCCCAGTGAGAAATTTTTCTAATACTTTGTTTAGCTAGTTACCATCTAATATTTAACTTAATGAGTCTGCAGGTTTTCATTAAACTGTTAATATATCAATGTTTGATTATAATTGAACTCAAATGATTTGTCCCTCAAAGCTTCATTTTTCTCCTCCACAGATCTGAAACAGCCAAAAAACAGAAAGAACTGAAATCAGTGAAAGACAGGTACAGATATTTAATATTTAGTTATTTACTGACCTGTTGCATAAATAACCAAACTAACTGTTTGACAGACTGGCAGCACAGATGGCCGCTTCACTAAAAACAGGAGACACTGAGAGCATGAACAACCCAGTCAGTAAAACCAGACTGACTGAGATGTACGACAACCTGAAACTGCTGCAGTGGCCTAAAGTCAAAGATCAGCTGAAATCCAGGAAGATCAACCCAAAGGAGGCCAAAGATCTGATTCAGGTAGATCTGATCCCAGGACATTTACCTGCTGGGTTTAATGTCACTGTGGATCTCATTAGACTGATATGGACCTGATCTCTGTAGAAAACATTTGGAAATGCATCAGATGAAATGAAGAGAAGGAAACAGCAGATAGAAGAAATGTTCCAACAGTCTGAGTCCAGCAGTGGACCGACTCTTCAGAAGGTAACTGGACCGTAGAACAGATTTATCCACAGAATCACTAAAGCAAAATGAGGAAATGTGTAAGCAATGTGAGGAAGTGTGTAAACAGCAACTTCCTGTGTTTCAGGTTAAAGAGTACAGACAGATCACAGTTCAGAACCTGCAGTTGGTTCTGTTCCACACCAACAAAGAAAAACTTCTGATGGTACGTTTACAGAAGATCCAGCTTCAGAAACCAAACAGAACACATACATTTACAGCTCTGATAGAGCAATCAATGTAACATTTAACATTTCCTTCTCAGACTGGTTTCCCAGAATGTTTAGGTGAATTTCCAGAGGAAGTGAAGGAGGATCTGAGACCTCTGACCTCTGAATGCTACTGGCTGAGCTGCTTGATGGCTTTAAACAATCCTCCTCTTCAGCCGGACTGGAGGAACCATGTTCCTGGGTTTGACGCTTCCTGGGATATTTTTCCACAACAAATCAAACAGTTTGTCATGTAGAGGAAGCAGATGCAGCAATGAGAACATTTTCTGACATCACTTCCTGTTTCTTAATTATTATTTTGAGGGTATTTGTTCATGTGGGATTTAATTTGTATGAAAACAACATGAATGAAGAAACTAGAAAATGGGGAATTCTTTCAAGTTTTAAGCTGGAGTTCTTACAGGACAACGGTCCATGTATTTTCAGGCAGTTTGTAGGTAGGTGCTAACATCAATGAAAAATAAAAAAATTAAAATTGACTCGTTTTTCTTGTTTATTTAACCAAAATCAGAAATTGGAAAACAGCTCAGCTCAGCTTGTTATCCGATTTCCCATTTAGTGCACGAAACAGAAATGGAAAAACGAATAATTTCCATTTTTATGATTTCATTTGTGACAAGTGGTCTGACCCAGGATGTTCTCTCTGTCCAGTTAACACATAGGCCGTGTCACACATTCAGCCTGCAGACAGACGAGCTTGGTCATTTCATGCTGTAGTATTTTCTGCAAATCAGTTTAAGTAACGCTCTTGTGAGAACCAAATAATGCTGGACATCTAGTCACCGATAAAAACAGTTGGCCTAAGTTTTTAGTTTAGTTTTATTATTTTGAAAGGCCAGATCATGGGGGCATAGCTTTCCATACCATCCCAAGAACACCTCCTCTAAGTACACATGCTGCAGCAAACAGGAAGGGGCGGGACGGACCGCTGCCAGTCTCATACCTTATATGGAAATGGGACCACTGAACTCCAGAAGTGCAGGTGGTGCTATTTCCTATATCTGTGGTCTCCTGTTTTTATTTTCTTTTGACATCTGTGAAAGATCTTTGTTTTTAGGAAGGATTTTCACTCAGCATGTATTTGAATTCCTCTCTTATTTACTTCAGCGCAGCTTACAGGTTTCAACAAATTCCGTAGCTTTGAATCTGAATCTGCTCCTTAGTCGCATCTTTTTTTAGACAGCTGGTCCAAAAAAAGACCACTAGAGACTTTAGAGCCTCTAGTGGTGTGAGGGTGGTAACAACTAATCCAATTCCATTACTAAATCAGAGTACCACAAAGTCGTTATTTACTATTAATTTCGGCATTACTGGAACTGTAAAATATAAATTCCCTCACAAAAAATATACATTTTCATTTTCTTAAGGAAGTAGAGCTAATTAAATTAGATAAACAATGCCTAAAAGTGGTTCCAGTTTCACTTGATGGCCAACCTGTTGAAGCTGTGACAAATTTTAAATTCCTTGTGTCGTTCCTGGACAGTCAGCTCAACTTTGCTGAAAACCAGACATGTTCAGAGGGAGGAGAAAAGGGGGTTTGAGCCCCTGCCCCTTTTATCCTTGATGCCTTTTTAGTTTTTTTTTTTTCCCCCAATTTTTTTTTCAATTTTATTTTTTTATTATCTGTATGTCAAAAGGCCTGCTTGTACCCCTCAGCAATAATGTTTAGCTAAATATAATAATTTAGCAAAATAAACTAGTCTGCCTGCCCTCAGTCTAATAATGACTCAGTTTCTCTTCCTCCATGTTGTTCAGTCAAGAAGAGGGGGCTGGATCTTTGTCCTCTAACTAACAAATTATGGGCAAGAATATTTTTCATACACTGGTTTGTGAATAAAAACATAGGTCTGATGTTGACGTTTAAAAAAGTGTTTCTATTCTAACTTCCTCATTCTGCCAAAAGCCTGGTTCGCTACAGGCAGAATAAACATCAGAGAAAATACTGGAGCAATAATTAGAACCACAGCATAAACACAAACATGCTACAATAAAATTAATCAAGATTTTCCCAAAGCAACGGCGGACTGACACAGGGACCACCAGCGGATTCCAGGGACTCCTATTGCAGCTGTTCATGCTTGCAAGGAGTTCCCCCTCATATTTAGTGATTAAATATAATCACTAACATGTTTAAATATCAATAAGGTGAAGTCTGTGATAGAGATACCAGGTTTATTGACCGAGGTTAAAATTAATCACTGATTATTGGTTATTTGCTGTGATGTATTTGTGAACAAACCAAACTCAAAGACAATCATTACATCATGTTGTGTTCCTCTGGCAGCACAACAATCAAAGTATCAAGATGAATCTTTAAACTTTTACAAACTAATTAAATCCTAAATGTACAATGTTTTTCTCAGCTGAATGCATTAAATAAAATTTAATAACATTGCCATTCTCTATAAATGAATGATACAGCTTTGATCTGTTACAATTAAACCATTTCTAGGGGTCTCTGAGTGTCTGGAGGCCCCTGAACTCAGAGATGTTAACATTACAAAGTTATAGAATTAATTATAGATATAAAATTATAGATATTTGTTCATCAACCTTTTAAGCTCCACCATAGATTTGCAAATTCACATATAATATCCTTCAGGATGTTCCAACAGCTGACCATTATGTGAGGCAAGCATCCAAATCAAAGAAACAAAATCCAACTTTGTTAATTTAAAGCAGACGAAAACAAGAGAAACGGTACTACAATAATAAAGTCTTAACTCAACCTGCACCGTTAAAATGTAATATATTTATAAAAGCTTCTAATTGTTGGCTTTGTCAAAAGCTAAGGCTATTAATAATTAATGTTTTGTCTCAGCAGAATGAAGCATAATGTCACAAAGCTCAAATCATTTCAAACTGACTCTTAAACCTAACAATGATTTTAATGATCTCCAGCACTCTCCAGATCTCATCTTTTTAAAATCTGATATGGTGAACATTTTACAGCAATGAGTCAACACATCTTCTGGACCAGAATCTGAGTACATCATGAAAGATTTATTCAGTTCTGGAGTCAAACACATAAAGCCCAACATTGTCAATAAAGTGACCACTTCTGTGTTTTTAGTATTTCATTCATTGATTTACTGTCTAATCTGAGCTGAACAGAAGAGCCTGAAACTACTAAGGTTTTATGTTACCACATCAGAAAACAGTCACAGCTGGACCTGAAACCCTTGGAGCAGATAATATTGCACAGATGTTTGCTTTTGCTTCCATAAAATGTCCCACAATCTATACCAACAACATTCAGGAGGCCATTAAGTTTCTGCTTCCTCATGTCTGTAAAGGTCAACCAGCGACCTGCTTTAACATCTGATCAGCAGGAATCTGGTCCAGAGGCTTTAATATTAGGAGACGTGTTTCTGCTGCTGACAGGTCATCACATCATAGGAAGGAAATCCTTGATACTTTCAAAATAAAACTTATTACAAAATCATATTATTACATTTACCTTACTTCTTATGTCTCAGTACTTGCTTATATAGAGGATCATTACTTTATCTTTAACTATGTGAGTAAATAAAACATTTTAAAACTGCCACAATACACAGAAAACAAGACATGTAGAAAGTAATTGTTCCTTGATAACACAAAGCTTTTTTTTCCAGTTTCAGTCTTGATTAAAGATTAAAAACTGACCGTCTTTTACCACAGTTCCTCCAAGGCAACTTTGGTAAAAACTCTTTCACTGCATCTACAGCCAATCATAGAGCCTTAAATGCTGTTACTGAATAATGTTTATGTCAAAGTTAAAGTTTGACATAGAACTGTTTTCTTGAAACCTGCTACTTTAAAGCATCATGATGTGTATTTGTTGGTGGACCCAAACGCAGTAGGCTCAGCCATAAAGTTGATCTTGTAGATTTAACAGAAAAAAATAAGAATAAAAACTTTGGGAAATGGGAGCCAGAGCAAAACAGAAATCCAGAACCAAAACAGTGACAGGGAATAGTCAAAGAGACAGCAAGAAATATGATCAGGAGAAGGATTTAAATACTGAGTGTGACCACTGGAACAAAAGACCTGGGCTGATTGCTAACGAGATGCAGGAGGCAGACGGAGGAGAGAGAAAATAGCACAGGGGGTGAAGGAGATTATATAAGGGACTAGGAAATGATTCTAGCACTAAAGAATGACTAGATCTATGAAACATAATTAAACTAGAATAACCAGGAATAATAAGAGAGATAAACAAATAGAATGTTTATTCTAAAGTAAAACAAACAAACCGTAAAACAGTTGGATCCTAAAATAAAGAAGCATTCTTTTTTAGCATATTTTATTCAAGTTACAAACATAATATAATTGAAGTGATCTTAAACAGCTTGTGATATATAAGATGTTTTATTTAATTGAATTTTTCCACCAGCTAAATAAAAAAGCAGACTCCTGATGTGCATATCACACAGTGGAGTTATTATGCATAACATGGTTAATAGACCAATTCAGAAATATAACTGTGGCTTTTTTCAAAAACATTTAATAGATTTCAGTGAAAGTTTCTTCCCAGATTTCACATGTGGATGTTTTATTGTTTTTTTCCACTAATAAATTTACTGCTCTTCCACATTTTGACGTTTTTCTTCTTCTTATAGTTTTATGGCAAACAAATTTATAAAGAACATAATTTTTTTTGACATGTTTATGAGAAAAAAGTTGCTATTTAATAAAATACCATCTTAAAAGTTGTCTGTGCTGAAGAGCACAGACAATAAAAGCAATAAGATGCTTTTATTTTGACAAAGTCTTCCGGAAGTGATTTCCTCAGCTTGACAGAGTGATTCAGCCGCAGAGAAACGGAGCGCAGCTTCATCCCTGCGCAGTTTCTCATCCTGTCCCAGAAACCAGCTGCTGGACCCGGATCAACGCCGCACAGGAAATACCGAACCAGGCCGAACCGAACCGAAACCCAGCAAGCTGATCCGAACTGAGCCGAGCCGAACCAGGCCAGAATAAAGACAGAGACAGACAGACAGGCGGCTTCATCTCCTCCTGCAGACTGAGCGGAGTCTTCCTCACCGGTAAGAACCGATTCTGGTGCTCTGACCTGTCTGCGCGTGTCTGTGTGTCTGTGTGCGCGTGTGGGCCACTCCCTTTCATCAGCTCTACCTGCAGACTCACTGATCAGGTGATCACAGCATCCTTCATCTGACCGGAAACACACGTGTGTCCTAAACACACGGGGTGAGGTCATATGTGCGGGTTAATGTATGTGTGTGTAATGAAAAAAACCCTGGAGAATGGATCCATGAAAATCAGCTGTTAATCAAAGCCTGTATGAATGATGATCAATAATCAGCCTCATGTGGAACCTGAGGCCTCAGCAGCCAAATAGAGAGAAAACTGGATATATTTCTAATAAGCAAGATTTGCATTTGTTGTGATTTAATACAGCAGCACTATCCTGAGCAATCAACGATAATGTCGTGGATAAACAGAAGATTATATTTCTGTTTGTATATTTTTTCTATATTTTTGTATTATTATTATTTATGGGTCATATCAAAATCTATTTAGTTGAAAGAAATGTTAAGTGAAAACAAATGTAGATCTCAAAATCAAGGATAAAGGAAGTGTATGAATCTAAATATATTTAAAGAAAAATACATGTTAAATATTGAAAATAAATGATGTGTTGAGTTTTGTTTTAAAGCCAGACTTTTTAGTGACTTGAATTGAATAACATTTACTTGAGTAACTTTATAGAAAAATGTACTTTTATATATATATATATATTCTTTGTTCTACTTTTTAATTTTACTTGAATTATGTTGTTATGAAGTATCACTCCTATGTGAGTAATTTTTTGGACGACTGCTTTCCATTTAGCTCTAAATACAAAGTATTTTAATCTCTTTTCTGTTTAACATGATGTGGATAGAAGAGATTTAAAGGTATAAATAATGAAATGATGTTCTGTCATCAGTGCGTTTCCTGTCTGCTTATTTTTCAGTCAGCAGAGATGAGAACATCCTGTTGGTTCCTCTTGATTAAACTGATCCAGGATCAGTGATGTGGGCTCAGTTTCTGCAGCGATCCAACATGGCTGCCTCAGCGCTGACAGTGTGTGTGTTTACCCTGCTGCTGGCTGGGATCAGAGGTCAGTATGAAGCACAACACATCATCATCATCATCATCTCCATCATCAGCAGACAGAACAACTGGGAGCTGAAGTCACTGCATCCTGCAGTTATAGATCTGACACACTAAACATGACTGTTTAGTATCAGCTGCTATCAACTCTATTAACCTCTCATCCAGTCTAAGATGTCTATTTTTAAAATTACGAGAATAAAATAATACAATTACCAGAATAAAGACGTTACATTACCAGAATCAAATTTGCCAAATTACAGAAAAGTGTAATTAGATCCTAATAACTTTATCAAAAGGTTTTTTTCTTCATTAAAAATTGTTAATGAAGAAAAAAGCTTTTGATAAAGTTATTAGGATCTATTTTGGCCAAATTCGTGTCGTTCTTTCTTCAAAATACACACAGTCGTTTTCACAACCATTTCAAAGTTCTGGTGCTGACAATAATTTGATGCAGACGTGTTAAAAGATGAAGGATTTCTTTATTTGTTAAACATATACCAAACATCACAAGTTGCTCAACATTTCTCACAATATTACTACTTCATTGTTTTTATTCAGTCACAATATGATGACTTTATTCTTCTAACTTAAAAAAACCTTTTTTTTCCAGCCTGACCCTAATATTCTGTCTTAATATCCAGAGAATTAAAGGAATTCCTAAAAAATAACTTTCTTCAATTTTCTGACATCAGTTGTTGTTTGAGTCTCAGATTAGATAATGACAATATCAGTAGTTGTTCTCTTTAAACTGATTATTTTAATTCTTGCTGAATAAAAACCTGTAAAAACAGATCAGATGATGAGTTTCTCTCACGCCCTGACATGTTGTGACCCTGTGAGATTTTTGCCGTTTTTCTTCACTGACACATTGATTTTGTAACAAACTTCACCGTCAGTCTGTAACAGACCCTGATGTTTGGCATCTGAAGCTGCAGGAACGTTTTTTTTTTCACATTCCTGAAGTGCTTGTTCAGTTCCTGCAGCTCCTGATGAACATGCTTCGCCTCACTTCCTGTCTGTTCCTGATTCCTGACGTTCAGAAAGACGTCGGGCGGTCTGGGCCGGTGCTGTTGTTGAGCAGATGGTGCTGATAAGAACCCTCCACCCTCGGCTCATTGTGACTTCCAGCAGACTAAACACTGAGACTCTGATGGTCTGATGAATTGCTGAGAGCTGATGCACACACCCTTGATTATGTTCCTCCAGGAACCTCAACAGAAATTAACTTAGTTGGTTGTAGTTTGTAGTTTTAGCCACAGGATGGCACTAAAACACAACACATTGATCTGTATGGTATTTCTCTCATTGAATTATGTCATTTTATTGTAATAAACTCTTCTAGTAGCACAATTTTTTCTTTTCAAATCTGCACTTCTCTCCCAGCCTCCTCATTCTGCTGCTCTTGTTTGTTTTGTAACTTTGCTGACAGTTGTAAAACTTTGTCACGTTTTTGTTGATGGAATAACTTCAGGAACAGAGAAGTAGGTTATGAAGTTGACAGTTTCAGACTCTATTAAAGTGGTTCTCTGTAGGAATTGTTGCTCTGTATAAATTGTTGTGCCGTATAAAGTGTCCAGTGAGACGTGTAGTTGGATCATCAGAGTAACAATGTTGATGTAAAGGAGCCTCAGGAGCCTCAGGCCTCCGATGTTCCCGCTCGCTCTTCAAACTCTTTCTCCGATGCTGTCAGTGTTTATAGTCGTTGAGACCTCAGAGTGTTTGGCGTTCGTCAAAGTTCCTGTTGGTCTTTAGTATTGTAACGCTGCTATGTTGGTTAAATACACGTGTTACCACAAAGTAGGAGGTTGTGAGTGGAGAAAGAGAAGAGCGTGTCTATTCAGACTTTTTATGTAGCCACAACAGTTTTCAGCTCATACAAAAACCACCGAAGAAGAAACAAAACTACTTCTCTTAGAGGCAGACCACGATTTCTTAACCATAGATCAACATCGATAAATAACTGACTGTGTCTTTCAATAGCAACTTTGTAAGTGTCAAATTTGTTCTTGTGCTTCTAATTTATGTTGGTTGTGGTTAGTAGGATGCATAATCCTGATGGAAGATCACAAAGAAAGTACAGTTTTTATGAGAGAGTACATGTGTTAAGTATGTGTTGCTTCTTAAAGCCACATCTGCATAAATTGGGATAACTCATTGCTTCTGAGTCAAGTGATTCAGGACACCAGTGTCCATTTTATTGTTGGAGTGTTAAGTTGGGAACAGTGGTCAGAATGGGTACCCCGACTGGTTTTAAGAGCCGACAGTCTATGATTGTAACACCTTTGTATGACAACTAGCATCATGTTCTTTATCTGGAAACCATGGATCAGCCTAAAGTCCAGCACCAGCTGGTCTGAGCTGTTTTTAATGGCCATAATGTTATGGCTGACTGGCAGCATTCTCTGTTTGCAGGTTTGCAGTCTGAGGACCAAGAGGAGAGAATCTGTGCGTTTGCCAGCAGCCTGAAGGGGGCGGAGCCTGTCTCCACCAATGAGCTACGAGGAGAGGTCCAGGAGAACGGCACGATACGCTGCAGTCGCGGCTCCCGCTGCTATGGATTGTGGGAAAGACTCGCGGACGGAGAGATGCAGCTGCTGAACCAAGGTCAGGGATGTTCAGGAACACTTTCCATTCAGAGTTTGAACCAAAAGGTCTGGTCCAAACTGTGTTCTGGTTGGCTCAGCAAGTTATTCTCTTTCAGTAACAGAAACTAGAGAGTTTAGAAAACAAACAAACAATATACATAACTCTCATTTCCTGTGAATATTAGATTAACAGTCATTTATTCCTCTGAGTTTTTATGATTTGAAGCATCTTGTTCAGTGTTTCCTGATGTATCTGTGCGTTGTCAACAGGAGAAGGAAGGAAGAAAATAATTTTTTATGATTTGTCAGATTTTAATCAGACAGTTTATATTATATACACGTCTTCTTTTTCTCAGACTTTAAAAGTTAGAAGTGAATTTTATCAGGAGAAAAAGCCTCAAACTCTTAATTAAATAATCTGCTGCTCTGAAGCTACAGATGATCCAACTGCTGTTTGATCCTAATATGATTAAACTCCTCTATTCATATCAGGAGTGGAGTTTGTTATTATTATCACAAAAATAAGATATCATGTAAAACATAACTCTATTAGAAGTGGTGGAAATTAACTGGAAAGTAAAGAAAAAGCTCTCAAACCTCAACGGTCTTTCTAGCTGCTGCTCAGAGACTTGACCTCAGGTTTACTCACATTAAAAGGAATTATGGGATGGAGTAATCTGATTTCCGCTCATTCAGGAAGCTCCAGTGTTCCTGTGGAGGAAACAAAGCAGATAATGAGAGAGCGACTATAGCTGCTTTCATTTCAGCATGAAATCTCTGCTGGCGTTTAGGAACTTCCAGGTCATTTCACTCAGTTTTTGTTGACTCACAGCAAATATTCAGATCCCTGAAACCTTCACACATTTTACATTGTTACAACCACAAACATCAAAAGTATTTAAGTTGCATTGTCCATGACAGAAACAAATAAAGGCCAAGAGTTTAATGGATTAATTTCAATTAATTAATTGTATAGATTTTAAATTTTAATTTAGTTAATTGCATTTATTTTAACATACAAAGTTGGCAGCTAGAATCTTTGTATTTGTTGAATTCTGACACCCAAACAACATCTGCAAAAAATAGTGATGCACAAGAAAGCTTCTTCTATTGAGTATGGATATAATAGAACTTTATATGAATAAGATTAATACCTGATAAAAATAATAAATATCTTTATTGTGGAGCTGCTTGTCTACTTATTCAACACTTTAGCAGCAAAATTGTTTTTGAATAGAAGATGTTGCTAGTGGTTTTTGATTCAAATGATTAAGTAAAGAGCCTGAAATTAACTTGATTAAAATTTTTACTGAAGAGAAAGAACTAAATGCAGGTTTCAATTAAGTTCTGAAGAAATACACAAAGGCAAATACAGAGAAATTATTACAGGAAGCCTTTTGAGGTCGATCCCAACCAGATTGGCACATCTAGAAACAGACATTTGTTAACTTAATTTAGCAAATCAAGCTCAGTCAGACTGGGTGGAGCATCTGTTGGGTTGTTGTTCTGCTAGAAATAATCCTCCAGCCCAGTTACAGCCTCTATTTAGCCTCCATCTAAACACAGGACAGAGACGATGTGTTCAGGGTGATGTGCAGTTATGGCATTTCAAACAAACAGTAAAATATTTGTCCCATCTTACCAGAGGATATTCGTCCACATATTTGTTGTGTCTCCTAAATGTTTTGCCAGTTTACAAACTGAACTTCTCATCATTTTCTTTCAGTTTTGCCTTTCATCTTGTTGATCTTTGATAAAGGTTAGATTTGGTTTGTGCATGACTGATATCTGTCCAGCCAACAAACAGTAGTCTTGCTTGTGGATGTCTTTTGCCATTTGTTGCACTTAATTTTATCTCAGATTAAGGAGTATGAACTATTATTTTAAAACGTAAATACTTCACAGTTTTGCATATCTTTGTGTTGACCTCTCTCTCTCTCACATAAAATTTCCATCACTTAAAAAGTTTATTATCACAGTTTCAGAAACTGTAGTTCAATAGTGTTGTATAGAACTGTAGATGCTGCTGCAGCTGTTTCAGGATCTGGACAGTAATGCAGAGGTAATCCATCATTTAACAGCTCCTGTTGTCAGAAGTGTTTCATTAAAGACCCATTTCTCCTGCTGGACTTTATTTGGTGTAAAACATGAAACTTTAATGTCAGATTTGATCTTTTTTTGTCACTCTGCGTTTGTTTAACCTTTACTCAGCGGCACATCTGCTCACAGCTTCCAGTAAACCGAGACTCTGCAGCCTCTGAAACTCTTAACATTTGACCAAAACAAAGAGAACAAATCAGTCATTTTTAAAAGTCCAGCTGAATAAACCAGTGTGTTTCCCTCCAGGTTGTTGGATGTATGTGGGCCACCACCAGGAGTGTTATGGTGACCGCTGCATCCTGGCCACTATGGCTCCATCTCAGATGCAGAAAGCCAGCTACCATTTCTGCTGCTGCAGCCACGACCTCTGCAACAGTAATTACACTGAAGCTCCGCCCACTGCCGACACGCCCACCCTGAGGTCGATGAGGAGGGACGACCTCAACCTCAGCCCTGCAGGTGAGCTCCGTTCAGACAAGTTACAGAATTCATCACTACTGACTGAAACATGTTCTGATCTGATCCAGTTCTAACAGGCATCTACTGTAATATTGGAGTGCAAAATCTTTTCTTAAAGTCTATAAAGAGGCTGTTTATTTGTTGAAGCATGAAAAACAGTAAATTTATAAATTTGTAAATTTATAAATAACATTTTGAATTGAAGTAAGAAATCCTAGAAAATTATTGGGCTTCTTTTGCTTAAGTAGTAAAATATTGGAGTGATTTAGTTTCACAGCTGCAAACACAAAGAGTAAAATTTTTATTTATTTATTTCGTTTTGGTAAGTTGGAAGCGAATTTAATGAAAAGGGTTTGCTTGTCTGTGTTTGAATCACATTTGGACCTCTGAATATAAAGTTTCTTAACCCCTAAATTAAAAATCTATTTTTCTAACCACTGTTCAGTCTGGCTCTGAAAACACAGGCTGCTGTTCATATCTATGTTTTCTGACCACTGATTTATTCAGGGTCTTCTAAACCTACGATCACAGAAAGTGACAGATGTTAGACAAACATGTTTTACATGAACTTACGTGAAAACTTTTCCACAGATCGTCGGATCACGGCGAAGGAGACGGTTCTCATTGCTCTAGCAACTGTGGCTATGGCAGCCCTCCTCATCATGGCGCTGTTCCTGGGATACCGGATGATGAAAAGTAAACACAGTGAAACGTTTTTCATAATAAACAGGAAAAAGAAAACAATGAGTAGAGATTAGAAATTACAGATCCTGCAGTGTTCAACAAAAATGCTTTTGTTATATAAAAAAAGCAAGGGTTATTAAGAAGCAGGAGGAAAAAATATCTTTACTGAAGAAAAATATTAAGAATATAAACAGGCAAGAAAAAATATTTCAGGATTCATAATATCAAGTACTAAAATGTGTCCTGTAATAAATCCCCCAAATAGGTCTTGAACACTTTAGTATTCAGAAGATGCATGTGGTGAATAATAAGGAATAATTGATCTTCTTCTGTTGTGTGGATCCAGGGAAGCACAAACATGGTCTGTCTGCTGTGAACGCAATGGAAGCAGCAAACTCTGACTCAGCTGTGGACTTCGATAACTTGAAACTGCTGGAGGTATTTCTTTCAATCGTTGTGAGCTGAATAGTTTTTTATACATTTTCCATGTATAAAATATTATGTTATGTGCAGATAGTGATTAATTTCCAAACTCCTTTATATTTTTAACATTACATTAACAACTAAAACATTGCTCCAGTATTTTATTCATGGAGCAATTAAGAATTTTCCAGAATATTCTTTTTTTCCTTCTCTATTGCTTTTCCACAAAACAGTAAAGACTGACTTCTTAACAGCCCTGGAGAAAATATATGTATTTTAAGTGATCTTCTTCCTCCTGTCTCGCAGCTGATTGGTCGAGGCCGTTATGGAGCCGTGTTTCGTGGCTCTCTGAATGAGCGATGCGTTGCTGTTAAAGTTTTCAGCTCTGCTAACCGCCCGAACTTCTCCAACGAGCGCAGCATCTACCGACTGCCTCTGCTGCAGCAGCATGACAACATCGCCCGCTACCTGGCCGCTGACGAGAAGACGACAGCCGACGGGCGACCGGAGTTTCTGATCCTCATGGAGTATTACCCACATGTGAGTTAGACACGAGGGGAAGAACAACAATAAAAAAAAAAAACCCAACAAATATCTCTAAAATTTGAAAAAGCAAACATAAGATGGGGAAACATAAAACAGAGTTATAGCAGAAAGTCTAAACTTTAGATTTAAATTAAGTTCTCAAATTAAAAACTGTTCAATCTCAACAGAATTCAACCGGATTTTGTTGTTGAAATTTCCACCCTAAAACACATAAAAATCTATAATTAAAACCGGATAAGATAAGATAAGGTTTGATTTTTGTTTATACTTCTAACAAAATCTTGGTCATTTATGGAGTTAAAATGAAAAAGGAAAGAGGAAGGAAAAACATTTAAATTGACTATAGATTGGAACCAGAAAAATTTGTTGTTTTAAGCTGCTTCTTGTCTTTTGCTGGCACATTTTCCTGTTTGAAAATAGTGGAAAGGTTATTACTGCTCTGATCTTATATCTTTTGCATTTTCTAACCCATGAATCCTATTGGCATGCAATAATCCCTGCAGCCTCTAGGGGTGCTGTGGTTCAGATATTCTATTCCCACCCATGGAAACATATCTGTGGTTCTCCATTCCTCCAGTCTGTGCAGGGATATGGTGCCGTCCTGTCTGTTTCCTGCCTGGAGCCGCCATCCACTCACACACACACACACACACACACACACACACACACACACACACACACACACACACACACACACACACACACACACACACACACACACATATACGTGCTTTATGTGATCGTAAGGGCAGTTCTTTAAATGCCATATTTCCAGGACGAGAAGCAAAAACCCGACCTAAACCAGCTTTTAAATGGTTTTAAAAACAAATCTGTACAAAGCCACAAATCACTGAATAAAAACAACCTTTATTTAAAAAAAATTTTAAATCATCAAACCTGAACAGACTTAGCTGTAAAGTTAGTTTTATTCATGTTAATCACTTAAAAACAATTAGAATCATGTGTTTTTTTTTAATATATATTTTTTTAGATTTATTTAACTATATTTGCAAATCATTCCTCATGATTTGATCTTTTAGAAAGTCCCCACAACATTAAATCCCTCTCAGACTGTTATCAGTATGTTTGTTCATAAGCACTAACATGGAGATGTGGATATAAACAGGATGGCAGCTCTTTGTGCTGGCTGCACTCTGAGCCGCTGTGACGCGTCGCTGGTGTTTTTCTGCATTCCTTTACAGCTGGCAGGCGTTCATTAACAACTCTGTTCACAAACTGTAACCCAGTCTGGAAAAAAAACAAGCACAGGAACGTTTACATGTTTTGTTTTGTTTTGTTTTGTTTTGTTTTGTTAGTTTTTGTCCTAAATATCAACTCATAACACAAACTGTCAGATGAAATCTGTTGCTTTTACAGGAAAACAATTCTGCTGGAAATGAAACCATAAACACTTAATATCCTCCTATATTAATAAAAAATATTCAGCAATTAATAAACAGCTCTAACCTTCTCTTCCTACAAACATAGCAACATCTATTGGCCCATTTCTGCTTTTACACATAAAATGGTTCCTGAACCAGATTTATATCTTAACTAGAGGAGGTTCATTACGGTTTATCTGTTTTTCATCTCACTGCTTGACGATGAAATAAAAACAATTATAGTTTCTACAAATAGATAATCAAACATATTAGACTGTTCTGTTAAATAATACTGAACAGCACTGCGACAGTCAGCCATGTTCTAAAATTATATTTTAATTGGTAAAAATATGAAGGTCTTTCTTGTAGGGAGATCAGAAATTCTGTTTTCTGGGAATAAATCCAGTAAACAAAAATCTTTGCCACAGTTCAGAGACAGTTGGCAGTTTTTCCTTCCCTCAGAGGAATCCAATCTGCCCAGTGACACTGGAGATCTGCTTGGAGAAAGTTTACCAGTGATCAGGTTCTTAAAATCCTGGACAACTCCAGACTTCAGATTTTAAAACTTTTCTTTGATGTCTTAAAAATTTCCTAAAAAGGCATAAACTGCATATATATCAGAAGTTATGATCCAAAACAAGTTACATGTCTGTCTGCCTCCAATATTTGACATGAAATCTGTTTTCTAATGAGACATTTTGCTTCAGCCTTTTTAAGTTAATATATTTGGGACAAGTTTTTTGTCTGGAAACAACTTGAGAAATCCTGAATTGACGACATAGAAGTGAACCAAAAGAAACATGTTATTTTAAAATAAGAGAATCATTTTTATAATTAAAAAAATTATAAACAGTCTAAAACACAGACTTTAAATTATAAACTGACTACAACAGTCTATTCAGACTGTCGTAGTCAGTTTGAAGACCTGAAAGCTGCACAGAAACTGTTTTAATTGAATTTCAGTCTCCACTAACGTCTGGATCTGTTTCAGGGGTGTCTGTCTCAGTACTTGTCTGTTCACACTGTGGACTGGCTGACCTGCTGCAGGATGGCCCACGGCATCACCAGAGGACTCGCCTTCCTGCACACTGAACTCTACAGAGGAGGTATGATGGAGGAATGTGTCAGAGATTCACTTTAAAGCTTCCACTGAGCTGACAGACGGTTTGGGAACTATTTCCTCTAGCGGATGCATCTCTGTGAGGAGCGTCAGGGACAGCAGGATGGTTTGTGTGGGAATCAGGAGAAACACAATCTGTGTTTTCATGTGATGGGGACAGACATCAGTCAGTGTGAGAGTGTTTCTGACGGTTTGGATGAAACGGCGCTCAGCGTCAGATGGAGGAAATATTTATTCTCACACAACATGCAGGAGGGAGATTTCACAGAGTAGCACCATCTCCTCCATCTGCTTTATTCTCTCTTGTTGGTGTATTTCTGCATAAGCAGATTGCTCTAAACTCATGCAGACATGCCTTTTGAGTCCAGCTTTTACCATCATATCAGTTTTTCTCTGACTGTCTGTAAAAGCATAAAACTGCTTTTAGGTCAGGATAAGAAGCGTGACCCTTAAATTGCAGCAGGTACTTTTCAACTTGCTGTATGAAACAAGTTTCTCTAAAACTAACAAATTATTTTGTATGTTTTTTGATAAATTAAAGATTAAATTATTTTTTCATCTGTCATTGGGCATTTTATTAGAAAAGTCTTGTTTCAGAAAATAAATCATTTTATCCTCAGAGCTAAACTCACCTGTGTTGTCTGTTCCCACTCAGACCAGTACAAGCCCCCTGTGGCCCACAGAGACCTGACCAGCAGGAACGTTCTGGTCCGATCCGATCTGTCCTGTGTCCTCGCCGACTTTGGCTTGTCAATGAAGCTGACCGGAACCAGAACCTGTCGGCCCGGAGAAGATGAAACCATGGCTATATCCGAGGTCTTGGCTTTTCCTCAGAGGTGATTAAGGTGTAATCAAATAACTGGGTTGAGCTAATGGGCTGTGTTTGCAGGTGGGGACAGTCCGGTACATGTCCCCGGAGGTTCTGGGAGGAGCGCTGAACCTCAGAGACTGTGAGTCGGCTCTGAAGCAGGTGGACGTGTACGCTCTGGGTCTGCTGTACTGGGAGAGCTTCAGGAGGTGCTGCGACCTGTTCCCAGGTAAATCCTGACCCCACCTGCACTTTCTGACCACCAGGGGCTCAGACTGCCTCACTGTGAGGGGCTGGTGTGTGTTCAGGGGAAGCCGTTCCAGAGTACCAGCTGGCGTTCCAGGTTGAAGTCGGGAATCATCCGAGCTTCGAGGACATGCAGATCCTGGTGGTCCGAGAGAAACACAGACCCAGATTCCCAGAAGCCTGGAAAGAGAACAGCCTGGTCAGTCTCTCTTTCCACTCACTTACAGAACATTTATCAAACTGAACGCCCATAGGACAAAATACACCCAACATCTGGCCCTCTTGAGTCTTGTGGCCCTCAAGACTCTTAAGGGCCACAAAAATATTAGTTCAAGGTAACCGTTACCTGCTTAAATATTGTTTAATCACTTGAATAAAATCAGGTTTTTGCATATTGTCAAACTGCAATGTGAAAAGATTTAAAATTAAAATGTAATTTTAAGTACTGCCCTTTGAGGACTTTCAAAATATTGATGTGGACCAGAATTAAATTCAGTTTTGACACCACTGCCTTACAGAATGGGTTCAGGGTTGAAAAGCCCATCATCACATTAAACAGATTTATTTCCATTTAAAATGAGGAAAACAGATCAGATACCTGAGAAAGTTTTAGAACTGTCTGGTTGTGTTTGACCTGCAGCTGCTGTTTGTCACCAACTCTCAGTTTTATGTGTTTACAGGCTCTGCGGGCTCTGAAGGAGACCATGGAGGACTGCTGGGACCAGGACGCAGAGGCTCGACTTACGGCTCAGTGTGCTGAGGAACGCCTGGCTGACCTCATCCTCCTGAGCCCTCATACAGCGCTGCACAACCACAGGTAGAGACCAAGATCACACCTGGAACAGAGGAGGAACAGGAAGATATTTAGCTCTCCCTAGAAATCACTATTCAGTCATTCAGCTCTGCAGACGCCTTCTTGTTCTTCTGTGGAGTTTTATGACAGCTTACATCCATTAAGGTGTATCACCACCACTCATAGGATTCAAACATCTGATGAGTGTTTGAATCTTCCATTATCAACAGGAAGGACATAAAGTTTTTGCATCTACATTAACTGGATCCAATAAGCTCTTCACACAAACATTGCTTGATACTGGAGTTGCTATTTGGCCCAGAAGATGTTTTCTTTTATCTGAGTATTTACAGCAGTCCAAGATAACTTGGTTCCCAGTTTCTATACAGAAGTCAGAATATCAACATATTAAGCTGGCTAATATAGATTTGTCTCTGTTGTTAACGTCGCAGAGTTTTGTTCTCCAATTCAAAAACTTGTCTTCCACTGGTTTCTTGTTCCTTTCTGTTGCCACTACTGGTGATCCATTCATTTGATTCAGGTGTGTTGGAGCTTTGAGGCATCAAAAGGTTGTAGGATAGAAGCTTTTCAGGATTGAGTTCATAAACCCCTTGTGTACTGACTTACTGCTTTCACATTCTGAAACAAAAGTCAAACCTTTCGCTTATCATGACATATGCAGCAGCTTATTAGCTAACGAGCTAGTGTTCATATTAATATCACATCAACATTTTTATTTTCTAACAAACTGATTTCTAGTTCCAATCCCACAACAGCAATAACCTCGTAAAACAATCTTGAGTTTCTGCTTTCTATTCCTCAGGAATCTGACTCACAGCCGCTGGACTCCTCAGGTCGGCTCCGCCTCCTGCTACATAGAGGATCTCCAAGTGGGTGTGGTTAAAAATCTCCAGGGAGACGGACACTCAGTCTCTGCTGTCAGGACGGCCATGAGTGGAGCGGAAGTCGGAGAGAAGAACAGGAACTGCATCAACCAGCAGAGGCAACAGGTAGAAGCTCAACAGGTGACACAATAAATACGAACCCACATAAAAACAATTCTGACTCACTATCTCTCTCTCCTCTTACAGATTAAAGCTCGTTCGGCCTCCTCAGACTGCAGCATGATGACCTCCAGCACACTGAGGACGGACTCTGTCCTTTGCAGCATCTCTCATCTTAATGGTAACTCACTGAACTCTGGAGCTCAAATTAGAAAACTTTAATCCAGATAATTTTTAACTTCAACTCCTGTCCTGCAGGGGGCGCTGCACCCAGCATTCCTGTCTGTCTACAGCTCACAGAGGAAGACCTAGAGGCCTCCAAACTGGACCCTAAACAGGTTTTATGTTTATCTAGTCGTTAGTTTCTCTTCTTCCTCCTCACAAGGCCAGCATCTGTAAACATCTGTGTTTGCAGGTTCAGAAAAACCTGAGAGAAAGTTCTCAGGAAAACCTTATGGAGCATTCGCAGAAGCAGTTTGGATCAGCACAAACCTCCAACCTGCATCACAGTGTGGAGGTAAAACATCTCGGTTTCTCTCAGTACCTGAGTAATTGATACTGAACCTTGTAACACCTGTTCCTGTTCATCCTGCAGGTGACCAATCAGGAAGAAGCAGGACCTTCCTTCTCCATCCAGCCCCTCCCCAAGCAGCAGAACGTCCCCCAGAGGCCCACCAGCCTCCACTTGCTCCCCAATCCCAGCGAGTCTCGACTGAAGCCGGGAAGGCTCAGGTCCACCCATCGACAGGTATGACACGCTCTGATCTCATTGGTCAGAGAGAATCGGTTGGACCCATCGGGTTTATCAGTATCCAAAGAGCAGAGAGAGATGATGGGGCTGAATCTCTGCAGGAATCCTGATGAGAACCTCATCAAATTTGCAAATCTGACGCTTAACACCATAAATCAGTAATATGCTAATCTGCAAAATATTTAAAATAGTTGTTAGTTGCAGGTCTGCATCAGGTGAATTTTCTCTCCTGGTTTGTGTGATTCGTTCTCCTCCAGTAAGCCTGGATCTCCTTTGTTCCAGGTGGAGACAGGTGTGGCTAAGATGAACCAAGTTATCCCATCTGTGGAGGCACACCTGGTTACCACGGTTACCAACATGAGGAGCAGCGCCGCGATCGGGTCTGAGGTCCTCTGTGCCTCCAGCAGCCACAGCGCCGGCGTTCCCATCCTGGTGAACAATAAGGCGAGAGGAGGAGGGAGAACCAACCCCGCAGGGCCACAGGAGGATGAGGGGGACGAAGGGCGAAGAGCAGGAGGAGGAGACGGGGACGGCCGACTGAACCTCAATCTGAACTTCAGTCCTGATGAACATGAACCTCTGCTGAAGAGAGAGCAGCTTCCTGCTGAGAGCGACCCTCCTCCTCCTCTTCATCATCATGGTCCACCAAGCAGAGCCGGAGGACGAGGATCCAACTCCAACAACAACAACAACCGCCTGCCGTTGGGCCCAGAGCTCCATGTTCCTGCAGAGGTCAGTGTTCCTAAACCAGAAACCAGGAACAGTGACCCTCCTCCTGCAAGCTCAGTTATTCTTTCTGGATTAGAAATGGTGTCAGTTCATCCTGAGGACAGAAGTGAAGCCACAGATACTAAAACATGTCAGAAGGAAATTAAAACTCTAACAGAAGGAAACATACAGGAACAGAACTCAGCTTCAGAAGCATCAATAGCTCCTCTGAACCCATCATTGGTAGAAATTACAGCTGCAGGAGTTCCACCTCTGGACATCTCCGACCTGGAAGCTAAAGATTTGGATCCTGCTCCTGCAGAAAGTCTGGCGTCAGAACCTGTAGAGCTGCAGAATCAAGCTTCAGAAGCTCAAAGAGCAGGTCTGTTGCTCAGGCAGACTAAAACCAGGAGACCGGAGCGTCCATGTTCTCTAGACCTGTCCTCCTCTTGCAACTCGTCAGGTGGGTCAGCATGCTTTCTGTGCAGAACATTCTGAGATAAAACAATGCAAAGATCTCGGCTGTTATACAGTTTTCTGAAAGACTTTGGGACTTTGGAGGATGACTTTGGAAATGTCTTTATGTGGCTCTGAAGGTTCAGGTCTGAGTCCAGATTTCACCAGTTTCTAGCTGTAATAACTGAAGTTGCATGCTGACTTTAGATCGTTCCTCTTTTGGCTCAAAGATAGTAACTTGTCCATGTTTCTCCTCCTGTTTCCTTATTCCCTGCTCTCTTCTTCTCAGACGATGTTTCTGTGATGGATCACGGCAGTCTGAGCGCCTCAGGTGAGAAAATCAAGCGCCGCGTGAAGACTCCATACACCCTGAAGAAATGGCGTCCGGCCTCCTGGGTGGTCTCCTCAGATAAGGATCTGGACCTGGAGTTTGAGTTCAGCGGCGGTCAGGTCCAGGTGTCGTCTGGCCCACTCAGAGCAGGAGGAGCAGGTGTGCCTAGAATCAACCAGTCCAAGTCCAGCATGGCTGTGTTTCTGGTTGGAGGAGGAACCACGGCGACCACAACCTCCGAGCCGGATGGGATGACCCAGTTCTGAGAAACCTGCTGCACCCAGTGGAGATCTTTCCTTGTTTTTCTGTTTATAATTTAACGGTGGTTGTTGGAGACTGCAGATAGCTATTCGGAATACAAAAAAAAACATCTGAGCATGATGGAACTGATGCTCTACGTTTAGAGGGCATTATTTGTGAAACTCTTCAGATGGAAAACAGGAACTAGAATAATCTACTCTGTGGGCTCAGCAGGGGGCGCTGTGCACTACATCCTACAACGAATAGGAAAAAAGACAACCAGATGCAAACAGTTACAGAGCGAAATCTGAGGAATTTTCTCCTGTAATTTTTAGGCATTTTTATTCTCTGGAAACAGAAACAAGTTCTTCAAATGATTCCCTGGATATCCTATTTAACAAATAGTACCTGATACTAGGATCCTTTTAAAAGGTTACTTTATAAGAAAAATAATCTAATCCTAAACCCTTGGTGCTAATATGAGACAAAATGGTAGAGCCCCTTTTCGATTAGCCATCCAGCTGGTTAGTTGTGACCTGCTTCAGCAACACACTGGACACACAGCCCGTCAGACATATTTCATTATCTCCACCATTATGGACTGAATTGTGTTCATAAAGATGATTTAAAACAGTTGGATAACACTGAGATTCACTTTCACTGATGTCCAACAGCAGCATAAAAACAAAATATTAGTCACATTCACACTTTAAATGTTTGACAGCCACTTTGATAAGTGACTTAATTTGCACATTTTTCTCATCTTCAGTGTCTTTCCAGGCCCAAATCAATAAGCACAATAACAAATCCCTCAATATTTCTGTACCTTAAAGAGGAACTTTGGGTGTGATGTCATTTCCTGATCCAAATTTGAACTTCTGATGTAAATCAGACTCTTGATCACCAGGTCATCTTTCAGGTGTTAGTGAAGATGTTCTGGTTGTGCTCAAATACAAGTCTTTACACCCTGACTGTAAACATAAAATAATTTGTGTTATTACACCTAAAGGAGTCTGTTAATGAGTTGAAACTCTGGACAGATTTAAACAAATTTACCAACAAACACATAAATGGCCATTAGATTATCATAGATGATAATTTCACAGAAAAGATCAAAACCTGCCTGTTGATGCAGTTGGTGGGAACAGAGAGGCTTTCATTCTGTCATGTTTTATTTCTTTAAGCACTTTAAGCACAGAGTTAGAGTAATATATTCTGTATGTGGTTCAGTTTTAGCACAAAGAGCAAATAATTTAAGAAATTCTCACTGAAACAGTAAATGTTGATCTGTAGCTGCTTTTTTAACCTCTACTGTCTGGATCAGATGATCAACACAAGTCTTCAGGAGAATCTGCTTCATTTACACTTTTAAAAGCTGGCTAGAGAGAAGCAGGACTGAAGTCTGAAGACGGAGGAAAAAAAACAACAGACGGGTTCAGGTTACGGCTCAGATGACAGAAAATTAAAGCATCAAATTTGTCGGAAGACAAAAGAACAAATGCAATGGTTTTGGTGAACTGGACCTTTAAACAGCTGCTATTTTGCCCCATTAACATCAATTTCTCCTTAATGATCAATTAAAGAACCTTTAGAGTTTAGGACTAATGTGATTTGAAATAGTTTTAGTCTGTAAGGTTAAAATTGTGAATCGTTCAGATTCTAGCAGATCTCATTTTCTATCATGTTAAAAAACAAACTGGTTTCCAACAGGAAGTTTTTAATGTCCATTTTTCTAAAACAGGAGTTAGATCCTTTTTTAATATATATATATAAAAACAGCAGAACATGAAACAGATTTCAGTCCAGTTTCATGTTTTCTTTGAGCTTTTTATAACAGAAGCTCTGCAGATGCAGGAGTCTTTTTCTGCAGACTGTGGCTGGTTTTTATATAAATGCCTGCAGCGATATGTTCGATTTCTTTACATTTCATCTATATCAACTTGTTTCAATGTGCACTTGCAGTAAATTAGCAGCATTTAGCATTTAATAATGGTGTCAAACTGTTATTTAAGATCTGAAGATGCCTTCTTAGTTCTGTTTGGTTATTTTTGTATTTTATACACTTTGTACTGTTTTTAGATGCTGGTGTGAGTGGATGTGTGTGTATTCTGAGAAACTGTTCCTGTTTCACTGCATTATGTATGCATCAGTGGGTCTGCGAGTGGACCAAGCTGAACTTCAGAGCCAGATTGGTTCTTGGAGAACTGAAGTTGTTCTTTCATCCAGGAGGAACAGGACTTAATGAAAGAAGACTTTTTCTGGGAGCGATGGTTTGACTGGTTTTAGCTCCAGGATGTGTCCACCAGTTCAGCTGCTGCAGTCGTCAGTCATCATGTCCCTTCCACTAAAGACTCTGCAGATAATTTCAAAACCTCCCTGTACAGCTCTGTCTGCTGATGGATGACTGTACATTATAAACTGATCATCATTTGCTGGATCTTGGAAAGAAAGTTGCATCTTCATCACAGTAAATTAGAATCTCACTGGGAAGTTTGCTTATTTCTATAAAAAAAAAAGAAGTGAAACCCACATATTTGTTTCATACACAGTTACGTGTGTATAAAGTTGTTTGTTTCTGTTCATTTTGATGATTATGACTTACAGCTAATGAAAGGCCAAAATTCTGTTCATCTAATAATAGCATGAAGGATTTTATACACAGTAATGTTGACTTACTGAAAACCAAGTCTATTTGAGATACAGTAAATTATTCAAATTCTTGATTTGGGCTCTTTTTGCATTAAGTGCTGCCTCAGTGGAGTCTGGCATGAAGACAACGAGCCTCTGCCTCTCAAACGAGGTCGCCAGCTTATCTGCATTGTTAGCGCTGTTTCTTCTCTTCCTCTGAAAAGAAGTGGAGACCTTGATTCCCAAATTCAATGTACAATTTTCTTTCACTTGAAAAGAGAACTGAGCCAAAGTTCAGTCCTTTTCTCCTGATGTTGGCTCAGGAGAAGTTTAACACAAAGTTTTCACTCATGTCTTGGATACAAATGTGAGTCAGGATCATGAAAATCACATCTTATATAATGAGCTTTGTTTTATATCCTTTAAATGCTGTCATCACTGTTGCTTTTCCACCTTTTAGCAGATTTTTTTCTTCCACTACGCTTTACATTATTGCTCTGCACTCTGAACAGACTGCTTCTAAATCAGTTGTGCGTTTGGGCTTACTGTTTTTGTGCATTGACTGTCTGCTGGTCAGTTCTGATAGAACAATGCAAATATACTTTCCTGAGGCACCAAATTTGAAGTTTTGATTAGCTGTAATATTAATCAGTGTTCAAAATGAACAAAAATAAATACATATGATATATCCACATGTGAATATATATATATACACATATATGCATATGTGTATAGATGAATATAAAGTTTCACTTTTTTAAATTTGTGAAATCAAGTAACTTTTCAATGATATTCTACAATATTGAGATGTGACTGTAACTGTCACACTGTGCTGCTTGTTGATTCTGTATGTTAGGGGAAAAAGAAAACATTTTAAATAGATAATGTGTGCATTAAGTTTTATTATTACAACATGTTAAAAAAGTAAACATGAGGTTTTCCAGAAGTTTCTTTATTAGTTGTTATCCACTGAACAGTTTGCTGCTGAATTTCCCTTTAAAGTCTTTACTGTAGCTCTCATATTTGTATTTAATAATCCTTATCAGCATCTGTAGAAATACATTCAGAGTTAATATATTCACCAATGTAGCCTCGTGCATGATGCATCAGCTCAGTAAAATGTTTTCCGTTGTTAACGCAGCGGGTTGAATGGGGGCTGATTCTGGTTCAGTTCTGCATCACCTGCTGGTTCTTCATCAAAACAAAGCTTTTCAGTTCCAGCATCTTTAAATAGATGCTTCCTGCCGTCTGATTGGTCAGCGAGGTAAAAAACCGAACAGAAGCAGCCCCTTTTAGCCTGCCTGTGATCATGTCCTGCTTGCTGTACGACTGAACTGATGGAGGACTGTGACCATCAGTGTAAAGATGTAGATATAGTCCGATATGTACCTACTGTGTGTCCTCTGATGGTTCAGGGATGTTTGAGCTGTTGTTGAACTTGTTATGCGTTTCTGTGTTTTTCTGTCCGACATGTTTCCTTCAGTGTAAATACTCACTGTAAGCTTCCATAGGGGACCAAGTAGCTCAGCTATATACGGTTAGTCAGTGTTGTATTCTGAGCTGCTCACAGTTATAACATGTTGTATCTCCTTCACTGCATGCTGCCCAGTCCTGCACTCCATTCTTTACCAAGCATCTCATCCCAGCATCTCATATATTCATGTAGAGACTGAAATAAAAATATTGGAGCTTTGAGTTCATCATGAAATTAAAACAAAAGGTTTCAGGGTGTTTCTTTATGTCAGGTTGTTTTTACACCATGTGGGGAAATACAGAGTATTTGAGAGTATCCAACAAGGTATCATCCAATAATTCCCAAACTTTTGATCCACAAAATAAAAATTTGAGTCCTGTGATCTGAACTCTTGGTTTACCATGCAAGAATCAGTTAAAATATGACAGAATGGCAAAATAGTCAACAGCAACTGTAAATGTATTCATTATCACTAATAAGCTGCTTTTATTTATTCAAGTTCTGTTTTTTAAAATGCATGTGCTTTCTCTTTATTTTTGCTAACTAGATGATTTTTTTCCAAGAGGATCAAAAGTTGCTACGCTTGCATGTTTGCTTCCCCAACTTTGGGAGCGATTGCCGTAAATTTCTTTGTAGATTTGTTCAATTGGGAGCAGATTGAGGGGCACAAAAGGGAAGTCTGTCGAAATTCCAGTTGGTGCAAGGAGAGTCGAAAGATAATCAGGAGGACGAATGGATTTTATCCAACAATATATTTGTTTATATTTTTGCAAGACTTCATAAGAAAAGTGCCAAAGTCAGTATTTCTGAACACGCCTTCAGATATTTTTTGGACTTGTTTTGAGCCCAAAGACCGGGGCTGTTCCAATAGCAATACTGCCATCATGTGGTAAAATATAGTCACTACAGCTGACAAACGTGAACATCGTTATCGCCATCGGTCAGCTTGTGGAGTTACAAAACATCTATTCATTCCATGGCACATGACTGCATTTATTAACAAGTTTACTTTTGGATTGTTAAGATAAATTTGAACGAATATTTTATTAAACGCCACACATTTAATAAAAATGTGCAATATACCTTTTACTTGACATGTAAAAGGTATATCTTAACAACAAAGGCAACTTCAGAGATGCCTCTGTTGTCAATCTGATGATGGGAAAACAAACCAAAGATACAGAAGAGTCAGAGGCACAGAGCTTTAGTAGTGCTGAAATCATGCTTTATTAAATCAGTAAAACTCAAGGAGGATGATATATAAGTTCTACATCAGCAGATCAATAAAGTCAAAGTGCAGGGTAAAACCATAACTGCTTCTCTTCTCACCACAGATGGGCTCAGTGATGTGAATAAAGAAAAAAAACCCTGACTACTGACAAGGTGAAACATCTACAAACTACAGACACTCGCACTCAAAAACAATAACACATCAGCTACAATCCTCCAAGAGATAGCGCTGCTTCTGCACAGCAGAACTGGGTTTGACTCCCTCTTTTCTTATGGCCAGGAGATGTTGCTATAGTGAAGCCAATCCAGTCATCCTGTGCCAGAAACAGCGCTCTATATCAAAATTGATCTCAACCCAAAGAGAGCAGGCCGCTCGCCCTCTTTGCTGGTCATCAAATCATGGTGGTATGACACAGTCAGTCTGAGCACAAGACCGGTTCCTGCTGCTTACATGAGGGTGATGCAAACAGCACTCAGGGTCTTATGCTCATGGTACAACTCATATTAAACTGTAATATCACACGCACAGACGCGTGTCCAAACAAGAAGTTTGTCTTTTTGTTTCTGCTTTGTAACATCAACAGGGAGCCTCTCTACCTGTTGAGGCAATCTTCAGACTTCAACTTATCGTTGAGGCACAGAGTTTAGTTTCTTAGTTTAACAGGGTATTCGTTCCAGCGGAAACTTTCTCCTGTTAGCTACTTTTACTTTCTTTTAGTTTCAGTTAATATTATTGTCATAAATAACAATGCATACATTTCCCATAACCGGTAAACTCGGCTATATACATTATGTACATGTCACAGAAAAATTGAGTCATAGTTATCCAATATGGCACATTTTACAACTTTAGACTTTAGTCTAGTTTGGCATAAATTAACGTCACGTTTGGTACAAAAATAGTTCCTATTTACAAGAATATTCCAGATCTTTATCAAGTAAGATTATTGTAAATAAAAAGTTGAGGACTAAGGGAATAGGGGATATGATTTTTATCTCATTTTTTACATGGACCGGATGTGCACGTTGACAGTTGCAGAGACAGAGCCAAGATCGTTGGACAGTCTGAGTGTGTATGCTCCGGCATCGTCCTCCTTCACCCCAGAGATCATTAGGGTGGAGAGATCTGCTGTGTTATCCACGTGGAATCGCTCATCTCCATTGGGAAGGGTCCGGCCTGAGCGGACCCACTGAACTGAAGGGGCAGGATCTCCAGAGAACATGCCTGCCACTGTCAGAAACTTCCCCGGCTCTGCACTAACATCCTGTGGAAGAGCTTCGATCTTTGGTGGAGTGCCTGTGGGCGGAGAGAGAAAGTCAGCGGACATGTCTTAGAGTTTCTATATTTTAGATTTCTGGCCCATAAAATCTGAATTTAAAAACAGTTTTAGATGTTATTGCTGTCTTAATAACTGAAATTATAATACTCTGTGTGCAACTTACAGTTTAGTGCTTAGGTTGAAAATGAAACAAATAAAAAAATTAGTTAACTAATCTCTTTTCACTGTTTTAACGTTCATGCCACACAGAAAAACATGACCAGGATTTTCTCTGTTAGCTGATTCTTAGACACCACACCACATGACCACACATCAAATATCTTAAATCTTATTTACTGGTTGCAAAGACAGAGAAAGAACATCACACCAAACATCTTAAATATTATTTTTAGATTACAAAGACAGAGAAAAAAACAAGTTAGGTGTTTGAATTCACGTCCTGGGTTTACCAGAAAGACATGCAGGTAAAGTCTCACCTGTTTTAGCCCCGGTGGAGAGCGCCTTTACATGCGAGCAGGCAGACATTCCAATTGTTTTGCTGCTGGAGCTCATTGAAACCACCGACTCAGCCATCATGGCAGACATGCTTGTTGCAGACATGCTATCAAACGAATATTGGCCAACTGCAGAGTGGGAACTGCTGCTGTAACTGCTGGCCTGCATTGAGGAAGCTTCCACATGAACTGACGAGGCTAAGAAACTTTTCTGCATGCTCATAGCAGCCTCAGTAGAAGCTCTTTGCTCCACAATAGCCATTTGTATTGGTTCCTCAACAAGAGCTGTGAAAATGCAAATGACAGGCAGATGGCTAAGATCACAAACAATGAGGTGTTGAGTGCAGAGACGGAAGATAAGCCGAAGTTTCTGTCATGCCTTGTATTTCTGAGTGCTAATTCAATTGATTAAAATTAATTTAACTTTTTTAATTGAAATTAAAGCACAAAGAGTTGCCATTATAATAAAACAGAAAGAATTCAGAAAGAATACATCAACTAACATCTTAAAGAAGTGATAAAATTGTATTTATTTTAATCAATAAATACATACAGAAGGGAAAATACCTAATGCAAACTTTAACATTAAAGCATTTTTAAGCATTCCAGGACTAAATTATTATAAAGTTTTGCATGCAAGCCATTTAAAGCCCTTTGACAAAGTGCAGTTAATTGAAGTAAGCCGAAATACAGATGTAACTTACTAAAGACGTTGAGCGATGATGTTGCAGAGCACTGTCCAAACTTATTCCAGGCTTTTACTGTATATTTCCCACTATCTGCAATTGTGGCTTCACAAATCTCCAGAGTGTATAAGTTCTTAGAACGGCTCAGTTTGATGTTTGGAGTGACGCATATCTGGAAAACATGTTTCCTTTTATTGGAATACTGACTTGACAATTTCTTATCACAAATTGTCAATGCAAATAGAAAAAAAACATTTGTGCAAACCAAAATCTACTCACAGCCGTGTTGTCTTTCAACCACTCCAGTTCAGGGGAAAGGTCTCCGCCAATTTCACAGGTAAATATAACATTTTGTCCCTCGTTCACGTTTTGAGACCTTGGTTGCACCAGGAAGTAGGGTGCATCAGATTGACCTTCTTTGATGGATTTCTGGATTTCAGAGGACTTCACATCCTTCACGCAAGACAACATTTCCTCAGAGATTGGAACAGGGTTATTTAATTCTGAAATGAAAAACATTCAGGAATTTATTTATAACATTACAACATTTGTAGCTATAAATCCTTTCACCACAGCGTCTTTTCTTACCTTTCACAGAGACTGTGCAGGTTGTTGATACTGCTCCAGAGGAGTTTATGGCTGTGCACTTGTAGACACCACTATCAGACACCTCTGATTCATAGATCTCTAGATGAGCTGAACTTTGGTCCTCAAATAATTCATACTTTCGACCTTGAGATAGTGCCTGGAAAACCCATAAAGCAACACAGTTACGGTTGTCAAATCCTATGAAATGTTTTGAATAGTTTGAACATTTATATGTTTTACCTTTCCATCCTTTGACCAAGAGACAGTAGGTTTGGGCTCTCCTGTCACCTTCACAGACAGTTTCACAATAGAGTCACAGGATGCAGTGACATCATTGAGTCCTGTTGAAAAAAAGGGCTTCTTTTCAATAGTTGGTGACATCACCCTCTTGGGTGACTTGATTGGTGGGATCACTTGCTCCTTTTCAGATGGAGTTGGGGATTTGGGAGTTGGGGACTTCGGAGTAGGAGACTTCGGTGTTGGGGACTTTGGTGTTGGGGATTTTGGGGAAACTGGAGACTTTACTCTTTGGGGAGATTTGACTGGCTCAGGTGACTTGACTCTCTGAGGGGATTTGACTGGTTCAGGGGACTTGGGTAATGGTGATTTAGCCTCAGGAGAAGTAATTCTGGGAGTAGCAACTACTTTCTCCTTTGACTCAGACTTCTTTATTTTTAAAGTGAAATGGGCTTCCTGCTTTCCACTAGCATTTTCTACTAGTAAGGTGTAACTCCCTTCATCTGACACCTCAACTGCAGAAATCTCAAAGGTGGAATTGTATTGAGTGGATACAATGTGGTGACGGGCAGAAGGAGCAACGTTGGTTCCTTCACGAAGCCAGGACATAGAAGGTGCTGGTTCACCAGCCACATCACACTCAAATCGGGCATTGTCTCCTTCTTCCACAGTCAAGGACTGAGGTTTAGTCAGGATTGTGGCAGGGACTCCTGGTTTCTCCCTTGGCTCCTCAACAACAGTAGTTGTCTCTTTTACAACTTCAGTGACCGTTTCCTCTACAGTTGTTTTGGATGAAGAAACATGATAGACCTCTGTTCGAGTCATCTCTGGCAGATGAGCTGATGGTGGTTCCTCATCTTTGCGGAGTGATGAAAAAGCAGCATACTCTTCCCCTGCTACATCTAATGTAGCATAATCTGAAGTTTCTCCTTTAGCATTCTTGCAGACGACCCGGTATGTACCTGAATCTTCTGTCACACAGTTGTTGATCTGGAGAGTTAAAACTCCACTGATGTTGGTCATGTAGTATTTGCTGCTCTGATGAATCTCCTTTCCATTGTGGAACCATTTGATCTCAGGTTCAGGTTTGGCTTGGATATTCAGGGTAAATTTTGTGTTGGAACCGTAGGGTACACGATGAGATCGCATCCTGATGGTGATACGTGGGGCATGGTCCAAGCTGAAGGGAGCCTGTGTTACAACCTCAACTTTCTTCTCTACAGATCTTCTCTCTGATCTGAGTGCCTGTTTTCTCTCCTCATACCTGGACAAAAAGTCCACTTTTGGAAGTGTGACATCTGTCTTTAAAGCCTTTTCTGCTTCATATGATTTTTCCACCTGTAGTTCATGTAATGGAATCTTTTTTATAGGTTTAGGAACATATTCTGTTGCAAAAGTTGTTAGATGCTCAGATTCAGTGCTCTCAGAATAGGTTGAAACTGTAACGGCTTCCTTTTTAGAAGTACGTGTCTTCTCCTCAAATTCCATGTGCTTGAGTTGACTCTTGTAAGAAGAGATTCTCCCAGTGGTTGCCTGTGGACGTAGCAGCTCTAGATCTTCTCTTTCTTCATACACCCGTTGTTTCTGTCTTGGAGGCTTGTATGTTGTCTTGTCATGACGTTGGCGGAGATCAACAAAACTTGGGCCGGCCTCATATTTAGAAGGAATTCTGTATGAATCATATCTTTTGATCTCTTCTCCTTCTTCCTCATCACTGTAGACTCTCCTTGGAGATGTTGGGCGCAAAGCAGACAGCTCAAAGCGAACAGGACTGAGACTAGGTGGAGAAGCAGAGTAACCAAGCTCCAACTCTTCTTCCAGACGGAGTCTTTCTTCTTCTGTTCGCTTCATAGAGAGATATTCACCTACAGGAAGCAGCAGCTCCTCATCTGAGAGATCTCCCAGAGAACGCCTCCTGAGCCTGCGGTAGGCCTCCATTTCAGGAGAAGGAGAGCGATGTCTTGCGGGCCTCACAGTCTCCAAGTCGTCCTGAGTCAAAGAAGAGATGCGCCACTTAGGCTTATACTGTTCCTTGATCCTTATGGGCACCTCATAAAACTGTTCCCATCGTGACAGACGGATACGTTTCATTCTCTTTTGTCTGATTTTTTCCATTGGCTCTGGGAATTCATATTGATCCCTCAGCTTCTTGTACCATTTCATGTCAGACAGTGGCTGGAAGTGTTTAATTTCCACATCTTCCTCGAGAACAGCTGGATTAATGACACGAGGTGCAGGAACGACATATGGCATACGAAGCCTTTTCTCCTCTGCTCTCTTCTTTCTTTCCTCTTTTTCTTTCTTGATCTCAGCCTCAGTTTTCTCACCTTTCTTAGTTGTGACAGCAGGTTTAAACATAGTGGCTGCCTCCCTGACAGCTTCTACTGCTGCAGGTGGGAGAGGTGTAACAACAGTGCCTGCCAAAATCTGAGCCAGTCTAACCTTTTTATCCAATTCCTCTTGTCCAGCTATCTTTTGCTTCTCCTTTTCACTGGGCTCATATTCCTTCTTTACATGAGTTACTCTCTCCACTTTAAGAGTTGCTTGGCAGCTGGCAGATCCAGCAGAGTTGGTTGCTGTAACCCTGTACACACCAGAGTCCTCAGGGAGAGTGTCTCTTACATGAAGGATGTAGTAGTCCAAGCCTTCATGAACAACTTCTATGGATGGTCCAAAGGCTAAAGGTGTTCCATCTTTCTCCCATTTCAGTGTTGGGTGGCCAGAAACTCTAATCTCAAAACGAACATTCTGACCCTCCTTGCACTCAATGTTTGCAAGCAACCGTTTGAACATGGGCCTCAAAGTGAGGTCTGCTGGTTTAGGGCGAGGAACAACAGTGAGGCGGGCCTTGCAGCTGTCATCGCCATACCTGTTACGGGCTACAACACTGTACTCAGCATCATCCTCCTTTTCCAAATTGTGGATTATAAGCTGGTACAAGCCTTTGTCAGTAGTGAAGGTGTATTTCCTGTCATCGTGTCCAGGGATAAGCTTTTGTCCAGATTTATGCCAGATAACACGAGGCTCAGGATGAACGGTGATGGTTACTCCAAAGCGCACATCCTCACCAAGATAGGCTGTGCGGTTGACCAGAGGAAGAGTAAATTCTGGTGGCTTCTGAAGCATTCTAGCAGTGTCAACTCTTCGCTTTGTTCTTCTCACCACACGAGTAGTGAAGAAGTCACGGTAAGATCTAACCCCACTGACAAAAAGCTCTGCATAAGCACTATCTTCACCATACTCATTCACAACCTTGCATCTGTAAGTGCCATCATCCGCTCTAGTGATCTTGTTGATGGTAATTACAGCCAGACCATCTTCATATTCAATTTCATACTTGTCTCCAGCTTCAAGTTGCCTGACACCACAATACCACGTAACTTCAGTGGTGCTGTCATAATTTTCAATGTTGCAGATGAACTTCACATTATCTCCTTCATTGACCACTGCATGGCTAACTTGGCCTGCAAGAGGACCATGTTCAAATGGAGCAATCTTTACTTTAGAGACAAATACACCACGCTGGGACCTGATTGAACCACCGCTGGCCACACGGGCAGCAGAAATTACAGTGCTCCATTCTTTCTTGACCATTGCCTGGTAGTATCTCTTGTGTCTACCGACTGGGATTGCCCTGGCACTTATCTCTTCTGCAGGTTTTGTTAGCCAAGGATGCAGCAGAGCCTCAGCTGCAGTCATACGGTGCTTCCGTTCTTTTGTCATTAAACGATCTGTAAAGTCTAAGGCTTCTACACTGACCTGCTTAAATGACTCATCATCATAGCCATAGGCTGCATTTGAAATGTTATCAATCATTTGCTGGTTGGTTTCGGCTGTGAATGGATTAAGACCACTGAGAAGCACGTAGGTAAGTACACCCACAGACCACATGTCAGTAACTGTACTAACCATGTCACAATGGTGGATTTCAGGGGCAGCATACTCTGCAGTAGTGTACTGAATCTTTATTTGTTCTCCAGGTGTCAGATGTCTGGATTGCCCCAGTTCAATAATCTTCACAACTGAGCTGCTTCTAGTTGTGTATACAATGTTTTCAGGTCTGATATCAAAGTGCCCATATCTCTTAGAATGCAGATATTCCAGAGCTGAACAGATCTGCCTGATATAGTTGACAATCTCCCGTTCATTGAGCTCAAACTCTGCTGTATTAAGGCGCTCAAAGATGTCATGGCCAGAAATGAAGTCATAGATCATGACCAATTCCTCCGGGCTTTCAAAGGACTCATGAAGAAGCAAGAAGTTAGCGTGTTTGGCCAAATTGAGTGTTGCAATTTCCTTTTTAATTATTGCCTGATCAGCACCTCTAACTTTAACAAATTTGGCCATGTAGGTCTTCTCAGAGCTAATATCAACACAGCGGTGAACAATGCCAAATTGGCCTCTGCCCAGTTCTTCTGCAATGGAATATTTGTTGTGCAGATTCTTGGTGTCGGAGTGTTGAGCTTTGCCCTTGGGGACTCGTTCAGTATCACCAACCTCCCTGTCATAAAGCAAAACTCTGGATTTGTCTTCTTTAGTCATGACAGGTCCACTGCTTTCAGATGGGGCACTCTGTCCAAATTTGTTTTCAGCAATAACTCTGAACTGATAGCTTGTACCTCCAAACAAATTAATTACGGTGTAGTGGGTGTCACGGGACTGTGCAACACGTTCCCACCTCTCAGCAGTGGTCGGACACTTTTCAATGATGTAGCTTACAACCTTGCTGCCACCATCATTGGCTGGAGCCACCCAGTTCAGTGTGACTGAGTCTCTGGACACATCACTGGCTTTGATGCCACGAGGTGGATCAGGCACATCAGCAACATCCAATTCAACGGTTTGTTGATCAATACCAAATCTGTTCTTGGCACAGACAATGTAGAAACCTGCATCCTTCTTTTCCACTCCATTGGCAAAGACCAGGGAAGTGAACGATCTAGTGACGATCACCTGGTAGTGACCATTACTGTCAATAAGATCTTGTCCCTTCTGCCATGTAATAACAGGATCTGGTTTACCACTGAAGGGAATCTTGATATTGACCACCTCCCCACGTAAAGCTGGGATGGCTTCCTTGTCTTTCAGGTTCTTTGGCAAATTGATCTTGGCAGGGACTAAAAAGAAGAAAAATAATTACATTTTACAGTGAGTTAGATATATTAACAGCACTTTAACGTTAAATATGTAATTGGCTTCATTGATGAAATCAAGTGTTCTAAGCTTACTTTCAACATCTAGAGAGACTGTAGCACATATTGAGCCCCCTTGGTTGGTGGCTCTGATCTGATAAACAGTGGAGTCTTCCTCATCGGCCTCAGTGATGACCAGCTGGTGGTATCCTCCCTTAAACTCCTGGATCTTGATCTTCTTTCCATCTGAGTGGATTTCCTTTCCTCGTCTAAACCATTTAATCACAGGCTTAGGTTGTCCTGTAATCTTGCACACAAGGGTCGCATTGCTCTTGTACTTGACACTCATGTTCCTCAGCTCCTCCTTGAAGGCAGGAGCGCGGATGTCTATGGCAGTTGCAGGTACGATGGCAGGGGTCTCCTCACTGTAATCACTTTCTCCTCCAAGGTTTTCACATTTGACACGGAAGATGTATTCAATGCCTTCAGTTAGGCGCTTGACAGAGAACACAGTTTGCTTGATCTCATCTGTGGTAACTGGAGTCCATTCAGTCCATTCCTTCTTATCTTTTTTATGTTTCTTTTCAAGGCAATAGCTCTTGATCTTAGATCCCCCATCACTTATTGGGGGCTTCCAGGAAACCACGCAGGAATCCTTAGTGATACCAGAAACAACTGGTGACAAAGGTGGTGATGGTCTCTCTGTGGACATATATTAAGGAGACACTTGTCAACTTTTTTGCAATAAAGTTTAGGTTGTAAAATAATTTCTTTGTTCCATGTGAAATGAAATGTGATATTGTCTTACCCAGTTGGCTCTTGATCAGGATGGGGGAGGTTAGCTCCAGTGGCTCACTGTTGCCATATCTATTCTGGGCATAAACACGGAAAAAGTATCCAGCACTATCGATGAGGTTGGGCACACGGCAAGATGTGCTGTTAATGGATGATGACACAAGTTCCCACTCCGTGCCCTCTTTGTCTTCTCTTTTTTCTACAATATAGTTGGTGATCATACAGCCTCCATCATCCTTGGGAGGTTTCCAGCTGATAATGACAGAGTTCTTAAGGAGGGCATCCAGGACAATGGGTCCCTGAGGTATATCAGGTTTGTCTGTAGACAAAGATACAGGATTGTTATTGTACAGAAATCTGATAGTATTCCGATTACTACTGCAGGTATTTTTACAGTACTTAAAACAATTTAATTCACATACCATAAATTTCAACATTGAATGCAGTGTCAGCCCTCCCAAAGTGGTTATGGAGTCGGATCCTATATTTTCCTCCATTCACTCTGCGCTGGGCGTTCTTTACTACTAGGTGTGTGTAGTGCTCAGTGGTCTCAATGCTAATTTCCTCTGTGTTTTCCAGTGTCTTAGCTCCATGTAGCCACATGATCTTTGGCTGAGGACGACCAATATAAACAACATGGATGCGTAGAGTTGTTCCAAGTCCAGCATAATATGTTTCCTTAAGTGGGTAATCAGGGTGGAAGGATGGAGGAGCCTCCAACACTAGAATGCCAGTGGTCTCAACTTCTCCTGCTTCATTCACTGCCTTGCAAGTATATTCTCCTTCATCTTCCTGCTGGTCTGTCATAATAGACAGGGAGTGGTTGCGGCCATCAGAGCTCATCTCATACTTGCGGGACTCAACGATTTCCTTGCCAGCATGATACCACTTAATTTCTGGAACAGGTCGGCCAATAATCTGGCATTTCATGACCGCAGGCTGGCCAAGCTTGGCAGTGGCTTCCTCCATTTCTTTCCTAAGGCTTGGTTTACTTTCAGCTGTTGGTAAAAACAACTTAATGAAACAATGAAACATCCTGTGTTAACAATGTTATGAATTATATTCAGCTGCACTCACCTATTAGTTTCGTCTTAATGCATGTGGCAGTCCTACGGGGTCTACTCATTCCCGTTTCATTCTCAGCAAAGACTCTGAACTCATATTCAGTGGCCTCAGCCAAGCCAACCATGGTGAATTCCTTTTCCTTAACCCTCTGTTTATTGCACTTCTTCCAGGTGCTCTCAACAGACTTTCTGTACTCAACCCAGTAGCCCAGGACTTCCTTTCCGCCATCACACTCAGGAGGTTGCCAGCGAATAGTAATAAAGTTGTTACTCACATTCACTGTGTCAATCTCTCCTGGTTGACTGGGCTTGTCTGTGAAATGGAAAAACATTAAGTCAAATTTGTTCTTATTTTGTCTATATTCTTTTTCACTAACAGAAAATCTAAAGGAGAAACTATGCTAATGTCTACTAGTACTAATTATTATTTCTATTAACTGTTGTTTTTGTCTCCTGAAATGAAAACATTGTGTAAGAAATTTTTAGTGCTGCAGATTATTTGGACTTAACACTAGATTAATTAAGTAATTAGATTATTTTTCTAATTATCTTAATTGCTAAATAGTAATGACTACATAAATCCTGTGTGGAACACACAATACTCACCAAATGGATCTTTGCATGTGACAGGATCAGATGCTGGACAAGCCTCACTTTCACCTATATTGTTAACAGCAACAATGCGGAATTGGTAGTCTGTATCAGGAGTAAGTCCATGTAGAGTAAACATAGTAGAGGTGATCTTGGTCTCATGGCGGATCCATGTCTCAGCAGAAACCTCCTTGTACTCAACAAAATAACCACTGATGGCAGATCCTCCATCATCCTTTGGTCTGGACCAGGCAAGTGCCACTGAGCTTTTGGTGACATCCATTATCTCAGGGGGAGCAGTTGAAGGCTCAGGAGGACCTAATGTGAAAGGAGAGCAAGTTTTGTAAATAAAATATATAATTTAAAGGGTTTCAAAGACAGTTGGTTTGCAGAAAACAAAACTTACAGAGAGGAGTCTTTGGTACCACTGGCTGTTCAGATTTCAGAGATCCACTGATGCCAAATGAGTTTTCAGCAGTAACTTTGAAGTGGTATTCTGTTCCTTCTTTTAAGCCCTTAACAACAAGCTGGGTCTCAGTTACTCTAGAGTCCACGGTGTACCAGGCATTTCTGGCTGCTTCACGCCTTTCTACAATGTAGCCAAGAATCTCTGAGCCACCATCATCCTTGGGTGTCTTCCAAGAGACCTTCACAGAGTTGGCTTGGATTTCCTCAAAGACCATTGGTCCCTCTGGAGCACTTGGGCGGCCGATGACTCTGACCTTAATCTGGACTTTCTTCTTTCCAACCTTATTTTCCAGCAGGAGTTCATACAGACCAGAGTCACTCCTCTCTGCTCCCTTTATCACCAATTCACTGGAGTCCTCGGTGGAGGCAATCATAGCCTTCGCAGCAATAGTGCCAGTATCCTTTGACCATTTACAAGTTGGAAGGGGTTTGCCTTTAATAGGTACAGACAGTCTAACCACTCCTCCATGACGGACAATGTACACATCTTTGTATTTCAACTCCAGCTCATAATCAGGAGATTCTGAAAAACAATAATTTTGCAAAAATTATTTTTGATCTGAGCACTCATTTTATCTCATAAACCTGATTGCACAGTTGCAAATGTGGTTTCCTACCAAGCATTTCTGTTACTTTGACCGTTCCTGGTACTTCTGCAGGTTCTCCAGAACCACCAGCATTACAAGCCATTACACGGAATTTGAACTCCTCTCCTTGTGGCATGTTGGTCAGCGTGTACTCGCATATGAGAGATGGAGTGGTGTTGCACTTGATCCAGGCCACAGAGCCCACCTTCTGCATTTCAATCAAATAACCATCTACTCTAGCATCTCCCTCATCATCAGGTGGACTCCAAGCAAGCGACACAGATGACTTGGTAGTATCTGTGATTCTTGGGTTTTGAGGACAGCCGGGTGGATCTGCACGGGAAAATAAACATATGCCAGATGTTGTGACTTTCTTAAGTTGTGCTTAATATTACTTTTTGGCAATGATGGGAATTTTATTTAACTTTAACCAATTATACATTAAAGTCTTGTTAGTTTTTGCTCACCAATTGGATCTGTTGCTACTGCTGGTTTGGATGGCAAACTTGGCTTGCTCAGGCCTCTTGCATTAATGGCTGTGATTCTGTGTTCATATTCCAGGCCTTCAATCAACCCAGTTGACCTGTACCTGGTCATAGTGACAGGGTTCTTGTTTGCACGCACCCATCGCTCAGCCCTTACTTCTTTGCGCTCAATGATGTATCCAGAAACCTCAAGACCACCGTCTTCATCTGGTTGCTCCCAAGCAACAGTCATTCCATCACGAGACACATCAAATGTAATTGGACGACCAGGAGGTCCAGGCACATCTGTGGATGAGGCAAGTGTTACCATTTTGCTGCTGTCATATTATACTGCTCTGCATTATACGGCAAGACGATCATGCAAAGCTAAGGTTAAGAGTCTTACTTTTCAAGCTCCTACAAGTGACAATCTCAGACTGGAGGAACTCGCCGGTGCCATAGCGATTCACAGCAGCTGCACGGAATACATATTCATCTCCCTCAATGAGGTTCTCAAACCTGAACAACGGTCTGCTCACAGAGTCAGAAACAGTCACCCAGCCAGGCCTGTGAGCATCACGCTGTTCTACTAAATAACCACTAATGGGAGCTCCACCATCTCTGACTGGGGGATCCCAGCTGCAGGTGACTGTAGTGGCATCAATCTCATCAAATCGTATGGGCCCTTTGGGTTCATCAGGTTTAGCTGAAAAAGTGAAAAAAGAGAAATGAAGGTCCGTTTACACGAGTCCTGCAGGTTATGATATTTTCACAGCACACAAACTTCAACTTTAAAATTTAGATGTCAGTTATGTAACTGGTGTTGACTTGGCTATTAATACAGTAATGAATGAAGGAATGAATAAATGATAGCGGGAAAAATGTCTTACAGAGAATGATGACCTTGATGACCTCAGTGATGACTCCAACAATATTCTTGACTTCCAGTGTGTAGTCACCGCTGTCATTAATGGTTGTGTCAGACACAGATAGCTTGGAGAACTTGCCAGTGCTCTTGACCTTCACCCGATCTGTTATCTTTATCTTGTTGTCCGCAAAATACCAGGATGAAACAGGAGGAGGCCTGCCAATGATTGGCAGGTCCAGCTCCAATGTCTTACCAGCCAAAACATTAACAACCTTCTGGGGAATGCTGGACAAATCTACCGCAGGCATCACTAAAAGAAAAAAAAAAACAAATTTATTGCCTCAGAGGGAAGTATGAACAGCCAGGATGTTGAACATAAATCTTAATTATGCAATGTTTTAAATAAAAATAAGAATATAATAGCTTTGCTCTTTGGTTACCTCTCTGTTCCTGGACAGTGACAGCAGCAACAAGTTCCTTTGGCTCACTGGCTCCTCTGCTGTTGACAGCTTTAATTCTGAACAAATATTGTTCTTTCTCATTCAATTTCTCTACGGTGTGCTCAAAGTCTGTTAGCTTCAGTGTTGCCACCTTCATCCACTTGTCAGTACCAAACTTGCAAGCTTCAATGATGTAACCTGTCAACCTACTGCCACCATCATGCTCTGGCTTTTCCCAAGACAGAGTGACTGTGCTCTTGGTGACATCTGTCACCTCAAACTTATGTGGTGGAAGAGGAACTTCACAAACCAGGATGACATCTGGAGTCTCACAGGGCTCTCCAATTCCATAAATGTTTTCAGGGAGGACACGGAAGTAATACAGCATTCCCTCCATCAGATTATCAATCTTATAGGAAGTTTTACTGCACTTGGAAGTTACTGTCTTGTAGGCTCTCATTGAGGCCTCTCGTCTTTCAATGATGTAGTTATTGACAGGAGCACCACCGTCCACAGCTGGGGCTTCCCAGGAAATGGTGGCACAGTCCTTAGTGAGCTCTTTCATCTTGATTGGTCCAGTTGGTCCAGGTGTGTCTGAGAACATAAATCGGGTTAACTTTATGAAAACAATATCAAATATATAATGGAAATCAAACAATTAAATAATATAATTTATAGATAGTAATGTTAACATACCGTAAACCTTGACAAGAATACTGACTTCCTGCTTTCCAGCAGTGTTCTCAGCCAACAGCGTGTACTTGCCAGCATCATAGCGATGAACCTTGTCAATTATGAGAGTGGTGGATTTGTTTGTGACCTCTATAAAGCCTCTATTTTGGAGGTCAACACCAGGTTTGCTCCATGTTATGGTAGGGGCAGGACGGCCTGTGACACTGACAAAAAGGCGGAGGGAGCCACCAGCGCGCAAGCAGATTGTCTTTTTGAGGTCATCGTGGAGCTCAAAATCAGGAGGTTCTGTAAGGGATAGATGATGTGTTGCAAGGAATGTTTTTTGTGTACACATAATTTTCTTTTGTGGGACAGATGTAAACAAATAAATGAAATCAGCTGATATTCATACTTATTTCCTGAGGCCTGTTTAAACACTTACCAATTCTTTCCACTGGCTCAGTCTCAGCACATGGTTCACTAAAGTCTCCTGTTCCATTGACGTTGATACCAGCCACTCTGAAACAATACTTCTTGCCTGCAGAAAGTCCAGTCACCACATACTCTGCAGCACGCAAGGTCTTTTCATGGGCCTTCTTCCATTCCTCTGCCCCAACTTCCTGCATCTCCAGAATGTAGCCAATCACATCAGCACCTCCATCGTCCACAGGTCGAGACCAAGCGAGGCTAATGCTGTCAGCATGGGTGTCGACAATTCGAGGAATAGAAGGAGGTGCAGGAGTGCCTATGGAAAGGTAGGTCAGTTTATATGAGCTCTTTCAAATTATTTATTAATAACATATGGCTTTATTTCTTACTACTGTCTTCTAAAAATATTATGACACTTATAGATTAAAGTTAATATGAAGGTCATTTCTGATATCTTTAGAAACATGTTAGTCAAGGCAATGATGAAACTTACTCGTTGGGACTCTGCAGACGACATACAGAGAAACCTCACTGGGTTCACTCTCGCCGGCCTTGTTAATGGCTGTTACTCTGAACTGATAGATGTTGCCTTCAGTCAAACCAGACACCTTTAGAGTGGTATCCAGTTGAGCACCATCCTTATTCACCTTTACCCAGCGGGCACTCTTTCTCTCATGTCTTTCAACCAGGTAATGAGTTATTGGGCTACCACCATCATTTTCTGGTTTTAGCCACTCTATAGTGGCAAAATCCTTTCCTGAAACTAGGATCTCTGGGGCTCCAGGAGGAGTGGGCACAGCTAGGGAATAGATAAGAAAAAGAGACTGATTTGTTTCATGCATTCCTCTTTGGTAAGTTTAGTCTTTTTGATTGGAGTTTAAATACATTGAGACAATAGAATAAACAGAATCCTGGGTAAATTAAACTGACATTTTGATATTTTTGATCCCCAAATTTAGGGATTTGTTTTCAATAGTTTCACTTGTACTTACTGAATGTGTTTTTGGCCACCATCGGCTGTGACTGGAGGTAAACGCCGGAACCATACTTGTTGACTCCACGAACTCTGAACAAGTACTCTGTGTTCTTGAACAGACCAGTGATGTTGCATGTCAGCTCCTTGCACTCGGCATTCATGATCACCCAGGTCAGCCTGTTGGTATCACGCCTCTCTACAATGTAGTGTGAAATGTCATCGCCGCCATCCTCAAGAGGAGGCTTCCAGCTTAGAGTGCATGACTCTTCTGTTATCTTGCTGATTTCAATGTTGCCTTCACACACTCCAGGTGTGTCTAGCCAAAAACAGACATATTTAGAGTAAGTCACTTTGCAAAAATGTGCCAAGAGTTATCAAATTACAAATAATTCAAATGGTAAAACAAACAAAATACTTACCAAGCACTTTGACATTGACCTCTGCAGTCTTGGTTCCACTCACGTTTCTGGCTGTTAGGATGTATTTTCCAGTATCATCTCTGTCACAAAATTTAATAATGGCCATAGCTCTGGTAGGGGTATACTGGAGGTGATATTTTTCACACATCTCCAATTCCCTGTTGCCCTTGGACCAGAAAGCCTTTGGATCAGGTCTACCTCCCACTGCAGCATCCAGAACCAGGTCTGAACCAGCTCTGACCATTACAGTTTCAGAGAGAAGTTTGCTGTCCAAATTGGCCTTTGGTGGTTCTGTTAAGTGGACATAAATTTGACAATTGTCAACAGTCACTCTACTGTTCTCATGTGCAGATGTATCTTGGTCATGGTCTGGTTGCTATTATGTATAATGCAGTTGTATATAACTATCATGTCTGATGGGGTATTGACGATTTCCATGGAATAAACTCTTACCAAAATCAGTCTTGCACTGCACAGATCCTGTGGATTCAGATGGTGTGCTGAAGACTTGGTTGGCGTTCTTTGCAATCACCCTAAATTCATAGGCCTCTCCCTCTCCCAGGGCAGTAACAGTGAAGAAATGATCTGTTACATTGGTGTAGTTACACTTGAGCCAGCGGCCCTCGCCTGTCAAAGTGTAGGGCTTTCGTTCGATGATGTAGCCAACAATTGGACTACCGCCATCATTCAATGGAGCTGACCATTTCAAGGACACAGTGGTTCTTGTAACTTTGGTGACTTCAGGTTTACTTGGTGGATCTAAATGCCAGTCAAAAGATTGTTGTCAGATAGGATAGAACAACAAATTTCTTAGCATAAAGACATCATACTATGTGTAACATTATACTACTGGCAAAACATACCAACTGGATTTTGAGCAACTGCTCCCTTAGAGGCCTCACTGGCTTTGCTGAGTCCTGCACTGTTCATGGCATAGACCCTGAACTGGTATTCCAGGCCTTCAACTAGGTCTTCCACTTTGTAGTAGCATTCAAAGCATGGGATCTTATTTTCTCTAACCCACAATATATTGTTCCTCTCCTTCTTTTCAACCCAGTAGCCCGTCACCTTGCTTCCACCATCATGGTAGGGTTCCTCCCATCTTAAGGTCATTGTGTTTGCTGTGACATTAAAGACTGAAGGTTTTGTTGGGGGTCCTGGAGGTGCTGTATTTAAAAAAAGAGTCTAGTGATTACAGTGTAGTTCAACAAAGATCACACATTTGAGATCTTTGTTAATGTAGTATAAAACCACATAATTTCAAAGAAAGAAAGAGTTGAAGGATACACTTACAGAAGGGATGTTCTGCAACGATCGTCTCAGACTCAGTGGGCTTGCTGACCCCAAATCGGTTCTCAGCTGAGATTCTGAATGTGTACTGCATATATTTGGTCAGGTGACTAACATGAAGAGATGTGCGCTTCACACTAGAGTTGATCAACTGCCAAGCTGTGGAGCCAGATTCACGCTTCTCCACAATGTAGTTGGTGATGTCAGTGCCACCATCATCCTCAGGTGGTTGCCAATTAACAACGCAGGACTCAGAGGTGATGGAAGAAATTTCGATTGGTCCAGATGGAGGACTCGGTCTACCTGTAACGTTAACTTCAACCGTAAATGTCTTGGTTCCTGTTACATTCTCCAGCGTAAGATAGTATTTTCCTCCATCTCCTCTCATGGCGTCTTTGACTGAGATACTAGCCCTGTCTTTAGTTACTTTGATGGTGACTCTGTCAGAGTTCTTTAGTCTCATTTCTTCCAACTTCCATGAGACCTTAGGAGCAGGCCTACCACTAATAGGAACATCGATGGTGAATGTGCTGCCCGACCTGCATGTGATAAGCTGGTTGGGTATCTCACTAAGGTCAGCAGCAGGTTCAATGTGAGGCTCCTTTACCAGCGCAGGGACCAGAGTTTTCTTTGGTAAACTATAACCAGCTTCATTTTTAGCCTTCACACGGAAGTCATACTCATCACCCTTATTGAGCTTTTCAACAGCAAAGGTAAGATTCTTGGTGTTTCCAACCACTACCCATTTGTCTCCACCCTTTGGTCTAGCCTCAATAACATAACCCTGAATGCGGCTGCCACCATCATGTTCTGGCTTCAACCAGCCTAGTAACACAGAACTATCTGTGGTATCGAGGATATCCAGTCTCTTTGGAGATGATGGTTCTGCTGTGGCAATTACTGGTTCAGTTAGCTCAAAGGCCTCACCCAAACCATGGTGGTTTTCAGCTGAGACTCTGAAGAAATAAGGAACTCCCTCCAGCAGGTCCTGGATCTTCAGAATACACTGTGTGCATTTGCCACCAGATTCCTGCCATGTCCGTCGACTAGCCTCACGCCTCTCAACAATATAGTGATGAATACGAGCTCCACCATCATTGACAGGTGGCTTCCAGACAAGAGTGACTGAGCCTCTGGAGACTTCCTTGAAAGCTACGGCCTGTGGCGGTCCAGGTGTATCCATTACTTTTACCACAAAGGTAACAGCCTTGCTACCACTGGAATTCTCCAGGTTGACTGTGTATTTGCCTGTGTCATATCTAGAGCAGTTTTCAATGCTCAAAGAGCTGTAACCATCAACAGTTGTGATCTCTGACATTCCGCTTAGGTCTCCTTCCTCCTTCACCCAAGTAGAAGAAGGAATGGGCTTTCCTCTGAAGTGAATGCCCAAACATATAGAACCTCCAGCCTTGATTATGTGTGTCTGCTTAAATGTGGCATCAATATCCACCTGTGGTGGTGTTAACCTATCAACAGACTGAACAGGTTCTGGAATCTCCTTTTCTTCACCTCTACCTATATGATTAACTGCTGCAACACGGAATGTGTACTCAGCTCCTGTCTGTAAACCTGTCACCACATAACTAGTTTCTGGCACAAGTTCCTCGTTTACTCTCTTCCATTCAGTGCCTTCTCCCTTCACCATTTCAATGATGTAGCCAATGATCTCCATGCCTCCATCATCAACTGGTTTGGTCCATTCCAAGCTAATGGAAGTGTTTGTGGAGTCTGACACACAAACCACAGATGGAGCACATGGGATGTCTTTCGGTTCAGCAGCCTTGATTGGCAAAGAGATGTTGCTAGGAGGCCCAACGCCAGCGTCATTGACAGCCATGACTCGGAACTCATATTCCATATCTTCTGACAGGTTAAGCACCTTGTGAGCGCATTCGATGATAGGTTTTTTGGAAATCACCTTGTAGAACCGAACAGTTTTCTTTTCTCTTTTCTCTAGAATATAGTACTGAATAGGATTGCCTCCATCAGATGTTGGAGAAGTCCAAGACAGTGTTATGCTTTCTCCTGTCACCTCAGTGGCATCAGGAGTTCCTGGGGCATCAGGAGTTGCTGAAAAAAAACATTTTGGAGATCAATAATTAAATGAAGATGAACAATTTAAGTAGAATCTAGAAAATGTAGAAAATATTCTGTATATTTTTAAGGCTTTAGGAATTTTCCACTTACTGTATTGCAATTGTGCAATGATAGGACTGGATTCCAGGGGTCTACCAACACCAAACTTGTTAACTGCAGACACTCTGAACTGGTACTCATTGGACTTGATGAGCTTAGTTGCATTAAAAGTACACTCCTTACATTCATCAGACACTAAGGCCCAGGAAATTTTGGCAGTTTCCCGTTTTTCAATGGTGTAATGTGTAATCTCAGAGCAGCCATCATTTTCTGGTGGGTTCCAAGAGAGAGTGCACTTCCCCTCTGAAATATTTGTGAAGGTGATTGGTCCTACTGGCTCCCCTGGTGTGTCTGTATTGCAAAGTCACATTGAGATAATTAAAATAAAACAGAATAGAAGTAGAAATAAAAAGCATGCTGGCAAAAAAGCATTTAATCACCAGACTAAATACTATTGGTATTACCTTGCACTTGAATTAGAATAGTCTCTTTTTTAGTTCCAGATCCATTGGTAGCTTCTACAGCATATTGGCCACGATGTGTGCGGTCAGCATCTCGGACAAACAGAGTGCTGGATCCAGGAACAGTAATAATGTCCATCATCTTTTTGGTAATCTCCACATCATCTTTGAACCAGACAACTTTTGGAACTGGGCGTCCAGTGATGGTCACTTTCACCCGGATGTTATCTCCTGCCTTTACTGTCAAACCCTCAAAGTACTCGGGGCCAAACTCAATATTTGGAGGAGCTGATTAAAAATAAAAATTATGTTAGTTTTTAATGTGTAGCAGGAAAAAATAAAAAGTTGTTTTTTGAATATTACATTAATGTAAAAACTGGTGTGCATACTTTAGACCTATTAATTTTAGTGTAATATATTTAAATGTTTTGCAACTCACCATTTTCACTTCGTACAGCAATAAAACCAGAAGAGTTGGATGGGGGACTGACAATCCCTATCGCATTTCTAGCAATGACTCTGAACTCGTAGCGCTCATTTGTTGTCAACCCTGTGACAGTGTACTGACAGTCATGTACTTCAGTCAGATTGGCCTTGAACCAGCGCCCGTGACCTTGACGTTTCTCAATGCTGTAGCTTGTTATCTTGCTACCACCATCACGTTTAGGGGCGTCCCATTTTAGTGTTACTGAGTCACTGGTTACATCGATGTAATCAGGTTGGCCAGGTGGGTCTAAAAAACATTGCATTTATATTAGATTTAATACACTATCATGCTAAACACATAATTCCAACAAAAGGGATGTATAATTTTGTATTATCTTCACAAAGACTTACCAACAGGACTCACAGCCATTGTTGGCTTGCTTTCGTCACTCATTCGGCTAAAGCCGGCATCATTTTGAGCATAGACTCTAAAAGAGTACTCAAGACCTTCTATGAGTTCCAAAATCCTGTAATCCGTTTCTTTTATAAGGACAGTGTTCACTTTTTGCCACATGATGCTATTCTTTTCTTTTTTCTCCACATGGTATCCCTGGATGGGGGTTCCACCATCATAGATGGGTTTTTCCCACTGGATTGTCATGCCATCATTAGTAACATTGTAAACAACTGGTTTTCCTGGTGGTCCTGGAGGTCTGAATTGGTGCTTGGCAATAACCATTTGTGAGATTAGAGGCTCACTCACACCATATCGGTTTTCAGCACACACTCTGAACTGGTATTGGACACCCTTGATCAAATTGGGGACTCTAAACTGAGTACTCTCAACATGGGAGGAAGCCATCTTCCAGTTAGATTGGGAGGTGTCACGTTTTTCCACTGTGTAACAACTAATCTCTCCACCACCATCATCATTAGGCTCATCCCAGGAGATCATGATATTGTCAGCTCTGATTTCATCCAGGCGAATGGGTCCAATTGGCTTTGATGGTGGACCAAGAGTAACAACAAAGATGTGGAAGGATTTCCTGTTGACCTTGTTGTCAAGACTCAGGGTGTATTTACCTTCATTCTCCTTCTTTACATTCTTAATCATTAGAGTGGCTTTGTTTTCAGTTGTCTTAAATCGAACTTGGTCACTTTCCTTCAGAGGCAGGCTGTCCTTTAACCACTGCACAGCAGGTCTAGGCTTGCCTCTGTATGGCAACTCAATATGCACATTATGACCCAAACGGACATTGAAGCTGCCTCCTGGGTATTCTCTGAGGTCTGCCTCAGGAGTGATGATGTAGTCAATGACCTTGATAGGGCCATGCTCAACAAAATCACCCTGTCCCTTCTCATTTCTGGCTGCAACTCTGAAGAACACCTCAGAGTGCTCCTTGAGTTTCTTGACCTCAAATTCACATTGTCTGCTGACTCCTCCCAATGACCATTCCTCATCCTTCAGCTTTTTCTCAATAACATAGTCAGAGATGATGCTGCCTCCATCATAGTCAGGCTTTATCCACTGTAGTGTCACAGAGGTCTTAGATGAATCTTTCATAGAAATTTCTTTGACTGGTCCTGGAGTTTCTGTAGCCTTGACAGGTTCCTGTGTTTCACATGGATCACCGATACCATTCTCATTTTCTGCTAAGACGCGGAAGAAGAAAGTTGTTTTTTCTGAGAGATCTTCAATAGTGTATGTAGTACTTGTGCATTTGTTTGTCACTGCAGAATATGATCTCTTAGAGGAGTCCCTCTTCTCAACAATGTAGTTTGTGATCTCAGCACCACCATCAAGGAGTGGAGGGTCCCAGCAGAGGGTGACTTTTCCACGGGTAACATCCTTCATAACCAAGTTTCTGCACTGAGCTGGGGTATCCTGTACCTTCACAGAGAGAGATAGTGTCTTTGGTTCTCCGACACCATTCTCTATCTTGACTGTGTACTTTCCAGTGTCAAGTCTGGTCACTTCACGCATGATGAGCACAGTTGTTGTGTCTGAGTGATGGAACTCATATTTAGGATCGCGATCTATGCATTCTTCTCCTTTGCTCCAGGAAGCAGTGGGAGCAGGTCTGCCCTTCAATGGAACAGACAACTCCACATCTTTACCAGCCTTGACAATATAGTGAGTTCTCATGGCAACATCTGAGTCAATCTGTGCTTCCTCTGTGAAGGGCATACAAATTTACAGTGTTACACAGATTGACAAAAAACAAACAAAACATGTAAGCAATCTTAAATGTTCTTTTTATATTACCCAGGATATCTTTGGCCTGCACAGGCTCAGTCATCTCTAAAGGTTCTCCACGGCCAGCACAGTTCACAGCAGACACTCTGAAGAAGTAGTTTGTATCTGGTTTTAGATCGTGAACTGTGTACTCTGTAGTCTTAACCTCACCCTTAGAAGTAACCATGGCCCAGTCTTTCTCTCCTTCAACAAGCTTCTCCACCATATAGCTGGTAACCTCGCTACCTCCATCCCATTCAGGCTTAGACCAACCCAGGGTGATGGATGTCTTTGTGGAGTCCACAACCTTTAGCTTGCAAGGCTCATCTGGTGGATCTGTAAAATTAAAATCATTAGTTGGAGAAGTAGCTTAAGTGTGATGATTTGTTTTTAAAGCTTTTTTTCACATACCAACTGGGTCAGCAGCCTTATAATAGTCTGATACATCAGAGAATGGTCCCTCCCCAGCTTTGTTAATGGCACAGACACGATATTGATACTCGTTTCCTTCTGTCAGATGGTACACCATCTGTTTGATGTCAGCAATGGGATCTTTATAAACTCTGATCCAGCGCAAGCTCTTCTTATCCCGTCTCTCTAGATAGTAGCCAGTCACAGGGCTACCACCATCCACTCCGGGTTTGTCCCATTCTACTAGCATCGTGGTCTTGGTGGTTGTGTTTACTTCCGGAGTATGAGGTTGGCCAGGAGTTACTTTAAAAAAAGACAATAAGGCAAATGAAATGGAAATGACAGCCAACAATGAAATAAATGTGAGAATAAACAGATGAAGAAATAGGATATTTAGTAATGACCAATGAGTATAGGATTAACTTTATTGTAATAGAAAAAAAAAAACTTACCAAAGGCATTCTTAGCGATGACAGGTTCAGACTCGAGTGGCTCTCCAACTCCAAATTTGTTAACTCCCATCACTCTGAAAACATATTCATTTCCACGCACCAATTTTCCGACTGTGATGTGTGTATTCTCATGTCTATCTGAAACAGTTGACCAGACCACTCTGCTGGTTTCACGCTTCTCAACAATATAGTGGGTAACTTTGGAACCTCCCTGGTCAGACTCTGGAACTGGTTCCCAGCTGAAGATTATCCGGTCTGCTGTTATGGAGTTGAAATTGATAAGGCCAGAGGGGGGTCCAGGTTTGTCTAAAAAGAGAGTCAAAAGACACATGATCATCAACTGTATATCTCTGTATCAACCTCTGACAATCTGGATGATTCATAAAATAAGGAGATCTCAGCAGAAATTTAAGTGCTTAACGTACCAAGGATTTCAGCCCTGATTGTAGCAGAAGCTGATCCCAAAACATTTTTGATCTTAATCTCATATGAGCCTGTGTCAAAGCGAGTTGCATCCTTAACCAGAACAGCGGAGGAGTCTGTTGTGCTTTCAACAGATACAGTAGAAGAGGTTACCAGCTCTTTTCCATCCTTGAGCCACACAATAGTTGGCAGAGGCTTGGCAATAATTCCTACTCTCAGTTTTACTGAAGCCCCAGCTTTATACTGGACCACATCCAGATACTCAGGAGGAAGATCAATAGCTGGGGCACCTAGAAGAAAAAAAAATATTTGTAAATATCAATCACAGTTATCAACAAAACATAAATATGCAAAAATGAATCCATAGCCTACCACATGCATCAACACAGGTGACGGGGCCAGCAATAAGAGAAGGGTTGCTGACAGATCCAACAGCATTCTTAGCATAAACTCTGAACTCGTAAGATTCATCTTGAGTGAGTCCATATGCAGTGAAGCCCAATTCAATGATGTTTGTAAAGTTGGCTTTCACCCATCTGCCATTAGGAGCTTCCCTTCTCTCCACACTGTAGCCAGTTATCTTGCTGCCTCCATCAAATGGTGGTCTCTGCCAAGTCAGGCTGACAGAGTTCTTTGTGACTTCTGTGACACGGACATTTGCTGGGGGCTCTACAACATCAATGTGGAAAACATCCAAGTCAGAGGAAAAAAGGGGATACATTAAAAGTATCTTTGGATACTATGTGTATTAGAAATCCGCCAACATTAGATATAAAATTATGTATACATTTAACATGTCTACTAAGGGTAAAATTGAACAATGAAATTAAAGACTTACCACAGGCATCAATCGCAAGCACCTCTTCAGATGTCTTGCTCAACTTTCCAATACCAGCAGCATTTTCAGCTGCTACCTTGAATTCATAGATGAGGCCTGGACAGATATTTGTAACTCGCCACTGGTTTCCTGGTATTGCTGTTTTGTTAACCTTCTGCCAGATGATGCTGCTTCTCTCTTTCATTTGAAGATGATATCCAATCACAGGGCTTCCGCCATCAGTGACTGGCTCATTCCAGCATACTGTCAAACTCTCTCTGGAAACAAAGCTAACCCACGGGGTGGATGGAGGACCTGGGATTACTGAAAGATACCAACATATTGTTAAAGCGGTTAAGAAACAATAATGAGTCATAAAACCAGATGACAAATCTTTATCGAATTGACTCAGTGACTTACTGTAAGGTAGTTGGATCATGACTGGTTTACTGTCAATGTGGCTGCTTAGTCCATAGCGATTCTCAGCCTTGATTCTGAACTGATACTCCTCCCCCTTGGTTAGCTTATTCACCTTGATAGCACTCCTGGCGATGTTAGTTGACACCTCTACCCACGCAGGAGTACTTGTTTCCCGTTTCAGAACAACATAGTTGGTAACAGGACTTCCACCATCATATTCTGGAGGATCCCATTTTAGACATACTGTGGTCTCTCCAACCTCTCCAATCTGAACTGGGCCAACTGGAGGTCCAGGTTTATCCAGCACAACGAAAATAAGAGAGATCTTGGTTGTCCCCCCTGCATTTGAGGCAGTGACTTCATATTTTCCTGCATCACTTGAAACGCTTTCATTTAGAGTTATAAGTAGGCTATCAGGAGTCACTTCTGTCAGAAGTCTCTTGGACCCTTTGATGACAACATTGTTTTTGGATATTGTCACCTTTGGCATGGGTTTGCCAGTAAGAGGAATCTCAAAAGTCAGGTCAGATCCTGCTTTTACATATACTGTATTCTTGGGGTAGTTCTTTAAGTCAAATTCTGGGGCCTCTGTTAAAAAAAAAGTACAAGACTGTCAAGAATTATAAAATATATCTTAAAATTATTACACACTTTACTGATTAAACACCAAACTTTTAATATGTCTAAAATATTTAAATTTACAAAAACAAAAAACAAATAATGTTTTTTTACATTTCAAAGTAAGTAAAGAAAATTTACCACTTATCTCCTTGACGATAACTGGAACTATCATCTCCTTAGGTTCACTGAGTCCAGCATGATTTTCAGCACGAACTCTGAAGAAGTACTCAGCTCCTTCTCTTAGGCTCTTAATGGTATGAGTCAAGGTCCTCACAGTTGCACATTTTATCCACTTGGTCTGACCCTTCTCCACAGCATCAATGAGGTAACCAGTGACCCTGCTTCCACCATCATATTCTGGTCTTGTCCAGGCAAGTGTAACACTGTCTTTAGTGACATTTGCAACTCCAAGTTTCAGTGGTGGACTTGGTACCTCTGCAAAAAACAATATGACATTTGTGTTTTACTATGTTAGGATCTGTATCAACAAATTATGCAACTATCATTGATTATTCAGTCCTAGTATACCTGTGATCTTTGTTCCTCCCTTTGCCTCTTGAGGTGCACCCACTCCATTTTCATTTTCTGCTAAAATTCTGAAGTAATAGACAGCACCCTCCTGCAAGTCTTCCACCTTATAGGTCAAAGCATGACAATTGCTTGTCACAGACACCCAGGCCTTCTTGCTTGCCTCACGTTTCTCAACATGGTAGGCTTTTACTACATCTCCACCATCATTTTCTGGAGCCTCCCATGTCAGTGTTGCAGAATCTCTTGTCACAGATGAAACTTTGACATTGATTGGAGGTCCAGGAGAGTCAAGCACTTTCACTACCATGGGCAAAGTTGCTTTACCCAAAGGTGATTCAATTGTGACACAGTACTCTCCAGAGTCATTCCTAGTTGACTTCTCAATAGTCAGTGATGTGCTGGATTCTGTTGCTTCAATAGTTCCTCTTACTGTTAGATCAACACCTTCTTTGCTCCATTGAACTGTTGGTGCTGGTTTTCCTTTGAATGGTGCACTAAGAGTGAATGATGTACCATGTTTTACAATGAGAACCTTGCGCATCTCAATATCAGCATCAAATGATGGCTCTGCTGTTCTGTCTGCTGCTGCACCTGGATCTGAGTATGGGCTACGTACACTGCTGCCCACTTTATTTATTGCCTTTACACAGAATTCATACTCTACATCTGTCTTCAATCCAGTGACTGTGAACTCCAAGCTTTTGGTAAGAGGTATTGCCTCAACCCATCTGGCTAGTTCTTCAGGTGACTCAGGTATTTCTTCATCCTCATATTCCTCTTCATCCTCAATGTCTGGCTCTGGTTTGGGAATAAATTCTCTGTATTCTACACTATATCCTAAGATGGGAGCACCACCATCATTTGTTGGTGGCCTCCAGAGGATAGACACAGTGTCTTTAGTGGAATTTATAATTTTTGGCTTGCTTGGGCGACAAGGAACAATCAGGGGATCTAGTGCTCTGAATGTTGCAGATGGTTCACTGACAGGACTCAGGCCAGCTGCATTTTCAGCATAGACTCTGAAGTCATACTCACAACCCTTGCGAAGTTTCGTCACCACTGTGGTAACCTCTTTAACTAGATCTCTGTTCACACGAACCCAGCGCATGCCTGTTTTCTCACGACGTTCAATTACATATCCAGCAATGGGACTACCTCCATCATTGGCTGGCTTACACCAGGTAAGGGTCATAGAATCTCCAGTTATATCAGTGACATCAACACCTGCGGGAGCAGTTGGAATTGTGTATGGATCTGTAATTTTTATAACTTCACTCTCCAGAGCCTCGCCAACACCATGCTTGTTAACAGCTAGAACTCTAAAGATATATTCATTACCCTTAAGCAGACCTGTCACTTTAAAGTAGGTCTTTTCTACATCACCCTTTACCAATGTCCAAGCCAAACGACTGGTCTCACGCTTCTCGACAACATAATGTGTTATTTTAGCACCACCAGTTTCCTGAGAAGGACCCCATGACAGAGTGCAGTCCTCTGCTGTAAGACCAGTGATCTGGAGAGGGCCTGCGGGGGGCCCTGGTTTATCGATGATCACACAATTAATTGGCATAGTAACTGTTCCCCCAATATTCTGGAGAGTTAGCACATACTGTCCAGAATCTCTTTTGACACAGTCCTTTATAACAATACAAGTGCTTGTATCTGTTGAAATAATCTGAATTCTGGCTCTCAGCTCAATCTCTTTGCCATCCTTTGTCCAGCAGATGACAGGGGCAGGACGTCCAGCAAGGTCAGCATTAATCTTCAGTGTTTCTCCTGCTTTCACAAACACAGTTTCTCTAAACTTGACATCCATCATGATGCGTGGTGGATCTACATCATCCTTGACAGTTATTGGGCCTGTATTGAATGATGGGATACTGAACTGTCCAGCAGCATTCTTTGCAATGACACGGAAATCATACTGGCTGTTCTCTGTAAGCCCTGTAGCATCATAGTAAGTTTCTGGCACATTGGTGAAGTTGCACCTGGTCCATCTACCCTCAGGAAGGTCTCTCCGCTCAATAATATAGCCAGAAACCTTGGATCCGCCATCATACTCTGGTTTATCCCAAGATAAGGAGACAGACGTTCGTGTAATAGCAGTAACCACAGGTGTGCCTGGAGGATCACATGGATCTCTTGCTGCAACAGGTTCACAAGCCTTACTGCATTTACCAATGCCAGCAATATTTTCTGCATAGGCACGGTATTCATAGAGCATTCCCTCTTCAACACCAGTGACTTTGTATTCTGTGTCTTTTATCATTCCTCTGTTCATTTTTGTCCAAAGAATGCTAGAACGTTCCTTCCTTTCTAAATGATAGCCCAGAACAGGACTACCGCCATCACTGACTGGCTCATTCCACGTCACCAACATGTATGACTTAGTAGCCAGTTTGACAATAGGCGTTGATGGAGGTCCAGGTTGTTTGAAGTTATATTGAGCAGTAATTCCTGGAGAATCAAGGGAACTACTCTTTCCATATCGGTTAACTGCATATATGCGGAACTGGTACTCTGCTCCATGTGTAAGGCGGCCAGCTTTGAAAGATGTTCTGGCAACATTACTTGCTGCTATTTGCCACTCCTGTGTGTTTGTATCTCTCTTCTCCACAATATAGTTGCTGATGGAGCAGCCACCATCATATTCTGGTGGGGACCAAGACAGTGTAATGCTGTCTGAAGTCACAGCATCCACCTTAATTCCTTTAGGTGGACCAGGTTTGTCCAGGACAACAACTCCAATACTAGCTGTTACTGTTCCAGCAGTGTTAGCCAAAGTGATCTCATATTTTCCAACATGTTCTCTGTTAGCTCCTTTAATAATAATTTTAGATGATGTTGCTGTATTTATGATTGTTATTGATGATGTTTGTTTCAAAGGAAGGCTATCCTTCTTCCATGATACAACAGGTTTTGGTCTGCCTCTCACAGGCACTTCAAGAGTGAGATCATCCCCAACCTTGACGCTATATGTTGTAAACAGTAAACTTATGGATGGTTCTATTGCAACATCTTTTGCCACCACTGGCAATCCAAGATCTTTTGGCTCACTCTTTCCCTTTTCATTAATAGCAACAACTCTGAAGAGATATGCTTCGTTGGGATTCAGATTAGGAACAGTTGCTTCTGGTACTTTGACTGTACATGCTGTGCCCCACTTGTCACCACCCTTAGGTTTGAATTCCACATTGTAGCACATTACTTTGCTGCCACCATCATGAGCAGGCTTCTCCCAGGTCAGTGATGCACTGGTTTTTGTTACATCCACAAGAGTTACCTTGTTTGGTGGTTGAGGCACCTCAGACACTTTGATTTCTTTGGTTTCAACTGTCTGTCCCTGGCCATATGCATTAACAGCACACACTCTGAAATAGAATATCCCACCTTCAGGGAGGTCTTCAATTTTGAATGAGTTAGCAGTACAATTGCTTGTGATAGTAGTATAGGCCTTTCTCACAGATTCCCTTTTCTCTACAATATAGTTTGTAATTTTTGCACCACCATCATTGAGTGGTGTGTCCCAAGCAAGAGTTACTGAATCTTTCTTGAGCTCCTTAACAGTGAAGTTTTGTGGTGCACTTGGTGTGTCCAAAATTCTTACTGAAATAACTGCAGATTTTGTACCACTGCTGTTCTCCAGTGTTAAAGAATATTTTCCACTGTCAAAGCGGTTAACATTGTCAATGACAAGCATGGTGTATGAAGTAGTAGTGTCAATTGCAGCATGCTCTGTTAAAGTGCTCTCAAGTTTCTCCCATTTCACAGAAGGTTCAGGTCTCCCTCTAATAGGGACAAACAAGCGCAGAGTTCCACCAGCCCGTACAGATACCACCTTTCTGAGGTCTGCATCCAACTCCATCTCTGGTGGATCTGCTCTGTCAGAAGTTAGTACTGTGCCATGGAAATTAGCTGCTTCCCCAACTCCTTCTGAGTTAATGGCACAAACACGGAACTGATACTCTCCACCATCCTTCAGGTCTGTGATAGTGAGTTTAGTAACCTGAATACCTGTGGGTGGAGTACACATGGTCCATTCTTTTTCAACTGGTGCTTGTACTGTTGGTGCTACTTCTGCTTCCTCAGTTAATTCAGGTTGTGGTGTGTATTCCCTCATTTCAACAATGTATCCCTTGATGTAGGCTCCACCATCAAAGTCAGGTTTACTCCATGAAAGGGACACAGAAGACTTTGAGTAGTCTGTCACCTTAGGATGGCGTGGAGGTCCAGGTGGTGTTGTAGCGTCACATGCTCTATAGAAAAGGGATAATTCACTGAGGTCTCCTATTCCAGTCTCATTTTCAGCAGCAACGCGGAACTCATAAAAGTGGTCTGGCATAAGACCTGTGACCTTGAAGTTTGTTTCTGTCAATTTTTGCCTGTTGCATTTTGTCCACCTCACACTATCTTTGTCACGCTTTTCAAGATGATAACCCCGGATGTCAACTCCACCTGTGTTTTCTGGAGCTGTCCAAGAGAGAACCATGGAGTCCCTTGTGATTTGACTTGCTTCAGGAGATCCAGGAGCACTTGGTGGTTTGTAAGGATTCCGTGCAATAATAGGTTCACTTTGAAGGTGATCACCAGTCCCATATTTGTTCACTGCCCTGACTCTGAAAATGTACTCATTTCCTGGAAGCAAATTTTTTACTTTATGGTACAGGCTTTTTTCTTCTGATGCAACTACAGTCCAAGACAACCTGCTGGTCTCTCTTTTCTCTAAAACATAGTGACTGATGCTAGCACCACCATCCAGAGCTGGTTCAGACCAGGTAAGGATGCACCTGTCAGCCATGATTTCAGACACTTTAATGGGACCAATTGGTGGGCCTGGTTTGTCAAGGACTTTAACAGTGATGGGGAAGGTTTTTGTACCACCAATGTTTTTGAGAACAAGGTCATAATGGCCACTATCTAGTTTGGTCACATCCTTTATGGTCATAGCTGCACATTTGTGTGTAGTTTTAACTTCAATGCGCAAGGCTTTCTCCATTTCTTTGCCCTCTTTAAGCCACACAACCTCAGGTTGTGGAGTTCCATAAATGTCTGCATCAAAATGCAAACTCTCTCCAGCACCTACCACAATTATGTCCTTGTATTTGGGGTCCATTGAGGCCCTTGGTGCTTCAATGTCATCTGTGGCAGTGATAGGTCCAGAGCTATCTGATGGCCCACTGAAGACTCCAGCAGCATTTCTTGCAATGACTCTAAATTCATACTGCTCACTCTCTGTCAGACCAGTCACTGTGTACTCTGTCTCAATTATATTAGTAAAGTTGGATCTTACCCAACGACCATCAGGGGAGGAGAGGTCTTTTCTTTCTACGATGTATCCATTTATTTTACTACCACCATCATACTGAGGTCTGGTCCACTGAATTTTAATGATATTTTTAGAAATATATACAGCTTCTGGAGTGCCTGGAGGATCACATGGGTCACGAGCAACAAAGGACTCAGATACTTTACTGCATCGTCCAATGCCAACAATATTTTCAGCATAAACTCTGAATTCATAACCAATGCCTTCCTCAAGATTGCAGATCTTGAATTGAGTGTCTGTAATTCGGGTTTTGTTTAGTTTGTTCCAGAGGATGCTGCTTCTCTCTTTACTTTCAAGGTGGTAACCAATAACTGCACTCCCACCATCAGTAACTGGCTCGTTCCATTCAATGATCATCATTTCCTTAGTTGCAGATTTAACATATGGTGTACCAGGAGGCCCAGGTGGTTTGTAGGGATACTGCACTACAATGCTCTTGGAGTCTAGAGGTGCACTCTTTCCATATCTGTTTTCTGCTATAATTCTAAACTGATATTCTGCACCAGTTTTCAGTTTTGTCACCTTAATAGCCGTTCTAGCCAGCTGTGTAACAACTGGCTGCCACGTTGTGGTTGTGGTATCTCTCTTTTCTACTATGTAGTTCTTAACTTGACATCCACCAGTGTATGCTGGGGGCTCCCAAGATAGATGGACAAAAGTGTTGCTTACTTCCACCACTTTAACTGGACCTTTTGGTGGGCTGGGCTTGTCGAGGATAATAATAGTCACATCTTCTGTGATGGTGCTAACAGTGCTTGTTGCAGTAATAGAATATTTGCCAAAGTCTTCCTTACATGCCTCAGTAATCTGAATTCCAGTTGTTAATGGAGTGTTGAAAACATTAACTCTAGAGGTCACCTTTAAACCCTGACCATCCTTTGCCCAGCTGATTTTAGGTTTGGGCCTTCCAAGTACAGGGAATTCCAGTCTAAGATCTTTTCCAGCTAACACATTGTAGGTATTAAATTGCATCTTGATGCTTGGTTCTATGGTCATGTCATTTGCAATCACTGGTGCAGCAAGTGCCTTTGGTTCACTCTTTCCTTTCTCATTGTAAGCAATGATCCGGAATAAGTATTCTGTGCCTGCTGTCAGGCCTGTAACGGTTCCTTCACAAGTCTTTGGGTTTCCTGCAACTCCCCACTTATCTGTGCCCTTAGGCTGCATCTCAATCAGGTAACCACCAATCCTACTGCCACCGTCATGTTCAGGTTTCTCCCAGGCCAGTGTGGCACTGTTTTTTGTGACATCTGTAAGAAACACTTTCCCAACAGGCAGTGGCACTTCAGAGGCTTTTGAAGCAGTTTTTGTCTCGACACATTGACCAATTCCATAATCATTCTCAGCCATGACTCTGAAGTAGTACATAGCTCCTTCAATCAAATTGTCAACTGTAAATGTGGTCTTGGTGCATTTTGTGGACACATTTGCATATGCCTTCCTTGTTGATTCACGCTTATCAATGACATAGTTCTTGATTTTCGAACCTCCATCAATTGCTGGTGCATCCCATACAAGTGTAACAGAATCCTTTTTGATATCTTTAACCACAAGGTTCTGTGGAGCCCCAGGTGTGTCCAGGACTTTTACTGAAACAAACTCAGAGACTGAGCCACTGCTATTTGTCAGGCTTAGCGTGTATTTTCCTGAGTCATGTCTGTCAGAACTGTCAATAGAGAGCTGTGTGAAGTTCAAAGCTTTCTCAACCACAGCTTTTTCAGAAAGGTCTCCATCGTCCTTTGTCCATTTAATCTCAGGTGTTGGCCTGCCCTTGAAAGGAATATAGATTCTAACAGATCCACCAGCTTTTACAGTGATGCCTTTTCTCAGCTCGGAGTCAAGATGAATTTGTGGTGGATCCATCCTTTCCTCTGGTTTTGCCATTCCAGAAAGAACAACTGGTTCACCAACTCCCATCTTGTTCAAAGCACACACTTGAATTTTGTATTCCTGGCCCTCAGTAAGTTTAGGAATTTCATATTTGTTGACACGGAGACCAGTAGGGGGTGTAACCATCTTCCATTCTTCCTCTTCAGCTTTGCATACTTCAACAATGTATCCTTGGATGGTACTACCACCATCAGACAGAGGCTTTCCCCAAGAAACTGTGATGGAGGACTTTGTAGAGTCAATTACATTGACATATGCTGGGGGACCAGGTTTGTATTTGGGATCAGATGCCTTGTAGTATGAACTAGGAAGGCTTGGTTCTCCTGGACCAACAATATTCTCTGCAGATACTCTGAACTCATACTCATGACCTGTGGTTAGGCCTGTAACTCTATATGATAAATCAGTTACTTTTTGTCTGTTACATCTGGTCCACTTGATTCCAGCCCTGTCCTTCTTTTCAATTATATAACCTATAATCTCTGTGCCACCATCAGACTCAGGGGCGGACCAAGTTACTGTCATGCCATCATGGGTAATGTTGAGTATGTCTTCAATGTGAGGTGAACTAGGTGGAACAAAAGGATTCTTCATAGTAACGGCAGCAGACTCTAGTGCCTCACTGACTCCATGACTGTTAACTGCCATTACACGGAACATATACTCATTGCCCTCCAGTAATTTAGTAACTTTGTAGCATGTGGTGTTACAGGTAGTAGAAACAACAGTCCAAGCGAGGCGACTTGTCTCTCTCCTCTCAATGATGTAACGTGTAATAGGACTACCTCCATCATGTAGTGGGGCCCGCCATGCCAGTGTGCATCTATCCTCAGCTACTCCAGTGACATGGAGAGGCCCTTCACATGGACTAGGTTTATCCATTACCAAAACCTTAAATGGAACAGTTTCACTGCCAGCCTCATTTGTCAGCAGAAGTGTGTAAATTCCACCATCAACTCTAACACAGTCCTTAACAATAATCATTGCATGGTTTTCTGTGTTTTTGATCTCTAGTCTGATTGTATTCTCAACTGGCTTTTCATCCTTGAACCACTGGACTGAAGGCAGTGGCTTGCCATGGACATCTGCATCCAACCGGAATGTCTCTCCAGCATTTATGATAACAGTCTTGGTAAAAGCAGGGTCAATTGAGTATTTAGGAGACTCGACCTTGTCACTTGCTGTTATAGGTCCACTGTTGTATGATGGCTTGCTGACTGTTCCAACTGAATTTTTAGCAATGACTCTAAAGTCATACTGTGCATTTTCTGTGAGTCCAGAAACAGTAAACTGAGTGTCAATCACATTTGTGAAGTTTGCTCTTACCCACCTGCCTTCTGGCAGATCACGTTTTTCTATTGTGTAGCCAGTAATATTACTGCCTCCATCATATTCTGGTTTAGTCCACTGAATGACAATTGTATCCTTGGTCACATGGACAGCTTCTGGTGTGCCAGGGGGATCGCATGGGTCACGGGCAACACAACCCTCTGAAATCTTACTGCTTCTTCCAATTCCAACAATATTTTCAGCATAGACCCTGTATTCATATTCTATACCCTCCTCCAATGGATGACTCTTGAAACTAGTCTCATGAATAAGTGTCTTATTGATCTTGACCCAGAGAATACTATTCCTCTCCTTTCTTTCAAGATGGTATCCAAGAACAGGACTTCCTCCATCTACTATAGGTTCATGCCACTCAACAATTTGGTGGTCTCTAGAGAGAGAAGAAATAAAGGGAGTGCCTGGTGGGCCTGGCTCTCTGTAAGGATATTGAGCCACTACAGCTGATGAATCTAGACCTTGACTTTTTCCATAGCGATTCTGGGCAATGATCCTAAACTGGTACTCAGCTCCTGTCTTTAGTCTAGTAACCTTGATGGTTGTTCTAGCACAGTTGGTGGTCACATTCTCCCATGATGTTGTGGTAGTATCTCTTTTTTGTACAATGTAGTTTGAGATTTGGGACCCACCAATATGTTTTGGTGGGTTCCATGAAATTGTGACACTCTGTGTTGTGATTTCATCAAATTTCACTGGACCAGATGGAGGTCCAGGTTTGTCCAGAACAATTATTTCGATTGCACTTTCTTTCTTTCCTGCTGAGTTAGTGGCAGTTATAGTATACATTCCAAGGTCGTCACTTGCTGCCTCCTTAATGCTTAGAGTTGTATGTGTAGTTGTGTTGTGAATATTTACTCTGGTGGTAAACTTCAATGGGGCTCCATCCTTTGTCCATACAATTGTTGGCTTAGGGCGACCAAAGATGGGAATATCAACATTTATGTCTTTGCCAACATGAACACTGTAGCTGCTGAATGCAGGCCGGATATCTGGCTCAAAGACCAGATCCTTGGTCATCACTGGACCAGCAAGGGTTTTTGGGTCACTCTTTCCTTTGTCATTGATCGCAGTGACTCTGAACAAATATTCCTGTCCTGGATTAAGATTGGACACTGTAGTCTCCATGGTCTTAAATGTATTTACACCAGACCATTTGTCCTGGCCCTTCAACTGTGCTTCAAGCAGATACTGTTGAACTCTGCTTCCACCATCATATTCTGGCCTCTCCCATGCCAGAGAGATGCTCGTTTTTGTCTGATCTGTAACAACCAAACTTTTTGGAGACTGAGGCACTTCTGAAACCTTAAGAGGGTCTACCGTTGCTGCAGGCAAACCAACACCAAAAGCATTTTCAGCGAGGACTCTGAAATAGTAACTACAGCCTTCTTGAAGGGGTTCAATCTTACATGAAAGAGCATGACAGTTTGTCACAACAGCAGCATAAGTTTTACGTGTGCTTTCTCTCTTTTCAATAATGTAGTTCTTAATCTTGGATCCACCATCTAAAAGAGGTGGCTCCCACACCAGTGTCACTGACTGATTTGTAATTTCTTTCACTTTAAGAGCAACTGGGGCGCTGGGTGTATCTAGAACACGGACAACAACAAATGCAGACTTGGTACCACTGGAGTTCTGAGCAGTAATTGTATATTTTCCACTGTCATTTCTGCTCATTTTATCAATTACAAGGGATGTATAACTGCTGGTTATTTCAACCTGAGCAGTTTCTTTGAGAGTCTCTTCATCTTTGTCCCACTTAATGGTAGGACTGGGTCTTCCTTTAATGGGAATAAACAATCTAAGGGAAGCACCAGCTTTGATAGACACAATCTTTCTAAGTTCTGGGTCAATGTCAAGGTCTGGCTCTTCTGTTTTGTCCTGCACAACCACAGCTCCAGAGAGATCAGCATGCTCACCAACTCCTACCTTGTTGATAGCACACACTCTAAACTTGTACGTTTGATTTTCTTTCAGATTTCCAACTTCAAATTTAGTTGTCTTTACACCTGTCGGGGGTGTGCATATTATCCAATTCTCAGTAGGTGCATCTGTGGCAGAAGCTGATGCATCTGGTGCTTCAGGTTGCACCACTGGTTCTGTGGCAATGCAACACTCAACAATATACCCCTGAATCTCACAGCCTCCATCACATACAGGCTTTCCCCAGGACAAAAGTACTGATGATTTTGTTGTGTCAGTGACCTTGGGATTTTGTGGTGGGCCTGGTCGGAAGATGGGATCAAGAGCTTTGTAGAAAACAGTTGAGGTGCTTGGCTCACCAACACCCACAGCATTTTCAGCAGCAACTCTAAATTCATAAATATGGCTTTCCAGTAATCCAGTTACTTTAAAGGTCAGATCTGTAACTGTTTGCCTATTGCATCTTGTCCATCTCACTCCTTCTTTGTCATGTTTCTCTATTATGTATCCAGTAATGGGACTACCACCATCTTCAGAAGGAGACTCCCAACTGAGCACCATCGAATCCTTTTTAACATCAGAAACTTCGACGTTCTTTGGTGTTCCAGGTAAGACATATGGATCTTTAATTATAACAGGAGCAGACTCAAGTGGTGCACCCACTCCAAACTGGTTGACTGCACGAACTTTGAAGATATATTCATCTCCTTCAAGAAGTTTATTTACTTTGAGACAAACATTCTTTACTTTTGGATCAACAACAGTCCAGACAAGCCGACTTGTCTCTCTTCTCTCAACAATATAGTGAGATATTTTGCTGCCACCATCCTGAAGTGGTGGTTTCCATGCAAGAGAGCAATGATCTTTGGCGATGCCTGTAACAACAAAAGGTCCTTGTGGTTCCCCAGGTTTATCAAGGACAACAACATTGATTTGTGTAGCCTTTTCTCCTCCAGGATTTTTCAGCAACAGCGTGTATTGTCCTCCGTCTGAAAGTTTAGATTCCTTTACAGATATGTAAGCTTTGGTGGGTGTGTTCTTGATTTCTCTATGAATTGTATTGCCAAGCTCCTGTTCTCCCTTCAGCCAGTGAATGGAGGGCAATGGTTTGCCATGAACATCAGCGTCAATTTTGAAGTTGTCTCCAGCATTGACCACAAGAGTCTGTGCATATTCAGGGTCAATGCTGATACGTGGTGGTTCAATCTCATCTCTGGCGGTTATAGGGCCAGTGCTGTATGAGGGTAAACTGAAAACACCAGCAGCATTTCTAGCAATAACCCGAAACTCATATTGGCTATCTTGCACAAGTCCAGTCGCAACATATTCTGTTTCAATCACATTTGTGAAATTGGCCTTCAACCAACGACCCTCAGGAAGTTCCTTCTTTTCAACAACATAACCAGTTACCTTTGCACCACCATCATATTCAGGCTTGGTCCAAACAATTGTTATGGAGTCTTTCGCAATCTTTGTTGCTTCTGGAGTGCCAGGAGGATCACAAGGATCTCTAGCAATATGCCCTTCAGACACTTTGCTTGCTTTGCCTATTCCTACAATGTTTTCTGCATAAACTCTATATTCATATTCCATTCCTGGTTCTAGACCTGTCGTTTTAAATGTTTGGTCAGTAATAAGAGACTTGTTAAGTTTGACCCATAAGATGCTATTTCTCTCTTTACGTTCAAGATGATAGCCTAAGATATTAGTTCCACCATCATTCACAGGCTCATTCCAGGCTACAACCATGCTGTCCTTAGAACAGGCTGCAATGTTTGGTGTTCCTGGTGGTCCTGGGAGCTTGTATGGGTACTGAGCAACAATACATTCTGAGGAAAGAATTGGGCCTTTTCCATATCTGTTTTCAGCCACAATCCTAAACTGATATTCAGAGCCAGTCTTAAGTCTGCCTGCCTTAATTTTTGTTCTTGCTAGATTGTGAGTTACAACCATCCAGTTCGTTGTGGATGTGTCCCTTTTTTCCACTATGTAGTTTTTAATGGTGCATCCACCATCATATTCAGGTGGATTCCATGAGATTGTTATACTATCAGAAGTAACCTCCTCTACCTTAACTGGCCCTTTGGGCTGGCCAGGTTTGTCTAGAACAACAATACCAATATTTACTGTTGTCTCTCCAGCTGTATTGCCAAGAGTAATAGTGTATTGGCCAACGTCATCTTTAGCTGCCTCTTTAATGTTGAGGTCCAACTTTGTGTCTGATGCACCAAAGTTGACCCTGGTAGTTCTTTTCAGAGGCTGACCATCTTTTGCCCAGGTAACAGTTGCTTTGGGTCGTGCCACATATGGAACATCCACTGTCAAGTCTTCTCCCGCCAACACACTAAATGTATTGAACAACATTTTAGCAACTGGAGCAATGATGAGATCTTTGACTATCACAGGGACGCCAATTTGACGAGGATCACTAGTTCCTTTCTCATTCTTTGCTGCTACACGGAACATATACTCTTCCCCTGCATTTAGTCCACTTATAGTAGCTTCTGTGTCTTTCACAATCATAGCCTGGGTCCACTTATCTGCACCCTTAGGCTGAATCTCAACAACATAACAGCCTACTCTGCTGCCTCCATCATGTTCTGGTTTTTCCCATGATAGTGTTACACTGTTTTTGGTGACATCTTTAAGAGTGATTTTACCAGGTGGCTGTGGCTTCTCAGACACTTTCACTGATTCAGGTGTTTCGATGGGCAAGCCAATGCCATATTCATTTTCAGCTAAAACTCTGAAATAATAATTGCAGCCCTCCAGAAGTTGGTCAACTGTAAAGGAAGTACTATGGCAATTGGCTTTAACTGTGGCATATGCTTTCCGTGTTGACTCACGCTTTTCAACTATATAATTCTTAATTTTGACTCCTCCATCGTTCACTGGTGGATCCCATGTTAATGTGACAGCTTCATTTGTGACAGAGGTAATTTTTAGATTTTGTGGCGCACTTGGTGTATCAAGAACTCTTACCTGAACTGTCACAGTTTTGGAACCAGAGCAGTTTTCAATGGTGAGGTTATATTTTCCACTGTCAAATCTGTTTACATTTTCAATTACAAGTGATGTGTATGATGACGTGGTGTCAATGGTTGCTCTCTCCAAAGGCTCACCATCACCTTTAGACCACTTAGCCTGAGGAGCTGGTCTGCCTCTTATTGGAACAAACAGTCTAAGTGTGCAGCAAGCTCTTAGACTGACCAGTTTACGGAGCTCAGCATCCAAGTCCATCTCAGGAGGAAGGAGTCTGTCCTCAGCTTTTGGATTTCCAGGAATAAATGCCGCTTCTCCAACTCCTTCGCTATTCATGGCGGAAATACTAATCTTATACTCCTGGTTTTCTTTAAGATTAGTGAGGGTAAATGAAGTTGCAAGAAGACCTTCCTTTGGAGTAACAATGGTCCATTCCTCCTCTTCTTCTTTTTCACATGGGATGCATGTCTCAACAATGTAACCAGTGATTTCAGAGCCACCATTGTATACAGGTTTGTTCCAGGCAATAGTAATTGAGGATTTTGTTGTGTCCAGGATTCTGGGGTTGCATGGAGCTCCTGGCTTGTACAGCCCATCAGTGGCTCTATAAAACAGACTGGGCACACTTGGTACACTCACTCCAGCAGCATTCTCAGCAAATATTCTAAATTCATATTCATGTCCTGTAGTAAGCCCCGTTGCCTTGAACTGTAGGTCCTTCACTTTTCTTAAATTGCATTTAACCCATCGAAGGCCACCTCTGTCTTTCCTTTCAATATTGTAGTTGGTGATGGGAGTTCCACCATCACTCTTAGGCGCTTGCCACATGACAACCATCGAGTCTTTAGTAATAGCTGTAACCTCAGCGTTTTCTGGGGGGTCAGGTTTCCCATACGGGTTGTCTGCAATAGTGGGTTCCGATTCAAGAGATTCTCCAAGACCATACTTGTTCACAGCCATTACTCTGAATATATATTCATTTCCTTTGAGTAGCTTAGTCACTTTGTGATTTGTAACTTGCAAACCTGAAATTACGTTGGTCCAAACCAGTCGACTTGATTCGCGTTTCTCAACTACATATCCTTCGATTTTGGCACCACCATCATCCGCTGGTGGAGCCCATGTAAGTACACAGTTGTCAGCAGTTACATCAGACACTTTCAGAGGGCCAATCGGTGGTCCAGGTCTGTCAAGCACTTTTACGTTGAAGACATGTTTTGCAAATCCACCAACATTTGTAGCAGTCAAAACAAATTCACCTCCATCTGATCTAACAGAGTCCTTGTTAGTCAGAATAGTTGTCAGTTCGGTAAACCTAACCTCCAGTTTCATTGTGTTCTCAACTTCCTTTCCATCCTTTGTCCAAGCCATAGATGGGATTGGCTGACCAGCAATATCAGCTTCAAGCTTAAAAGACTCTCCTGCTTTCAAAAGAACTGTGTCCTTGAAGATGGCATCGACCATGATACGTGGCTCAATTATGTTATCTTTACATGTAATTGAGTCAGATGGTTCAGATGGTATGCTCACAGCTCCTGCTGAGTTTCTGGCTATGACACGGAACTCATATGAGATGTCCTGAGTGAGTCCACTGACAGTGAATGCCGTTTCAATAATGTTGGTAAAGTTAGCTCTCATCCAACGACCAGCAGGCAATTCTCTTTTTTCTACTGTGTAACCAGTGATCTTAAAACCGCCATCATAGGCAGGCTTTGTCCATTGAATTGTGATGGCGTTCTTGTTGACAAAAATTGGCACAGGCTGACCTGGTGGATCCACAGGGTCCAAGGCTAGTATTGGCTCTGAAGCTTTACTTGGTTTACCAATTCCAGCCATGTTTTCAGCCATGACACGGAATTCATAGGCAACTCCGTCTTCAAGTCCCGATGACTTAAAAACATTGCCTTTCACAAGACTATTGCTGATCCTATGCCATACAATGCCACTTCTTTCCTTCCTCTCTACATGATAACCAATAACTTCATTTCCACCGTCAGTGACAGGTTCATTCCAGCCAATTGTTATTGAGTCTTTGGTGAATGCAACTACATTGGGAGTTCCTGGTGGCCCAGGCACTTTGAATGGATAGGCAGCAACCACTGCCTCTGAAGTGATGGGAGGTCCAACACCATATCTATTTTTAGCTTTTATTCTAAACTGGTACTCTGATCCAGTGGTTAGTCTAATAGCTTTAAATACTGTGCGAATAACAGTGGATGAAAGTTCAGTCCATGTTTGGGAAGTGGTGTCTCTAATTTCAACCGCATAGTTATTAATTGGAATACCTCCGTCATTCTCAGGAGCTTCCCAAGAAAAGATACAATAGGTGCGTGATATTTCCACAATCTTCACTGGTCCTTTTGGTGGCCCAGGTATATCATGCACTTTGATGATTATGTTTTCTGACACAGATCCAACAATGTTCTTGGCTGTCATGGTGTAAACACCACTGTCAGCTCTAGTGCATTCACTGATGCTGATAATAACAGTAGCTGGAGTAGTTTCTACATTGATTCTTTGGGTGAGTTTTAGGGCTGCTCCATCTTTCTGCCAAGAAATTGTTGGTCTAGGACGCCCCATAACTGGAATTTCAACCTTAATGTCATCCCCTGCTTTGGCAATAACAGTCTTCTGACATACACCACGTAAGTCAAACTCAGGAAGTGATGTAGAATCTTTGACAATAATGGGCTTGCTCTCACGTGGAGCACTTCTGCCAGACTGATTGACAGCCATGACATGGAAAATATATTCCTCATTCTCATTAAGGTTCTTCACTGTGAAGTCTAGAGTCTTCACTGTAGTAACATGTGCCCACTGGTCTGTTCCCTTCTTCTTGGCTTCTAGAACATATCCTGAAATTCTGCTTCCACCATCATGTTTGGGTTTGGTCCATGCAAGGCTCACAGAGCTCTTCGTGATGTCAGTGGGAATAATGCTTTCTGGAGGCGTAGGTGCTTGAGATGCACGAACTGGATCAGTAGTTTCAACTGCCTCTCCAATGCCAAACTCATTCTCAGCAGACACTCTGAAGTAGTACTCACAGCCTTCTCCCAAGTCACCAATTCTGACTGATGTTGTGGGGCACTTTGTAATTGCAGTAGCAAAAGCCTTGCGTGTTGATTCTCTTTTCTCAATTATGTAATTTGTGATTTTGGCTCCTCCGTCAATTAAGGGAGTATCCCACTGAAGTGTAATACTTTCTTTGTCTATCTTTACTGGCTTGAGGTTAAGAGGAGGTCCAGGTGAATCCAAAACTCTCACATGAATGTCAGCACTTTTCTTTCCAGCAGAGTTTTCAAGGGTAATCTCATATTTGCCAGCGTCAACCCTTGAGCTCTCCGGAATAAGTAACATTGTGAAAGATTCAGTGCTATCAATGACTGCACGTGGAACAGGGCCACCCTCTTTACTCCAAGTGACTTTGGGAGCAGGACGACCTTTGATTGGCACAAAGAGACGGATGGAGCAACCAGCTCTAACAACAAGGGTTCTCCTCAGCTCAATATCCAACTCTAAATCAGGCTCGGCAGCATGTTCTACAATTTGAACTAATTCCTGAGTTTCACCAGGTTCACCAGCTCCTTTGGCATTTACAGCACTAATCCTGAAATGGTACTTAGCACCAGTTTCCAAGCCAGGGACAACAAACTCTGTGATTCTGAGTGGTGACGAAGGGGTATCCTTAATCCATTCTTCTGTTCCTTCTTTTTTGTGCTCAATTACATATCCAGTGACTTCAAGCCCACCATTATCCAGAGGTTTCCCCCAGTTCAGTGTAGCAGTAGTTTTGGTTGTGTCTGTTACTCTTGGATTGACAGGAGGTCCTGGAACATCTGGCAGAAAGAAAGAGGTTACGATCTGTTAACAGAAAAATCAGCAAGAACTACAAATATATATAAACATTTTTTTTCTAGTTATGAAAATATTCTAAGTTGTTTTTACTTACAGGCAGCAACTATTGTTTTGACAGGCATAGATGGCTCACTTGGCTCTCCAAAACCAGCTCTGTTCTCAGCAAGAACACGGAACTCATATTCAACATCCTCAGTGAGTCCAGTGACTTCAAAACTGAGCTCAGCAATGGTTTTCTTGGATGCCCTAACCCAGCGCATCGCTTTCTTTTCCTTTTTCTCAATACTATAGCCAATAATGTCAGTTCCTCCATCTTCAGCAGGTCTTCTCCAAGTCAAAGTTACTGAATGTCCATCAACTTTCTCAACTTCAGGTTTAGATGGTGGACCAGGGGGACCTAAAACAAACAGAATAAAAAAACAAAGGAATAATGCAATGTTATTTAATTTGAAATGCAAGAATATATACTGCATAGATTCATCTATATGTTATACATATAGATGAATAGCCGACAAAAGATTACAGCCTGAATAAGTAAACTAATTGTACATACCAAATCTGTCAACCATCTTGACAGCTTCAGAATGAGATGGCTCACTAGCTCCATAATGGTTCACAGCAGAGACTCTGAAGAAATATTCATTGCCCTGAATGAGTTTGTTGGCCACATAGTGACAGTCAATGACGTTCTCTTCCAGGATGGTCCAGAGCAGACGGCTAGTTTCCCTCTTTTCCAGGGTGTAATATTTGATAGGAGAGCCTCCATCCTCTGTTGGGGCTGTCCAAGTAAGAACCACCTTTTCAGAGGATACACCACTGCATTCAATGGGTCCAGGAGCACTAGGAACATCCAGAACTTTGACCTTGACAGTTTCCTCCTTTACACCAAAGGGATTGGTGGCTGTGATGACATATTCTCCAGAGTCCTTTCTGCTAGCATATTTTACAGATAAAGTGGATGATGTTGGAGTGGTTTCAATTTGAACAAGGTCAGAGGGTTTGAAGTATTTTCCTCCCTTTGACCAGCATGAGGTTGGTGCAGGTTTTCCTAAAATGCTTGTTGCAGTCACCACAATCGTATCACCAGCTCTGACGGTCAGACCTTCCTTTACTTGAGCATCAATGATAATGGTTGGTGCAGCTGTTGGAAAAAATGAGAAACATTTAACCTATCGCCCTAATATGCATCTTATTGTCATGTTGTGAAAGTGCTCAGAGTAGCTATTAATTTTTGTCTCACCATATTCATCTGTACACATAATGGTATCTGTCTGCTCAGAGGGTGGGCTGAGGGCACCTGCAGCATTCTTTGCCCTGATCCTGAACTCATATTTGCAGCCCTCTTGCAGATCAGCAACAGTAAATGCAGGTTCCACAACATTCACATTGTTGGCTTTCACCCAGATCTTGGAAGGCAAATCACGCTTTTCTACAATATATCCCGTCAACCTGTGGCCGCCGTCAAATTGAGGTTCAGTCCACTGGAGGGTCACACTGCTTCTCGTAATGCTGATTACATCCGGTTTACCAGGTGCATCTGTTGACATGGGGTAAAGCAACAATCCGTTACTGGGTGTATCACTAGGGTTTATAATGTTGCTAATACTTCACCTCTTGCAAACTCACCGATGGGATCTAGAGCTACCTGTGGATCAGTTGGAGCACTCGGTCTGCCAATTCCAGCCAAGTTAATGGCTATTACTCTGAACTCATACTCCAAGCCTTCAGTTAGTCCAGTGACTTTGTGTTCCTTCATCTTTAAGGCAGATGGACTGGCCCTTTTCCACAACATACTGTTCCTCTCCTTAAATTCAACATGGTATCCTGAACAGTTATAAAGATTTGGGAACAAAATTAAGTGTAAGATCACCTTACATTAATAAAAATACTTGATTTTCAAATGACATATTGAAAAAATAATCAAGCTGTTAAAAATGGTGCTGATTAAATCTTAGGCAGACTGCACCTGTAATAGGAGATCCTCCAGTCTTTCTGGGGTCAGACCAGGCAAGATATGCAGAATCATGGCGCATACTCATGATCTGAGGAGGAGGTGGTGCATCAGGTACATCTGTGAAACAAGACAGTAAAGGGCAGTGTTATACAGTTAGCACAAGTAAAATATTGGATTCAATTATTGTATTTTTATGAAGAAAAAGGACTTACTAAATGGATGTTTTGCAACAACAGGGTCAGACTTCAGTCCCTCCCCAACACCGTATTTGTTCTCTGCACTGACTCTGAAGATATATTCTGTGCCCTCATGGAGACCCGTCACCCTCATTGTATTTGTCTCCACAGTGGTTGAAACATTCACCCACATGTTGGTGATGGAGTCCCTTTTTTCCAGGATGTAGTTTGTGATTTCAGAGCCGCCATCATCCTTAGGAACACCCCACTTTAATGTAGCACCATCAGCAGTAACATCCTTGAATTTTATTGGTCCAACAGGGATGCCGGGTTTGCCTACCACCCTAAAACAGCAAAGACAAAGCATTTTAACCTTTAATTATGTATGTCCAATAATTTATTATTACTTAATCTCTAAATAGTGTTGTGACTTACCTGATGAAGATGGTAGATTCTTTGGTGCTAGCACTATTTCTTAAGGTGATGGTGTACTTGGAAGCATCAGTTCTCTGACAGTCCCGGATTAGGAGGGTGGTGTTGACTGCAGATGACTCAGCACAAACCCTGCCAGTATCTGTCAAATCTTCATCGTCTCCCTTTTTCCAGGTGACCTTGGGTGTAGGTTTCCCAACAATTGGAATCTTTAAACGAACGGTGGTGCCCTCTTTGGCAATGTAGCACATGTTGGGCAGCTCTCTTAAGTCACAGCTTGGAAGAACTTCAAAGAAAAAAAAACCCAGGAATTTTAAAATCTCTTTTTGAACAAGTTCCAAAATTCCTTTACATGAAAGTTTTATAAATGTGTGCACTCACTAATTTGGTCCTTAGCAATCACAGTCAGCTCCTTAGGAGAGCTTTCTCCCGAATCATTTATAGCTTTGACCCGATACTTGTACTCTCTACCCTCCACAAGGTCCTTGGCACTATACTGCATGTTCTTGGACCTCATAAGTTCCTTGTATTTGTCTTCACCATTGAGAACCTCTAGCACATAGCAGATAATGCGACTGCCTCCATCAGTGAGGGGTTTCTTCCAGCTTAGAGTGCATGAGTCTTTGGTCACCAGCAAGGTTTTGAAGTCCATCACAGGCCCAGGCTCCTCTGAAAGTGCACAAATGAAACAGTGAACATTTTTCTTTAATAAAACAAAAAAATACATCAATTAATGTTTAACCCACCTGTTGCTCTGACAGAATCAGCTGTTTCACAAGACTCTCCAGTACCAAGCTTGTTGACTGCTGACACTCTAAAGCAGTAGGACCGCCCAGCATCTAGGTCTGGAACCTTAAAAGAAGTCTTAGTGCAGTTGTTTGAAACAATAGACCAGGCCTTTCTTTCAGTGTCACGTTTTTCTACTATGTAGTGGGTGACTTCAAAACCACCATCAATCAGAGGAGCATCCCAGAGGATGTCTGCGCTGTCTTTGGATGTCTCTTTCACCATCAGGTTTACTGGTGGTCCAGGTGTATCTGGAAGGTGAACAATATTTTTAAAATAAGATCTTAAATTTGAAATGACTAAGCACATTATATTTTTGGCGTTTATAGAGTATATGTATGGATATATGCATGTATGGATTGATGAGTGGGTGACTGGATGGATTGATTGGTGGGTGGATGTAAGCAGAATAACAAATACATGGATGAATGTTCAGCATGACAATATTTCCTGTACTAACCAAGAACTTTGACAACAATGGTATACATCTTCATGCCAGCTGAGCTGTCCAGAGACAGAATGTATTTGCCAGCATCATATCTGTTGACTTTCTCCACCATGACCATGGTGTCAATGTTGCTAGATTTGATGACAATGCCTTGACGGTCCTTAATGTTGGTGTTCATCTTTGCCCATGTGACCTTGGGAGTGGGACGACCCTTGATGGTTGCATACAACTTCATATTGCTGCCAGCATTAAGTTCCAGGAGCTCTTTCAGTTCAGCACTTAGCTCTGCCTCAGGAGAAACTGAATAAAAATACAAAAAGTGCATTTGTCATTGACAGTATTGGAAATCAGATTTCAGCATTTTGTTTTATTTTCAAGAGAAAACATAATAGTTTATTTGCTTACTAGTTTCTATCTGGCTTGATTAAAATTCTATCTTAAAATGGTAGATATTACCAAGGGCTTGGTACATGATTGGACCACCTAGATGCTGGTCTAAAGTACATGTAATATTCTAATTCTAAATGTCATGTTTTCATTTCCTGTACAGGGAAAATCATCATAATTAACAGAAATAAAGGCTTTCAAACATCAATCTGTGTTTAATTGATAATGTATGTTACTTAATGATAAAGTTTCAGTTGTATCCTAATTTATTGAATGGATGTGTCATTTTGTACAGAAAAATAATGCAAAACATACCTATGATATCTTTGGCGACATGTTTGCCTGGGACTTCAGCTGGCTCACCGAAGCCTACTTTATTGACAGCAGTGATGCGACACTGGTACTCTGCTTTGTCAATTAAGTTCTGAATGACATAGTTAGTGTCCTGTAGGTTCCTGGGGACATTGCAGCGGATCCAGTCTGTTGTGTTGGTTCTCTTGCATTCCACTAAGTAACCAATAATGGGGCTTCCACCATTGTTAGCTGGTACCGTCCAAGTGAGGCTGATTGTGCTGTTGGTGGTATCTGTCACAGTCGGGTTTATAACGGGTCCAGGAGGAGCTGGAGATAACCACAGAGATTAACTTCAAACACCATGCAAAAATTAGATTTTTGGGATAACCAGAAAATAGTCAGTTTTATTATGTTTATTGGTGTTTGAAACTTACTGATAGGATCCTGTGCAGTGGTGCCTTCGGAGGGTTCGCTGGGGTTTCCCGGCCCAGCCATGTTGACAGCAATGACTCGGAACTCATACTCAATTCCCTCTGTTAGACCTGTTACTTCAAGAGACCTTTCTGTTAGGGGTTTTTTATTAATCTTGGTCCACTTCATCTCCTTGGTCTCTTTCTTTTCCACCATGTAGCCCAGAATGGTAGACTTTCCATCATCAACAGGCTCCTTCCAGCTCACAGTCATTTTGTCTTTGGTCACATTGGTGATTACAGGGGCTTCACAAGGACCAGGGACAGCTAAAAGTGGTGCACAAGTAAACATCTTTCATTAGAAACTACAACCATGCCTCAATTTTTTTTAATTCTTGCTAAATCTGAACCCAGCTCATGAGGTAACACATAACACACAGTTGCATGTTGGATTTCAACAGCAGCGCAATGACAAATTTAAAGTATGAATTTGAACAAAAGCATATGATGACTTACTGAAAGGGTTTTTAGCGATGACTGGGTTTGTGATAAATGGGTCTCCAACTCCCCATCCATTTTCAGCACGAATTCGGAACTGGTATTCATGACCTTCGATTAGTTTTTCCACATTAAATTCTAATATGTCACTCTTTATCTTTGCTGACACCTGTGCCCAGTTAGTTCTGCTGGTTTCACGCTTGTCCACAATGTAGTTACTGACAGGGGCACCGCCATCTTTCAGAGGAGGCTGCCATGTCAGCTTGATACTGGAGGCTAACACCTCTGCATATGTGGCACTTGCAGGGGGCCCAGGCACATCTGATAAAAAAACAGAAAGGCAGTATGTAAATAAAATGTGAATTAAGCTTTGGATCAGTTTCAATTCTTACATTTAAAAATGTAAATCCTTACCTAGTACATTGACCTGGATTTCTGCAGTCTTTGAGCCACTTGCATTCTCAGCCAACACAGTGTAGGTTCCTGTGTGTTCTTTGGTCACAGCTGGTATCTCTAATTGGAAATGTTGTCTTTGCTGTGTAATGACCTGGCCTTCCCCTGACTTCAGAGTATCATCACCTCTCTTCCAAGTGACTCTGGGCATAGGCTTACCAAACACATCTGCTTCCAGCAAGACTGTGGCTCCAGCCTTAACTGTTAAAGCTTTTTGCATCTTGGCATTAAGTTCAATCCTTGGAGGAACTGTGTGCATTGAATAAAACATCAATAATTAAACATTTTAACTGGCCAAAGACTTTCAGTAAACATAAAATACAATAGTTTATTCCCCTCTTTATTTTTAATGTTTTTGTGACTGTGTTGAGGAATTATGTCTTACCATTCTCAGCACAGACCAGGATTGGATCTGTTGGTTCTGAAGGCTTGCTCATGTTCACTGCAGTTTTAGCAATAACTCTGAACTGGTACTGAAGGTCTCTTTCAAGTCCAGTCACTGTATACTCCTCCCTAGGAACATTCTGACTGCTGGTGTTGCAACGAATCCAAGTGTCTCCTGGAACCCGCACGGCCTCAACATAATAACCTATGATCTTGCTCCCTCCATCATTTTTAGGACGAGCCCAAACCAAAGTGACAGAGTTTTTGGTTACGTCCAGAACTTCAGGTTTACCAGGAGTGTCTATAAGATAAGAATAGAAATTGGTGATAGCAGAAATCTTGCTGAAAAAAACAAACCTTTTTGTAAATAGGCACTGGCTTTCAACTTACCGACAGGTGTTCTTGCTGTTACAAAGTCGGTTTTCTTGCTTGGTTTGCCCTGACCAGCACGGTTAATGGCTGATACTCTGAAAGTATACTCCAAGCCTTCAATAAGACCAGCGCAAGGGTATTCAGTTGTGCGGACCACAGTATCATTGGCTTTCACCCAAAGAAGACTGTTTCTCTCCTTGCGCTCAATGTAATACCCTGTGATGGGACTGCCCCCATCACTCTCTGGTTTATCCCAGCCAATGAACATACAATCCTTGTTGGTCTTGTTGACATGACAATTTAGGGGCTCACTTGGAACATCTAGTGGGAAAAAAAACATTTTTCATAATCTGAAATAAATACTCTCTTTGCTATTGAATTTCTATTAACTAGCATCCAAGGTCAACTATGCTTCAATCTTGGACATATTTTACCCACACTTACCAAAAGGGAACTTTGCAACCATTCTTTCTGATTGAAGGGGGTCTGACACACCATAGCGATTTTCAGCACGGATGCGGAATGCATATTCTTTTCCAGGAATAAGTTTTCCCAATCTACAACTGGTTTTTGCGCAAGAGGAAAGTGCTGTTACCCAATCGCCTCTGCCCACATCACATTTTTCAATAACATAGTTTGTGATATTGCTGCCGCCATCCTCCAGAGGTTTGTTCCAAGACAGGGAGCAAGCATCAGAATCAATGTCACTGATCTCCACAGGGCCTTCGGGAGGACCAGGGATGTCTGAAATATACCAAGTAATTTTTCTTTTGGTCAGATGAAAGTTGTGCAACATAATTTTTCTTCAGAAATTAAAACACAGTATTACGCACCTCTAATGACGATCTTTATTGCCTGGGAAATTTGTCCAGTGCTGTTCTCAGCAACAAGACTATAATCTCCACTGTCATTCCTTGTCACATCTTTGATGATTAGGACACACAAGTTGCCCGACTGATGCACAGCCAAGCGACTGGATGGGACCACTGCTTTCTCACCACGTATCCACTTGCATGTTGGAACAGGTTTTCCTGAAACCAATGCCTCCACTCTAAGCTTGGCTCCAGCTCTAGCACTCGCGGTCTCTGGCATAACAATCTTTGGCTCAACTATGGGTCAAAAAACAAAACTGGCTGATTATTATTTCAAAAAATAGTAAATATAGACAGACATTTCAAAATATCAAACTGTGGTCACTTTGAATCTCTGAACTGAGTTTCTTTGCTCTTTTGATGACAGTCAATTTGAAAATAATAAGGTGTTATTAAAAGGATAAACTGTAGAAAGATAATCCTAAAAACAATGGCCATGCATCTAAACATACTCATCTGTTCCTTGATCTCGGTCGGCTCTCTGGTCTCAGTGAAAGAACTCATCCCCATGATGTTCTTGGCAGCCACTCTGAACTTGTACCTTTTCCCCTCCTTGAGGCCACTGATACTGACTGATAAACCTTTAACTGTTGTGTAGGCATTCCACACTTCTTTTTCTGGTTCAGCTTCTTCGTCCTCCTCTACTACTGGTGGAGGTGGAGGTGGTGGAGGAACTCCCTCTCCTTCAACCGCCTGTAGTTGAGTAGTAAAAAAAGAACAATAAGCAATATGTACATACAGTCTGTATTCCAAAATCATATAACTTTAAAGAGAACAGTATAATTTGATATATCCAGTATAATTGTTGAAACTTATATTTCAAAATTCTGATGTATCTAACTGATAAATGCAGCAAAACAACAGTTTGGTTACAAACCTCAACAGGGGCTGCTGGCTCTGGTGGAGGTTTGACTTCAATGTATTCAATGACATAGCCATCAATTTTGGCACCACCATCTCTTTCAGGCTTCACCCATCCAATCATTGCACTGTTCTTAGTTATCTCCAGAATTTCAATCTTCTGGCAAGGGTCTGGTTTGCCTAAAAAAAAGAAGTTCAATGTGTGAATACTTTATAATTTCTAAAAAAAAAAAAAAAAAAGATATCTAAAGATAGAACTAATCTTTGATTCTAAATGAAATGCCATTTGTCTTATGACGTTCTGATTATTGAAAGATACTTACTGACAGGATCGGAAGCCAGGTAGGAAGTAGGTGTCACTTTGGGAACTCCAGAACCATACTCATTGACAGCTATGACTCTAAAGTAGTATTCAGTGCCAGGTATCAGACCACTGACTTTCAGAGGAATCTTATCTGGCTGAACTTCAGTCTTGACAGTTGCCCATGTCTTGCGGTCAATCTCTCGCTTTTCAACTATGTAGTGTGTCACCTCACTGCCACCAGTGATCTCTGGAGGATTCCAAGACAACATGACTGAGGTCTGCTTAATGTCGGTACCTTCAAGATTTAGTACTGGTCCAGGAGTATCTATATGGAAGAATGACATTGCAGTTTAATATTATTTTTGTTAACCTTCATTTGGAGCTTTGTCTTTTTTGGATGCTTGGAAAAATATATTTATAGTTTTCAAGCAGTAAAATCTACTACTAAAACAATCATTGACCTACCAAGAACTTTAACAGTGACAAACACAGCTTTTTCTCCTGCAGGGCTCTGTAGAGTCAGGCAGTACTTCCCAGAGTCATCACGTGTGCTGTCAGGAATGACCAGGAAGGTCATCGTGTCGATGATGTCTACTTTGCCCTTCCTAATAACATTGTCAATACCCATTCTTCTCCAAGTGACTGTTGGATGAGGTCGCCCTCTGATGGTGGCACAAAGTCTAATGGGACAACCAGCACGAACTGTGAGGCCCTGCTTCAGGTTGGCATCCAAGTCAATCTCTGGTGCCTCTGTTGGATAAACAGTTATTTTTGTTAAATATGAACCTGAAATCCAGCTTTCGGTTTTTTGTGTAAACCTTGTCACAAACTCTATAGAATGTTCATTACCTAAAATTTCCCTTGGAATCACGGCACCCTCCAGGTTACATGGCAGGCTCATGCCCACTTGGTTCTGAGCAGACACCCTGAATTCATAAACTAGCTTCTCATCTAGACTTGTGACTGTAAACTCGCACACAATAAGTTGTGCTGCCACATTGCATCTCTTCCAGCCATCATCTCCTTTCTTTGCACTCCCCTGTGCCCTCATTTCCACAACATAGCCAATGAGAGGGGCTCCCCCGTCAGAGACAGGCTTTGTCCAGCTCAGGGTCACTGTGGATTTTGTGCTGTCCACAACCTTTAAGTTGGTAGGTGGTGCAGGAGGCTCTGTAAGTGCGTATAATAAAATATGAGGCAGTGGACTTGGTTACGGAAAAAAAACATTACATATATAACACATTATTTTGAGGCACTTACCAACTGCATCCTTTGCAGTGATTGCACGAGAAGCCTTGCTTGGAGTTCCAACACCAATTTCATTCACAGCTTTAACTCTATACTGGTAATCATGGAGAGGCAATAGTCCAGTGACTGTGAAACGAGTTCCAGGGACTGGATCCTTGTTGACAGGTGACCACCTGACTGCATGCTCCTCTCTCTTCTCCAAAAGATAGCCTATGATTGGTTTTCCTCCATCTCTGTCAGGCTCTGACCATTGTACTGTCATCTCCTCCTTTCCGATCTTGCTGACCTCTGGTGCTTCAGGGGCATCAGGTACACTGAACTGTGTGCCAGCAACAATAGACTCACTCTGAACTGCAGGTCCAGGGCCCATTTTATTCTCAGCTCGGACCCTGAAGATGTACTCATTACCCTCAATAAGTCGTGTTACTTTAGCTTTATTGGTGATGACAGCATTAGAATGTACAGACCAAACCCCTCTCTTTGTCTCACATTTCTCGATAATGTAATTGTAAATATCACAGCCACCATCATCTTCAGGAACTTCCCAGGCTAGGTTGCACCTGTCAGTGGTAATATCAGACACCTTGAGGTCCCTGATGGGACCAGGTCTGTCTAATACATTAATTGTGCATTTAGCAGAGCTGGTTCCTGCACTGTTGGAAGCTGTGACAACATATTTGCCACTGTCTGTGCGCCTAGCACCAGTAATCAATAGTTTGGAAAAGTCTACACCACTTTCAAGTTGCAGTCTGGGGCCCTTCTTAATCTCCTCTGTGGTCTCATCCTTTGTCCATTTAACATCAGGCTCAGGTTTGCCCTTGACTATTGCTTCTACTGCAATAGAATCTCCTGCTCTAACAACAAGGGTTCCATCCAGTTTAATCTTAACCTCAGGCACTACCAGTTGTTCCTTAACTAGTACTTCTCCTGTTGTCACCCAGTTACTTTCGCCTCCCTCATTTTTAGTCTGAACTCTGAACTGATAGATTTGATTTTCAATACACCTGTCTGCCATGAAGTAGGTCTCCTTGATAGCACCCTTGTGAAGCCTCTCCCACTCTTCAGCTTCTTTTGGTTTCTTTTCAATATGATAAGCTATGTTTTTACTACCACCATCGTAATCAGGTTTCTTCCACTTCAAGAAGCAGAAGGTCTTTCCGATTTCAGATATATGGAAATCTATGGGTTCCCCAGGTTTCTCAATAGGATCAACTGCCAAGACAGGTGACTTTGTCTCTATGGATGGACCAGCTCCTATCTTATTTTCAGCACTCACACGGAAGAAATATTCACAGCCCTCAGTAAGAGGAGCCTTTATTAAGCGCTTGGTCCAGTCATTGGAGACCACTGTCCACCCTCTTTGACTTGGCTGACGGCATTCAATTATATACTGAGTAATCTCAGTTCCTCCATTGTCCTCAGGGTTTTCCCAGGAGACCATGCAAGATTTCTTTGTCACATAAGCCACTTTCAAATTTTGACAAGCTCCTGGTGTGTCCAAGACATTGACCAAAACGGTAGCCTGAGCCTGTCCACTGCTGTTCTTTGCAACAATACTATATTTTCCATAATCTGACCTGACAGCATCGCTAATAATTAGTTCACAAACAGGGTAGTTGTTATTAAATTCAAAGCGTTTTTCTCGAGACAAGACTCTGGCATCCTTGGTCCATGTGATCTCTGGATCTGGTCTGCCTTTTACTCTAGTAATCAAACTGATTATCTGACCTGCTCTGACCGTCACAGAGTCACGACAGGAGACATCAACCACAACTTCAGGAGGCACCAGGATGTCTTTTGCCAAAACAGTCTCAGGTACCTCCCTGGGGTCACTGTCTCCAACCTTGTTTGTAGCTCTGATACGTATTCTGTACTCCATTCCTTCAATCAGCCCAGGCACTCTGTAAGCACAGATCTTGATTAGATCCTTGTTGATTCTGTCCCACTGGGCAGATCCTGACTTCTGAACCTCAACAACATAGCCCAGAATTGGACTTCCTCCATCTCTTGTGGGTTTGGTCCAGCAGATGTCTGCATAAGATTTACTCCAATCCTTAAGCTTGGGGTTACCAGGCGGTCCAGGTTTTGTGATGGCACGGGTGGCTTTGATTGGGTCAGATGTGAGTGAAGGCTCACTGGTACCAGCAATATTCTCAGCAAACACCCGGAATTCATAGCTATTGCCTTCAAACAGACCGGAGACTCTGTATCTTAGATCTAGCACAGGAGTTTTATTGACACGAATCCACTTTCCTGTCATCTCTCTGCGTTCAATAACATAGCCACTAATGGGGCTGCCTCCATCATGGTCAGGTAGGGCCCATTCTACTGTTACAGCATTTTCTGTGATATCAGAGCACTCAGGAAAGCCCGGCGGTCCAGGAGGGTTGAACATATGCTTAGCAACAGTAGGAGGACTTTCAAGACTAGCACCAATCCCAATCTTGTTCTCTGCTCGAACCCTGACAATGTACTCACGGCCTTTCTCCAACCTTGTCACCTTGGCCTTTGTACTGGTGCCACTAGAGCTAACCACTGACCAGGGCTCCCATGGCTTCTTGACATCCTTCTTTTCTACCACATAGTTAGTTATAGGTGTGCCACCATCATCTTTAGGCGCCCTCCACTGTATCATCATGTGATCTGGGGTGACCTCCAAGATATTGATGGGTCCGATTGGTGGTCCTGGTAGATCCAATACTGTAACATGTAGGGCAGCGGTCTTACTACCTGCAGGATTTGACACAGTGACTATGTACTCTCCAGTATCTCCTCTCTGGCACTCTGTGATAGTTAAGGTGGTTGAAGGTCCAGCAGACTCAATTTTAACTCGGCCCTCAGGAGTGATCTCCTTGCCATCACTGATCCATTTGGCAGTGGGAAGAGGGATTCCTGTCATCTTAGCTGGTAGAGTGATAGTACTGCCAGCTTTGACTACAAGACCCTCAATAAGCTTCACATCAACTTCAATAGTAGGTGGTACTAAAAGAGAAGAAAACAGCAACATTAGATCTACCTAAGCACATGAAAGAGTTTGTTGTGAGAAATACTCAATGTGTCTTACATGTCTTCTCCTGACAAGTAACAGGGATACTGGTGTCAGGGCGGCTAACACCAATAGCATTCTGAGCTTTGACCCTGAAGCGGTATGTCTTGCCTTCAACCAGACCTGTTACATGACTGTGGTTGTTGCTCACAGTTTTGAAGGTAACCCAGTCAGTTTGGCCCTCTTCTTGGTGTTCTACAATGAACCCAGTAATTTCACTTCCACCAGTGCGATCGGGCCACTCCCAGGCCAACCACACCTCTGTCTTGTCTGCATCAGTATGGTGGAGGTTTTTGGGTGGGCCAGGTGGATCTTAAAGATGTTAACAAAAGAAAAATTAATTTCTGATCATTTATGTATTTTAAAAAAGTCATGGCAAATGTTTAAATAGCCAACCATTTTCTGGAAATACCATGCTGTAATAATTTATACCTTACTAAATATATAAGTAGACAGCAATAATGTTACATAACCTTTACTCACATAAAGGATCAAGAGCCTTGATAGGTGTCTTGGTCACGACAAAGTCACTCCTGCCAAACTGGTTTTCTGCAGCCACCCTAAATAAGTACTGGATTCCCTCCATCAGGTACATTGCCATAAGACTAAGCTTCTTATTGGCTGGAGCAACTGGTACCCATTGATCTGCAGCCACATCCTTCTTTTGCACGACATAATGGGAGATGACTGCACCGCCATTGTCCTCTGGAGCCTTCCATGTCAGATAGGCAGACTCGCTGGTCACCTCAGACACCACAAGATCTCTTGGTGGAGAAGGCTTATCTGATTGAAACAATGTGTTTATCATTCACATAATTCAGATTTCAGAAGCTAAGCTAATTTGTTTAAGTTTACATTTCACTTACTCAGCACAAGCACAGCAACTGTTGCAGATTTCTTTCCACCAGCATTCTCAACTGTAATAGTGTAGTTTCCAGAATCTGCACGGACACACTTGGGAATGAAGACTTTGCTACCAGTGGCTGTAACTGCAACATTGATGTGAGAAGGAACATCTCCATCATTTTTCTTCCAGGAGACTGTCGGTGTGGGCACACCCTTAATTGTGGCACTAAGTGTGATATCAGTGCCCAGCATGGCTAAGTGGTCACGAGCCATGTTGGCATCCAAGAGTAACTCTGGCTCCTCTGTGGAAACATAAATGGAAAAGCAAACTGATTAGTATTTTAGAACAAAAAAGCCAATAACAGAAAAATGTCAAGTTGTTCAAAATCAGGCAAAAAAATAACTATTCTGTGTACTGAATGCTATGCATTATTCATACAATAAGTTTTTTGTTCTTAAATGATCTCCTTACCTAGCCTGTCATGGACTTTGATGGTCTGTTTGACAAAAGCAGGGTCGGATTTGCCTGCTGCATTTACTGTAAAGATCCTGAAGGAATACTCCTCTCCATCAGTCAGACCTGTCACCACATAATGGAGGTCAGGACACTCCTCTGGAGTCTTGTTGGCCTGAGTCCACTCTACACCACCAGGCTTCTGATACTCCACAAGGTAGCCAAAGATTCGCCCTTTTCCATCGTGGCGCGGCATCTGCCACTTCAGACTGACTGAGTCTTTGGTTTTGTCATAAGCTTCAGGGGTAACTGGAGGACTGGGACGTACTGTGAGGGGACAGTGCTCAGATTAGAGAAAACAAGCATAACACTGAAAATCCATAACTTGTAATGTTACCTAGAAACATAGGTAACATTTTGATCATTTTGACCTTTATCCAAAATACAAAAACACAACAAAAGATGCTGAAATTCAAATTTGATGCAGCAAAAAAATAAAATAAAAAGCATTTCACTGACCAATGGGATCCTTGGCAAGGATTGGTTTGGATGGGGGACTAGGATCTCCAGTTCCCAACTCATTCTCAGCCATTACCCTGAATTCATACTCGAAGCCCTCTACCAAGTCCTGGACACGGTACTGAGTGGCTGGGTAAAGTGGGTCTCTGGTGACTCTTGACCACCTCTTGGCTCCTGGCTCCTTCTTTTCCAGGATGTAGTTGGTGATGGGTTTACCTCCATCTCGGGGCCGGTTCCACAGAACCAAAGCATTGGTAGCATATACCTCTCTGACTGTTGGCATGTCAGGGGCTTCAGGGACTCCTTTATTTTGGAAATATCATGACATATATACAGTTATTTGGACATATAATTTATTGGAGCTTTAACATGATAATGAAAACGTACTGAACAGATCTTTAGCCTTCATCTCTTCAGACTCCAGAGCATCGCTGATACCATACATGTTCTCTGCAAATATTCTCATGATGTACTCCCTGCCTTCAGTTAGCTTTGGAATCTGAGAACAAAAATAATATTTAAATCATCGCTTAACTTTGACAATCTCCTTCCAGAGGAGTTCTGAAGTTCCTGAGACAACAAGAAAGAAGTGAACCAATACTACCTTGCATGTGGTCTTGGTTGAGGCAGATGTTACTGTGGTCCACATCTCTCTGTTCACATCTCTCTTCTCAATTATGTAATTTGAGACCTCAACACCTCCACTGTCCAGAGGAGGCTTCCAGGAGATAACCATGTATTCCCTGTGAACCTCGTCAAACACCACAGGGCCAACAGGAGGAGTTGGGCGATCTGATTGGATAAAGAAACAGCAAAGTAATTATTTCTCATGATTGTCTCTGCTTGTCTTGGCATAAGTTTTTCAACATTGTACATACCCACGACTGTGACGTTGCAGACACCCTTCCTGGATCCGGTGCTGTTTTCCACAACCACCACATATCTGCCGCTGTGCTGTCGCTCTGCCTTCACCAGGCCAAGCGACATCATGGTTGGAGTGTTCTTGAATATTATGTGTTTGTCAGCCTTCAGCTCTTCGTCATCTCTGTACCAAACAATGGATGGAGCTGGTTTGCCTGTGTAGCGACCCTGAAGTAGGCAGCTCTCTCCCACACGTATAATGATCTTATCACGGAAGTCCAACTCAATGGTTGGTGGCTCTGCAAATACACACAAAAAATAATTTAATGTGTGTTTTGTTTTGCAATTTAAAATAGCTAAATTATGACAGTCAAATGTGAAGCTACTCTGATTCACTTTGATATTATTTAGCAGCTAAGTTAAAGTTTGGAAAATGACTCACCAAGTGCATCCTTGCAAGTGATTGGTTTAGTGCAGAATGATGGTTTACTCGGTCCAACTTCATTTACAGCAATCACTCTGAACTCATAAGTGTCTCCCTCTCTGAGACCATCATATGTGAACTTCCTGTCCATTAACTTCTCTTTGGTAAGTCTGGTGAACTTGTCTTTGCCAATCATACGTGCTTCGATAATGTACATGGTAATCTCAGAGCCTCCGTCAAATTTGGGCTCTTTCCAAGCGACACTGATTAAATTTTTGGTAACTTTGGTGACTTCCAGTTCTTCAGGACGATCTGGTACACCTTAAAAAAAAGATGAAAACATGTCTTAACATGGAAAGTAGAGTTTTACAGTGACTAGTCACATTACTGCATTTATTGTCATCTACCAAACCCCTTTATCTAAAGTCAACGTAAAAGGTTCTTTTTTAACTCACTCATTGGCTCCTTGATTACAATCTCAGCTGCAGTCTCAACAAAAGGTCCAATACCAATGGCATTCTCAGCTGCCACTCTGAAAAAGAAAGCCTTTCCGAGGGTGAGATCGCGAGCAATGGCATTCTGCCTGCTGGCACTATAGGACAGTGATGTCCAGGCTTTACGCTCAGCTTCACGTTTTTCAATGATGTAATTGCTGATGGGTGAACCTCCGTCATTTTCAGGGAAGAACCAGCTGAGCTTGCAGGAGTCGATGCTCAGGTTTTCAGCCAGGAATGGAATACCAACAGGTCCAGGAACATCTACGTTAAAACAGAATGGAATTTGTGAAAAAAAACAAAATCAAACATGCCTAACAGGTGTTTTAGATAAAGAATTGTTTTATCATTTATCATGAAACTATCACTCACCGAGGACTTCAACTGTGACATTCTTTGTTTTCTCCCCACTGGCATTCTTGGCGGTCAGGGTATAAACACCGAGGTGTTTCCTTGCACAGGGCTTGATGACCAGTGAAGAGCTGATGGCGGTGGTCTCCACTTTAGCTTCTGGTGGCAGTCCAGCACCATCTCTGGTCCAGGTGATGTCAGGTGTTGGCTGTCCTGACACATAGGCAATCAGCCGGATCACACCGCCTGCATGGACCACCATTCTCTCTTTAATTGAGGCATCCAGATCCACCTCAGGAGCAACTGGAAGGAAGAAGAGTCTCATTACTGCCCGCCTGCTACACTCAGTTTTAGTCTTTATAGGTCTTTATATTTATGAATAATGTTTAACTTACTGGCTCTGTCGTTGACCTCAAGTACCTCTGGGACTTCACCTGGCTCACTGTTACCAGCAGCATTGAAGGCAATCACCCTGAACCTGAACTGACCACCTGTCTTTAGACCACTGATCACAAAACGCGTCCCTCTGATCTCAGTTTCCTTCGCCTGGAAAACATAATGCAATTTCATATGCATAATACTATAATCATAATCATCACATTTAGACTATGTAACTATTTTTTGCTCACCTTAACCCAGGCCTCAGTGCCCTCCTCCTTGTACTCCACCCAGTAGCCTATAATCTTAGATCCACCATCTTTTAAAGGTGGAATCCATTCGAGATCTACTGTGGATTTCGTCCAATCAGAGACCTTCGGGGTCGGAGGAGATGGTGGAGCTTCATAGGGCAACACGTAGCTGGTTACTATCCTGGCCTGTGTGCATTTAATGTTTCATAAACATGCATGATACTCACAGATAGGGTCTCTGGCAAAGGCAGGGTCTGTTGGAGGACTAGCAAGACCAGGGCCCGCAGCGTTGACGGCAGAAACTCTGAATAAATACTGAGACCCCTCAACAAGTCCACTCACTACGAAAGACTCGCCAACGCCCATGGGACGGATAGGGTCCCTGGTAACACGAGCCCAACGTTTGCCCGTTGTCTCTTTGCGCTCCAACCAGTAGCCAGTGATCGGGGTGCCGCCGTCATCCTCAGGCTCCTCCCAGTTGACTGTCATTGAATCCATGGTGATGTTGGTTACTGTTGGCTTCTCACACTGACCAGGAACAGCTGAACATGAACAGAAATGTCAAGATTTAGTCCTGAAGCATAACATCATTATCGGTCTAACTTACTTTATTTACTTAATTTAGAATATGAACGAGGCAGTGAAGCTGGAGTTGTAACAAATTCTTTAATAAAATCATTACCAGAAGTTGAAACTTACTGCAACGGTTTCGGGCAACCTCAGGGTCACTGTCCAGCGGCTCACCAACTCCATACTTATTTTGTGCCATGATGCGGAACACATATTCGTGCCCCTCCATCAGGTTCTCCACTGTCCAGATTCGGTCTTTGGGCTCGTTTGTCACAGGCACCCAGGTCTTCCTATTGGCCACACGCCTCCAGATTACATAGTTTGTGATTTTAGAACCACCATCATCCTTTGGTGGTAACCAGGAGAGTGTAATCTTCTCTGCGCCAACTTCTTCAAACTTAATAGGAGCTGAGGGAGGACCGGGTCGACCTGCAAGTACAAAAACAAACTAAGAAAAAGCACTCTGAATATCCAAGACTATGCTCTAGGAACTAACTTATTGCTCTTTTCATTTTCAGAGTTATAAAATATGTTTTATTGGGACATCATTTATTTATAGCAATAACTGGTTGTTTAAGATAGATACACACACAACCACTAGCAAACATATAATCCAAAGGTTTGAAGGACATAGAAACACAGGTTGCTATTAGATCAACAAGATCTTCTTTGCCTTCTTTGGTGCTGGATGCAGTATTAATTAAATGGTCAATTTCATATCTAAGATACTATCTTTCAAATATCCTTTTTGTAGAGAAAATATACCCCGGCACAACTAAGTAATTATTTTTTCAATCTGGTATGCCTGGAATGCTAAGACAGGAAACAAAAATTAGGTTGGCTAATACATGTGTGCATCAATATTGTCCCTTCATCACACGCTGGAGGGACTTTAAGAAGAATCTGAATGAAGCATAAAACTTAATAACAAAGATAAATGAAAACAAAAATAATTTACTAAAAGACATTTTTAAGGTGAGCACATTAGGTTTGTTAAATCCCCGTAAATGTGTCCTTACCGAGCACGTTGAGCCTCATTTCCTTGGATGCTTTGCCAAGACTGTTGGAGGCCACCAGAGTGTACAGGCCAGTGTCATGGCGTTTGCCCTGCTGGATGAGCAGCGTGCAGCTGTCATCTGATACGATCTTGTTGATGTGCTCATCATACTGGACCTCGACCTTGTCGTCAGGCTTGTGGGGAGGTGCCTTGTACCAGGTGAGTGTTGGGAAGGGACAGCCACGAAGCTTGGCCACAATGCTGATGTCAGAACCCTGCTCCACTTCCATAAACTCCTCCAGCTCAATGGATGGAGCACCTGAAAATAAAATTGTTAGTGACTTATTCTTGAAGAAGTTCATTTGGTTTTACTTTTAAGGAAAATAAAAAGCAAAAGTGTACTTAATCATGAAATGTATGATTTATCTACATAGAGCAAAATATAATTTTAGTTTAGAAACTAGATCCCACATTTCTTTAACTGAACTTCTCAAAGTGTCGGGCTTACAGGTCTGGTCCTGGATGGTGACGGGTCCAGCAGTAGTTGATGGTCGGCTGGGTCCGGCCTGATTGTAAGCGGTCACTCTGAACTCATACTCATCTCCCTCTGTCAGGTCCTCCACCTTAAAGGTTGTGGTGTCGACATCTCTCCTGTTGCACCTAAAAGAAACAACACTAAACATTTAACAGTAGCCGACAACAAATCATCAATCAAATTCAAACAAACAAACAAAAAAAAAAACAAACAAACTACAATGTATAGAAGTTGTTATCTAGCTCAATTAAAGTTTGGTGATTTTTTAAGTGCTGTTGTTCTGAAATGTTTGTATTTTAGTTCTTCATCAAATGTTTGATGTGATCCAGAATAAAAATGGTTAAAATTTGAATCCGACAGGATTTGATTTGTATGGTCATTCTGCATAAACAGAAATGTAGATCTTTACCTCCTCCAAGACTCCTTTTGGGCACCGCTGGAATCCCAGCAGAGAAGATCAACACTGTAGTGCGTGACTGGCGAACCTCCATCGTTCTTCGGAGCCTTCCAGGTCAAAGTGAGAGTGCCCTTTCTTATGTTGTGGATCTTGAGCCTTGTTGGAGGATCCGGAGGATCTGCATATACAGATGATTTTAAAAATAAGCTCAGAGAAAATGTGTTTGCCTGGAATCTCACCAAGAAGTTTAAAAGGCTAAATGAAGAAAATTTTGACATACGGATGGGATCTTTAGCTTTGGTTCCTTCAGGAGTCTCAACAGTTGGGCCAAAGCCAAACCGGTTTTCAGCTTTGACACGGAAAATGTACTCCTCACCATTAATGAGGTCTGGAACCACCAGAGACTGGGTAGCACAGGTTGGGTTTACCTATAAGCACAGAGTCAGGGTGAAATTTTGCCCATGTTGTTTGTGATGAATGAGCAGGTGAAGGCCAAAGTTTTTTACCTTGGTCCAGGCTTTGCCTTCCACAGTCTTTTTCTCAATAAAGTAGCTCTTCACTCTCTCTCCTCCATCGCTTTCTGGAGGTTTCCAGATGAGTCTGCAGGTTCCTCTGGTCACATCACTCACCTTCAGATTTCTAACAGGTCCAGGAATGTCTGCAGATCAACCAAAGGGTTGGTAACAGTATATTATCCACCTTAATATATCATTGTTTTATATATATGTTTCCTTTAAAAAATCTTGAGAAATTATACCATGCCTTTACATACCGAGCACATTGACTCTGACTTTGAGTACTTTGTGTCCAGCTGGGTTCTCTGCATTGATGAAGTATCGACCAGTGTGGCTCAGCTTGCTTTCTGGGATCACCACCAATGATGTTGTGTCAGTAGAATGGATCTAAAATAAAACAGCAATATGGAGAAAAATATAACTGACTGACTCATGAAATGCATGTTTCAAATCTTAAACTTATCCCAAAACAGTTGTGTCAGAATCACTATTAACAATCCGCAACCTCTGAGTCAATGGGCAGTGTGTGAAGGTCGTTCTTCTTTTCAGTCTCGGCAGTTCCATCAACGAAGGTCCAGGTGACTTTGGGAATGGGTCGTCCTGATATGGTCGCAGGAATTCTGATGGTGGTTCCTGCTCTGCAGTTCAGCAGGTCATGAGCGCTCACGTCCAGTGTCACTGTGGGTTCGACTGTAGAACATGACATTAAATATAGTCAATGGAGGAAATTCAGCTTTGGTGTCATGATCCAATAAAATTTGCTTTCTAGCTGCAATAGTTCAGAGAGGGAATGATAAAAGGAAGTGCACATGTATGTTGTGTAGTTACATGCACAACATACATGATATCAAGTGCAGTTTGAAAGTCTGACTAAAGTGATCTGTTCTTACTCAGGATGTCCTGAACCAGGATGTCGCCTGTCCTAGCAGGCTCTGAGTTTCCTGCGGCGTTCACTGCATAAATCCTGAACTTGCACTTCTTGCCCTCTTTCAGGTCAGGGACGGTAATTTCAGTGGATGGGTGGAGCTTGTCGGCTGGGTTGACCCTTCTCCAATCTGGAGAGCCCTCCTCGTGAACCTCAACAATGTAACCCTTGATTGGGCTTCCACCATCTCTTTCTGGAGGAGTCCAGGTGAGTGTGATGCTGCTCTTGGTCTTATCTTTAACCTCTGGGCTGCCAGGTGGGCTTGGAGGATCTGAGAAACAAGAGAAGGAAGGGCTAAATGTCTTTCTGCTTTACAGAAAAACTAATAATATTCTGTTTACAATTCTGTCTCGAGCTTACTCAGTTTACTTAAAAATGAAAGAATCAAACTGGTGTCTCCTGAGTATTGATGCTTAAGGAATAATGGTCACATGGTTTGCGGAGTTAAACAGTTAATAAAACAGTAAAGAGCCATTCTGGAAGACGGGATCACTCACTGCATGGATCGGTGGCGAAGCGGCACTCAGTGGGTTCACTGTGTGGGCCGACTCCTGCTGCGTTGCAGGCCGCAATCCTGAACTGGTACTCTGTTCCTTCTATGAGCCTCAACACTGTGTATTGCAGGCCCTTAACCGCTGGTCTGGTGACCGGAGCGCGGTTAACACGACCCCAGTATACGGCACCACGCTCCCTCTTCTCCAACCAATAGCCCTGGATGGTGGAGCCGCCATTGTCCAGAGGAGGATCCCAGGTGACGGTCATTGTGGTTGCTGTTGCAGCTATGATTTTAGGATTACGTGGAGGTCCAGGAAGGCCAAACGGATCCCTAAGCTGGACTTTTTCTGAATCACAGCCATCACTGACACCATACTTGTTTTCAGCTTTGATCCTGAATTGGTAGACTCCATTCAAGTCCAATTTGTAGACCTGAAGGACCAAAACATAAAAAGTTAAACACTTTTTGTGTCTCAATTTAGAGAAACATTGGGGATTCTCTATTATCTGACCAAAACTAATATATTATGGAAAATGAAGTAAAGTTGAATTTCAGGTTATTTTCTTTAATTTACAATCTCAAGTTCAGGAGATTATAATTATAACAACATGTTTATTATTAAAGTTTATTTTGTTCCTAAATAATAATTTTAAAAGCTAGCAGCAACAACAAACCCCATATCTTCTGTCGATCAGATTGTTGGTCAGAGCGTCAAAGTCTGATTTCTTCTTGCTGGCATCTCTTCGCTCCACAATGTAGTTGGTTATCTCACTGCCTCCATTGTCCTCCGGAGCATCCCACGTCAGGTAGCAAGAGTCTGCTTTGATGTCCGACACAACGATATTCCTTGGTGGGAGGGGGCGGTCTGAAAATGCATGGTTGGATTACTTAGTGAGGAAAACAAAATGGACGTTTCATCAAACTTGAAACTGTGAAATAGTCTTAATGAAAAGTTGTGGAAGAATTTGGTTCTCACCGAGGATTTCAACTCTGATCACATGCTGAGCTTTGCCATGGCAGTTTTCAGCTACCAGCTTGTAGTTTCCTTTGTCTTGTCGGACGGTCACTGGGATGGCTATCTTTGTCTTTATTGTTGTCCTGTTCACCTGGAAAAAAAGAACCAACAGTCTGACTTTAGAGATCATGTAGGTGACCTCACCATCTCACAACTGAATGCTTCTTTAGATTCATCATGATGCATCACTCTTTACTGAAACATGCAATTGCTCCAATTGTAAGACAAGGAAAAATAGACAAGATAAATGTAGATTTTAGTGCTTTCAAAATGTGGGGTGAAGGTAAAACCGAGAAGTTATAAATGAAATAGAAATGTTGTTTATTCCATGGTGGATTAGATACCAACAAGAAAAACTTCAGCTTTGTTACTGTTAAGCTTAAGAATGTTGTGCGAGAACTAAAATTCAAATTTTTGGAGTCAATCAAAGAGGGAGGTTAGTGGGAGAAAGTAAATGGCTTTTGTTCTCTGGTGACAGTCATAGTGGTTGACCATCATGTATCATCTGCTTAACAATGTAAATCAGTGCCCTATTTAAAATATTGCCACAAGGGAGGAGGAGGTAGTTAGTTAACAGAAGAGGTCCAAGTACAGATCAATGAGGTCCACCACAAGGTGTAAGCCAGATTCTCTGTTTCCTAAAATTTCAGATTTACTATTGATATATGATGGTGAAGATATAGGTAAAGCACTGAAAAGATTTTTTTTTTTTTTTTTTAGTTTTTCATTTAAATTTGTCATCAATCCAAACTTGAATTTATCACATATTGGTTACAGATCACCTAATTAAAACCCTACTTCACAAGTTGCTTCTCACCTCCTCTGTCTCCATGGTCATCTTCTCCTCGTCAGGATTCTCAATCACCACATCATCCTTCATCCACTGGAACGTTGGCAAAGGCAGTCCAATCACCTCTGCTGGGATGTCTATGGCTGCTCCTTTCTTCACAATGATGGCATTGCTCTTGAAAAACTTCAGAATCGAAATAACTGGAGCAACTGTGGTCAAAAACAAACAAAAAATCAGCAAAGCTGGTCTCAAAGTTTTTAATCAACCTTTTGTAACTCTTGTTCATACTTTCATCATCCTGGATCTTGGCAGAAATTGGTTTGGAAGGATCGCCTTCTCCAACTTCATTCACAGCTTTAACACGGAACTGGTACTCCTGGTTCTCAGAGAGGTTTTCAACCGTTCCACAGCACTCTGTAAAGATCTTACGATTGGCCACCTCGTACTCTGTGCTGTCTGATCTCATCTTCTCAACGTAGTATCCTCTGATGGGGCTGCCGCCATCAGTGCGAGGGGGCTGCCAAGCCAGAGTGATAGTTGACTTGCTTCGGTCAGTGTAGTGCAGTTTCTCAGGAGCAGATGGAGTCCCTGGAAGATATTATGGAGTATTAGCAGGCAGCTCTTTGAGTTTCAATTAAGATTGGTCCCAGGCCACGCATTAATATCTCACCTTTAGGATCCTCGGCCAGGATGGGTCCCAAATCTGCTGGTGCGCCGTCACCGTACTTGTTTCTGGCGATGACTCTGAAGTCATATTCCTCACCAGACAGCAGGCCCTGAACATCACACTTACAGGACGCCACCTCAATTGGCTGACGGAACAGCTTCATCTTGGTGTCTTTCCTCAGCACTTCATAGCCAATGATGTCACTGCCTCCATTGTCCAGAGGGTCAGACCAGGTGAGAACAATGTTCTTCTTTGTCACCAGGACCGTCTTCAAGTCAACCACTGGTCCAGGGACATCTTCAGAAACAAAGGGGGAGTTAAGTTTCAGCTTTAACTGTCTTTCCAATATGGCAATAGTATTAACATGTTTCATGATATACTTTTGAATTACTGACCCATAACGTCCACTCTGGTCTCTGCGGTCTTGGTGCCACTGCTGTTGGTGCCGGTGATCTGGTATTTTCCATGATCTGCCCTCACAGCCTTCTTGATGAACAGAGTGCTCTTCTTGCCCTCTGTCTCCACAATCATTCTCTCTTGGTCAATTTCTGCCTCGTCTTTGGCCCATTTTACCTCTGGCTGAGGTCGGCCCGTCACCACTGCAGGAAGCTTCAGTGACTCACCAGCCTTGATCATGACGCCGTTCTTCACAGAGTCATCAAATTCCACAACAGGAGTTTCTGTAGGATACGTTCAGTAAAGAAGAAATGACAGCAATGTTTATAAAAGCTCCAACATTTCACCTTAACTGTAAAACTCTGAATTTAAATAATTTCAAGAAAGTTAAAATGTTCTTTATAACACACCCACAGAAAAGTGGTGATACGAGAACAAATCATACCTTGTGGCTCTTTGACATTTACAGGTTCAGTGAGACCAGGAGCTCCAGGGCCAGCATCATTAATAGCAAGGACCCTGAAGTAATAATCTGCTCCTTCAGTGAGGCCAGTCACTGTGTATGTTAATTCTTTACACCTGAATTCTGTGCAACGGCTCCATTCTTTCTCCCCGACCAAAACCTGTAAGACCAGAGTTCAGCATACAAGACCTTAGTATTACATTAGAGGCTGCAAATGTAGAAAGTCAGGTATTGTTCAGGACCTTCTCAATGTGGTATCCCAGGATCTCGCCTCCGCCATTGTACAATGGTGGCTTCCAGGCCAAGATGACAGAATCATTGCCGGTGTCCACGACCCGTGGAGTGGGGGGTCCAGGAGGAACTGTGGTAACACAGACAAGATTATTGCTTAACAAAACAAAAAACATGATATAAAAATGAGCAGTCTGACATCTGCTAAAGTAAGTATCTCAAGCTGAAAAAAGTCTAACAAACTTTCAAACTATCACCAAATCCTTTTCCTACATTTTCACTTGATTGTTCTGACAGGTACTTACGGATGGCATCCATGGCCACAATGCGCTCAGTGGGCTCACTGAAGGGCCCAGGGCCAGCCAGGTTTTCTGCACATACTCTGAAGATATAGGTGAGTCCCTCCATCAGTCCAGTGATCTTCACATCTAGAGAATTGAGGAGGGCCCGGTTAACTCTGGTCCAGTGTTTGCTGTTCACCTCCTTCCTCTCAATCCAGTAGCCAAGGATCGGGCTGCCGTTGTCCTTTGGTTCATGCCAGGAGATGTGAGCGGAGTTTGCTGTCACCTCATGCACTCTGGGAGTATTGGGAGCATCAGGAGGATCTGATTGGGAAGAACGAGTTTAGTAATACAATAGATGTCACTGAAATATTACTGTCTAATTTGTGCATCAAATATGTATACTCACTGAATTGGTTCTTGGCGACAAGTGGATCAGAGATGCATGGCAAACCACAGCCATATTTGTTCTCAGCTGTTACTCTGAAGATGTATTCCTTCCCTTCGATGAGTTTGGTGACAGGGAAACTGGTGCCCTTCAGGGTGGAGGTGATAGTGATCCAGCCAATCTCATCATTCTTGTTGTCCTTCTTCTCAAGGATGTAGTTCAGAATCTCGCTGCCTCCATCATCCTCAGGAGGCTCCCAGTTACAGATGACAGAGGTGTTCCTGATCTCATCAAAGGTGAAGTTTATTGGAGGGCCAGGCTTGTCTGTTGAATAAGTGAATGAAATTAGTCTTCAAGTTCAAAAGCAAAACAGAAACATCTGCAAGCTGTAAGTTTCTACTCAGGAAACCAGAAACAAGAAGAATCAGGCTAAATAGTTATGCAGATGTCCTTACCCAGGACGTTGACGTAGCAGGTGGCAGAAGCAGCACCATGCGTATTTTCCACCCTGATTGTGTAATTGCCGTGGTCAATCCTGACAGAGTCACGGATCATAAGAGCAGACTGGCCTTTTGTGGTTTTATCCAGACCAAGACGTTCACGCAGAGGAGTCACAAATTCCTCCTCTGGTTCTGGAACCTGCACAAAGTAAAGTGAAAAGTAAATAAACAATTTCAAATATAGAAGAAAACAATTGAAGTTTTTTTTTTTAAAGGAAACAAACATGGGCTTTGGTCTTCTTCTTTTTTAACACAGGAGCAATCTTTTTGGCAGGCTCCTTGGTCACATCCTCCTCATTTCTCAGCCAGGTGACTTTAGGATATGGAGAGCCAGAGACGTAAGCATCAATGCGGATTTCTTCACCCTTCTTAACGCAGAGGCCGGACTGCACACGTGCATGCAGTGTGACTGTTGGTTTATCTGAAAGTAAAAATAAAGTGATGTAGTATATAAGAGAAAAAGTTTTCCTTCAGTAAAACAGATCCAAATAACTTTACATACCAACAGGGTCTGCAGCCTTTATAAGTGGAGTGCTGCGGGAAGGCTCACTGACTCCAGCGGCATTTTCTGCTCGGACTCTGAACTGATACTCCATGTCTTCCTTCAGGCCAGTCACGACATAGGAGAAACCAGGAACCAGACTCGGGGTGACCTTGTCGTAGCGGTCACCGTCTTTCTCTATCTTCTCTACTATGTAACCCTGTATTGGGCAGCCGCCATCGTAGTCTGGAGCCTTCCAGGTGACTGTGATGGACTTGGATGTGGGGTCATGACCCTCAACTTGGATGGGAGGATCTGGTTTCTCTGTATGTTAAATGACATACGTTTACAATGTTTAATGATTGTCAGACATAAGGACCATGATGTGTGAATTGAAGAAGCAAATTGTTGAGTTGAACACAGTTTATTAATGGGTCACCATAAACACAGGTATGAACATAAAATCCCAAACTGTCATCCAAATTTTTCTAAATGTGTTCACATTTATCAAAAACCAGAACTTACGTTTGATTTCCTCTGTGAGAACCGGGTTGCGTAGCTCCAAATATTCTCCTGCTCCGACCTTGTTGACAGCCTTCACTCTGAAGTAGTACTCACAGTTGATATAAAGGTCTTTAGGGTTGTAGGTGAGGACATTTTCCCCTGACATGATGGGCATGTAGGTTTTCTTGGATGCTTCTCGGCGCTCCAGAGTGTAGCTGACAATAGGTGTGCCTCCATCGTCTTCGGGAGCTTCCCAGCTGATCTTGCAGGAATTCTTAGTGACGTCACTGGAGGTGATGTCTTTACACTGACCAGGGAGCCCTGTGAGGTTCAGGAAGCCAGAAAAAATGATTGAGACAATGGACCTGACTGGGTTTCTAAATGCATTTGAAGCTGGGTTTAGCCTGGAAGTTGTTTTGAATAAAAATCACTGTTTTGCTAATATGAAATCCCAGCAGATATGTTGATAATGATGGGACTGGTGTACACCGTGACATGAAGTATCGTACCGATAACTTTGACATTGATGGTTCCAGTAGCAGTTCCCAGACTGTTCTCCAGAGTGATGGTGTAAGCACCAGCATCAGCGCGCTGGCACTTCAGCATCTCCAGGTGAGCGCTGTTCATCTCAACGGTCATGGAGAGCCGGTCATCAGCTTTACACTCGACTGTGTCTTTCTGCCACACCATCTTGGGAGTTGGGATTGCTTTGTAGGGGATGTTCAGATGCAGCTTCTCACCTTCAACAACAATCACATCGTTTCCATCCAGATCCATAGTTGGAGAACCTGCGGGCCAGAAGACATGTTAATTATTGAGGATTTGTTCTGACTTGTGTAACGCTTTAAAACGAAAAGTCTGTCAATACTTACAGTCAGGATCTTTGGTGGCAACTTTGTCGGAGATTTCAGAGGGATCGCTTACGCCAATAGAGTTAATGGCACGAACTCTAATCACATACTTTTTCTCTGGTTTGATTCCATCATCAATCTTAAACTTCAGCTCTTTAATGGGCCGGGCATTTACCCTTAGCCACTTGAGTTCTGGACGAGCCTCTGCCACCTCAACATGGTATCCAGTTATTGGACAGCCGCCATCTTTGGCTGGTGGTTTCCAGGTGACATTGATGTGTTCCCTGCTGGCATCAACAATGGCCACATCCAGAGGAGGAGATGGAGGACCTGGGCAGAGATTATGCAATGTTTAAAACAGAATTAAAATGTGTTCCTTTAGCTTAATTGATAATTAGTTGAAGGGATTTTAATTCAGTCTTAAATTGAAAATATTCTATGAAAGACATCTCTCTCCTGTTCCCTGAACAAAATCCTTTATAGTTAGGCATATGAAAAATTTTGGCCCTGACAAATTAGGACTTACAAGTTTTTCCGTTCAACAAAGACATTTGTTGTTTGAAAGCAAACAACACAAGCATTTTTGTAAAGACAATAAAACAATTTAAAATAGTATCATTTTTAAGGTTGTTTTAGAAAAAACATCTTTCTGAAAATGATTCAGCTGTAATAGTGGGCTTGACTGTTGTTTGCTGTAAAGAAAACTTGAAGGTTTCTTACTTGTTGGATCCTCGATGGTGAGGATAACAGTGGGCTCACTTGGATCTCCCACTCCGGCCTCATTCTCAGCTCTGACCTGGAACTGCACCTCTGATCCTTCATCAACATCTGTCACCTTGAACTGCGTCTGTTTATCTGGAGTCTTGCAGCACTTCAGCCATCGAGTTCCAACTTTTTCTTTCTTTTCAATCACATACCTGTGAAAAAAACAAAATCATGCTTAGCCTTAAATAATACACCTGCCGTCCATTTTTCAATAGAAAGTTAAGTCTTTTAACTAAATGCTATATTTGATAGTCATTTTACTTGGTTATAGGTCTTCCACCATTGCTCTTTGGAGGTTCCCACTTGAGCTCCACATGTCTCTTACTGACTTCCATCACTGTTAGAGCGTATGGAGGTCCAGGAGTTGCTGTAAAAGGGCAATGGAGTTTTAAATTATTCAAAAAGGTTATTTTTCCTGAACTGGCTTTGTTTCAATATCTTTTAAGGAACAGCAGTGTGATATTTTGCAAATAAAAAACACATAATGAATTATCATTAGAAAAAAAAAGCGAAGCACAGGTAACTGAGGGTGAATAATATGCATGAATCTTACTGAACGTATCCTTGGCGAGAACTGCATCCTCCAGCTCACAGAACTCTCCCATTCCAACGGCATTCTCAGCAGCAACTCTGAATACGTAGAGGGATCCTTCATTGAGGGGAGTCACTGAATATTTGAGCTCCTTGATGGTAGTGTCAACAGTCTGCCAGGCCTTCCGCCTCACGTCTCTCTTTTCCACCACATAGTTTGTGATGGGTGAACCTCCATCGCTGCTTGGAGCCTGCCATTTTAGATCAGCGCTGACCTTGGTGATGTTGGTGACCTCCAGCCACTGAGGAGCAGATGGAGGGTCTGCAAATGGAAAACACAGAATGTTAGTCCAGTTTGTAATTTCTTTCCATAGAGAATCCTCTGGTGCCAGTTTCTGTGCAGGACTTACAGAGTCTCTCCTTGCAGACCACAGGGTCACTGGGGTCGCTGGGTTCACTCTCACCGGCCTTATTGACAGCTTTCACTCTGAATGAGTATTCCTGCTTCTCCATGAGTCCCTGCAGCTGGTGCTCTGTCTGAGGAACATCCTCTGCAATACGGATCCATTCCTCGCTTCCAGTCTTCTGGAACTCAATGATGTAACCTTCAATCTTTGCCCCGCCATCGTGCTCCGGTCGTGTCCATGCTAACAAGGCAGTGGTCTTGCCAACTTCCCTGACAACAGGTTTTCCGGGTGCCCATGGAGGATCTAACAAAGAGTTCAGTGTTTTATCATTTTCACATTACTCTGATTATTTAAGGTGAATTCAATTGGTTTGGAAATTGGAAACAAATTGGGTATGAATTTCCATCTTATCTGAGCACCTCCAGATGTAAGTCCATAAACTAACATAATTTAGCAATTGAACCCTGACTTCTGACTTTGGATGGTTTTCTTGTATTTCTTATGAATCTTAGAAAATCCAGTTTCCAAATGCAAAGATAATGCATCGTAATACAATTGCTGTCATATGTTTTGGTGGTTTAAATCCTCAAAAGTAATAGATGAATGATGTTGGTAGACTTGTGACATACCAATGGGATCTTTGATAAGTACAGGATCTGTCTCTGCACTTGGTTTTCCAGGTCCAGCAAGATTCTCTGCCAAAACACGGAAGCGGTACTTCTTCTTGGTGGGAAGACCTTTTACCCTGGAACCAAAAAGATTAGTAGTATTAACAATTCGTCTGATTAATGCTTCTCAATGCTTTGGAAATATGAGCTAAATACCTGAAAGTTGTGTCCTTTATGGGCAGTTTGTTGCATCGTATCCACTTATCACTCTCTTGATCAAACTTCTCAATCCAGTATCCTGTGATGGGGCTGCCACCATCCTCATCTGGCTCAAACCAGGTCAGTGTCACTGCATCCTTGGCAATGTCAGAAGGAGTGACTCTGGTTGGAGGACCAGGTGGATCTGAAATAGTTGGACAGAAAAATAATTTATACAAAAAATCAGGAGTCATATCTTCAGTTTGTTGAGTGACGGGTTGAGCTATAAGACAACTTACCAAAAGAGTACTTTGCAATGATTGGTGTGTGCTCTGTAGGTATGCCAATGCCGTACTGGTTCTCAGCACTGATTCTGAAGACATATTCCTTCATAGCAATAAGCTTGCAGGCCTTGAACGTGGTATCCTTCACAGTGGCTGACAATTTGACCCACTCCTCTTTGTCTGTCTGACGAGCTTCAACAATGTAGTTGGTGATGGGTGAGCCACCGTCATCTCTGGGAGGGTTCCACGCTAAAACGCAGGACTCGTTGGTGATCTCTGAGATATCAAAGGCAGCTGGAGGGCCCGGTTTATCTGAGGTGAAAAACAAAAGGTAAATGTATAGCGCTTATCAAGCCCAGAAGACACCAAAGCAATTTGGACTCCATTCAGTCATTGACCCATTGAGTGGTGTCATGCTAATGGATTATAGCCACAGGTGCCTCGAAGCAAGGCTGCCATGAACTATTTGATCAGAAATGAGAAATCATTTTCTCAGTTTTTCCATAGAGGAGTAACCCTCACAGAAAAAACTCAGAAAAATTATGTTGGTTAAATTTTGAAGACTGTACCTAGGATGTTGACATCAATGGTGGCAGTGGCACGTCCACAGATGTTGACTGCCTCTATGATGTAAGTGGCCGTGTCTTCTCTGGTGGTGTTGCCTATGGAAACTTTGGAGTGTCCCGGCTGAGTCTCAATGGTTATACGGTCATCAGCCCGTAGAACTAAGTCAGCCTTGGTCCATTTTACACGAGGATCAGGCTGTCCTTTGACGTCTGCAGGAAGCTCAATCTTGGTGCCTGCTCTGGCAGTCAGGCCTGCCAGCAGCTTCACATCCAGCTGGATCTCTGGAGGTTCTGTAGAAGTTTTTAAAAAATATATATATAGTCAAGTCAGTTGTTTTTTATAATATAACCTGTGCTTTGAAAAGTTTTAAAAATGTTTAAAACTGTTCGTGATTTTCTTCCTCATGATTGTGTTTAATAATTCTGTTAAGCAGAATCAGCATGATGAACAAACCACCGCACCTCGAGCATCTACAGCCTGAATCTCATCAGTGGCCCTGCAGGGTCTGCTGGCCCCCAACTTGTTCACTGCTCTGATTCTGTATGCGTACCACTGGCCCTCGATCAGCCCTGTCACCTGGAACCTGTGGTCACAAAAACATCTCAAATTACATCCCGTTACCCAGATCAAGTTGATGATACTTGCAATTAAAATGTTTAATTTTACTTGAGTTCAGGCATGGGGTCACCACAGGGTTCCCACTTGTCTGTCCCACGTTGACACTTATCAACCACGTAACCTTTAATCGGAGCACCACCATCATACTTTGGAGGTTCCCAGGAAAGGAAGATGCTCTTGCCACTCTTATCACGCCATTTCAGGTTCTCAGGAGGATCAGGAATAGCTAGAAGAAAAACAGATTTTGATCAGAATATGTGAGCGACATGCATTTGCAAGAATTAGTCCTAAAGAATTAGGCCTAATGTTAAAAATTGTTTCTTTGCACAAAGAGAGATCATACTTACTAGCAGGTGAGGAGACATTTACAGGCTCATCTATGTATGCTGGCTCTCCAGGTCCACACTTGTTGCAGGCAATAACGCTAAACAGATATTCTTTTCCCTCAATCACATCTGTTACTGTGTGCTCCAGATCCATGACACCAGTAGCAACCTGGAGAAAATGTTATATTGTGCATCAATCTAACAATTAATCCATCGATTTTAACTCATAATAATATCAGATACTCTTCTCAGGTATACCTTGGCCCAGGTCTTGCGGGAAACCTCTCTCTTTTCTATCTGATAGTGGGTAACTGGACTTCCTCCATCGTGTTCTGGTGGCTCCCACATCAGGTGGACATGGTGCCGAGTTACCTCAGCTACTTTAAAGTCTTTGGGTGCACTTGGACATGCTGCGAAAGTAAAAAGAAACAGGATTTGAGAAAAAAACATTTTAGTACTCCTTCAAAAACAGTTTACCTAAATCAATATAAACATGAGAGCTGAACTTACCGATAACATTGACCTCAATCTCTCCAGAGACAGATGTGACGTCATTCTCAAGGTGCAGGGTGTATGTGCCTTTATCAGGACGGACACTTGGAGAGATTGTCAGCTCTGTAAACGTTGGCTTTGTCAGCATGGAGACACGCTCGTCTGCTGTGGTCAGCTCCTTTTCTCCAAAGTTCCACTTAGCTGTGGGAGTGGGGTATCCGGTAATGGGGACCCTGATGGTGAGAGGCTGAGGGGCGATAACTTCCAAGCCATTCCTAAAGCCGCTTAGATCAAAGGTTGGACCGACTGTGGAAAGAAAAATGTTTTCTTCTTTGACACTTGGAAGTTTGACTCAAAATATAAATAATTACTATAGCAGTTTATTGTTCACTGCATAATTTGACATTTAAAATTTTCAAGAAAAACCAGCCAAATGTCTCTCACCATGTGGGTCATCGGCAAGCAGTGGTCCAAGCTGCTCTGCTGGATCTGAGACACCAGCAGCATTCTCAGCACACACTCTGTACAGGTACTTCTGACCAGGCTTTAGTCCAGAAACCTAGAGTTACACAACACAGAGCGTAAATGTTCACAGCTGAATATGAGATCATTGGCGAGATAAACAGGATTATTTGGTAAAGTTTGACTGAGTGTTTGGGAACTCTGTACCCGGTAGGAGAGGTCAGGACATAGTCTGGCGTTGCAGCGTAACCACTTGTCTGAGCCCTCATCGCATTTCTCGATAATGTACCCGGTGATCATGCTGCCACCGTTGCTTACTGGAGTTTCCCAGGTCAGAGTGACAGCGGTGTTGATTTGGTCGTTGTAGTTCAGGTTCAGAGGTGGACTTGGCCTCTCTGCAGGACATAAGATATTTCTCAGTATAACCATAACCCTAACCCTGCCCTATAGGATGTAGAGTTCTTCACAACTGATGACTGATTTGAAGAAAAAAATGCAATTCATTGATTTTCTACAGCTAACATTATATTTTCAGGCACTGTGTTGAATTTTTTTTTGTACCAAACTCTGCTATGACTAAAATACTTTTTTAAAATTCCTCTACAGAAATTAACCAAACATCTGAGAGACTTCCACTCACCAATGGGGTCCATGATCTTCACTGGGTTGGTTGCAGCACTAGGCCTTCCAATTCCGGCTTTGTTTTCAGCTCGAACTCTGAAGATGTACTCCTTGTGCTCCACTACATCATTCAGTGTAGCCGATCGATCACTGGCTCCACACACCAGGGCCGCCTCCCATTTCACAGAGGTTCTGTCACGGAGCTCAATCACGTATGCGGTGATCTCTGAGCCCCCATCAAACTTAGGAGGCTCCCAGTTGACAGTGGCTCCAAACCTGTTCACCACACCAAGGCCAACATTTTCTGGAGCATCTGGGACATCTGGAGATTGAAAACGAATAGAAGAAAAATTTTATTACAAAGTGTGGAGATTGTAAGAACAGTTAAGGAACTATTAGTGTTTGCTTACCAAACTTGTTCTTGGCCTGAACAGCATCGTCAGTGGCAACAATCGGACCGGGACCAACTCTGTTACGAGCACAGACTCTGAACAGGTACAGGGAGTCCTTCTGGAGACCACTGACACAGTATTCTGGAGTATCAGCCCGGTCTGTAGCAAGAGTCCAGGTCTTCCGCTTTACATCGCGTCGTTCTACCACATAAGCGATAATCTTGCTGCCACCATCACTCTCAGGCTCCTCCCAGGCTAAGCTGACCTCACCATCAGCAGTGTCAACCACCCTTAGGTTCTTAATAGGTCCAGGAACATCTGAAAATAACATAAAATACTTAGAAATCCTATAAGTCTGCAGATTATCTTGTCTCCTATGACCCACAGACTTACCAATCACATCCAGGTTGATGAAAGCCTCACCCTCACCATGTTTGTTTTTGATTACCACTCTGTAACGGCCCTGGTCCTCCTTGGTAGGGCTCTTAAGACGGTACTCGGTTTTGTCAAGGGAAGTATCAATGTTTTGAACAGGCAAGCTTTTGCCATCAAAGAACCACTCTGCATCAGCACGAGGGTAGGCATCATAAGGAACCGCCATGACGAAGGGTTTTCCAGCATCCGTCACCAGATTCTGGTCAGTGGTCTTGATCTTTGGAATAGCTGCAGAGGTAATAAAACAGTTTAGAACAGATTGTATTTTCCATTTTATCTTTCAACTACTTTTGAGGAGTGCAAAGCTTTGAGTAATTCCAGTTTAAAATATTTTGAAGTTGTTGGATTCAAGAATGTTGAACCAGTACAAAATCCAAACATTTGTCCTTGGGAAGTGATATTAATTAAGGAATACATCATTTTAAGTTGATATAATTTAAAAGGAATTAATGTCATATTTTTCCAGCAATGTCTTATGGCTTTGTCAGGTTGGACTTACCTGCCAGCTCCAGTTTGGCCCGGGCATCCTTATCTTTGGCCACTATGCGGTACTCTCCTTGGTCTCTGGGTCTGATCTCACAGACTTGTAACCTGTGGATCTTCCCCTCACTGATCATTTGATACTTGTCACCCTGCACAATGATCATGTTGTTTCTCATCCACTTGACCTCCACTCTGTCCTTGTTGAGCTCAACCTCAAACACGACATCTGAGCCTGGAGGTTCAAACATGTCCTGTGGTGGTCTGATGATCTCCACTGGGGTTTCTTCAGGAAATAAAGACAGATCCATTGTGAATATTAGACAGTTTGTCTGAGTTTCTATGACTAGATGTAGAATCGGGAAGCTGACCTTCAACAAAAAGCCTGGCTCTGGTCCTTCTCTCATCCACACCGCAGGCATATTCGCACTCGTCATCTGGTCTGCACGTCTTGATGATCAATCTGCATGTTTTGCCTTCTTTTTCCATATGATATCTGCAAAAGGAAAGGTTTGCATAAAAGTTTGTAATGTTGCAGCTCAGTTTGCCTCTGATCTACTGAGTTTGACTGCTGCTCTGTTTGCATATCATGGCTTGCAAAGTAGGAAAGATACCTCGGTCCTTCTCGGATCTCTCGTCCATTCTTGTACCACTTGACAGCCGCCTTCTCCTTGCTCAGCTTGCAAGTGAACTCTGCATCCTCAAACTCAGTAATAGTCTGATCTCTGAGCTGTCCTGTGAAGTCAGTTGGCGCCTCGCTAATGATCAGCTCAGCAGCACACTTGTCATCTCCAACCATGGCAGTGTACTCGCCCTCATCTTCCATGGCACAGTCTTTGATAGTCAGGGTATGTTTGAGTCCATCGGCTCTGTAGACAATGCGTTTGCTGAGTGTCACCTCCTGGCCGGCCTTCATCCATCTTACAGTCACCTCAGACCGGTTCACTTTACAAACAAAGCTGATAGTCTTCTTCTCCTGAGTCTCAATGTCTTCAATGGGCTCCAGGAATTTGAGTTTTTCCTCTGTGAAGATCGATGGAAAATTACAGAATCAACTTTTCATGAAGCAGACCAACAGAAATGATTCATAATTTAAATTCGTTTACCTGCAACTTTAGCGCTGGCAGAGCACTTGGCCTGTTCTCCTCTGTTGTTAGTCAGAGAGACGGTATAGGTGGCCTCATCTGCCTTCTGGGCATCTTTGATCCTCAGAGAGAAGACGTTGTCTCTCTGAACCATCATGTACTTGCTGCTTTCAAAAATGGTCTCCTCATTCTTCAGCCACTTGGCCTTGCCTCCCTCAGTATTGGTCTCACAGTTAAACACAATCTCGCTTCCTTCCTTCACCTCTGTGTCTTTAATTGGTGTCACGATCCTCAGTTTTTCTGCAATAGAACAGGAACCAGTTGATGCCAGCTAGAAGGTCATGAAAACCAGATGCTAAGAAATCAATGAAAATCTTACCTATCACACAGAGATCAGCAGAAGCTTTAACGCTGCCGATGTGAGCAACATAACCACCCTCATCCTTCAGGTCACATTTTTTCACAATCAGAGCCCTTCTCTTTCCTTCACTGATGATTGTGTATTTGTCTCCAGCTTGGATCTCTCGTTCACCTCTGAACCACTTCACCTCATAGGTGTCTTTGGACACTGTGCAGGAGAACTCAGCCTGCTCACCCTCTACCACGTCCTGGTTCTGAGGACGAGAGATGAACTCCGCTGCCAGTTCTTCAGAGCAGAAGAGAAATTAAGACAGGATGAGGGTAAAAAGCTTAAGTTAAAAGCCACTAAATGTTAAATGCTCTAATCTCCCTTTTACCATTGAGTTTTAGGGTGGCAGATGTTCTGACAGTAGGGCTCAGTCTGCAGTTGTACTCTCCAGCATCTTCCATCCTCAAGTCCTGGATGATCAAGATCCTCCTGCGACCGTCCATGATCTGATCGTAGCGTCCGCCCTCTGGCAGTTCTTCGTCTCCTCTGTACCAGGTAACCTCAGCATTGGCCTTGGAAACTTCACAGATCATCTTTACGCTGTCCGTCTCAGTTCCCTCCACATTGGACAGGTTCTTGGTGAATGTGGCTGCTTCCTCTGAGCAAACACAGAGCAGCAGAGTTGTGAATTTGTATTTTTACCCTGCCACTCTGGCTCCGTTTTGACACACACAGTAAACTCATACATCTGGCGCTTTCAGTTTATGTAAATTAAGACAACAAAGTTTACAAAATATGAAGCCAAAACAGTTTTAAATGACCCAATGGTCCTTACCAACGACAGTGAGCATGCCAGATGTTTTGAAGGTTCTGGCATCACATTCGTACTCTGCCTCATCGTCAAACGCTGACTTGTGGACGATGAGGATCCTCTGCACTCCTTTAGCAATGATTTCATATTTCTTTCCCTTTCTGATCTCGTTGCCGTCCTTAAACCAGCGAACCTTAAACCAAAACAAGGATGTGAACATCACTTCAAATGTGACCAAAGTGCATTTTTTTAAAAATAGACTCTTTTTAAAAGGCCTTGAATAGATTGAGAATCTTACCTTGGCAGACTCGCGGGAGACTTCACATTCAAACCTGGCTGATTCTTTCTCTCTGACTTCCACATCCTGTAGTGGTTTTGTAAACTCCACATAAGGAGCTGTTGATACAAAGACAAAAGTTCATTTATCCCAACATTTTACTTCTTCTTTTGCTAACAAATCTCATTCAAACATCTTTATTCCTGGTTCTTAACCCAAGAACAATTTGTGATTGCAAAGATTGAAATTAAAGCTCCTCCTTACGTGTAACCTCCAGGAAGCAGGAAGTTTTGAACTCTTTAGCATCACATGTGTACATTTTGGCATCATCTGGAGAGCAGTCATGGATGAGAAGCGCTCTCTTGCGTCCTTCAGCAATAGTGTCATATTTCTTGGTCTTTCTGATTTCTTGACCCTCCCTGAACCAGCGCACTTCGGCGTTCTCTCTTGAGACTTCACACTCCAGCGTGGCGGTGGCCTCTTCCTCCACTGTCTGGTCTTCCAGAGGCTTTGTGAACTCTACTGGTGGCTCTAAACCCAAACCATATGATCAGGTGATGACTGAACATGTTTAAGGTGTTCACTGTCTGCTGTATGTGTTTGAGTGTTTTACCTCCAACAAAGAGCTGAGCTTGAGTCAGGAAATCTTTGGCAGTTACTTTGACCTCCCCAGCCTCTGACAGCTTCACATCTCGGACAGTCAGAGTGTGAACTCTACCTGCCACCCGAGGCTTTACCTGCAGACCCAGAAAAGTCAGATTTATTGATAGATCATTTTGTAGCCGCTCACATGATGAGTAAAGTTCACAATTATGTGTAGTGCTTAGTAAATAAAAGATGCAGGTTCACCACTGTAATTCATTTTCCTTTAATTTTCAACTGATTGACTATGCTTCCCTTACAAATTTAAAATGAATGCAACTCAATGCCACAGCAATAAATAAAGGACGTTAAAAGAACTTAATGTTTCCAATATGTGCTTAGTAATAACAAAATTTCTTTCATTTATTACATTTCTTTAGTAAACACTTAAAATATCTTAATTTGTCTTATTCAAAATTACTTTAGATCTTCTGACAAAAAGGCATCATATACTTTCTAATTTCTTTATTTAATTTATGTATATTTTTTGTGTTTGTTTTTAGTTGCTCTTTATACTCTGGATAAAGGAAACTATTTAGTTTTAGGTACTTCATGAATTACCCCAGTGATGTTATCTGTGTGCTGTGATTAAACTGAGTCCTTGTGCAGATAAAGTTGTTGAAATTGTTGGAGGGCTGAAGATAAGAGTAGTTGGTCTCGTATCTTATTTTATTTTTAACTCAGCTCTAAAAGGTCAGCTTTTAGCTACTCACAGCTGAAGGGAATATGTAGTTTAAACAAGCTGGACAAAAATTAAGTTATTTTTCTTATTACAATCAACAAAAAACTACTTTTCAAAGACAATGAATTGTTCTTTTTGAAAACTACTATCAAACAAATCAAACAAATAAATCAAACAAAATTGGTAATTTTTTTTAAATAAAGTAAATAAGGCTATGATTCTGTTATTATTGTTTCTTATATTTTTCATTTTAAAATGTTCTTTTTTTCTGAAGAAAGCAAAAAAAGATGATCTTAAAATATTTTGTGAAAGTACAACTAAATAAGAGGATACACTGAAACCATGCAAATGTTTAAAACACTTTAGAAACCTTTCACTTTTGTTTTGTAAAATTAAAATCTAAACTTTTTAAAATTCTTTTCTAATGTTCTTATAACACTTAGCTAAGTTTTTATCCTTCTAGTTCTTTGTGTAGAAATGTTGGTTTAATCTCTGGAACATAAGTTTCAGTAAATTGTTTTAATAAATTGATGTTTTGAGAGAAGGTGTAGATTTTTCTTCCTTTCTCCTTTTAATACTTTTTCTCATATCAACATGTGACATTTTTTTAACTGTATGAAATGAAATGCATGAAATAAACTACTCTGATTTTCTCTAGTTCTGTTCTTGTCTGTAATGAGTAATAAGATGCAGTAACTGACCCGGTCGCTGGCTTCCATCTTCTGTCCTCCAACGAACCAGTCCACTTCGATGCCTTCATATGAGAGCTCACACTCGAAGGTAGCTGTCTCTCCGGCTGTCACTGTCACATCCTTCAGTGGACGCATCAGCGTGATGGAGCGAGCTGAAGAGGACAAGCAGGACAACAGGACAAAGCAGAAACCAGTTAGAGAGCATGGAAGTTAGAGTCAGAGAGGCTTCACAGATAAACTCTGAGGCTGAAAATAACCCCAACCTCTGATTGGCTGAGGCCTGAAACAATGAGGCATGTCGCAGACGGCATGAATCATTTTATATATTTTATTTAAACTTGCAGGAGGTGAAGATCAGTAAAGGATTGTGATCACTAAAAGCAGCTATAAAACATGAAAAAAAACAATGTCTGACCTTTGACCCTGAGCTGAGCGTTGGATTTGGCATTGGCTGCAGAGAAGTCAACAGCTCCGGCCATGTCCATACGGACATTATAAAGGATCAGCATGTGTTTGGTTCCTTCCTCTTTAATCTCCACGTCCTGAAGGAAAAGGAGAAACAGGCAACAGAGTCAGAGACTTTATCTGCAATAATCCAGGGAAGGCCGCTGTAAGTCCCGGGAATTCTTACCGCAGACTGGTGCAGAGCTTCTCCCTTCAGTTTCCAGTTTCCGTGGACGTCCTCTTCGGAAATCTCAGTCTCAAACCTGGCTGTCTCTGTCTCAGTGACCTCCACGCTGTACAGGGGACGGACAACCTTGATGTCGCGCTCTGTGGAGAGAGAACCAAACCGTTAGAAGGAAGGCAATAGCATATTTTTAAACTTTTACACAGTAAACAGTTTTTATACGTTTCAAAAGCTATATACCTCTGTAATTTTGTACCAAGTTGACAAGTTATAGACTTTCAGTGCTACCTTCAATGTTGAGGTTTGCTGTGGTTTTGTCCGAGCCACAGTCGCAGGTGTACTCTCCGATGTTGGCCTTCTCTGCCTTCCGGACCATCAGGATTCTCTTCTTTCCATCCGTGCTGATGGCGATGTTCTTGGACGGAGTGATCTCCTTCCCGTCCTTAAACCATTTCACATCAGCAACGGCTTTGCTTAGTTCACAGACCAGCTTCACCTCGTCCTTCTCCACAGCAGTGTAGTTCTGCAGCTTGGTGGTGAAGTACAAGTCACCCTCTGCACACACATTTACACAAAACAGGTCAGCAACCTCTTTTTATGTGAAATACTATTTCCATTGAATCAAAGATGGTTTTTTCTGACACCGACCGATGACAGTGAGCATGGCTGTCATGCTCTTGTCCATCCCCTCCACCTTGATCATAGAGGTGTCGTCGATCGTCACCTCCTTGAAGGCCAGAGTGTGGACTTTTCCTTGATCCGACATATGGACCACCTTACTGGGAAGCAGCCGGACGTCGTTTTTGTACCAAACCACTGAGATGTTTTCATGAGACAGTTCAATGCTGAACTCTGCTGTTTCTCTCTCTTTCACTGTTACGTCCTTAATGGGTTTGACAAACTCCAGGCGAATACCTGAAAAGAAAATTACGACAAAGTTAACGCTAAAGAGATTTAGCAGATAACTTTGATGATTTTTATCTTAAAATAATAATTTTGTTTGTGTCACCTTGACTTCAGTGATATGTGGTCAAAACCACACAATTTTTTAAGTAAATTACTGCCATATTAAGTAAAAATATATGGCAGTAATCGCTACAAAATAATTTTTAAGACTAATTAAGCTTCATTTAGTTAAATGGTTCAACATGTCATGATTACCCTGAATAACAAGTTTGCCGGCGGTCCTCTTGTCCTCTGCCTCAAACATGTACTTGGCCTCATCATCAAAGGCCGCAGATCGGATCACCAGAACGTACATATTGCCCTCCTGTATCATCTCGTACTTGTCGTCGCCTGTCAGCTCCTGGGAGCCTTTGAGCCAGCGGAAGCTCTTTGGAGGTCTCGACACCTCCACCTCGAATCGGGCCTCATCCTTCTCATACACCTGAACGTCGCTCAGGGGTGTGAGGAAGTTCAGAGGAAGTTCTGCAGGAAAACACAAAGAATCAGTAAATGTTTTGTTTTCAAGTCATGGAAAATGGAACAAATAAGGTGGATGAGAAAAACGTGTGAGTTTATTTCACCTTTGACCTTCAAGTTGGCAGAGCATTTGGCATTGGCTGCAGAGTAAGACACCTCTCCTGTCATGGACACCTTACAGTTGTACAGGATCAGAGTGTGTTTGCCTCCTTCCTCTATGATGTCCACATCCTGTCAAACGAGAAGGGTTTAAGTGAGGTCAAGGCGGGCTGTGGGCGATTTGAAAACATCTGAGGTGATGAAACAGCAGTGATGCTCACAGAGGAAGGGTTGAGGGCTTCTCCGTTCAGCTTCCACTGGCCGTGCACGTCGTCCTCAGAGATCTCAACCTCGAAGCGAGCCGTCTCACCATCAAACAGCTCCACGCCGTAAATCGGCCGCACAACCTTAACGTCACGTGCTGGTGGAGGAAAGTTACAGAAAAAACTAAGTCAAACAACAAGTGTTACTGAAAAGGAAAGGTTGTTGATTTAGTTTGTTTATTTTTTTCTACATTATTTTCAAAAAAGTGATCTTTAATTTAGAAGCCAGTCTTTTCACACCATTTTTATTAATAGTTTGTGAAAAAAAGTAGCTATAAGAAATTTAACTTGTGCTTATTGGATAATAAATATGTACAATTATCTGATATTGTGCATTTACAAAGATATTCATATTAATTAAAACCTTAAATATCAGATTATGCTCTTTCTCTTTAAGAAATCAGAACAGAAAGCAGCTACCTTCGATCATTATGTTGGCCGATGTTTTGTCTGTTCCACAGTCACATACGTATTTCCCTTGATCATTTTGCGCCACTTTCTTCAGGACCAGAGATCTGCGGGTGCCTTCAGACTTCATGACCACCAACTTGGAGGTAACGACTTCCTTCTCATTGTGATACCAGACCACAGGAACGTCTTTGCTGAGCTCGCAGTCCAGCGACACCTCGTCTTTCTCGGTGGCAGTGTAATCCCGCAGCTTCACCAGGAAGATGGCGTCTCCCTCTGATGACGAGCATACCGAACAGTCTGTTAACATCTTCTTCCTGTTTTATTGTGTTAGTTAACTGAACACCTATTTGATCATATTTTATAAATTTAGTTTTCTGCAAGAAAATTTCATATTTACACATCAATAACTCAAGACAAACTTTTATATCTCATATAAACAGTAAAATAAAAGGCAGGGAGAGAAATCCCAGTAAAGGAGAGCATGCCGTTACCTATGACTGTCAGTTTGGCTGAGGAGTAAGTTCCCTTGGCTTCTGCCTTTATCTGGCAGGTATCATCTAGACTCAAACTCCTCATTTCTAGAGTGTGTCTCCTTCCTTCCACGTGCATGAGCACCGTTCGACTCACGTGGAGTTTGACTTCGTTTCGATACCAAACCACCGGCACGTTCTCGTGAGTCAACTCGATATCAAAGCGCACCGAGTTACCTTCTTTGATTGTTTGGTCCTTAAGTTGCTGCACAAATTTGAGCCTCATGCCTGGAATACAGCAGGTCAGTGCACACAGACAGGAGCGTTTGACGCCATCCAACACTTTGAAGCCACAAACATAGAATGAGCACATAGAGGAGACATGAAGCACGGCCGTTCTTACCTTCCACCGTCAGCTGAGCCGTTGACCTTTTGTCCAATACCTCTATCGAATACTGAGACTCATCATCAAACTCACAGCTGTTTACAATCAGCATGTGTTTCTTTCCATCGTCAATTATTTCATATTTGGGGCTGGGGGTGATGATTTCCACCCCCTTAAACCACATGACCTTTGGCACATCCTTAGTGATGGTGCATTCAAACTTAGCCTGTTTCTTTTCAGGCACAGACACATCCTTCAGCGTTTCAACAAAGCCCATTTCGATCTCTGGGAGATGCGAATAATTTAGCCATTATTGACAAAAGCAAAACACAGACAGTTTTTCAGCAGTGCCTCCATTCCACAAGACAAATAGATGCAGGGACTTAAAACAAACAGACAAACCAAGTCAGCGTGTTTGAAACAGGTTTGTACCTTTAACAGTGAGCATGGCACTGGTCACAGCATTCAGAGCCTGGTACGACACTTCTCCAGCCTGATCCAGCTGCACATTCTTCAGTGTCAGGAAGCGTTTTCCGGCCTCTGCTTTAATATCACATGTCTGAGAAAGAAAGTAGGTACATCAAAGATCCTGGATAACTTCTTATTGAAAGCAACAATATAATCTTTTCCAAATAACGTACCGGAGACCTGGTCAACACCTGGCCTCTGAGTTTCCATTCGCCAGGAATATCATGCTCAGATATTTCAGTATTGAAGTGAGCTTCCTCCTTCTCAACCACCTCAACACTGGCAAGAGGTTTCAGGATCTCAGCTTCACGCTCTGAAAATGTAGAAGTTTTTTAAATATTCAACAAAACCGTTCACTCACAACTTTCAAGCTGTTCGAATGTTGATTCCGTGAACAGACCTCCCAGTGTGAGTTTGGCTGTGTATCTTCGATTTTCAACTTCGATGGTGTAATCTGACACATCGTCAGGCTGGCAGTTGTTGATGGTGAGATTCATGTCCTTTCCATCTTTGTTGATCTCAACTTTGTCAGAAGGAGCGAGTTCGTTCTCGCCTTTGTACCATTTCCAATTGGGAGTGTCTTTGAACAGCTCGCATTTGAATGTGGCCTTGGACTTTGGTTTCACATGCTGGTCCCTCAGAGGCTTTACCAGCCAGTCTTTGACGATTTCTGCAGAGGGAAGGGTCACATTATAGGGAGATAGGTCAGACTTAAAAACTCACCATCAAAGAAAATGATTTCTATGACATTTTTAGCATGTATTGCAGAGACTTGAACATATTTTCAGACAACCATGTTGTTTGTCTTGTATGTCCAATTTTTAAAATCATCTGGAATAATTACTGCCATTCCTTGGTATGCTGACGACGTCCAGGTTTGCTGTGTGAAACCTGAAAAAACACTAATTATTCACAGAAGTTAAAGCTCTGACTTGGAAAGTTTAGTAACCTGTTTGACCTGTAATTTCAAATATTAAATTCAGGAAACAAAGAGGGCATTTTTATCTTTAAAACTACAAAGAATGGTTGAAATACATTGTTTTCTATTTTAGTGGCTCTAGGATTAGTTTTTATCGAGATTTGTCTTTCATTCACAGACAAGCGACTAAAGTTACTTTTCCTTCCTTTGGATACCAAATGGTTCTTGCATTTTCCCTACATTCAATTTGTATGGAGATAACTCTGGTAGAGATCTGGTAATGAATGGAGCAAACTTTCCAGTAATACTGAGTACTAAGAACTGGAGGTTTGTGATTGGTTGATTAGATTTTCTTTTACTTTTTCTGGTTTTAGTCTCTTTATAATCTGTTTTTATGAAGACAGAAATCTCTTTGATTTTGCATGCTTGTTCGTAGGAACTTTTGTCCAATACTTTAACCACCAGTCTCTTACGGTATATGATATAGTTCTCCTACAACTGTCATGTTAGATTACGTCCAAACACAAATCGTCTGATTAGTTTGGTATCAAATTCGTCTTCATTTGTTCTGTTCATGTCTGCAGATTCCTTCATGCTGCTGATACTCACCAATCACTTTGACGTTGGTTGAAGTTTTGACGTCTGCCTGACCATCTACTTCACAGGTGTAGAGGCCTGCGTCCTCATCGGTGGAGTTCTGGATGGTCACAGCGTGCTGCATACCAATCACATTAATGGCTACTTTTCCAGCCTTTTTCTTCAAAAGCTCTCCGTTCCGCTTCCACACCACGTCTCTTTCTTTGTTCAGCTCACAGATCAGGTACATTGGTTGACCTTTCATGCATGAGGTCTCAGGTTCCAGCTCCTTCAGCCATTTTACCGGGAGCTCTGTGGAGAGAGAAAAGTGTCTCCAATACAAAGAGGGCAAGTTCTTCAAACCACCCGAGTCATAACAGGTTTTAGCTTACCCTCAACTATGAGCTTAGCAGTGCAGGTAATCTCCTTTCCAGCATTCTTGGCCACACAGGTGTATTCTCCAGTGTCGGACAGCTGGACATCAATGATGTGCAGCTTCCGATCTTTGCCATCAGAGGTGAACTTGTGCTTGGGACTCTCGCGCAGGTTACTGTCATCCTTCATCCAGGAGGTGACGGCTGTAGAGGGTGTAACCTCACATTCAAACACGGCTGATGAGCCGATGGACTCGGCCTCCTGCAGCACAATGTCTTGAATCTTCTTCACAAACTTCAAAGCCACAGGTTTGAGCTTGAAGCCTGCAAATGGTTCCTCTGGTGGTGTTGGACCTTTTCCACCGGGTTTCATGCCCCGACCCCTTCCACCATCACCAGGAGAGGGAGTTTGTCTTGCTGCAGAATCAGAAATAAAAACTTACTCAATTAGTTTCAGGTATAGGAGTGGATGAAGAACGGAACGAAGCATTTCACACAAAATCATGTTTCAGACATGAAATGTGTTGTAGGTTTAAAGTTCTACTGTTAGAAGAGCACAAAAAATGTCATTAAGACTTAAGATGAAGCAGAACTAATTAGTTTCAGGTATATGAATGGATGAAGAACAAGACCAAACATTTGACACAAAGTCATTTTTCAGACGTAACATAAGTTGTAGGTTTAAATTCCTACTGTTAGAAGAACACAGAAAAGTTCTTGTTAAGACTTAAGATGAAGCAGGATCAGTTATGACAAACAGAATTCAGAGAACAGTCCAAACACAGAACAGATATAACAAAGTCAACAAAAGCACAAAGATAGCAAAAATATTAAAGAAAGTTCACCTAACAGTCAAATTTTATGTATCGTCTTCCCTAAATAAAACAATTTTCCTCTGATTGACCGATTTGCATATGAAGAGAAGTTTAATTTTCAGCCATTTTTCTTGTCATCAGAAAGCGATAATGATTAGACATAATGACTGAGACAAAACACCAAACAGGTTGACAACCACAGACGGAACAAAGACAATCTTTAGCTCATGCAGTTTTTTGCACCGATGAGGTTTTATTATCAATAAAATCCTCACCCCCAAATCCTCTGCCTCTTCCTTTCGAAGGTTCATCACTTGGTTTTCCATCTAAACATAAAACAATAAGACAAGTTTTAAGACCACCTCTTAGATCTCCTATTGGAAAGTACAGTTCCAGGAGATGCCAAGAAGAAAAACATGTAAACATTTCTAAGAACAGACATGGGAATATGAGACGTCAGATGTGAACAGAGACGTGAAAGACCTGGAAGATGAAATGGAAACATAATGGGATAAGATGCTTGAAAGGACATTTGCTTAGACAGCAAAGACAAACAGACAAACATCTGTTCTGCAATTTGGAAGATTGGATATTATGAATGAAAAGATGAAAACAATACAGCAGGTGGGATGACGGACCGACACAACTGACACACACAGATGAATTCATCAGCATGAGATGAAAGAATGGATAAAGTGATCAAAGAAGATGTGATGAGGATTAGATGAGAGATCTGGGATGGGATGAAGGGGCTCCAGGATCAGCTGGAAGAGTTCGCTCATCTCACCTCGTCTGGCACCAGGCATACCCGGAGTCTCAACGGCCCCATCTACCTCTTCACCTTCCCAGTCCTCTGAAGGAACAAGATCCCAGCCCCAGGATTCCTCCTCAACCTCGCCTTCTTCAGGCTCATTTTCAAAGACCTCCTCCTCAGGCTGAGTTGTCACCCTCTTCATTTGCACAGCGCCAGGAGAAATCTCCTTCGAAAGGAGGATCCGACCTTTATCAGGCTTTTCTGATTCTGAGATCTCTTCCACTGATGGCTTCTTGGGAACTTTTTTGAGTGTTATGGCTTCAACTGAGTCTTTGGGGGAAACAGCTTTTGGCTCTTTGGCTTTTTCAGAACTTGGCTTTCTCTCAGCTGGAACTTTCTCTAAGTCTTTCTGCTTTTCCGCCTTAGACGGTGGAGTCTTTTTCAGCTCAATCTTCTTCGGCTCATCAACAGGCTGTGTGGGCTTTTTGTCTTCTGCTTTCTCTGTACTGACCATGGGAGAAGGAGTCTTTTTGAGGTCAACATCTTTCTTTGACACATCAGATGGTTTTGCTGGGACCTTCTCTGCTTCAGGAGGTGAGATCTTCTCTTTAAGACCTGTAGGACTTGATTTCTTGGCTGGAACAGACGGTTCCTCCTTATTCACAGGTTTCTGTTTCTCTGTATCCTTCATGTCTTTGGTTGTCTTGTCTGGCATCTTTGTGTCTACGGGCTTCTTTAGCTGTTCATCAGGGACTTTTTCTGGCTTAGTGAAAGGCTTCAACACAACCTGCTCTTCCTTTACCTCTGGTTTGGGAATGACTTTAGGTTTAACTTTAGGTTTATCAGATGCTGTAGTTTCTTCATCCTTAGGAACTTGATCATCTTTTGTCTTTTGTAGCAGTTCAGGTTGGGACTTGGTAATATCTGGACTTGTGTCAGACCTTGTCAAAGAAACATCTTTGTCGTCTTTGCTTTTCAGATCTGATGCAGGTTGATCTTTGAGCAACATCTCACCCAATCTAAAAGGAGAGCGCTCAGTATCTATCTTTGCCTGACCTCCATCTGCAGTCTTTGCTTGTTCAGAAGCTTCTTGTTTTGTGGGTTTTTCAAAAGGCTTCAATGTCACAACTTCTGGTTCTTCATCTTTCTTTGGTAATCTCTTGATTTTCTTCTTCGATGACTCTGGCTCAGCATCTCCTTCCTCTGGGGCCTTTGTGGTTCTGGTCCACTTAGATTTCTCTTCTTCCTCTGGCTGTTGAGGTGTTTCTGTTTGACCAGCTTTAGATGGCTCCTCTGCAGGAACGGAGACCCTTTCAGGTTTTCCAAGTGGGATTATCTCTCGATCTTCTCTCTCTTGAGGCTTCTGGACTCTCGGTTCTGTGTCACGTTGTTTTGTAATTTCAGTTTTATCCTTTGAAATGTCTTTTTCAAGTTCTTTGGGTTTACTTGGAACCTGTTTCAGTTTGATCTGCTCTTGCTCTTGTTGCAACTTTCCAGGCTTTTCAAATGGTTTTAGTTTCACAGATTCTTGTTGCTCCTCCGTCTTCGGTAGTTTCTTTATTTTCTTCTTATCTACACTGGGAGCCTCGGGTTCCTCTTCTTTCTTGGGTTTTGTGGTTCTTGTCCAACCTTCTTTCTCTGTTGTCTGGACAATTTTAATAGTTTCAGTCTCCTCAATTTGACTCAGTTGAATTGTTCCCTGTTCTGCTGTAAAGACTCGCTCAGTTCTTCCAACGGTTATGGTCTCCCGCTCTTCTCTGTCATAAAGTCCCTTCACTGATAGTTCAGGATCTTGATGTCTTATCACTTCTGCTTCATGAGTTACGACCTGTTTCTCGGGTTCTGGAGGTTTGACCGGAACCTTCTTCAACTGAATGCTCTCCATTTCTGGCTCTTTCTCTTTGGGTTTTATGGTAATTTTACTCTTGAGTTTAGGAACTTCAGTAGTTTTCTCCTTCTCAATGGGAATTTTACCCTTTTGCTTAAGAGTTGGCACTGTGATTGAGGGAGTAAAAACATCTTTTATGACACATTTAAACATGTAAAAACATCCTTTGGATGAGACATTTGTTTTTTTGACAACACAAAAATCACACGTCACAACAAGGATTATTTTTAAAGGTTTATGATTAAAATCTTTAAAATAACTAGTTGAGTGGTTTTACTGTTAAGAGAAATTCACTTTTTATACCTTTAGTTGGTCCAGGAGCTGAAACTGGTCCCTTGTCTGTAAAAATTTAAACAAGACCAATTATAAACAAACACTGAACAAACAAAAGCCACATTTAAAGCCAAAGACAGAAGAAAAAAAAACAATCTCAGATTTGCTCCATTGAAGATCCTTTTTTGCTGTAATATGAATGAATTTTGGAACTCTTTAATACATGCGTTGGTCTCGTAAGACAGATATTTATGACGGGAAAGACTGTGAAATAGTTGTGCAGACAACATCACACAGTAAAGACATCAAGTTAAACAAAACAAACAATAACATTTTCAGAATCAAAAAAGGAAAAAGTCAAACACAGATAAAGGAAGATGAAGAAAAGAACTTTTACCTTCAGGTGGAGAAATTCTTTCTGAAACGGTGGTAGGTTCAGCCTTTACACTGGGCTTCTTCTCCACTGGTGCAACTGGAGCTACAAGAACGCCAACTGGGTTAAATCACTGACAATGATCCACTCAACAAACAACAACTGAATGAAACAGACAGTCTGAAAGATGTCACTGCTGCTATGACCAACAGATTTGACTTTGGATCAACAGAGATGGAGATAAGAATGACAAACAGAAGAAACTACCTTCTGGAGAAACTACTTTTTCTGCTGGTTGTTCTCTTGATATTGGAGAGGGTTTCTTTTCTTCTGGAGGAGACACTTGAGAGTACAACATACAACAAAAAAACGTAAAGACCAACATAACAAAAGATGCAAAGGTGACAACACTTTACAAAAACTGACATATCAAGAGTTAAGAAAACAACTCAGAGACCCAAGACCGAATAAGCTACCTGTAGGAGGAGCAACGTTGGGTGAAGGAGCTGCTGGTACAGATACGGATGGCTTCTTCTCCTCTGGAGGAAATAATAAATAAGATGCAAGATCATGACCAGGACAATAGCAAGGCCATAAGGACACTGACAAAAGCAGTGAAAAGTTGTATAAGATAAGACAACAAATGCAATGAAACCAAAGAAAAACAGGAGTCTTGTTTATCCTCCAACCAAGAAACGAATCAGACACAGAAAAAAGCTGACAACATAAAATATTAAGAGACAAAAAATCTACCTGAAACTTTTTGAGGAGGAACTGAGGGCTTTGGCTCTGGTGATGGTTTCTTCCCCTCTGGGGAGATAATTTGGGATTACATCATCATAATGAAAATACCATTAAGATAGTAAAGAAAGTACTGCAACCACTAAAAACATAAAACAATACAATAGTTAAGAGACAGCGTCAACACCATTTATAAAAAGACAAACATGGATGACCCTTCAAGTCAGCAAAGAAGATGAACACTCAAACCAATCAGACTACCTGCAGAAGGAGTAACTTTCTGAGGTGGAGCAGGAGGTGAAGGCTTTGGTTCTGGTGCAGAAGGTTTCTTCTCCTCTGAAGGAGATAATTTGGGAGTAGACCCATTATGATCAAGAAAACACGAAGCCTGGAAAGCATGTACTGGCACAACTTAAAACACGACAATCCAAAGACATGTCAAGAGATGGTATCAACATAAATGGACATAAAGACAAACATGGCTGACTCGTGATGTCAACAAGAATGAAGACTTCAATAAATCAGACTACCTGCAGGAGGAGTAGCTTTTTGAGGTGTAGGAAGTGAAGGTTTTGGTTCTGGTGCAGAAGGTTTCTTCTCCTCTGAAGGAGATAGTTTGGGAATACACCCGAGTCATCGTTAAGAAAACGTTTGGAAAGCACAAACTGGCACAACTTAAACTCGACAAGTGGAGCACATATTAGGAGATGGTATCAACATAAATGGACATAAAGACAAACATGGCTGACTCATGAATGCCAGCAAGAAAAATTAATACATGAAGAAATTAGACTACCTGCAGAAGGAGTAACTTTCTGAGGTGTAGGAAGTGAAGGCTTTGCTTCTGGTGCAGAAGGTTTCTTCTCTTCTGGAGTAGATAATTTGGGAAAACACCCATTATGATCAAGCAAACACTAAGCTTGTAAAGAACGCTCCTGCACAACTCAAAACTTGATAATCCGTGGGGATATTGAGCCATGGTTTCAACATAAAGGGACATAAAAACAAACATGGCTGACTCATGAATGCCAGCAAGAAAAAGAAACACATGGATCAAGAACTACCTGTAGGAAGAGTAACTTTAGGAGGAGGAGGAGGGGAGGGCTTTGGTTCTGGTGCAGAAGGTTTCTTCTCCTCTGGAGAAACAATTTGGGAAAGTCATGATCATCACGATCAAGAAAACATTAAGCTTGGCCATCATCAAACAGGTTAAGAGATGGCATCAACACAACTGGACATACAGACAAACATGGCTGACTCATGGATGCCAGCAAGAAACACATAAATCAAGCACTACCTGCTGGAGCAGTGACTTTAGGAGGAGGAGGATGTTTAGGCATTGGTTCTGGTTCAGAAGGTTTCTTCTCCTCTGAAGGTGATAATTTTGGAATATGACCAAATCATGTTCAAGAAAACACTAAGCTTATACAAGCACATACAAGACAAACACGGCTGACTCATAAATGCCAGCAAGAAAATGAAACATATGAACCAATTGAACTACCTGCAGGAGGAGTAACTTTTGGAGGATATGAAGGCTTTGGTGCTGGTGCAGAAGGTTTCTTCACTTCAGGAGGCGACACTTTGAAATGAAAGATACCAAGATCACAACGACATTCACTGAGGGCTGAGACAAGAAGCTGGTGCAGATATTAGATAGTCCAATCTGCACCAACAAGAATGTGTAAAATGAAAAACTAAAGATTTAAACAAAAAAGAGTTTTTTCTAAGACATACATTCTAATCAATACAAAAAACAAGACACACACACAAAAACAAGACACACAAACAAACTAATCTACTCTTTTCAAGGTTAGATCAGTGTAACAGGTTCCCTGTTCCAATCTTATGCTGGAATGGGTTAAATATAACAAATGTGTTCAAGAGTTTGATCTTAAGCGATCATATTTACAAGAATACCTTTCTCAAGAGGTTGTAGAGTCTTCAATGTAAGGTTTTCCTCTTTCATATCTTCTCTTCTTTGAGTTTTTCTTTCAGTGGTTGTAGCTCCTTCTGAATAATCAGTCTGAAAAAAGATTTCTTTTGATTTTGGATGCGACGGCTTTGTAGCTGAGAGACTTTGATGCTCAGGGACTCGAGATGTCTTCAGCGGTCCAGCTTGAGATTTCTCAGCTTGGATCACGGTTTCTGTTGGTACTTTCTCTTTAGAGTCAACAGCAACTTCGGAAAGAGATTCATGATATTTCTTTGTAATTTCTTCCTTGGTTTCTAGATGCTTCGCTGAGACAAAAGTGTCTTTTCTAAGCTCTGTAGCTGAATAAAAGCTAGGCTTCAGTTCTTTTTTGTCTTGAGTTTTCTTGAAAGAGTCTTTCATATATAAAACTTCATCTTTAACTAGAGAAACGTCTATGTTTGTTGGAGTAGCTACAGGATGCGTTCTTGGCTCTTTTGATGAAAGCTCAGCTTCAGGTAGAGGTGGGGAAACTGAGATCACAGATTCAATTTTCATTTCTCTTGAAACCTTAACGTCTTCCAGTTTTTCATACTCATATTCTTCAGTGTACCTCAAATATTTAGACTCTGTCACTTCATGATCTTCTCTGAACCTTGCAGGAACTTCTGTTTTCTCCATTTGTTCTTCCCTCTGGTATAAACTTCTGTCATCTCTTACAACTGACTCCTCGTGTTTTAATCTTCTTTCAGATCTTTGAACTTCTTGCTTGAGTTCAGCAGTTGTTGGACTGAAACTTTCTTCAGGAACAAACCTCTTAATGTCTTCAGGCACAACTGTTTGTTGTTTTAGGTCTTTCTCCAAACGAACTGAGATATTTTTGGAGACATCACCCAAGATTGAAGAAATGCACCATGAAGCGGTGGCCAAGAACCAAACATATAAAAAAAGATCGGGACAGAAACACATAGATATTAGTATATTAATATCTAAATGTGCATTTACACTAAAGTCTAATAAGTAATCTGTTAAGATTCTAAAGCATTTTTTATCGTCTTTGGTTACTGTTCACATCTTATACTTTGGTGTGGTTAGCTTTTTTTGATAACTTCCATGAGCTTTACAGACATGACAAAGATGAAAAAATAAGAAATTTAACAAACTTCTGACAAGAAATCTTAAGATAACAGATTAGAAGATCAAGATGAGTAAAGATTAGTTGATCAGATCTTTGAAACCGTCAAGTAGACATATCTACCTTGTTGTTGAGGTTTTTCAACCTTCTCTTGTTGCTGTGGGGTCTTCACTATCTCAACCTGTGGAGCTTCTGTTTTTCTCTTTAGGTCTGATGGTGGCTCCTTAAACTTTATTTCCTCCATAACCTTCTTTGGTGTTTCAGGAACTTTTTTGGAAATGGTCAAAATCTTCTCTGGTTCCTGTAAAGCTTTCTTTTCTTTTGGTTTTTCTGGAATCATCTTTTGTGTTTCTGGAACCCTTTTGGGAAGCTCTTGACCCCATTTTATCTCCTCTTCTGACTCTTCTGGGAACTTGGATGGTGCTTCGGAAACCACCTTTGATGATTCAGTAATCATCTTTGCTTTATCTGGAACCTTTTTGGGAACGTCTTGACCCCTCTTTATTTTTTCTTCTGACTTTTCTGGAACTTTGCCTGGCGCTTCAGAAACCACCTTTGGTGATTCAGTAATCATTTTAGTTTTTTCTTGAATCTTTTTCTGTGTTTCTGGAACCATTTTGGTTGCATCAGGGAACCTCTCAATTTCTCCTGGCATTTTGGCTTCATCAAACTTGATGACCTTCTCCACGTCTTCATAAGCCATCTTAGTTTTTTCTCCAAGCTTTGGTTCTTCTTGTGTCTGAGGGGTAAACTTGAGTACCTCTGGCTCACTCTTGGCAACCAATGGGGTTGGTTTTCCAGTAACTTCAAGCTCCTTCCTTTCTGAGGCAACTTAGAAGAACAGTGATTACAAGATAAACGTTTTAAAGAGTTTAAGTCACACTCTTACGAGTGCTAAGCATTTTGAAAGATTGTGTATTCCAGAGAAACTACCATAAAAGAGATTAAAAGACAAAACCAGCAGATCATTTAATAAGCAGTTTGTTATATGACCTCTGCAGTACCTTTAACCGGAGCAGCTTCAGTCCAGACTGGAAGGATTTTAGATTCAGGTGTTTGGACGACTGCTTTCTCTGGTCTGGTTACATCTTTTACTTAAAGAACATTTGTCTTGGTTAGTACACAGGTAACAATCAAGCCAATCAAAGATTACACTCTAAGCGAGTGAATTCAAAGACCTAAATACAAGAGGAGATAACAGCAGAAGAAAAGGTCAGAGATGAATACCTTCAGCTGGTCGGCGTTCTGGTGCTGATGGTGTAACCACAGCTGCTGATGGTTGGACTAAAGGTTCTCCTGCCTTTGGTAGCTCTGGTGCTTTAAAGAACATTTAAATAACAGATTTAAAGGCTGTAGTGCACTCTGTTATGTGCAGTAACACAAACAAACAGGACAACCAGTTTCACAAAATAAGATTCCCATCTCAAGACATTTATAAGAAATTCAAACTGGACAAACATTGTGGTTCCAGTACCTCTTGGTAAGATCTCCTCAGTCTTTGGAGGAGCAATCCTCTCAGCGACTGGATGGACTTCGGCCTCCACTGGTTTGGTTACAACTGGGACTTTGGAGAACATTAAAAATATTCCCATCTTTACACAGAGTTAATTATAAAAGTTTTGTTCACACCAAGAAGAGAGTGTTTCAAAGAGAGAAAGAGGATTTGAAATCTGAAAACCCATGTGAGGACAAGACTGGAGAAGTTGTTAAAGATCTAATCAAGAGGTTAGCAGCAAATAACATCCAACACAAAATCATGTTAAGAGCATTATGAAAATAAAACAAGACCTGGGTTACGTGGTTTTTCAGCTCGAACATTCACTCCTTTACCTCTCGGTTCAGGAACTGCAGGAGTTTTCTTGGCGGGTTTTACTTCTGGTGCTTCGGTCACTTTAGGTTCAGGTACTTCTGGTTTCTGAAACTGTCGTTTTGGTTCTGGAGGAACCTTTTCCAATTCTTTTGGCTTGAGTTCGGGCTTTGGTTCGGTGAATACTTCAGATTTAACAAAGAAACACTTGAGTCACAAAAAATACCCAAGAGTTCAAAGAGTGAAGAAAGTAAAAGACAACTGATCAAGCACATGAAATATAGACAGACATAAACAGTTGACTGATGGACCGGCATCAAGATCTCAATGCTCTTCAAGCACCGGAAGAACGAACAATGAATAAATGTATTCAAAGAGCCAACAAGAAAATCATCCAAAAGTATGGCTTGTTTAACTTATAGAAATTAAATATGTCAGTTATTCCAAAACTGCTGGAAGTCATTAACTTAAGAAATCCCATATATTTAACCATCATGTCTATAATTATTGGGTTTAAAATGTGCTGTGTTGAAGTGCTTTTGGTGCTAGAATTAAAAAGTATTCAGAGCCATTTTGATCTGGAACATGAAGAATTTGAGCCAATAAAGACTCACTTTATAAGAACATGCAGTCATAAACATTACCTTGTGGGACTGTGGGTTCTTCTCGCTGAGGAGTTGTGAAAGTATCAGGCCGTTGCTTCTTTACCTCAGGTTCTTTAAAACATTATTATGAAGTTCAGTTTTCTGACCACAGCAAACACCAACAAGATTTCTTTCACGTACACACAAACAATTAAAGAAGTCTGATAAACCAACAACATAGAACAGAAATGAGATATGACAATGATGAATAAAGAGTTTGGTATTTACAGATACCTGTGACGGCAGGTGGCTGTGGAGCTGCGCGCTCTGAGGGTTTCTCTTCTGGCTTCCTGTAAATCTCATGAACTTTAAAAGATCAAGAAAGTTCGGATTAAAAGCCAGACAGTTAGGTTGAGCAGTCTGCTTTCTGCTTCAGTCTGGGTTAATAAGAGCATAAGAGAAGAAGCGTGTGAAGAAGAACAAAACATTAATAAGAGGAGACAAAACACAGACTAAAGATCTACCACGAACACCACAGACCACCTGTTAAAACTATAGTTAAGATCTAGAAAAGAAGAAAAGCCTCTACAAGCAGCAGCAGAGATTAATAAGGTGAAGAGGCGAATATGGAGGTTAGCGGATTTTGATGTGATTTTTTGGTTCAGCCAGAGCTCTAGGAGCGTTGCAGAATAGCTTTAAAGCTGTTATACCTGAAGTGATTTCCTCTCTGACTTCAGTACGGCCAATAAATTCTTCCACAGCTTTTTTCTCTTCTGGCAGAGGAGAAAAGGGAACTTAGACAGAAAACAAGACCTGACTGTAGCACTGCTTTAATAACAAGGTGACATTAATGATCAAGAAGTCAACAGAGTAACAAACTGGCATGACACATGAAGACCAGAACCAGTTTGAAACAGACAGACTGTGAGGAGACGGCTGACGTATAAATAAAGGAGTGAACGACGCTGATACCTGAGACGGAGGAGAACCGAACCGAAACCGTTTCTTCTTCAACCGTCAGACTCTTAAACTCTACAGGAAACCATTAAATGATAATCAGATCACAGGTTCATTCACTGAGACGTTTCTGTGCAGATAAGGACCATGACAACATTTTTCTGGACTAATTTAAATGTTTTTTTGCATTTATGATTCAAATTTTGGTTTATGATAGTTTTGAATAGTCCCTATAAATACATAAAAAAATCACAGAATTTATTTTAATGTTTGACCTCAAATTACTACGTTTATGAATCCAAATGTATGTAATAACAATACTTGATATTTGCAGATTTTTTAACTCAGCCATGATCCTCCTCTATAAAACAGATTGTTCTCAGTTGAATTTGAGATATTTATCTATTTATTTATTTGCGAGTTAAAATTTATTCCACGGCACTTCAGACATGAGGATGTAGTGAAATAGTTAATGTTCTGGGAGTTTATCAGGATCACACTGTTATTTGGGATGAAAGTTAAAGGATGGAGATGACGATGATTTTGATGATTAAATGTAACGATGAAATGTTTTCATGGACATGATGAAGGTTTATAGATTCATTGTTGTACCTTTGACTTCAGATCGTTCCTCGTGGTGATAAAATTCGGAGGATTCTTTTGACAGAAAGAAAAGGTGAATGAAGGAGATGAAACAGACGCGAAGTGAAAAATGTTCCTCTTTGTCCCAGACTCACCTTGGGAAATAATCATGGAGCCCATGTCTGGGAGCTGAACTGACAAATCTGGGATGTCTGAAGGTGCATTTATGAAAGCGTGATTAAATTTCAAATTAACTTAAATTTATTTTTTTAAATGTGGGAGGACACATTTTTCCATACCACTATGTAACCAGAAAGAAATGTTTGTACATTATTAGATTTACCAAGATACAAGCTGAGAAAATAAACTTGAGTTTATTTTGAAACGACTCACCCTGAGGAACCTTTCCTAACCCAACGTCTGTGAAAAAATAGGATGCAATTAGATCTGTGAATGGGTGTAAATGTCTCTGATTGCTGCTGTGGGCTGAAACAACAGACCTTTGCCTGAGAGGTAAAGCTCGGCGGTGCTTCGAGCTTCTCCCATTGGCTCCAGGCGAGCGATCACGGAGTAAACGCCTGGCAGGTGAAGACAGTATTGTTCTGTTTTACTCCATAATTAAGGTTCAAACAATTTTGGTTTAATGCTGCGTAGAGATTGCGTTCTTTCTACAGTTTTTTGAAACATAGTTCAATAAGAACTCTTGTCTGTGATTGAGGAGGTATGAACAGAAGAAACTTCTGTATTTCTGTTTGTCAGAAACGTTCCTCCAGAGGAAAAAGAAGGTAAATCTTTTTGACAAACCTTCGTCCTCTGCTGTCACGTTGCGGATCGTCATAAAGTGCCGTCGGCCTTCTGTCTTGAAGTTATATTTGGGGCTTTCTTTGAGCTCCCACGAGTCTTTGTACCACGTAACGGCTGCGTTGTCAAAGGACAACTCACATTCGAAGGTGGCGGAGTGACGTTCGCTGACTTCGATGTTTCGGATGCGTTTAGTAAACTGAATTTGGTCAGCTAAAATCAGACAATTAAAGATGACATTTAATTTTAAAGAGTTGCGTTTTGTCTGAAGTTATCAAAGTGTCACATTTGATCTCGTCTTCTTTAAAGGAACAGACAACACAGAAAGAAAAACTGCAGGACATTCGGCAGATTTAAAGAGGTTAGTCTGGTTGTGTTTGACTCACCTGGTTTGTAATCCGTTCCTGATGAGGAAATAAAGTATCGGCGCATGAGGACACACTACACACACATAGAAGGGGCTCCAGCAAGGAGAGGACATGGAAAACACTCTTACCTGTTACGGTGAGTTTGGCGTTGGAGATGTGAGGACCACACACCACACGGAAGTTCCCCTGATCTTTGACCTGGCAGTTCTTAATCTTCAGATAGTGGCGGTGGCCTACACTGCTGATCTCGTATTTATCACTGTTCTCCAGTTTCTGCGTTCCCTTGTACCAGGTCAGAGAGATCTCTGGGTAGTTGATCTGGATCTCGCACTGAAACGTTGCTGTTTGGTTCTCTGTGGTTGTCTGGTCAGAGATGTCTTCCATCACAGACACAGGCTAAGGACAAAAACATCAATTATGATCATTTCTATAGCTGGAAACAGCTGTGTTACTACAAACAGCCATTTGTTCTCAAATACGTTTTGGCGTTTACCTCCGTGTCGACACGTCCCTCCAGCTGCTGGATTAGTCTGGCCATGTCTTCCTCTTCAACCCGACCACCATGTTCCACCTCCTGCCACAGGGTATAAGGCAACACCTTCACAATCTTTCAGTAATCAATACCAAAGATATGCAACATCCCAGTTTATCTTGTTGGTACAAAAATAATTCCCCACATTAGCAACAACAGTTTTATCAGCTGAAACTGTTGTGAAATGTAGATACCCTGAGTGGCACAGATACTGTCGGTCCCGTCTCCTGACTGCTAACATATGAAACAGATAATCACCTATATAGGATTGTCATAATATTTTTCCTGACAGGTGCAAAATCCTTTAAGCTGAACCTTAACAAATAATAAATATCTTTTAGAATTGTTGTTGAAAGGTTGTTAAACTGATAATATGGGTAAAAGATGGAGCAGATTTGTCCCTCAAATCTGTACTTTTACAATCAGTTAATCAGTTTTCCCCAGTACCGCTTTTCCAGTTTCCATCTCCTTCTCCCTCTTCAGGAACTCCACAGCCTGCAGGATGGCCCTGTAGTCATGGATCCCATGTTCAGTGAGGATCCTCTCATAGTCTTTAGGGTCATGACCTCTGAGCAAGTCAACAATACTGATGTTTTCAAGTTTCTTTGGGCTCTTTTGCTTGGAGGGAGTTCTGAAAATATCATACATGAAGTCATTGAGCAGGTAGAGACATTTGTTCCATTAAAAGAATTCAAAGTCGGGTGGAATATAGAAATGAACTTGTATTACTTCTTGAGTTTTGTTCTGATATCTCCCATTCCGTCCCCTTCATCCTTTTTGGTGACTTCTATGTCAGCGCTGGACTCGATCTCTCCATGTTTGTTCGTGGCGACACACCTGTAGAGACCAGAGTCGGACTTTGTCACCTCTCTGATCTCCAGTTTGGCATCCTGGCCCTTGTGCTCGATGGAGATACGACCACCAGCGGTGATCTGTCTCCATTTGCCCTTCATCCACTTCACGCTGGGGATTGGATCACCCCCAATCTTGGCAATGAAGGTTGCAGTGCCCTCTGAGGAGAAGCAAATGTAAAGAAATAAGTAAAGCCTTACCTTCAAATGGGAATGTTTAGAGGAAGAAGAGGAATGCTGTCCCTACTCTCTGTGACTGAAATGTTTTTGGGTTCTTCAATGAAGAAAAGGTTGTCAAGTCGTTTGACTGGGGCAGCTGCAGCGGGGGTCGGTGCCTGGGTGGGCGAAGGCTTGGCTCCTTTATCTGAAGATACATGGAAACCAAACTGAGGCAGTGAGTGGAAAGTTACTTTAACAGTTTGAGTCTCTGGTTTTTATTAGGGTGGACACCTATCAAGACTACAACATTAATAGATTCAAATATGATGGTTAGTTTTTCGTCAAACCTTTGACTTGTTTACTTTTTACAGAAAGTTCAACTGCTTACCCTTCACAGTGACCTTGGACTTGCAGAAGTCAGTACCAGCTGCATTGCTGGCTTTGCACAGATAATCTCCTGCATCTGCCTTTGATGCAGAGCTGACCTCAAGGGAGGCCGTCCCACCGACAAATGTGATTTTGGTTTTATCACTGGACTTCAGCTCCCTCCTGTCCTTCATCCACTGGATGTTCAGAGGAGACGAGCCTCTAACGTGGCATTTGAGGCTCAACTTCTCCCCTTCGTTCACTGTGACCGGTTCCAGAGGGACGTCAAATTTAGGAGGCTGACCAGTTTCTGAAGGTGAAAAAGAGGCTAAATAAATGAAGATACTTGCCTAAAACATAATAACATAAGGACGAATACTTTTTACATCTTTTACAGTATTTGTTAAAATTAAAATAGACGACAAAAGAGGTGGTGCTCAGAAAGCCTGTGTTGTTCTGACTGTGGCCTTCCGGTCATCTGTAATGTTGGGTCTGCTGTCTCTCATCTTTCTTGTGACGGTAGTACATAGATCCTCTATGTACCAAAGCAGCACAGTATCTCATGAAGCTCATGACTTTGGTATTTCTGTTTGTGCTGGCTCTTGAGGGTTTTACTGCAGTTTTAGGTCACACCTTGTGAATAACTCTTGAATGGACTGTTCATCCCAATCCTGTACAGGCTGCAGATATTTATGTATTTCGTGTACCTGTTGTCTATATTTTTTTCTTCCACTAAACTTTCCATTTATATGCTTGGATATAGCCCTCTTTGAATAGACAATGTCACCGTTTGTGACTTACCTCATTGTGGAGAGAGTTAATAAAAAATACTTTTATTCATCTTCTGAGAAACTGGTTTTGTTTTTTATTACCTGCAAGTCATAACCATCAAAACATGCTGAAATAAATGCTTAAAATAAATGAGCTTGACCTTTTAAGTGGAAAAGAACAATCTTTTTGAGGACACTCTAAGATAAATTTGTATGATAGGGTATGTTACTGAAGGCTAGCCTTCCTTTTAGGAGACAAAGGAATTCTCATACAGAACAATTTCGATTTGCCAGACTAATGGATTTATCTAAACCAAAGAACCGTTAATTCACATCAGAAAACTCTGCACAGCATTCATCCAATCTGGTAAAGGTCATTTTAGGGTTGCACTCCCTACCTGAAACTGTGAGGGACACCTGACATGACACTTTCCCTGCTTCGTTGGAAGCCTGACAGGTGTAAACACTGCTGTCAGAAACCGCAGAGTCTCTGATACACAGCACAGCCATGTTGTTCTTGAAGCTGATGTCATATTTTCCAGAGGCAAAGATCTCTTGGTTGTCCTTGTACCAGGTGACGGTCAATGGCTGGGAACCGGACACCCGAGCCTCCATCTTTACTACCTTACCAGCTGAATCCACGATGGACTCAGACGGCCTCTTAGTGAAGTTTGGAGGTACTTTACGTTCTGTGGGGGATAAAGTTCAGAAAATCAGGTCATGTTGGGAGAGTAAGCAAGTCATTTAACATTTATTCTTCTTTGGGCCACTGGGCCTTTACCACAGCGTTGGAAAATAAAATCTACCATAGATGACAAGACAACAGGAGCACAAATTGTGACATAAATGCAACAGAAATGAACAATATTCACCCTGTGAACGAACTAACCATAACTTATCCACAAAAGTAGACATGTTTCTGACAGTAACTCTGTGACATCATGTCTGATTCCAAGCCTGCCTTGCACAGAACCAACCAGCCGAAAATCCGACAATGACAACATTCAGCGTCTCTGACGATACAAAGTGCACGGAGTGTTACCCATAAATCCACAGGAATCGACTGGACTGCATGTTAGTAGCAGTTACAGTAAACAAAGAGATGAGATGACATGTGTTGGTTAGTGGGTTACCTATTTTAACATGAGCGTGACATGTGTCAGTTCCTTCTGCATTGGAAATTTCACAAGTGTATTTCCCTGCAGCAGCGATTCTGTCGTTGTTGAGGACTTCCAGAGCGCATGATGAGTTTGTAGTTTTCACGTTGTATAGGTAAGAGGCCCAGATAAGCTTGTCATCTTTCTTCCATGTGACGTGAACCCTTTGGCTTCCGGTGAAGGTGCAATCCAGTCTCAAGGGGTTGCCCAAATGATGAGTGACGTCCTCTAGTTTCTTTGTAAACCGAACAGGTTCTGAGAGAAGCAATGTTGCAATCAATCTTAGACACCTCAAAGACTATATAGCATGTGCCTGTGCACATCTGTGGATCTTTGGATTTGCATAAACTATTAATGTGTTTGAGGAAGCTTTGGCTCATGGGCTCGACGCACGGGGAGCGACAAATGAGTTTTGGGCCATTGGGAATAAACCCGACACACAAGACGCGATAGCAATGGAACATGATACCGGTGGGACGCGATACTGACGGGACGCGATAGCAATGCCACAATCACAGCAATGCCAACTTTCTTGGGTGGCATTGCTTTTCCGCGTATGCACAACTTTGTATGCAAACTTTAAATTTCATATGCACAAAGTTTGCCAGTTGCTCGTCTGGCTGAGGAAAAGTTACATAGGAAATTAATGAAGATGGAGTGAAGTCGCTCCCAGGGTGTCGAGCCCTTAAATTTGGATTTCTCAATTTTTAGAGTATTATTAGTGGTTAACAAGAGGAGCTATTTAGTTCATGCATAGAATTAATAATGTGAAATGTGAGTGATGTATTGCTGGTTATTGTTACCTAGTTTGACATAAGCATGGCAGATATCTGAGCCTTCACTGTTGGAAATTTCGCACGTGTATCTCCCACGAGCCTCTTCTCTGTCGCTGTTGAGAACTTCCAGGACACAACTGCAGTCTGTGGTCTTGACATTGTACTGATAAGAAGCCCAGATCAGTCGCCCATCTTTCCTCCAGGTCACGCTAACCCTCGGACTACCAACGAAGGCAACTCTAAGTGCCAACGGTTGTCCCACTCTGAATGTGGTGTTTTCCAGCTTCCTGATGAAGCGAGCAGCTTCTGTGAGAGGCAGTGATGAGAGTTAGAAGCAAAGGTGATGTGGAGCAAGCCAAAGTTAGAATTACAATTCAAGCATTGAATTAAAATTAAGTAATAAAATTAATTCAACCTTAGATTAAATGAAGGACTAAGTAAAGGCAAACCACCACCCAAGACCAAGTTCTGCTCTACCAGTTTCTGCCCCAAAAGTTATTAGATTTGTCTCAAGAGATTCATTCTTTTTATTACATTCAGCATGCAGACTAGTACCAAACTAAATGACAAATTTCCCATCTATTATCAAAGAGAGGATTATTTAAGGTCTGTGCACAAAAGCTAGAATGTGAGCTAAGTAATGCTTTACAAATAGATTAAATTATTATTGTAATTTTAACTTTGACATTTGACACAATATTGCCAAAAGTATTTGTTTATGCCAAAAGAAAATCATTGGATTCAGATGTTCCAATTATGGCTAACGGTGTAAAAAAGTGTCTAGGCCTAGAAGACCTAGAAGCTTTTTCTAAACATTAAAGAATGGGTCATTCTCAGACACTCAATAAATGTTAGTATGATACTGAACTAGGATGCCACATGTGGAATAAGAGCACTCATGAAATGTGCTAGTCACTAAGTATTCCACAGTAAATACTAATCACTTTCAGAACATGAAAGTGATTAGGAATAATATCAATTTAGCCATAAATTTGTGGGCCACATTAAATATTTAAAATTGTGGTCAATGGATGGAATGGCATCATAGCGTAAAGAGCTTGCTATCTTTTAGTCATCAATAGCTACACACTTCCAAATGTTATGTGACCACCATATTTGTTCAAGAACAGAGCTTCATGGAAATGATTTCCATGGCCCAGATGCTGCAGTCAGGCCTTAAATTACAAATTGCAATGAAAAGCATCAAATGCATCAGTGCAAAGTATTCAGCCACTTTGGTCTACACTGCAGTGTAGCCATGTTTTCAAGGTGAGGAGTCAAGCATCACCATTTAAGTCCAGTAAAGGTAGAAAAACAAATACTTTTGGCATTAAATAATATATTCATTAATCTGTCCATCAGCTCAAGATTAAGTCTGAACTATGATAATCAAGTCTAAAAGTTTGCAGCCTGTGCATCCTATCTGCAAATTCTAAATTTTCCTCAAGATCTAAATTACATGAAACAGGTCATGCAACCCTAACCCATGCAACAGCATCTACTAAAACAGAACTGGTCTTGGAGTAGGACACAATGTCTGCCTCTTCAGCATTAGCAGTTATATGATGATTCTTGTTAGTGTCTTGGATTAGATGAGTTATACCTTTTTTAGTTGTTTTACAAATGACATGAGCATCACAGACAGCAGAGCCCTCAGCATTAGAAACTTGACAAACGTAGAGTCCAGCTGCTTCTTCTCTGTCACTGTTGAGGACTTCCAGAACGCAAGATGAATCTGTGGTTTTGACATTGTATTTGTATGAGGCCCAGATTGGCAAGCCGTCCTTCGTCCAGCTCACATGGACCCGCTGACTCCCAGTGTATGTGCACATCAGAGTCAGCTTATCACCCAGACTGTATGAAGTGTCTTCTAGCTTTTTCACAAAACACACCGGTTCTGAGAGGAGCAACAGTAGTTAGGGTTAGTCATGTCATGGCCTAATCTGTTAGAACTTCAATGAATGTTAAGGGGTGTTACCTAGTCTAACATGAGCATGACAGGAATCAGAACTAGTAGCATTTGATATTTCACAGGAATATTTCCCAGCAGCCTCTTCTCTGTCGCTGTTGAGAACTTCTAGGACACATGAGCTCTTTGTGGTCTTAACGTTGTACTTGTAGGAGGCCCAGATTGGCTTTCCATCCTTTTTCCAGCTCACATACACAGGCTGGCTGCCTAGATATGTGACCTGAAGCTTCAGAGGCTCACCAACCCTAAAGGTCGTGTCTTCCAGTTTCTTCACAAAGCACACGGGTTCTACAAGAAGCAAGGATGTTAGGAATTAGTAGGGAAAGGTAAGTGTTTTATTTTATTAGAGGTTAGCAGGAATCATATATTCATGTTTGAACAATTTTAATTATTACTTGACCATAATAGTCAAAATAATGTTCTTTAGATTGCTTTGGGCCTGGAACAATGTTCTCTGTTGCAAAGACTAGAAAACAGGAAAACTCCAAATTTTAATGACAATTTTAGCCAAATATTTGAGTGATTAGTTTCTGTGTGTTATCAAGTATGTTTTACTTCCCCAAAACTAAAAATTGGAAGCCTTTTTTTTTTTGGAGAAGAGATTAGCACCAAATATCACTGAGCTGCTATGGCTGATCAGCTCTTTTAACTGCTTTGTGGTTTGTATTTTACCTAGTTTGACCAGGGCAGAGCAGATAGCACTGTTCTCAGAGTTAGAGATTTCACAAGAGTATCTTCCTGCTGCTTCTAGCCGGTCACTGTTGAGAACCTCCAAGATGGAGGAATTATCTGTAGTCTTTACGTTGTACTTATAAGAAGCCCAGATGGGTCTGCCATCTTTCCTCCAGCTCACGTAGACCCTGGGGCTGCCACTGAAACCGCAGTACAGCGACAGCGGCTCCCCAAGCCTGAACGTCGTGTCTTCCAGCTTTTTGATGAAGCTCACAGGTTCTACAAGAGCCAATGTTTTGGGTTATTTATGTTCACATCTAGCAAATGACTGGTTATATGAGTAGGCAAAGATGATTTGATCATTAATAAAGCAATGATGATGGGACGTAGTAGCGGTTTTACCTATCTTGACCATAGCATGGCAGATGTCAGTACCCTCACAATTGGAAATCTCGCAAGAATACTGTCCTTCAGCTTCCCGTCTGTCACTGTTTAGAACTTCCAGGGTGCTTGAGAAGTCGGTCGTTTTAACGTTGTACTTATATGAAGCCCAGATAGGTTTGCCGTCCTTCATCCAGCTGACATAAATCCTCTGACTGCCCGTGAATGTACACTCCAGCGTCAAAGAGTGGCCAATTTTATAGAAGGTGTTTCTCAGCTTTTTCACAAACCGAACAGGTTCTAAGAAATCAGTAAGCAATGGAAGTGTTAGATGATGATAATTAGTCTTTTAAATAAGCTGGTTACAGACGACAAAGAAGACACAATTTGATTAGTTATTCTTGCAAAGAAATATGCATGTGAGTGAATTAAGAGTTTACCTAATTTCACATTAGCATGGCAGACATCGCTTCCTGCTGCATTAGAAATTTCACATGTGTATCTTCCCACAGCTTCTTCCCGATCACTGTTGAGGACTTCCAAGATACATGTATCATAAGAAGTCTTGACGTTGTACTTGTACGAGGCCCAGATTAACTTGTCATCTTTTTTCCAGGTCACGTGTATCCTCTGACTCCCAATGTATGTGCACTTCAGGGTCAAAGGCTCCCGGAGTCTGAAATATGTGTCTTCCAGCTTGTTCACAAAGCGAGGGGGTTCTGAGAGGGGTAATGTTTGGGTTAGTTGTGTGGAGTATGCAAGCAGACAGGTTGAAAGAAGTAGTTTGAATCAGCTGTGATTATTGCATTACTCTTTGAAGAGCATAAAAAACCCCTTGAGCTACTGTAGCTGGAGGAGTTAGTTAAATTAAGTGAAACCAGAAGTGTCAACAGTTTTTGAATTTACCTAGGCTGACATGCGCATGGCAAACATCACTTCCAGCTCCATTAGAAATCTCGCAAGTGTATGTTCCTGCTGCTTCAGGCTTGTCACTGTTCAGAACCTCCAGAATGCAGGTAGAGTCTGTGGTTTTAACGTTGTACTGATAAGAGGCCCAGATCAGCTTGTTGTCCTTTTTCCATGTCACATACACCCTCTGGCTCCCAGTGTATGTGCAGACTAGTTTCAGCGGCTCCCCAACCATGAAAGTTGTGTCTTCCAGCTTCTTGATAAAACACACGGGCTCTAAGAAAGGCAATGGTGATTTAAGAAATCTGATCAAAATACCATATACTTTGTCTCAGAGTATTTATCCCAAGAAAGGTGTTTTTTTTTGTTTGTTTTTTTAAAAAGTCACCTTTACTATGTTGACATTGAGCTTTAGAAAGATTTTTTTTTAACGCAAAACTTTTTTAATCTGAAAAATAGAGTATATAATGCAAGCATCACCTTTCACTGTCACTCTGCAAGTGGCAGCGGCTGAACCGACCCGGTTCTCAGCCTTGCAGGTGTATTCACCATCGTCAGACTTAGTTGTCTTGACCAGATTCAAAGTGGCAATACCATTTGAGAAATCCATGGCGCAAAGGTGGGACTTTCTCAGCTTTCCACCAGCCTTAAACCAAGCTACTGAGATATCAGGACTTCCTGCAATACCACATTTCAGGGTGACTGCATCACCCATTGTTACCTCCACCGGCTCCATCCGATCGACAAAGTATGGTCGCTCTAAATGAAAGATGAGGATGATAGTTTTAGTACAAATGTTAAGGTGCAAATAAATATCTTAAAGAATGAGATAATTAGAGATGGATAGTAAATAGGTATTAGAGTGGAAGCTAAAGAACTAAATATAACATGCAAGAGTTCCTTTGTTTTTACCTAGAATTGAAATGTGTGCTTCACATTTGTCACTTCCTACTCCGTTGTCCACTTCGCAAGAGTATGTGCCAGCTGCCTCCATTCTGTCAGAGTTAAGAACCTCCAGTATGCAGGAGTTGTCTGTGGTGATCACCGTGTACTCATATGAGGCCCAGATGAGTTTCCCATCCTTCTTCCAGGTCACGTTTACCCTGGGTGTTCCTGAGAAAGTGACCTCAAGCCTCAGGGGCTTACCCTTCTCAGAAGAGATATCCCTCAGCTTCTTCACAAAGTGGACTGGCTCTAAGGGACGCAATTCCATTAATCAGTTACACAAAAGTCACCTTTCAGTGCGGATGCTTAGAAGAGTTTCATGCGGACAAACCTTTCACAAAAAGATGGAGAGGGCAGCTTTCCTTTCCTGCGTTGTTTATGACCTGGCATGTGTATTCTCCTGCATGGGATTTATCAACTCTATGAAGCACCAAAGTGGCTACATCAGCCTTCAATGAGATCTCACAGCCTCTTCCATGTTGCATTTCTTTGGCTCCCCTGAACCACTTGACTTGCAGCGGGGCACTGCCTTTTACTTTAGCTAAGAAAGTTACATTTTTGCCAGGCAAGATTTCTTTGGGTTCAGGAGTTTCCAAAAATGAAGGAGGTTCTGGTTTAAGATAAAAAAGATTGGTTGTGGGATAAGTAATGTGTTTCCATATCAATCTGATTCCATCCTTAAAGACTCCAAGTCTTTACTAACCTGTCACATTAAATGAGGCACTGGTCTCACTGGCTCCTGCAGCATTCACTGCTTTGCAGGTGTATTTCCCAGAATCGGACATACTGACAGTTGAAATTTGCAGTCTGTAGTTATTATCTGTGGAGCTGATGTTATAGGAGGGACTACTCTTGATCTCCCTGCCATTATGGAACCAGGAAATTGTTAAAGGAGAAGATCCAGAAGCTTTGCACTCCATCTCACCAGGCCTTCCCACAACAAAGTGGGTATCTTTAAGCTTCTTCATGAAACTTGGAGGAATCATCTTATCTGTAGTCAAAGAACATGTCGAGTCAATTATTTGAACTACCTGCGGGATAAATTTTCTCCTAAGATAAAGAGAGCATCTGCATAAAGTTCACCAACCTGATACTGAGAGCTTGATTTTGCAAGAAGCTGTACCAACGTGATTTGCAACCTCTAGTTTATATTCTCCAGCATCCGCTTTGTCAGCAGAACGGATCTTCAGAACAGCAATTTTCTTTGCGAAAGATGTCTGATATTTGGCACCAGAACTGAGGGCTTTGTTGTCCTTGAACCATTTTGTTTTCAATTCTGGTGAACCAGACACTGCAACTTCAATAGAAGCATTTTCTCCTGATGTGATACTCATGGATTCTGGACTATCCACAATGGCAGCAGGTTCTAAAGTTGTGGAAAGAAAACTTTAGAGCTAACGGTATAGTAGCATTGCAGTAAACTTGTATGTAAGATTCTACAAACCTAAAACAGTAACTTGGGAGACTGACTCCACCACTCCAGAGTCGTTACTCAGCTGGCAGGTGTATCTACCAGCTGTTGCTGAGTCAGCCTCTGGAACTACAAGAGTGGCCACGTTGTTCTCAAAGGTTATCTTTCTGTTATCACCGTCTCTAAGGACGTGGTCCTTGTCCTGGACCCAGGACACAGTCAAAGGCTCAGAGCCTTTCACTGTGGCTGTAAGTGCTAGTTGCTGGCCAATTCTTACGGACTGGTCGATGAGCTTTGTGACAAACGCTGGTCGTTCTGAATATTTAAAGAAAGATCACAGTTGAGAAGATATGATCCTATGTAAATTTTGTTTGAGAAACTGTCCATTGATTTGGTACAAACCTTTTAGATTGATAGTAGTGTGGCATAACTCACTTCCTACATTGTTTGACACCTTGCACTCATATATGCCAACATCATTCTGCTCAAGTTTCATGACATGAAGAGTAGCAGAGTTGCCCACACTAACAATCTTATGTTTCCAACTCTCTTTTAAGGGCTTTTTGTCTTTGTACCAGTAAACCTGGAAAGGTGGAGTGCCATACATCTCACAGTGAAGACTGGCATCTTTCCCTTGAATTCCCTCCACTGGGTTGGGAGTTTTAGTAAAGGATGGAGACTCTGGAAAAACATGTTTTGATAAATTGAAAGAATTTATCTTCATGAACAGGCAAACCATTATGACAAGCAGTTCATCCAGGCACTGGGTTCAATTTTGTGATCAGGCTTATCGCAAAGTTCAGTCCATGCTTGAGGGATCCTTCCTGGTCTTTATAAGAGCAATCCTCTATGGTAAGGCAACACTTAAATAATGTTCATGCTACTGTATGATCACACCGTAGCGTCCCCTTTACATAAAAAGAGAATTTCATGTAAACAAAAAGGGATGTACCCAAGATCATTCCACCAAAATTGAGAAAAAGCATGTCACTGAACATGGAGACCTCTCAGACTCATGCTATATGACACACTGAAGGTTTGACGGATTCCATGCTGGCATTTTCATACAGGGTCCTAAAGACATTCATGACACAATCAAACAAAATTTGCATCACAGGACATCCATTCCTTCTCTTTCATGCTTCTGAACTTCAGAGGAGACAAATCCACAGTGTAACATATCAGCAAGAAATCCGTTCGATAGCTGACCTTGAACTGTGAGAGTGGTGCTGCAGCTTGCGCTGCCAGCATCATTATGAACCTCACATGTGTAGACTCCATTATCCTCGAGCCTCGCAGACCGTAGCTGGAGGTACGCAGTCGAATCAACGAACATGGCTTTATAATCGCCTCCGTCGCTTATCTTTTGGTCATTTTTGTACCAGCACATTTTCATGAAGCGTGCGCTGTTGGTCTTGCATTCTAAACGGAGTCCCTCACACTGCTTCACAAAGGTTGTGGGAGGCAGTTTCACGATAAACCGAGGAGGCTCTGTGAAGTCAAAAAAAGATTAGGTTACTTTTGCCAACATAAAGCAACACTCGAGCACCTTTGGGATGGATGCAGGATGCAGGAAGGTGACTGAATGCTGCGATGGGAGGAAGGTGATCTCAAAGACAACACAAATATCGCTGGGAGAGGATCGATTGCTCAGAATGAAGACAGAAGAGTGGTAAAATTGATGAAAAAAGATGGGTTAAATGAAAGATGGTGCTGGACAAAAAAAGAATAGTCCAACCTTTCACCAACAATTCCGCTGCGTTTGTCACTGTGCCGGCTTCATTGCTAACTTGGCAAGTATAAACTCCACTATGCATGGCCTCGACTGAGTTGAGCTCCAATGAAGAAGAGTATTTCTCTAAAATGATTGTACACGAGGACCCAGCAATGAGTTTGATGCCATCCTTAAACCATTCCACTGTAAATGGGGGAGTCCCTTCAAAGACTCCTCTGAAGGTCACCGTTGACTGTGGAATAACCGTTTGAGGCTTGATGTCCACCAGAAATGTTGGTGGCACTAAAACCCATACAGAGAAGTTATTATGACACCTATAGCGAAGGCTACTTTTTAAAGAATATTAAATCTGAAAGCTAACCTTTAGCTGTAAGAATTCCGCTGCATACACAGCTTCCAGCTTCATTTGTGACTTTGCAGGAATACTCTCCTGTGTCGCGACCTTCAGTCAGTTTTAACTCCAGGGAAACAGTGCTTCCACTGTGCACAAGTTTGTACTTAGAGCTCTTGATTATCCTTTGTTTTCCTTTGTGCCATTCGACAACAAATGGAAGAGACCCTGACAGTTTGCACTCCATTGTGACCACTGAACCCATCACTGCTTGGATGTTTGATAATTTCTTAACAAATGTGGGAGGAGTCACAGCATCTGTTTCAAACAACATTGGTCTATAATTAGTTGTGTAACTATGACCAGCGTCAACTTTCCATCACTACATTAACTTAGCAGACCCGCATGGCTCTCCTCCAGCTGAAAGGACTGAATTTTACATGGACTGAGGTAGTTCTCATAGACAACCTGATGATTTCTGATTGAAGATTTCTACAATCTTTGAGCAATTTGACACTTACCTGTGAAGCTCAAGCAAACTGGATTTAATATTTATCCCTTAAGCTGTCTTTAGTACCTCTATATGCCATTACAGTGAATTTATAACACAGGAGCAGTGAGATAAGTGAATGTTCAAGCTTAAGCAGAAAAAAACTAGCCCATAATTAATGGAACAGCATTTACTCTCCTTGGCCTTATTTACATAATGACATATATTTCACTTCACAAGTCAAAACAGCAGCAAAAAACTTTAAGAGCTTCTTCTCACTGACATGCTTAGTCTTGAAATTCCTTTTGCGAGCAAATGAATAAAAGAACTAACAGAGATTCTTCCACAGAAAGACAAGACTGGAGGTTCTCCCAAAGCAGGGACCAAGAAGAGAGAGAAATTATATTTGTAATGTAAAATAACCCATGATGCAGGTTTCTACAGTCAAAAATAACCTGAACATATTTATGCTACTGAACCAAGACAACTTCCACGCACAAAAAGTAGGAATTACTTACAATACTAGCTTACAGGATTAGATCACACCCTTCAACTGTACCTCCAGTCACTATTAGATGGAGAATTAGAGCTATTTTGTGGGATGACATACCATCAACACAACATATTGTATTTGACATGCAAACTTCAGCTTCAGCTAAAAGACAAGCCATGTATACTTCTACAGAACCAAAAACCTTTGTGTCTAGGAGTTCAACAAAAATTAAGTCTAAACAAATTAAGTTTAAATAAAAATCACTTGACAACAGAAAAAATAAAAGCAGACTAATCACCACAGAATAAAGAAAAAAACCCAATGGAAGAATTTGATAATTCTGTTTTGCTCCTAAATTCAAGGTATTGCATTCAAGCAAATAACAGTCAGCATCATAGAACAACTGTAATCCATTAGGTGATCAGTGCTGGCATGCATGAAGTCATAGCATAAAACTGCAAAGCATTGAAAATAATGTCACTGTTGATAAATTCTGTTGTTAAAACCAAAAGCTTCAGCTTTCATATAATACACAAAAACATATAACAAAACATTGCGACTGAAAACAAAATCTTAATCCAAAAGTCCAGAACAAGTCCATCCTTAACTGGTCTATATGTGACAAATCCAAATCAGATTAAATTCCTGAATTTCTGATCTGATATCAAACTAAATATTATTCCCAAAAAACCTCATCGCCGTTTTATCAAGCCATATTGGATAACCAACACTTACACGCAGACTTTAGCTTTATGACACCATCACAGGACACAGCTGAACCCACTGTGTTAATGAAGCTTAAAGCTGAACATTTAAGCAAAGAGTTAAGATGAGATTTTCAAACAAATGTGACAAACCTGTCACCGTGACCATGGCAGTACATCTCTGAGTCCCAACTTTGTTCTCAGCCTCACACACATATTTCCCACTGTGGGATAACTGGGCATTTTTCAAATTCAACTCAGAACTGTTGGTTTCATAGGACATCTTAACATGCTCATCTTCAGTGAGCGCGTGATCATCCTTGTTCCATCGGAACGTCATGGGAAGTGCTCCAGAACACATGCATTTCATAGAGATTTCAGAGCCCACCATGCAGGACATGTCCTGTGGTCTTTCAATAAATGACAGTGGTTCTAGTGAAAGAAGACCACAAGTGAGACTGAAGGATCTAGGCAGAAGCTAAACCTTGTTAATTTTCTGATCTAAACAATGCAAAAAGAAAACAGTGTTCTGGAAACCTGGAAAATCAGCAAATAAATCACCTGACATTTTAGCATACACAAAACTTTCCATGAAACTGAGAAGCATGCAGCACAAGACATTCATTTGACTAACCTGTCAAAGAAACCTGGCAAGAACAAGTAGTCTCCCCAGCATCATTTGCAACCGTGCAGCGGTACGTCCCATCATCCCTGCTGTCACAGTCAGATATCTGAAGAGTGACTGTGTCTTTTTGAACATGGATCTGATGTTTTTTGTTGCTTCTGATCAGCTTATCATTGAGGAAGCAACTTATTTCAAATGGCGGGGAACCTGAAACGGTTCCTGTCAGGACAATGTCAGATCCTTTCACAAACTCAGCTGATTCAAAAGGCTTTACAAACACTGGAGGCTCTATGAGAAAGATAATAAAAGTAACATTCAACAATAATATCTGAAAGGAAAGCTTCATCTGATGAGGCAAATCTGGTCCACAGAATCCATCAAGGGACTTTTTTGCTAAAAACACCTTCCAGCACCATTCAGCAAACTTACCTTCCTTTTACACTTCACTGTGGCTTTTAGACAACTATTAACTAAAGAACCATTTTCTGTCATGTTTTCATGTCTACACTTGTAGTTCTACTCATAGGTTGTTACATATATTAATGTTCACACTGCATTTAATTCATTCATCCAACAAAAGATAACTAAGGATGGAAATATGGAACAATGTGGACCAGACAGTAGGATCAGTTTGTAGAGGACAGCTTCTTAGGACAGCACTAACCTTTGACTGTTACTGAGCAGCTGCATTGATCTCTCCCGGCTTCACTGGAAGCCAAACACATATAGTCCCCACTATCTTCTACACAGCAGTTCTCCACCTCCAAGGAGGCTACTGAGCTCTCAAAGGACATCAAGTGTCTGTGGTCAGACATGATTTCAGAGCCATTTTTCATCCATGTGACGGAAATTACAGGAGTTCCCTGTACTTTACAGGACAGCTTCAGAGGCTGACCAGCTTTTAGGAGCCGTGAAGGCTCAAGCTTCATTGTGAATGTGGGAGCTTCTGTAAATTACACAAGAGCAATTACAGTAAACTTTGTAAAGTGGTTAGTGGTAGCAAGGAAACAAGATGGCAGATGAAAGATGGAAGCAGAACCTTTCACGAAGAGGGTGGCAGTGCAATCCACTTTCCCGGCATCATTTGATACTTGGCAGGTATATTTAGCAGATTCACTGGGTTTTACAGAATAAAGCTCTAAAGAGCTTGAGGAGACATCCTTTTTTATGACACACTTTCCTGCAGAGAAAATCTCTTTCTCCTCTCTGAACCATTTAACCACCAGTGGAGCAGACCCAGTGAAGGCTGCTTTTATCACAACGTTGGTTCCTGGTGGAACATCCTGGGACTCAGGTCTTACTGTGAAAGCTGGAGGTTCTGTAAAACAACATTCATGCTTTAAGCCTATCAATAACCTTTGCTCACTTGTATCTGTTGTTAAACTCCTAGTAGACCTAAGACATTGAAACGTCTCTAACCTTTGACTGTCAGGGTTCCACTGGTCTCATTTTCTCCGGCCTTGTTTGAAGCCCGGCACGTATAAACTCCTCCATCGCTTTGATCAAGATGTGTAACTGTCATAGAGGCTGCACTTTCACTGAAATCAAGCTTGTATTTATCATCGCTGTGAATTTCTTTGTCGTCTTTGAACCAAGAAACAACCATTGGTTGTGATCCAGCAACTCTGCACTCCAAGGTGGCATTGCTACCAATACTTCCATCCATCTTTTTTAGAGTTTTAGTGAAGGATGGTGGAACAGCGCGATCTGTGTGACAGGAGAAGCCAAACACGGAACTGTGACAAAAGATCTCTTTTGGAGTTGAAATAATCATGTATTTCTGACTGAAACTAACCTATAACTGTGACTGAGCATGTGCACTCGTCTTTTCCGACTTTATTGGACACCTCCATCTTGTATTCTGAAGTGTCTCCTCTATCTGCAGAAAGTATCTTCAGAACAGCTGTGTTCTCCTTCAGAGTCATCTTATATTTACGACCGCTAATCATCTCTTTGCCATCTTTGAACCATCTGACTTTGAGCTCAGGGCTTCCAGAGATGGTGCACTCAAGCGTTGCCGGTTCACCAACTGTGACACTGATGGACGGCGCTTTCTCTATGATCTTAGCCGGTTCTAAAACACAACACAAGCTTTAGGCTTTATGGACTAACACAGATTAACTGGGAGAATAGCTAGTAAATACAAGTGAGTTCTAACCTTGAATGGTGAGAACAGCCTCACATTTCTGCTGCCCTGCCTCGTTTTCAGCAATGCAAGTATACTTGCCGCCATGTTTTATCCCGACAGAGGTGAAGGAAATGCAAGGAATGCTGTTCTCAAATGTTGTTGCGACACTGGAATCATCATCTATTATCAGCTTAGAGTCTTTCAGCCATTTTATAGAAATTGGAGCTGAGCCTTTCACTACTCCTTGTAGTTTCACTGCATTTCCCAACAACACTGTCGAACTCTCAATCCTCTTTGAGAAGACAGGTGGCTCTGAAATGGCATCAATTATAGTAAACCTTAATAGCTACTGAGGAACCTAGAGTGAAAATCATGCTGATTATTTTTAAACTAACCTTTCTGTTTAACCACGGAGTTAGAGGTCACTGAGCCAACCTCATTTGAAACAACACATTCATAGTCACCAGCATCAGCGCTCTCAAATGTGTGGATCTCCAGAGAGGTCAGTGATCCTTGTGACACTACTCTGTACTTTTTATCTGAGGACAAGCGTTTCTTGTTCTTTTTCCAAGTTACTTCAAATGGTGCAGAACCTGCGATCTCACAATCCAACACAGCTATAGATCCTCTCACTGCTTCTATGAAGGGTGCATCCTTAATGAACGATGGAGGTTCTAATAGGAAACGAACAGCTTGGTAAAGACAAATGTATATTGTATTTTAAATGAAGAATTATGTCAAATGCTGCACACCTTTAACTGTCACTTTGGTGCTGCAGCTCTCACAGCCTGACTCGTTCAGAACCTCACAGCTGTAGCTCCCGCTGTCACTCAACATGACACTGTTTATCTCAAGAATGGCGACACCGTCCTTAAAGCTGGCAGCATATCTGCCACCACTGGACAGCTCACTGTCATTGTAGAACCAGGTGGTGTGAAGCTCGGGCGATCCTTTGACGGTGCACTGCAGCCGAGCTGTGCTACCTCGCTTCCAAACTGTTGTACCCTCCAGTCTCTTTACAAAGACTGGTGGCTCTGCAGGGGTATGGTTAGTCAGAACCATTATATGGAGTTGAAGATGTAATTTAAAAACAAGAAACCAGCATTGAAAACAAAGCTCATTAAGATGAGAAGAACAATCTATTTCACATGAGACACAAAGAACATAAAAAACTAAGTTTTCTTCTTGGCTTTCTGAAGGTTTCAAGCACTAAGAAACTGGAATATAAATAACTTACCTTGTACTTTGACAGAAGTGGAGCAAGAAGCACTTCCAGCATCATTTGCCACCATACACACATAATTCCCACAATCTTTCAGTGTGGTTTTTAGTATGTCAAGATATACTGTCTTATTCTCAAAAGACAGTTTACAGTCTGGAGATTGGTGGACTTTCCTACCATCTCTGGTCCAGGTAACGGTTACTCCTGTGTCCTCATCCACCTGACATTCCAGGTGAAGAGGAGCTCCCACCACGGCAGCAACCGAACCCAGGGGCTTTACAAAGTTGGGCTTATCAACAACACGCAGCTCCATGCTGCACTCAGCCATCCCAGCATTATTAGATGCCCTGCACACATATAGCCCACGGTCTGCTGCCTCAAGCGTTTTGATCTCAAGAGTGTGCTTATTCTTTTCACAAATGGTTTGGTAGTGTTCTGACACAGAGGGCACAACCTGGTGGTCTTTTAGCCACACAACATTCAGAGGAGCAGATCCTGTTATTACACACTGTATGAGTGCCCTCTTTCCAACATACACAGTCTGGTTGTCAGGTTTAGTTTGAAAAACTGGAGGAAGTTTCTCTACAAAGATTAAGAATGAAAAGATGTTAGTGGTAAAATGTCATACTGTGTAGTAGAACCACCAAAACCAAGATGGGGGAAAAGTATAAAAGTACAAAAACAAATCTGTTTAACTCAAAATATGAATAAACTTCTGGAAAGGCCCAAAGTCAATCTCTGGAAAAGGAGGAAACATGCATTGTTTCTTACCCGTCACACCGAGAGAAGCAGAGCATTCATCACTGCCATGTTGATTGGATGCCTTACAGGTATATTCTCCGCTGTCATCCTTTGATGGGCTCAGAATTTCCAGAGAGGAAGCCGTGAAGCGACTGATAATCCTGTACTTATCACCCTCTTTGATGGGGTGGCCATCTTTGAACCACTTGAAGGTCACATTTGGAGCATCCTCTGTATCACAGTCAAATCTGGCAGAATTGCCGATGTTGATCTCCAGAGGAGCAATTCTGTGTCTGAACACAGGTTTCACTGTGTTTTGAGGAGAGAAATGAAAAAGAAATGACAAAGTGAGTAAAGCAGTCTGAATGGAAACAAAGCTGACTATTTTTTGAAGACTGGCGTAGCCCTGAAATGAAGAGTGACTCAAAGAAATGAATCCAGTGATGACTGTGGAGGAGGAAAGCTGTCTCAGTGTTAGGTTGAGGGAAAAAATGCATGCATGAAAGAAATGGACCAAGGATGAGGAATGGCAGGTGCTGAACAACATGGAAGGTAATTCCTAGAAGGAAAGAGGGATGGAAGTGAGGATGGTATGTTTACGGAGAAGTGCAGATGAGAGACAGGAAATGTGAGGATGGTTCTGGTCTCTGATTAAAACCTCAAACTTCCAAATTTAACAGTAATTTTTTTATTTTTTGGAGGTTTAGAGACAGCAGAACATGATATAAGCTAATGTGTGAAGTTAGTTGATGATGATATCAAAGAACTGTCCATCATCAAACCTTTTGAGACCACAGTGAGCCTTGAAGATGTTGTAGTCCTGCCGACTTCATTTTCAGCCTCACAGACATATTCTCCTTGATGCCTCTCCTTGACAACTTTGTTGACAATTAGTGTGTATGTGTCACGGTCTTCAGAACACTTGAACTCTTTACCAGATTTCACCAGCTGGCCATTGAAAAACCAGTTCACCTTGGTGGCATACTTGATAGTAGTGGTAAAAACAACTTTATCATTCATTTCAGCACAAACATCCTCCAGAGACTCAATAACAACAGGATGACCAATAAGGCTGTCAGATGACTCACTGATTAGGATGGCCTCTGAAAGATACTCCTCTCTGGTTTCTCTGTGAACAAAAGTGTCCACATGTACCTGCTCTACAGCTGACAAGGTGGTTACTTCAGTAACGTCCCTCTCTGATGTAAATTCAGTCTGACTCACTTTCCTGGATTCCTCAGTGTGGCTCTGAATTGTTGCACTTTGGAAAGAACCCATCAATTCAGTTCTGACTTCTGCAGAATGAGATGCATCTGGAGGAAACCCAACAACACTTTCTGCCACCACCACCGAGTCCATCATGATTGACAACATCTCTTTAGAGGGTACTGAGCTGACCTGAACCTTCTGAGGTATGTCAATTGGCAATATGCCTTGCTGTTCCGATGAAAGACTTTGCTGCTCCTGGAAAACCATAGTCTGTAGAGCTACCTGCAGCTCAGACTTCAGATCAGCTTTCTGAGGATATTCTCCTTGGAAGGACAGTGTGATCTCCAGTGGGATACCAGGCGATGTGATCAGATATGTGAATTTGGTCCGTCTGGGCTCTCGTTGAACTTTGACCTCCTGTATCTCCACAGTTTCTAAGTTTTTCACCACTTCTGCTAGTAAGACTGGTTGATCACTGGCCACAGCAGACTGAAGAGCTTCTCTCAGCTGATGCCGAATGGTCATAGTTGATGCTTTTGGGATATTAAGAACAAAGTTGAGTTCTTTAGGAAGAGCATGAGCGCCCTGAGACTCATGAATAAAAACAACACCCTTAGGTTGTGTCTTAACACTGACAGTGGAAGCTTCTGGTTTATGTATCTCGCTTGACTGTTCTACCAGGAGGACCCGCTTTTCTTCTAACAGCACAGACTGCCGGACTGATTGTCCCTCCTGGATCTGCACAGCAAAATCCTGCTCAGCAGCCTCTAAGATGCTGCACCTTTCAGTTGCAACTGCCTTTTCTTCTATGAATACAGGTCTCTTTGGGATCTTTGGTTCGACTTTTGATTCAGGCGTGAATTTCTCATCAGTGTGAAGACTGGCAGTGTGACCCTCCTCTAAAACCTGAGTGTCTGTGACATTCAAGGACTGCATAATATTGCACTGATCCTCTCTCTGGACTAATGCTCGCTGCTCTCTGAAGCTTTCAGTGAAAGGGGTTTCCTTTGGAAGGAGTAGGAGCTTGGAGGACACACCAAGAATGTTTGGAGGTCTAGATTCAGTCTGATACTGTGCCTTAATCCCATCCACAGATACATTGAGGTCTTTATGATACTCCGCTATGATCTCTCTTTGTGTCTCCGAGGATGCAGCATGGCTTCGAGCCCGCTCCTGTTTTGGTAATGCCACCTGCTGATCAGGTTTAGTAAAGGCAATGATGCCTTCCTTTGGTAAAACTGATACAGAATGGCTCGACTGGAGATATCTTAGCTGTGGTTGCTCTTTCTTTGGCTGAACAGATGCATAGTCGGGCTCTGCAGTGAACTCTGAAGTTGCCTCACATACCACAGTCCTTTGTTCTTCTTGAGACACTGAGTACAGCAAAGTTGGATTCTTAGTCATGTCTGCCAGCTCCATTGGGGGCTTCTCACTGCTGAGTCTTCCCTCAGACTCTAAAACACCCTGATCAGTGATAACTTGCAAATTTAAAATCTGATTGTCCTCACAACTAGTCTGCAGACATGTCGGAGTCTCTAGAGGTGGCACCTGTACTGTCTGTTCACCCTGAACCTGATATTTCTCCTCAGTTACTATGGCAGATTTACATATCTTATCTTTACTTGGCTGGATGCTTTCTTGCTCCGGTATCTGTGTTTCATATTTCTGCTCTTTAGATAAAGTCACCATAGTTTCACTCACTGGTGCTAGCACTGGTTTAGATTGTTCTTTTTCAATTTGTGTTTTAACGGCAGGGTCTAAAGCTAGTAGAGCCTCAGAGTGTGTCTCTGTAAGCAACAACTGCTCAGCAGATTGAGCAGAGTATAAAATCTTAACCCCCTCTTGGACTCTAAAACATTTCTCCTCTTCTGGTCGCTCCACAACATCTGACACATCAGCAAAAATGGGTAAAGCAGATTCTACTTGGTAGCTACTGACAACTTGCTTGGGCTCAGTTGTGGTCTGACTGAACTCTGGAGTCCGGTCTGTCAAAGGCTCAGCTTTCACAGTGGTCAGGGAAAGGACCTCCTCAGATGTAGCTGACATGATTTTAGATTTTTGTTCTTTTGAGAACTCTAGTTCAACTACCTCAGGACTCAGAATTCTCTCTGAGTGCTGCTCTGTTATCTTCTGTCTCTCCTGGACTGAAGATAAGAAAGAGGCCTTGGGAAGTTGCTTTGTAGGAACAGCCAAGACCTCGGGGGGATGGGCTGGAGTCAAAGAAACACTCTCATGAATTTCATGAGACTGCAGAAGGGCAGCTTGGTGGGTCAGTTGCTCTTTTTGAAGAGTAGCAGCAGAGATATTCAGCTCTTGGAGGGTTTCCACCTCCTCACTAGGAATAATCTGCCGGTCTTCAGTGCTAATGGTATAAATCATCTGATCAGACCGGCTTCTTTCATGGTACACCCGAGACTCTGTGCTTTGCTCGGTCAGTGATATCTTCAAGCTTTTAGTTTTTTGAATGAACTGGTGCTCTTCTTGAGATTTTTCATTGAATACCAACAGCTCAGCACTACAAGAGTCTTCCCCATATGGGTTAAAGGCCTTACATGTGTAGATACCACCGTGTTCTTGTTTAACACTCATGATACTGAAAAAGCCTGATCCATCTGGGTTGTTCACCATCATGTTAAAGCCAGCAGGCTCAATATGGATGCTTCCTTTGAACCACTGAACATCAGGGAGAGGCTCTCCAGTCAGCATATACCTGAAAAAGCATTTCCCACCCTCTGATAACTGAACTGACTCTATAGCTTTCATGAACTTAGGAGGTTGACCAGTTGCTGCAGGTGCTTTGTCATCAACCCTTTTCTCTCGTTCTGGCTCCTTTAACTGAACATGAAGGTAAGAAGAGCAAGTTGACTGGCCAAACCTGTTGCTGACTGTGCAGGAGTACTCTCCCTCAAATTCTCTCTTAACTTTGTTAATAATTAAACTGTACTCATCTTGTTCATGAATAAATGTATAAACTGATGAACTGGTTATTGTCTGCCCATTGTGGAACCATTGAACAGTGGGCTGTGGGAATCCGGACACTTTGACAGTAAAGGCAAAAGTTTCTCCAACTACTGCAGCTGCAGGAGAAAGTTTGCTAAGGAAAACAGGTTTTTCTTTTTTCCTCTCCAAAGAGCTGGAGAAGCGCTTAGTTTCTGGTTTGAGTTCAAGTGTTCTGGTTTTGTCAGGTAATTTTAAGCCAGTGTAGTATGACTCCTGGGTTTCCTCTTCCACTGTGATCGTTGAGCTAGAAAAGGCTGAGTGGAGTAATGACAGTTGAAAGTAAATCACACATCCCAGCATCAATCAAGTGAAATCACAGTGTTTCTATTCCATTTACAGATGAGTTGTATGCGACTGCAGGATGAGATGAATCAAATACAACTGCATTTTTGAACACTATCTTTGTTCAAAAAGGCTTTTAGGAAATATCATAAAAAACATGTGTGTTCTGTCATTAATATCACAATATTTTAAAAATAAATTCACACTGGTTGAAACAATTTGCATTAAATTTAGATAAAAATAGAGAAAAAATACCATATCATAGACTAATTTCTAGCATAGACAAAACATAGTGAAATACATAATAGTTAAGATACAATAAAGACAATTCAACACTACTAAACATAAAAATATAGTAGTGTTGAAGCAATATTTACCTTTAACTTCCTGCTTTACCGCTGGTTCCTTCTCCACTTCGGTTACTGTAAAGACACAGATTGTTTACAGTTAAAGACATTTTTAGAGCTGAATTCATAGTGCAAGGCGGTTAGAAACTGTGAAGAGTCGTGCAGCCATATGATCCATTTGGTTTGTTTCTTTGACCTGTTCTTCTTTCATGCCTCCATTTGTTCTTTTTAGTGGGTGGCACTTCTGTCTTCTTGGTAAAGTTTTGTGGTTTTGTGATTGTCCCTCTTCATATCTCTACTAATGGTTTAGTCAAAATGCAAGACACAGAGTCAGAGACCTTGCCTAAACATTGTTAAAGACGTAGAAGAAGAATTGCCCTGTGAAGAAGTGTGTTCATGATGGCTGTGCAGGTGAAAAACAATGTGCATGGGTGCGGGCCACAGAAAGTCAGAGTGAGCAGAAGGACCAAAAGCATGCAAATGCCAACCTTTCATCACTGTGCTGCACTCAGCATCTCCAGCTGAGGTTAGATTTTTGAAATAGTGAGAGCCCCCTGGTCTGGCTCCCACATTATTAGCATTTACACAGCAAAAAGAGCTGTCTTGTTTCAGAGAGCACCAAACAGAATCCTTGACATTCAGACGGTTGTAAAGCCAAATGACAAATGAAGAGGGAAGGCCCTTCATAATGCAGTATAAGGAGTTACTGTCTTTGTTTTGGATCAGCAACTCAGGGGGGAGTTTGATCAGAAACTCTGGGCTGTTGGAGAGGCGATGGCTCCGCTCATCTTGAGGCATGACATCTGGGAAATACAACTGGCTGATGAGGTGGTACGGTCTCTGGGAGGACTTATGCAAAGAGTGGAGCTTCGTCTTGGACTCCTGCTTCTCTTGCTCTGAAAGATCTCTAGAGCTTTCCCTTTCTGGTTGAGGCACTTTACGAACAGAATCGGTGGGGATGGGGGTCTCTGCTTTGAGGTTTGCTTCTTTAGCTGAGTGAGAATAAAGTTAGGGAGAGTAATTAGGGGTCAGAGAGTAAACGGCTATGGCTATAATCAATAAAAGGTTAGTAGGATGGAGAATGAGATTAGTGAGGTGAAGCCAATATGATGGGAGGGAGCAAAACTACACTACAGAGGTTGTTATTACATTATTCTAACAGATTATAAACTAGGAGGCAATATTACGTTATGATAAGGGGGTCCAAAGCAGGGAAAGCAGATGGAGAAGTGAAATGGACCAGTGGAAAATCACAATAAAGAAAGATTAACCACCTTCAACTGTGAGCCTGGCAGAAGAACAGTTTTGACCGTGTTGGTTGGTGGCTGTGCAGCAGTATATTCCCTGATCGGCCATGTCGACACTGTGGATGACCAGAGACAACAGGCCCCCACTCTGAGAGCTCCTTACCCGGTCCGTGTCCACCAAGTTCTGACCGTTATGATCCCATACCACTCCAGTGAAGGGCTGCCCATCGAATGAGCAGCTGAACTCAGCCATCTCACCACTTGTCACTCTGATGTCGCTCATTTCCATCAGCAGCTGGGGGCTTGCTGAGAGTTTCAAATCAAAGCGGCTTCGAGTGCTCGTCTCCACTGAGGTTACACTCTCCATCTGAATCTCAAACATCCCCAAAGACATGGAGGAAGCTTCAGAGACAACCTCGGAAAACTCAAAACTGTGGGTTGTTTGACCCATCGACAGAGAGCTGAAACGCTCTGTCTGAGCCTCCAGTGTCTGAGTTATTTTAGTCTCAGAACTCGACACACTATCTAAGGCTTTTTCATCTGGGCAGTAAAAAAGAATAGAAGAATTAGGTCAACACAGCACAATTCCGGTGATTTTTCCTGGTTATTTGTTTGCCAAAGTGCAGTTGGGTTGGAGTGTTGAGGATCAGTCAGGCTCAGTGAAGAGTGGACAGTGGCTGTTTTCCACAGTCAATCATGCAAACTTGACAGGAGCCAAAATTTATGAAACAGATGTGGATTATGTCCGTGAGTGTAAGGAATCCGAAAAGCTGAACTTCCACAGTCCAGCTGTTTCGACCATGCTGATTTACTCTGAAACAAAGATTTGTGTCTCAACAAACACCGTTAGGAGCTGCAGAAGTAGGAAGAGATATCATGCAGCACAGCAGAAAATCCTGTGGGAAAGGCATATAGCAAGAAATAGGTCAAACTAAAGCTACTGAGTTCTCTACATGCACAGAGAATAAGACATTTGCTCCCTAATGTCATCAAGATACCACTATAATTATGTCTAAATTCAGGTTTTGGTAGCACAAACATCCAAGAAGATGATCATTTTATTTGACCATTTTATTTGCTATTGAGGCTAAAAATAAGAGCAGCTCTGTGAGGACCTGCAGGTAGATGTTATGCTTTCTGAGATTAGCATCTGAAGACCATGCAGTAAGTTGTGGCCTCATTCACACCATTTTATTTTAAAAACACTGCATGCCAGTTAATATTATTTCAAACTCACCATCAAGGTTCAAAGTGGCAGAACATGTGACCATTCCTGCTATGTTTGTGGCAATGCACGAATACTCTCCCTCATGTGAAGGGAGGACTCTGGAAATCTCTAGCAGGCAGGTTTCATCCAAATGAGACATCCTGAAGATGTCAGACTGCCGGATCTCTTTGTCATTACAGAACCAAGAAATCTGCAGATCTGGGGACACAGTGTTCACAGAAGTCAGCATCACCTGACGAGTTTAGCCCCGACAATCCCAGAGGTTAGCAGATCCAACACTCATTTGACTTATCAACCCGGGGAGCTGATGAGAGGTGAGTACCTTCCCCAGAGACAGTGCACTTCAGCTGGGCAGGATGTCCTTCTGAGACCAGAACGTCCCTCATGGGAGTGATCAGAACCGGAGGAGAAATCCGGACGGTTTCAATCACCTCAGGAACTGAAAGATAGATAACGTGTTCAGTTTACTGACATGCTGAAGAGAAGATGACTTCTTTCTGCTCATGCATGGTATGCATGAGCAGAAATTATGCATACTGTAATTATACCAAATGTTTCTATGAACTGAATAATTCTATTTTATATTGATTTTTTTATTTTTTTATTTAACATGAATTGGGGGGAAAAAAATCTCCCAAGACAACTATAAAAAGTTTAAAACAAGGTCATTAAATGAACCTAGCTTTATTTACCTGATGCTTTCTTCTACTTCATGAAGAATTTAATGCTGATATTTTTATTTAGTTAAATAAATGTTCAGTTATTAAATCTCTCAATTAATTAAAATAATTGCTTCACATAATAAGACAATTATTCTAAGCAATTATTTTGCTTAAACTAAAAACTTTATGCTTCAGCATAAACAACGTCTGACCTTCCACAATGAGAGGGGCGGAGCTTGTCGCCGCTCCATAGTCGTTCTTGGCCTCGCAGCTGTAGGTGGCTGCGTCCTCAGGGAAGACCTCCAGCAGAAGTAGCGTGTGCTCATCTCCGTCGTGGAGGAACTTGCATTTGTAGCTTGTGGACAGAAGCTGGGAGTCTTTGTACCAGGTCACCTGAGGCTGAGGAAGGCCGCTCACCTGCGCCGAGAAGCGCACAGACCGACCTGACATCACCGTCTGGGATTCCAGGTGGCGTACGATCTGAGGCGGCTCTGGCACTGAACACAGAAAACCAAACATTCAGTTAAAAAAGCAGAGTTGAATTTGTGAAAATACCTTTTAAATTCAACAAAATATTTTTTTTCTTTGACCATTGCTCAACAATAAACTACTGAAGAGCAGCATTCTCTCTAGCACAGATGTGAAATTGTTCTTTTTGCAGTAAATAAGAAATATATTTGTTCTGAAAAATGTGTCAAACTGCTGACTGAAGGATCTCTTACATCTCACGTGAAGGTTCATGGTACTGCGGTTTTTGCCAGCGACGAAGGTGTACTCTCCAGCATCGCTCCTGAATGTCTCAGTGATAGTGAGGCGATGCAATTTCCTGATGGTGGCGTAGTTGAACCTCTCTTCCTCTGCAAAGTGAATCTCTGCTCCATTCCTCAGCCAGTGACCCTCCACTTCATCCTCATTTACCTCAAACTCAAAGGTTGCTCTTTGTTTCTCCACCACCTGGACAAAAAGATGATCCTCTCAGCCTCATACATAAAATTAAGAAACTATTCAAGAAGCAGGATCAAAACTCAGATTGGGTTGAAGCTCCACATAGAGGTAACTCACTGTAATGTCTCTGCTGTCAGGTTCAGAGATTTTAACATCTCGTCCCTCGACTCTCAGGTTTCCAACAGACATGCTCGATCCGGCTACAGCTGTGTACTCGCCGGCATCAGACATGCGGACAGATGGCAGAACCAGACGATGCACAAACTTGTCTGAGGTCATTTTGTACCTGCAGGAAAATAAATGAATAAAGAAAAGTCAGAAGTTGTTGATAATGTTATAAAAATGTCTAAAAGGTTCCTTCATTTGATGAGAACTTCTTCTACCTGTCAGACATCTCCAGCTCCTGGCCGTCCTTCATCCACATCACCTGGACGTTGGGCTCAGAAACTTCACACTCAAAGGTTGCCCTCTTCTTCTCTGTGATCTTCAGGTCCTTCAGGTGTTTAGTGAATTCAATCACACGAGCTGCAGGATATAAACATCACACTTTAAGCAAAAGTGATAATTGTTACCAAGTTATTGGGGTCTTTATGTTTTTTTTTTTTTTGTATTTCTGAGAGGTGGACAGTTAAAAAGTATTTGATAACCACAAATGTAGACATTTCCACGGCTTACCCTCCACATGGAGTTTAGCTCTGGTAGCTGCAGACCCGGCTGTGAAGGTGTACTCAGCGCTGTCTCCAAAGTGGACGTTCCTGAGGCTCAGAGTGTGGTTGAATTGTTTGCAGCGAGCCTGGCATCTGTCTGTGGATTTGATCTCCACACCGTTCTTGAGCCATTTGTAAGTGATTCCCTCGTAGTTGACGTTCACCTCAAATGTGATGGTGTCTTTCTCCTGAGCATTCAGGTCCTCCAGCATTGTTGTGATCAGAATAGCTGGAAAGAAAGAGTCCTGAGGTTAAGTTCAGCAATGCCTTCACCCTTAAATGAAGAAAAGATTTTACACTCCGATAATTTAGACGAGGATGCTTACAGGGAAAGAGGCAACAGTTTTTAATAAGAACTTTTTTACAAAATAGTTTCTCTGGATCTTACGGTTGACAGTGAGCGTTGCTGACACTCGGTCGTTCCCACAGACGAAGGTGTACTCTGCAGAGTCATCCCTGCTGGTGTTCATGATCTTCAGCTGGTGGAGTTTCCCCTGAACCACGATCCTGAACTTCTCACTCATCTCAATCTCGACGCCGTTCTTTAGCCAGGTGGACGGCACATTGAAGTGAGAAACTTCGCACTCGAATGTGGCCACCTGGGTTTCAGGGACCTCTACGTTCTCAAGAGGTTTGGTTACCCGCAGAGCTGCAGAAACAACACAGGCTCAAATGGTTTGCTTCCTTTAATCCATTAATACTAGAAAATAATTATTTTTTAAGACTTACACTCAACAGTCAGGTGAGCACTGCAGTGCAGGTGACCAATCACTGCAGTATATTCTCCCTCTTTGCTGCTGTCCACATCCTGGACAATTAATTTGTGAGTCCTTTTCTCAGAAAGCATGGTGTAGTGCTCGTTTGACTTCAGCTCAGTGTTCTTGAACATCCATTTAACTGGGATGTTGTCTTCAGAGATGCCCACTTCAAACATAGCTGTTGCACCCAGCAGTGATGTCACATCCTTTGGCTTCTTCAGGATCTTAAGAGCTGGGACAGAGTTCACATTCATAAAGACACTTTAAAAAATCTGTTTTGTGAATCCCGACTTACTGCAATACTTACTTTCAACATTAAGTCTTGCGTTTGCAGACAGCTTTCCAAGTTTGAAGGAGTAAACTGATTCGTCTTGTGTGGAGCAGTTGTTGATCTTCAGTGTGTGAACTGTGCCCTCCATACTGATCTCAAATTTATCACTGGGCTGGATCTCAACACCGTTCTTGATCCACTGTGCTCCCCTGACGTTCTCATGGGTCAGCTCAAGACTGAAAACACCCTCCTGAGTCTCGACCACGTTCAGGTTCTTCAGGGTCTTCTTGATTTTTACAGCTGCACAGGAAAATGTAAATATCGGTTTGACATTGAATCAAGATGTTAAAGAGATTCAGAAGTGTCTCATTCTAAAGTTATAGTTCATTATTTGTCTGAGAGAATTATTTTTTAAATTTAAATTCTTATTTTCTGAGTACATTTGATAAAAAACTGTCCTACCTTCAACTTTCAGACTGGCGGTGGTCTTGGAGGTGGCCACTTGGTAGGTGTACTCTCCAATATCCGTGGCTTTTGTGATGACAATAACAAGACGCCTCACGGCACCGTCTACCTCGCTCAGCACATTCTCACTGAAATCGACAGGCTGTCCATCCTTCAGCCACTTTCCTTCAGCAGATGGGTTTGCGACTTGACACTCCATTACTGCAGTCTGGGAGTCAGCTACAACCAGATCTCGCAAAGGCTTCTTGATGGCACCACCTGGTGACACAGGATGGTTATGTCAGCATTAAAGAGACTGTCACAGAAGGCATTCAGCTCGTTAAAATCATATGCAGCATACCTGTCACAGTAAGTGAAGCTCTGCACGTCTTCTCACCGGCAGCAAACATGTACTCGCCCTCTTCATCCTTCATTGCGTTGATGACTGTCAGGGTGTGGTACTTATTCTTGGTTTCCATCTTGTGGCTGCCGCTGGCTTTGAGTGGCTGGCCCTTGAAGGTCCAATAGGGGTCGATACCTGGGTGGGAAACCTCAACTTCGAAGGAAACGTTCTCAGATTCAGAGCACTCCATGTCCGTCATTGGCTTCAGGATCTGCACAGCTGTTCAAGTAAAACACAAGGTATGCAATTCTCAAAATGTCCTGTAGATGGAGCAATGACAGGTATACTACCCTTTATTGAATTTAACTTAGCCTGAAGTTCAGATCAAAACAAGTCTGTGGAAACTTATCTTCTGATCCTAATAATTTTTTAGACTTAATGAAGAATGCAATGCTACATGGATTTATACAATAGGATCCTGGGAAAATTACACACATTTATTATAAAGTCTAATGTAAGTTTAAGATATAAAATAAATATTTTTTCTCAACAGCACATTAAACAGTTTTTATTAAAATGTTGATAATTTATTTTGATGAAATAATAAAAAGATCCTCATGCATTGTTTACCACTTATTTTGACTTGGTAGCAAGCAAGGCTTTTCTACACATGATACAAACTATGTTTCTTGTTAAAGTTATGAAAAAGTAAGGTTTTGACCAGAAGGACATTTTGCCATTTATTTATTAATAAGCACTGTGGGTAACTTACGCTCAACAGAGAGTTTACAGCTGGTGTCCACTCGGCCAACAACCAGTTTGTAGCGACCCTCATCAGAAGCGTAGGTCCTGCTGAAAACCAAACGCTGCTTGGTTCCCTTGGCCACCATACAGACCCGGTCACTGGCCACCAACAAGTTGTCATTGTGGTACCACTTGACAGAGCTAACATCCTGAGCAGAGATCTTGGCCTCCAGGACAGCTTTGGTGCCTTCAATGGTAGATGCATCCTTTAATGGAACAAGGATGCCAATACCTGCAACAAAGAGTCATCCATTTAAAAAATGTTTATTTTGAGAGAGAATGTCGTTTTATTTAAGTATATGAGTTTGATACGACATACTCTGAATCAACAGCTTTGCAGTGGTTGTGATATCATGATCAGGAGCCACAAATGAATATGATCCAAAATCGTCCTTGATAGCATCTTCAATCAGGAGTTTGTGGACTTGTTTATCAATGACAATGTGCACACGGTCAGAAGATGTAATTGGTTGTCCATTCTTCTTCCAGCTGCCTTCAACATTTTCTTGTGAGAACTTGACCTCAAGCTGGGCAATATCACCCTCGCAAACGGTTAGGTCCGTCAAAGGCTGAACCAGGGTGACGGGACGCACTAAGACATGAAGACAAAAGTATTCAGAAAATGAAACCAGAAAAACATATCTCACCGGCAGCAAACATGTACTCGCCCAAAGTCATCCTTGAAATCAAAGTAAAGTTGGAACCAAGTGGAAAAAAGTGATCAAACACAAGATTTGCTATGTGAATAATGACTTACATTTCATCTTTAGTGAGGCAGTTGTTGTGAATTCACCCACTTTGAAGGTATATTTGCCCTGGTCTTCCTTCTTGACGTCTTTCACAGACAGACTGTGTCTTCCACGGCGGGACGTCATGACGTATTTACCAGTGGGAGAGAGCAGCTTGTCCTCAAAGTACCAGGTGCCTTCAGCATCTTCACGAGTTACAACACATTCAAATTCTCCAGAGTACGTCTCTGGCACCTCGGTGTTCTCCAGCTGCTTCACCATCTCCAGAGGAGCTCCTGTTGACAGTACCATCAAATAAAGCTCTTAAGAAACTAATGCTTTGTTGAATATTCACCAAATCCTATTTATTATCTAGAATGAAACAAGTCTTCAAATAAAATCTTTATGTCAATAAGATCATTAAAGTTTTTAAAACATTGACCATAATTTCATCATATCAACAAACCTTCAACGTTGAGCTTAGCGCTGGTTCTGATGCTCTCATCATCTATAACCACGCATGAATATTCTGCGTCATCCCTCATTTCAATAATCAGCACAGACAGGAAGTGGACCTTTCTGTCAGAGTGCATCCTGTATTTATCTCCTGAGAAGATCTCCATGTTATTCTTCAGCCATTTAACCTTAACAAAAGGCTCATTAGTTTCACACTCAAATGTAGCCATGGTATCCTTCTCTTTGGCATTGAGCTCCTCAAGCTTCTGTGTAAAAGTGATGACTTGTTTTGCTGCAAAAACATCACATCATGTTTTATTAGACATTATTCAAGAGGAAACAAGTTATAGTTTGAAGAATTTACTATTGCGGTACCTTGCACCAGCAGGAAAGCGTGGCTGGATGTCTCTCCAGCCTTGTTGGTTGCCTTAACCATGATGCTAGCCGAATCCTCGGCTGACACGTTTCTGATCACAAGTTCACATACATGGTCTTCAGGCCAGAACCAGTAAATGCGGTCAGATTTTTCCAACTGAACACCATTCTTGAACCACTGGCACTCAGGATCTGGTCTACCAACAACTCGGACTCTGAATTTGACTTCATCTCCCAGTGCAACTGTCTGGCTGGTGATGCGCTCCAGAATCTTAGGAGCTTCCATGCTGGGTGAGAGCTTGATCCTTTCTGGTTTCAGAGCTTTTGCAGTTAGTTTGAGGCGCTCTTCCTCCTTCCTCTTCTCAGCCTCCTCCTTTTCCTTTGCATGGTGAAGAAGCTCCTCTTTTGTCTTTCGTAGCAGATCTTCATAAGAATCATCTCTCCTGCGTGACTTGAGCTCCACAGCAGTGATGGACTCATAATAGCCTTCCTCTGTCCTGCGCTTAAATTTGCTCCTCAGTTCCTCAGACTCTTCTACGGCTTTTTCGTGGACAATTCTCTGGGCTTTCTTAAGCTTGACCACCTCCTTCAGCTGGGTGTCCTCAGTGGGTTGCTCAGCCTTCACCACCTCAAATGGTACTTTTCCTGACTCAGCAGGAGCTTCACTTGCTTTACCCTCAGCAGCGCGGCGCAGATGAGTTCTGAAGTCTTCCTTCTGTTGAATCTCCAACTTCACAACATATTCAGCTGAACCCAGGTTGTTATCTGCTATAACTTTTACCTCTCCTGAATCATAGGATTTGATATCTGTGATCTCCAGGTAGTAAATGCCATCATAGCGAAGTCTGTATCTCTTGCTTTTGCGGATGAGTTGCCCGTTAAGGTACCAGTTAACCTTTGGAGCCGGGTAGCCGGTCACTCTGCAGCGGAACCTGGCTGTGTCACCTTCCATAACCCTGACAGGCTCAGGGAGAAGGACAATCTCAGGCTTCATTTTCTCTGTTTCTTCTTCAGCAGTTACTCCATAAGGTCCGCCTTCATGAGCCTGTCGTTCCATTTCATCAATTCGTTGAACTCCCTTTCTACCCTCAGGAAGCTGAGATTCCTCTACAAGGCCTTTCTCATCCTTGACGATCAGGGTAGCCGAGGTCTGGTCGACTCCAAACTTGTTGGTTGCTCTGCAGGTGATCACTCCACTGTCTCTTGCATAAGCAACCTCATAGTCCAGGCTGCAGTAGCCAAACTCATTGACCATACGCAGCCTGTTGGCAGCAGCCAGAGGCTTGCCATCATGCAGCCACTCTACCACCATGTTGGGGTCTCCAATTGGAGTCAGCCTGCACTCAAAGTGGGCTGGACCAAAACGCTTCATTCGGACAGATGTGAGCTTCTTCTTAAACAATGGTTTCTGCTGCTTCTCCTTGTCGTAAAGGTCGCCTTCCTCCCACTGCTCTTGGCCATAACGGAGGTGAAGAGGCTCCAGCTCTGGAGGAGTAATATCTTTGGCTTTGTAGGTTCCTTTGGGAATAATGAGCTTCCTCTCTGGTTCAGGCTCAACATATTCGACCTCAACATTGACTCTGCAGCGGGTGGTGTCTCTGCCAGCCTTGTTGATGGCTGTGGCGGTGTACCATGCACTGTCTGGTCCGCCTGCTGAGGGGATTTGGAATTTGGCCTCTCCTTTGGTTCCTTCAATCCTAAAACAGCAAAGTTTCATATTAACAACTTCAGACATTTTGGATATTAACTACTAGACTTACTCTCATAAGGTTGAGAAATCCTGCATTACAAACAGATAAAACAGCTCTCTTAAATAGGATTGGCTTATTTTTATCCAATGCTCTAAATGCAAGAACATTCTAATACTACTGTGGATTTCCTGCAAACTCAGAGCAGATATTAGGGTTTATATTAATATGAGACATACTTAATGTGTGGGTGCTTGTGTGGGGTGATGATGTCGCTGTTCTTCAGCCAGACGATGTCAGGCAGTGGGTTTCCAATGGCTTTAACAGCCAGTTCAACCAGAGTGCCCTCTTTCACACTGATGTTCCTCAGTTTCTCAGTGAACTGGGGACGGACCAAGGTTTCCTTAGCTAAAAACGATAGAAACATTATGTCAACATATGTCCCAAAGGATTGTCTTGCAGTAAACCTTAAAACAGAGATCATGGAAACTCTACAATGAAGTCTTACCATCAACTGTGAGAGTGACGGAGATGGATGAGCGCCCGGCTCTGTTCTGAGCCACCACTGTCCATTCTCCAGAGTCATGGGGCATGGCTGGGACAATGATCAGGGACTGAGTCCCATCCTCTTTTACCACAATCTTATGGGTGTGGTCACTAACAATTTGTTGTCCTGAAAGAGCCAAATAATTGAAGTCGTATTGAGTAACAAGCATTCTGCATTTATCATCACCTTCAATGACGATTCCTTCTATGTGTGTCTCACCATTGTGGAACCAATACGTGTCAGGCATTGGTCGGCCAACAACCTTCAGGTCAAATCTGGCAGTTTGTCCCTCAGAGCATTTACATGCGGTAGGTTTCATGACAAATACGGGTTTGTAAAGTCTTTCCAGCTGTTGTTCGTCAGTCTCATCGAGCCGACGAGCTGGAGATCGTCCGGGTGAGCGGCTAGGCGAACGGCCAGGAGACCGGCTCAGAGAACGAGGTGATGTGGATCTGAGGAACGTTCAAAATGTAGTGAATATTTAAATCATACACTTTGAAGAATTTGCTTTGACTCATACTTTACCTGATCCTCTGCATTGCAGGTTGTGGTGTGTATCTCTGAGGAGCGGCTGCAGACGACTCCACATAAAGCTTCCCTGAGCAGACAGCATTTCCTTTCATGTTGGTGGCGAAGGCAGTGTACACGCCTTCATCTTCTGGTCGCACCATAGATAGGCGGAGGCTGGCTCGTCCATCCTGGAGAACCTCCATCTGGTAGTGATCACCGGGCCTGATGCGCTGGCCATTTTTGAACCAAGCAATCTGCCACAAAGTTAAAGCGTCAGTGAATTCTGCTTGACTGTCTCCATCATGTCTGTCGCAGATGATTTGTTTAACAGAAGTAACCAAAGAAGAAAATTTTTATTTTAAGACTTCTCACCTTGGGGAGTGGCGTTCCAGACATCTTGCAGTGGAAGGTGACGCTCATCCCCTCCATGATTCTGTAGTTTTTGACCGGAGTGTCGAAGGCTGGCTGCACCGCCTCAGTGGCAGTGGCGGTCACCATCAACTCTCCATCCTCAGTTATAATCTCTCTGTAGGTGATCTTCATGATGGTGAGCTCGATCTCCTGAATGATTCTCAGCTCCATGGCAGACAAATGGAATTCCTGCAGGTTTCATGAAAAATATTAGATCTTTATAAGTTAACTGTCTTAATTTTTCTGCTTTTATAAATGCATAAAGAGTATATTACAGTTGCTTAAACTCACAGATTTCTACTGTATTAGAGAAAGAACCTTATAATGTATGTAAAGATTCTAACAAAGATGAAATGCCAAGCTGCCCAAAGCTGCTATGATAAATGTTTCTTGTACCTGTCCGGAGATGACGGTGGTCATTGTATCCACTGTAATAGGGGGAATGTCTCCAGGTTTGGGCTCCTGCACTGGAGCTGTCACTTCCTGTTTCTTCATGTATGCTTCATATTCCTCTGTAAGTAAAACATTTGTTCTGTCAGTGCGATCCGCAATTCATATTTAAACCCAGCTTCCTTTGAATTTGTCTCTTGTTGTTGCTGTTTAGGTGCTGTTTGTGGACATACCTTCCTCCAGAAGACTGACGGAGGCTGAGACTTCTCCAAGTTGATTCTTGGCAAAGACAGAATATTCTCCTGCATCGTCTGCAAAGGTCATGGAGATCTCCAATCTACACTCTCCAGTCTCTTTCTTGTAGGCAACTTTATACCTGATGAACACAGATAGTCAGCTATATAAAATTTCCCATACTAACGCTGATTATTCTAGTATTAGAGTTATTTAAAGACTATTAAAAGCTCATTAACATCTTAGCAGTTTAGTCAAGATATGCACAAACATCTATGAAATTCTGTTTGCTTTTAGCCAAACACATTAAGACAAGAGGATCTGGACATCCTGAGCATTTAAAATGGGCTAAAGCTTGGTGCATAATAAAAGCAGTAGCAGCAGATATATATGATCATATGACACTGTTAAACTGTATTAGATTGTACAAAGTTATTGTGAATGTATAATTTAATTTTAAAAGTATACTGGGGGTGATCAGACGCATCTTGGTGGTTTTAGGAAATCAACTGGATTTAAGCAGAGACTGTATCAGTTGCCTAAGTAGAGAAAGGATTTCCTCCCTGAGGTTTCAGTACCTGTATCCTGTGGTGAGCGACACGCCGCTCTTCTTCCAGACAATGTGAGGCTTTGGGTTTCCGCCCACCTGACATTGAAACACAACGCTTCCTCCTTCCACCAGCTTCTGAACAACTGGTGTCTTAATGAAGAAGGGAGCAGCAGCAGGGGAATCCGGCTCAACCGCACTCACTTCGGTCTCGTCTTTAGTTTCTACTGTAACTCTGATTTAAAACAAGGAACAACTTCATTTAAAAAAAAGAAAAAATACTGGTTTATTTTTCAAACTTTATAAAATAGTCTTGACTTACTGAGTAACTTCGGTGGAAACTACCTCCTGCTTGCCCTCGATGTCCTCAGACACTGTGGGAAAAATAAAGTTCATTCAACCAAGAAATTTGTTTCTGATATTCTGATATGAGACAAGCGCCTCTCAAACTGCTAATTAATTTAGAAAATAACTTTCTGTTTTTATTTATATTTTATTTTAAGAATTGATAAGCTTAAATGTATTTATAGCCTCAAAGTATTCAGCTTCTTGCAGGTGTCTACTGGTATTCTGACAAGGTTGAAGGTTGAATCACCCCAATCTGTAGCTGCCCACACAAATTCTCAATCAGATTCAGGTTGGGACAGACTGGGCCCAACTCGACTACTCCAAACGTTAGTTCCAGTAAGACCAGTAGTTTCATAGTTTGCACTGACCCTGGACGAGCAGGTAGCAGGAGGTGCTGATGGTTCCGGCCTCGTTGGTGGCGGTGCAAGTGAAGCGTCCGCTGTCTTCAGCGAAAGCCTCACGTATCACCAGCCGAGCAAATCCGCTCACGTAGCTGATCTGGAAATCAATGGAGCTCTCGATCTTGTAGTCCTCCCTGAACCACATGATGATGGGGGCGGGCTGACCACTGATCTGACACTCCAGAGTCACAGACTCGCCCTCTGTCACATTTGTGTTTTTCAAGCCCTGCGTAGACATGATATGTTTAGAAAATACCCATTTTGTGGTCAACAATCTCAACTGGGCCACTTACCGAGACCAAAGTAGGTGGGACAACAGCGCCACCTGCAGACGGTACGGCTGCTGCCTCTGGCACCTGTCGCAGAGACAAATCCATTAGACTAATGCAACATTTAAATCCTTTTCTAAAACAATGCAACACAAAGGACATAAAATGTGATGTTCACGCCCAAGAGGTGATGAAGAAAAGGCAACAACACAGAAAAATGAAGAAGGTGCCGGATGGGCTCAAGAGGTGAGGATGAGGTTATCAATAGTGCAGAGAAGGAAGCTTGTTAAAGTTTTCATTAGAAGAACATTTATTGTTGGATTTTTCACAGAAATCAAGAAAACCAGACTGCTACCTAACAGGAGGACAGTCCCTAAAGATAAGATGGAAACAAAACCCACAGCTTTGAGGTCTTTGTCTCATGAGAAGTGAAAGATTGGAGTAAATCAAAGTTTTGTGGGAAATCCGTCCTATAAAGCTGGTGTGTGGTATCAAACTGCACGTTTCAGAACCATCTGTTTCTTGCTACACATCAGGTTTTCTTGTTCTGCTCAGATCCATCTCACCAAGCTACATAACAAACCTGGGCTCTCCAGTCCTCATAAACTCTGTCCATCCCCACCATGTACGCGACCCCCGTCTGAATCTGGGTCCCAGCGCGATATGACTCAATGGATTCTTTGAACGGTGGTGGGATGGACTCCAGCATCTCACTGGTCCTAACAACTTTAAGAGACGGACTAGGAGACTTGACCGGTTTGATGATCTTTCTAGAAGAAGATGAGGATAACTCTTTCTGCAGAGAGGCGATAGCTGAGCCGGCGATGGACACCTGACCAATCCAGAGAGGAGGAAAGGCCACACCGTCATCAGAACAACGAAAGACTGGACTGGACTTTATCACATTTTACACTATAAGGAGCAAAAAGGGGTGAAGTTCCGCTGCAATGAATTAAATGAATGAATGAAAGGTGTTGGATTTATATCTAAGGTGGACACAGCACACAAAGGATTTAGTTAGTTTTATTAGAACTATAACAGAACTATAACAGAATCTGCAATCAGCAGACTGAATTTTAGATGAAGCAGGATTAATTATGGGTAGAAAACAAAATTTGTTTTCGGATTAATGAATTAAGTCGGGAGCGTAATAAAGAAGAAGGTTAAAGAGGGCTTCATTTGTTAAAGATGTTCAAACACCTCTAGAATCGGTTTATAAAACAAGTTTGCATCTCAGGCAAGCAGTAATAACCAAACTCCTGTCGACTAACACAGTACAAACACTGCCTGATAAGAGTTAAAGTGTTTGGTTTATTTTAGATCATTTGAGATAGAGGATGAAAAAGCTGCATAAATACACACATATATTTAACTCAGTTAGACACCAGGAATATCAGAGGTAGGAGTTTCTTATCAATCTGGAAGTCTAACTACGAGACACTCAGTGGCATCTCCAGCCGTCTGTGATCACACCTGTTCATGAAGCATGTGTGATTGTACTTTGCTTTTGAAAGCATCAAACCTTTAGAGGCTGACAGATGCTGCAAACATTTTGCCATAAATCCTGAGAACAACTGAAACCTGAACTTAAGGGAGTCGACTCTAAGTTTTGGTCATTATCTCGCTTGTTTGGTTTTCTCATTTTTACTCTGGCTATGTCCTACTGCTTGCCTGATTCTGCCTCTCTTACCTCCCCAACAGACTCTGGTTTGGGGACAGAAACTTTAGAAACCATGAACTGTGGAACTGGAGATGGAGTGAGACCAGTTTCCACTCTGGAGGAGATTTCTGTCCCTCTCTGAATCTGTGGTGATCAACACAGAAGCGTTAGCATGTCAAGCAGAAGCTCAGAGCTGCTCAGTAAAATAGCACTGACATCACTGACAAAGTAAAATGATTTATTTTTGTCGAATTAGGGTTTTGTTCTTTTCTTTAGATGTAGCGCTGTCTAACCTGAGTCTGCAGGTCAGATGTGAACTCCTGAGCAGCAGTGAGCATTTGACCAGCCTGCATTCTCGTTGACATCCAGCCAGTTTGATACTGTTGATCGGCAGACATAGCAACTGTCTGTTGCCTCATTTCTGCCTCTACAGTCTCCACCTCTTCAGCTCGACCGCCTTCGACATGCACGGGTTGGCGAATACGAGCCAGGTCAACGGCGGCCACTACTTTGGCCACCGCTCCAGCTTTTGTCCCTCCCTCAGCCTGGAGATAAAACCAGCAGCACAAAAACTCAGAACAAGACAACACACAGGAAGTAGGTCTGATGAAATAGACAAAAAACATAGTAGCATCAAGTAAAACAAGATGTTACTGCATTTTAGTGTTAGTCAAGTGAACCAGCTGACATAAAATAGAGATAGTAATTATACAAACCACATTATTCCAATTATTACACATCATTGTACGATGCATTTCTATTTTGTTACATACATGGAGGGACATAAACGTTTATTTCTTAAATTGTCTTGCCAGCTTCTTCATATTCAAAAAATAAGATTGCAGGAATCTTTACATTATTAATCTGGTACATCTTTCACATGTACCAGATTAAGCCACACATTAAGCTTCTTTGAAAATGCAGCTGCAAGCAACACATCTACTGGGAATATGTGGATATGTTAAAGTTTTGGAAGGACCAGAGGTGTCTGACTAAAGTAACTTAAAAAATGCATTTAGCTAAATTCCTCACCAGATACTCAAAAAGCTTCACTACATACCAAAACAACCTGATTCGTTTCAGCTGCTATCAGCAAAATCTGCTATTATAGTCAATCCTCCAGCAGCATGGCCATGAATACAGTGGGTAGCTTAGTACTGAGCCAGGTTTACTTAGAGAGACTAATGCTAAAGAGAAACAGACAATAAAAATTAAAAACAAAAACTGAGTTTCAGACTATTTTTGACTCCAAAATTTGGTTTTCAAAAGCCATTCCTAAGAAGATGATTCTAGTAACTCTGATGATCTCCAGTGATGGGACAGTTGTCCACATGAAAAGGTTGGAGAAAATGAGGCACAAGTCAGCATGATCCAAGTTTTACAATCAAAATGACCCAAAGTACACAAAAAGAAATGACATTGTTGAATATTGGTTCTTCTGCAGGAATTGTCTTTTTGTCAGAATTCTAAAAACATTTATCCATTGGACTTAAAAATAAGGAAGGAGAATCAAATACCCTTTGATTAAAAAGGTAGAGTTTTTCTGCACACTTCACACTGAGATCAGAAACATCTGTAAAGAAGAGATTCCTGGGTTACGATATGATCTGGATTGAAACCACAGCTTTGACCATGAGCCAAATCTAAGAAAGTTTCCAGGGGAATAAAATGTTGTTAGGAGACACACAAAAAGACAAATATCGTAACCAAACAACCTCCATTATGGAGGTACAAACAGAACTGGATATGCTCCACGACTTTGCTTTGTTGGATGTAACCAACTCCAAACACCAATAATTAAATTATTCTGTTGAAAAAACGCTTCACATTCTTAGCACCTGGTGTTTGCATGAGCTGATATTATCCTTCTGTCTCTAAAGCAGCTAAGCCAAAGCGTAGGTACGACCCTCCTCCAAACACACAATCCTCACCTCTTTGGAGTCTGTGACTGGTTTCATGCCATCATCTCCTCTCTTCCATGGTGGGGGGACTTCAGCGGCGGGCGCAGGCTGCTTCCTCGTGGTGACGGGAGACTTTACCGGCCTGGTGGGGAACAGTGACGAGGTTCACTTCCTTCAGCTTGTAGGTAGTGTAGCTACTTTAAGTCAGCAGACATAACGTGATGCTCCTACCTGACAGTTGTGGGCGTGGGCGCCTTCACGTGTCTGACAGGTGACGGTGACTGCTGGCGCCCCCCGGTCACCTTGGGGACCAGCGAGGGCTGTGTGGGAGACTTTGACGAAGGTTTGGGTGGAACTCTGGGTGGAGTCTTGTGACCAAGTGTCTGAGTCAGTTCAAACTCCATCTTCTGAGGAAACATGGAATAAGATTAAATTAAGACACAATAAGCGAGAATCTGATATGACTAAGATCAAATTTGTTTTGCAATTAGTAAAAAAAGGAGATATAAAACTAGAACCCTAACGGGAGCTCTGATCAGATCAGACATGATTTGTCATACCTTTTCCACTCTTGTGATTCTGGTCTGTGAAATCTGAGCAGTTGAAATCACTGTCTTGGTTTTCTTTGCTGGAACTGGTTCTTCTCCTGAACACAAACGTTCTGTTCAGTTTCTGATAATGTCAACTCAGCAGGCAGAAACTACAGAAGCTGACTGAGCTCACCTTGAACCAGCAGCTCGCAGGTGGACGTGGACCGTCCACTGCTGTTGGTGGCTGTTGCAGAATACGTCCCAGAGTCCTCTGGGAAGGCCTCTGCAATCAGCAGACTGTACAGGTCTCCGTCCTGCAGGATCCGAAAGTCGGCAGAGCTCTGGATCTCGGCTCCCTCCCTGTAGAACTTGACTACGGGTGTGGGGATGCCAGTGACTCTGACATTCAGCCTCACCTGGCTGCCCTGCCTCACTGTGGAGGTCTGCAGCCTCTGAAGGAAGGTGGGAGGCGCCGTCTCCGCTGCAGCAAGAAAAACAGGCGAGAACCAATAAACTCCAATACCTCAGTGTGGCTTTTAGATTTAATCTCCAAGATTTAACTTGTATTATCAATCAGAGTTATTTTAGCTTGCCCACACCAAGATATTTTTCTAAATGCAGTAAAATTTAGTAACTAACAAGTACTTTCCATATCCCTACTCCAAATAATGTAAATATGAGCTCATATTATAAAAGCTAAACTAACTAGGAAAATACAAAAACATATAGTAGATAGAAATATGTGATGACCACTGATGTCTAATAAATTAATCAGAAAATAGTTTCAGAGCCTGTAGCAGTAGAAGGCACTCAACATCAAACTGACTGACTTTCTAAACAATACCTTCAGATAGAGATTTAAAGAAGAGTTGCAAAACCAAATCAGGTGCGTTAGCAGGGCCTGCCACCTACTGATAGTGTCTCACCTGTAACCAGGAGCTCAGCGGTGCTTGTGGCTTGTCCAGCGCCGTTGGTGGCTCTGACAGAAAAGCGTCCGCTGTGTGCAGCGGTCACAGCGGAGATCCTCAGAACAGCGCGGCCGTCGCTGAACAAGATCTGGACGCCGGGCAGAGCTGCGGCGGAAAGAACCTGGCCATCACGGAACCAGCTCACCTCAGGAACTGGAAAACCTGCAGAAGAAAAGGTCAGGGGTCAGAGGAGCAGGAACTACATGCAGAACTTCAGCTGCAAAACACAGAAACTTGACTGTACGAATATCAATCAGTGTTGTTCATGAATAACAATTAAGTTTTTATAATTAAGACTAAGATGGTTTTATTGATAAAAAAAACATGAAACTTATTTACTCTTTTATACAAATAAAATAGTATTCAAAATGAAAGACAAGTATAGTCTTTATTTCTCTTGATCAGAAGCTAAACTTTTATTTCTCTGAAATTTCAAGTTTCAAAAGTGAAAAATTTACAATTCTCAAATCTTTTTTAATTGACGTGAAACAATCAAATTTTGGTAAGACTGTAAACTTGTATTATCCTGCAAACTTTGCTTAATTAGCTGCATGCTGCAGTTTGTTTTTGTAGCAAAAATAAGCACAAAGTCTCATTTTCATTTACTGACTTTATCACTCTGTGAACTTTTATTATCCTGCAAACTTTGCTTGTGACGCTCGGATTTGCGGAATCCTGAGAACCCCACCACGATGCTGCCATCAAATGTTTTCTTACCACTAACTTGAGCCTCGAACGAAGCGGCACTACCCTCTAGTGCCACGACGTTCTGCAGCGGCTGTGTAAACGTTGGCGCTTGTGTTGACATGGTGGTCGGCACCCTGAAACAGAGACGAAGTGATTAAACCTGAGATTTTCTGCAGCAGACAGAACACACTCAGCCCCTGAAGTGTTTGCATGAGCAGCGCGTCATTTGGTGCAAACCATCCAGGAAATGCTGCCACTTTAGAAACAACGAGTTATCTTACCACCAGCAGGTGGCGCCAGTTCTCCATTAGAACTTTGCAAAGGAAATACTATTAAGGACCTTGTTTTCTGTTAAAATCTACAAAATGCAAAAGAAAGTCAAATGTTTTTGTTTAATTTTTAAAACCAGAAGGTTCACAAAGAGCTGGTTGATGCAGAGACTGCTTCAAAATCTCCTCTGCTCAATATATACATTTTTTTTCATGCAGTTTTGTTTTCGCTTCATTTTCTTTCATTGGAATAGTGTCTCCTCCCCTCCATCTGTTTCTAAACCTTTCTTTTGTCATTTACTCAGTTAACTGTTGCTTACTATTTAGCTGCATGCTGCAGTGTTTATGCACAAAGTTTTCACATTTTTACTCTCTGCTTTTTCCACAAAATACACTTGATGGTTAACTTTACAAACTTTTTCCAAATGCAAAAAATATCCACCATATATGACAGCAGATCTAATCACAGATCTTCACAGTAAAGCCAAACATCAGTCCAGTTCTGTTTGCTCCATCTCTATTTTTTCAGTGTTGTTTTAAAGAGCTTCCACAAGATCTGGACCTTATTAGCTGACACTCAACATCTTTTTTGGGGTCTCTAAATTTTTGTGATTTTTATTCTTTGAAATTCAACCTTCATTTTTGTTTTGTTTTTGATAACTATTAAGATTTAATCAATTCTTCAAAAGTTGTACATGTATTTCTCAGGCAGGTTTAAGTAAATCACAACAAAAGATTTGTTTTTCATAAGAAATGAGAGAAGCAACTTTCAAAAATAATAATACATTTTATTTAGAAGAATGTCCTGCTCAAACATAAATGTAACCATTTGATGCTCTCTGCCAGATTATGGCATAAACTAACACACATCTGCAGTCCCATGATAAGAAGTGTGAAACTTTGATCGTTTTTGGAGAAAAAATGTGTTTTCATCTGCATGAATCAATGGCAACATATTTATTGAAATTAAAAGATCAAAATCCTTGTTACAACTGCTGACCAGGTTTTTGCATATTTCCTTTTGATTTCTGAGTTGAATCTTTTGCATTAGACACCTGACTCTTTGAGGTTGGACGGTCTACTTCCCATCACCTTAAACTTTAGCTCCCCACACGGATCCTGAATCAGATTCTTATTGGGATTGTTCCTGGACCAATCCAAAACATCAGTATTATTTCTAGTCAAAAGATTCAGAGGTGTGCATAATTTTCTGAAATGTTTATATTTTACAGAAACTGTGATGAGAACTGCAAGAGAGTCAATGGATAGAGATTTCTTTCTGTTTATCTGTTTCATCTTCAACAGTTGAATCTGATTCAATTTAAATTTATATGATATTAAATCACAAAATGTTGCAACAAGATACTTTAAAACCACATGCCTCATTCAAATCCAGTTGTTCAGATTCCAGATCAATACAGAATCCATTTTTATTCAATCTATAATCTATTATTACATGCTGATGTGATTGGCACTTAAACATATTGACGTTAAACATCCAGACAATAAAACTAGAATATTGTTATTATTTTCCTGCCTTTATGTTATTGTATATATTTTGTATTTATAAAACTTCAAACAGACTCTGGGAAGTTGCAGCTGCTTCTGATAATCTGACAGCAGCAGGTGCTGCTTCACGTACTTCAGTACTACAGTTACTGCCTCAGTACTACAGTTACTGCTTCCAATACTTTATAGATCCACTGGTCAGAAGTGTCACTCTAAGAAAAATGTTTCTTATAATTATCGCTTTTACTGTCTTGATTGATCTAATAATGTTGAAGAAATGCAAATAAATGGAAAACAACATGCAATCTAATTCATGGAGTACAAAATAAACATCATCATAGTTTAACTTAAAGAAAAAACAGGAAGAAAACAGCAACAATTAGCTGCAGTTCTAGAAATATTGTAAATATGATCAAAATCAGAAGTCATGTTAATGTGCTTATCATCTTATTATGACTTTCTGTGTTTGTAAATAAAAACCCCTAAAGATCAGTTTTGAGATTGTTCTTGGTGTGGAAACAAAATTGAACTGAAACTAAATGGTTTTCCCATCACAATTACATGGAACATCAACCAGATAACATGAAATTACATAAAAATGTGTTTATATAAAAGCAATAGTTCTCAGTGTTCACATTGTTATTAACAGAGCTTTGGATAACGTTATATTCATCCAAAAAGCTCATGATTTGAGTAAAACTGGAACAGCACCAGGACTAAAATCATGGTGACCTAAAATAGCTTCACATGAAAATAGATCTGACTCTTAATCATTTGTGGGAGACGCATCTTTACTTTGAATATACATGACCCAAATTACAGAACATTCTTCTTTCAGTCTCACAAATATATGATTCTGTGTTTAATCACATCTGAGGCAGAAAACCAAAACCTCATCAAATATTTTATCACTGGAAGCTCTGGAAACACCAAGTTCAAGTTTGTTGTCAGACTTCCTGCTGAAACCAGAAGAACCTCTAGTGATGAGAGAGGATTTCTGCCTGAGTCGTTTTCAAACACGTCCAGATGATTTTAGCATCAGAATCTGCAGGAAATCTAAATGAGGATTTCCTGCACTTTCAACGAGACACTGAACACCTCACCAGGACACCTGCTGCTTTATTTCACCCCTATCAGCCGATCTCAGCTCACATTGTTTACATTCTCAGTTCCACTCATCACAACATCATATCAGCATTCTCAATCAATAATCAATACACAGCTTAACATCAGACCGATCCACTTGGATCAAACCGGACCAGCCCTGCTGGTATTTACAGATCAACATCCGAGAGACAGATATGGCAGTAACCAAAAATACCTCGACACCCCCACCCTGACCCTGCGCAGTTTGATTGACAGCCACCATGTGGCACATAGCTGGAGGTGCAACTGATAGCTCTGCTGCTGATTCCCTTAAAAAGCCATGGGCCCAGCTGACAGGCCTCTCGGATGCTCTCAGCAGCTATTCTTGGCCTTCCACAGATCATTGCACACTCTGCTGCATGAGGCCTCCTTCTGCAGCCAAAAATACATCAACACATCAAAACCTCAGCAAACGTCTCCAAAAGCTGGAGTCCTGACCCCAGATCTGACCCCATCTTCACCAAATGCCAGAGTCCATTTCCAGGAGAAAAGCATGTCAGTTAGGGAACACTGGGAGACAAGCTGGAACTACTCACTTGTTTCCACAAGAGTGCCTGGAAGTGATGGGACGGAGCCCGACTGACTAACGGGCAGCAGCCCCCTTATCCAGAAAGGTTTGTGCAGAAAAATCCAAGGTGAGAACGGTCGAGCCTCGAAATATTCCCTGACAAAAACAAAACTACACAGAGAGAGGCCGTGTAGTTTTGCTTTCCCTCCTCGCAATCCCTCCACCCGAGGCGAGGCTGGGAATGCTCCAACTGCTCAGGAGGGCCCAGACGGTGCTTTAGGGTTTTATACAAAGGGGGCAACCTGCATCACCACCTCACAGAGCCTCCCCATTGGCTGCTGGGACACCCAGGGGGGCATGATGGGAGATGGCAGCCATTTATGAAACCTCCTCTCCTCCAGTTTGCCAGTCATCATGAAGCCGCTGATTGAACTGCGATTCCAATCGATCTGGGGTCGCCCAGAACGTTAAGCATTACATGAGACCTGAAATAAAACCCTGAAGAGTTAAACTGCGTAAAAATCTATGCAAACATCAGAGTCATAAAATAAGGGCTGACAAGAAAAGGAAGCTGAGGGTGAGGCTGTCCCTGTCAGTCAAACTCCCCCCGCCTCCATCCAGCAGCACCACCGGCTGGTTGTTACAACACACCAACAAACTTCGTTTATCTTCATCCTCAGTCTGACTGATGCAGGTTCAAACCAAGGTTTAAAGAATCTGCAAATGGAAAGCTTCAGCTCAGATCTCAGCCAGTAGCTCAGAACTGACTGGCTGTTACCACCATTAGGGTTTGGTAACTCATCTATTAATCTTCTACCATCTGTCAGCCAACCAGAACCTAAGAATCTACAACAGAAACCTCTGATTTGTTTGTTTTTATTAATGTGAGAAAATTAAGCTTTTGAATTCTTCATGGTCTTGTTTACATCCAGTATGCAGTACTAGCTAATTTAACAAAAAATAACAACAACAAAGAAAGAAAAATACAAAAGGGTTTGTTAAAATAAGCACTGAGTGGGGTTATTTTTGAAATACCAAAGTTGAGGAATATGGAAGATGAAGAAAAGCACAAACTCTGTTTATGTTTAGGACTGAAGAGTCAAAGTATTTTGGTACTTTCCAGAGAAAAAAATCTCATAAAATAGATCCACATTTGTTGCAACATCCCCTTTGACTTACAATGACTGAACAACCCATCAGAAACTAAATGCACACTCCTTCGACAGTCTGACTGATTTATACTAGCAGAATTTTCTAAATGTGCCCATTTCTCTCATACTCTGCATTTCTCTCCTGCAGAAATGCTTAATGCACATGTCTTCTCTTAAGACAGCATTAGGAAAAACTAATGCTGTCAAAGCTAAAGAAGGTCTTCAGGAGTTTTCTCTGTACTTCCGAAGACCTCAGCCGCCTCAGCAGGAAGCATCTGTTTCTATTTGACCATCAGTGTTGTGAGGCCAGTCCAGTTTATTGGTCAGGTGAACACAGAGGTACTTAAGTCCATGATCTCAATATCTGTTCTTTTTCTGTTCATTTTTTAAAAAATCTTGTTTTCCAAGTGTGAGACGCACTATGGGAAAAATTATTGTGATTGAACAGTCACTCCTGTTCGCTAAGTGGTGTTCTTTGGAATAAACTTTTGCAATAGCCATGTAACCATGTAATATTTTATAAATCAAATATGAGGTCAGGGCGTCTTCGATGCTGATATGACACAGGAAGTCTTGTGGTACCTTCCCGAACATGAACCCCATGATCTGAACAGCACCAGGTGGGGGCTCTGATCTAATAGGAGTGAAGTTTAGGGTGGAGGAGGAGGGTGTCGGGATGGTGGATGGTGACTCAGAGCTGAGTGGTATATATTTCTGGGAAGAAAAATAAGCAATCACCAAAGATGAGGGGAATTCCAAGACTGGAGGCCTTTTATTAAGTTTTGCCACAGAGAAATTGCAACTTGCAGCACATTTAGCAATTTATCTAGAATCCAAACACAGTAACGACTGGATACATAAACCCCTCTGAACATGAATCACTGAGTGTGAGCGGGTAGCTACAGTTACTGCTGGGTGATTCAGTTTTGTCTCGGTGTTTCGGGGGTTTTGCAACAGTTCCAGCCGGTGGGCTCAGATGTCGACAGTGAACAGCTGCAGTTAAGTAAATCTGAACTGAATCCTCCATCTGCTGGCAGGAGAAAACCTCAGATCAACAGCGCCCTCTGCAGGTAAACTTTGATACAACCTGAAACTCTTGCACTGAACAAAAATGCAACAGCCTGTTAAAATTACCTCCCCCACTTAAACACTCAGTTCATGTTTTTGATAGATAATACATTTATTCACATGGATTCAAAGAAATCTACTAAAAATAAAACAGACCAATAAATGCGTCCTTTGGTAAATACAACTGTGATCTATACAGTGCATGCTATCATCTTTAAAAGCTCTATTTAAATAAAATGTCATTTCTGACCCACTTTTATTACAATAAACATACGATCAAGAATAAAAAAAAAAATGCTACTTTGCATTTTTTAAAAACCTTAATATACTTCAAGTTGTAAAATTGTATCCTTGTTTGAACCTGGTCCAATTTAGGACATTTTAAATGCATGAGATATTGAAATAAATTGAAACATTTTCAAACTTTACAGTAAACTCTGACAGATAAAACTAGTGATGCTTTATACTGCATCTGTAAATGGCTGTTAATTAACCAAAAAGTAACAATTCACTTCACAGATTACTAACTGTGAAGTTAATTTTCTTCATTTCAGTTCCAGAAAGTCAAATTTGTGGTTTTTTTTTACTGCCTAGTAAAATATTTCTCACAAGAAAGAAAAGCATGTAAATCTCATACAGTTTTAGAGTTCAGTTACAAAGAATTATACGGTTGATGAGGAAAACCCAAAGATGCTGACACAACATGATTTTTTTTTCTTCACTTCTTTTCAGAAGCAGCTGTAATATTTCGGGGCAGAATGTTCCATCTGTCCATTGACTCAGCGTGATTCTCCCAGTCCGGATTAATGGGAGGATTATTCAGAGCCATCAGGCATCCAAGCCAGTAGCATTCAGAGCTCAAATACTCCATCATGTCTTGAGGGTTTGTGACTTCGTCTGCAGATAAGGGTCTCTATAGAGAAGAAATAATAAAATTAATAAATTTGAATAATGTTATTTCATAAATGCATTTAAAAACCTTCATATTCTGTCTTTATTATTCCTTTAATATCAAACAAACCTGTGAGCCGTTGCCATATTTCTGATTGTAGATCACCAGCTGCAGATTCTGAATTGCTAACAGAAATATTCTTTAACCTGAAACAGAGTTTTTTATTCAGATCTGCAGTAAAACTATAAATAATCTTGATTTTGCGTTTCGGTACCTCTGGAGATTCTGTTCCATGTCTGAACTCATAAACATTTGATATCATCACTTTCTTTTCTTCCATGTCTGTTCTTGCCGAGTTGAACTGCTCCTGTTAGCAGGCGACACAATGAGGAGAAAAACCATTTAATCATTTCAATGGCAGCTGTAGCATAAAATAAAGTCTTGGATCATCAAATCACATTTTACCTGAATCATTTGTTGCACAGAATCTGGTTTTTCCCCAGTTGACTTCAAATCTTTTTTGATTTTTGGCCAGTCACATCTCAGAGTTTCATACATTTCTCTTATTCTGTTTTTACTAACTGGGCTGTTGAGGCTCATAGTGTTTCCTGTTTTTATTGAGGGAGCAACATCCAATGCCACTCTGTAAGAGAGAAACATAATCATTATTCACCTAAAACATTTATAATCCACATTTTATCAGTCAAACCCAGCATGTCTTAATATTTCCATGAATTAATACCCAAGACCAAAATATCCAACTTGTTCATGAAAAACATCTTCTCTAGTTTAGAAATGTACAATACCTGTCTTTGAAAGATTTCAGTTCTTCCTCTTTTTTATTTAGACGAGACCTAAAAATAAAGAGTACCACTAAAAATACTTGATATACTTTTAGTAGTTGCATTAACAAATTTATTCTGGAACTACATTAAATTTGTTTGGAATAAGATACAGAGGAGTTATGACTATCTGCTTGGAGCTGAGTTATAAATAAAAGTAATTTTGTGAGTTATCTCCTAAAATGAATGAATGTTTACCTGGTGGTTTGAAGTTCCTTTTCCATCTCACATAGTCTGATGAAAGGCAAAATAAATCAAATCAAATAACATCAAGTCACTGATTAATCATAAAAATAATTCACAAAATGTTAGAGATGTTCTGATGAACAGCAGCTGCAACCAGTTGCTTTGAAATCTGTGCACTATACCTGTCTTTGAAAGATTGTAGTTCTTTTTCCTTTTCTTTTAGATCAAACCTAAATGACAAAATAACTCTTGAAAAATTAAAATCATTTACATTTATTCTGGAACTGCATTTGATTTTATTTCAAAAAGACAAACTGCTGGAGCTTCTTTTTTTGGTATCTGATTTAATTTTTTATTCATGTCCTCCTAAAATGAATGAATGTTTTTTACCTGGTTCGAAGTTCTTCAGCCATCGCTCTTAGTTTGTTTAAAAACAAAATAGATCAGGTCATTAATTAGTAATAAAAACAAAAATTCAGGAAAATTCTAATTGTGTCATTTCTCTCAACCTTTTTGAATGCGATGACCAAACTTGCAATAAATAGATATACTTAAGACAATTTCAAATCAATTTACCTCATTTCAGAAAGTTTCTGTTGATTGGTGGCTTCAATCTGATAAATACTGAAACAAAACATATTTTACGGTCAATCTTTTTAAGGGTCAATACTTTTAACTGGTTTTATTTATCTGATTCTCATTAATTTGGGCTCAAGTTAATGAGAATCAGTTAAAAGCAGCCCCTAATTTATGAGCCTCAGTATTAAAGATCGGTGCACAGTACCTGCATTTGACTTCTGCTATTTCTCTTTCAACTTGATTCAAATAATCTCTGTGAATGAAATCATAACATGAAAAATGGCCCTGAATCTAAAACATCCAGATTCTTATTCAGATCAAATAGAGGAGAAGTCATGAACATGAAGAGGAATTTGAGTTTTTATATTCTTGAATAAAACAGTGAACATACCTTATTTTTCTATGTTGCTCTTGTTGATTTTTTTCTATCATATCAATTCTGTTCAGAAGACAAATTTTAGTGAAGACAATCCAAGTCAGATGAATCTTTTCTTATTTAGTTCAGTTTTTACTTAAATTCAGG